GATGAGAAAGTTAAAATCCATTTCAACTTAAGTCGTCTTTTGTAAATGATTTGTGCTTCACTGATGCAGAAAAACGAGCTCTAAACCCCTGATCACCAACAACCAGCTAATTGTGAGGGGGTCAGAGGTCAAAGGAAACAAACGTTTATAGGTCTCTGGACTCATGGTGGGTTCACTGGGGGAAACATGACAGCACTAAGTGGTTTCAAGCCAAACCAGTGTGTGAGGGGGTGACAGGGAGTGAGCTTTATCACTTTTTCCCAGAATCCTCCCCCTGGAAGCTATTAATTTCCTGGATGTTTGCATGAGACGCCTCCGCAATGCATCACAGGGATTGGCTGGGCCCCGCCTCCTGAGGCCAGCCTCGCAGGCACCATCAACCATAATCCCGATGTGTCCGCCAGAGGACGAGGCTCTGCAGATGAAGGGCAGGGACATGAGGAAGAGTAGCCATTAACTTTCCCTCTCTGGGAGTTTCACATTGAAGTGATCACATCATGACGGTCTCTCAGATCAAACATGTGTCTGGATCTTAAACCTTATCAGTCTGCAGGAGCTGTGCTCTGGCCTACATGCTGGATTATTCAGACAGATAGGTCCAAAAATGTCATAATGGCGTTCTGATGAAGCGCAGCATGTGATTGGTTGACAGTGGGCCTGGATGGATGGGCGGGGCCTTAAGGAGGAGTTAAAATGCAGACTGGTGAAGACAGAGAGTATGGGGGCTAAATTTAGCCAATGGCTCTGCTGGGGTGGAGCTAATCCTCTTTACACTCGAATTATCTGGCCTTCGGATTAGAGGGCTTTGCCTCTATGCAAGACATCTACTCTCTATAATGATGTCCCATAGCAGGCTGTACCATGTCCCCAGGCGGGGGTGGCTGAGGGGGAAGACTGGTCACAGGAATGAATGAGGAGTTGTGTCATGGATATCACTTAGTATGTGACAGCTATACCCTATGTTACTACAAAGAGTTAAAGCTCCTATAAGTAATTTTAAGCTGGTGAAGAAATGAGCTGAAATTAATACCCATGTCTCTGTATGACCCAAGAAAGCAAACAAGACCATACAAACTGTTGCAACATACAGAAGAATATATCACTCTCTTGATGGGCCTAGGATGAAGAATTTGGACCACTCAGAATTTGAGATGTAGTTCATATACAGTACAGGCCAAAAGTTTGGACACACCTTCTCATTAAATGTCTTTTATTTTTTTTTTATATGATTATTTACATTGTAGATTATCATTGAAGGCATCAAAACTATGAATTAACACATGTAGAATTTTGTACTTAAAAAAAAAAAAGTGAAATAACTGAAAACATGTTTTATATTCTAGTTTCTTTAAAGTAGCCACCCTTTGCTCTTGATGACAGAAGTACTTAGTCACAAAGTAACCCTGAGAAGGCACACATGTGAAGTAAAAACCACTTCAGGTGACTACCTCATGAAGCTCATTGAGAGAACAGCAAAAGTTTGCAGCTCTATCAAAAAAGCAAAGGGTGGCTAAAATATAAAACATGTTTTCAGTTATTTCACACTGTTTTCTTAAGCACATGATTCCACATGTGTTCATTCATAGTTTTGATGCCCTCAGTGAGAATCTACAATTTAAACAGTCATGAGAATAAATGAAAAATGCATTGAATGATAAGGTGTGTCCAAACTTTTGGCCTGTACTGTATATTTTTCATCAATACACTACAGATTAAATAGGATTCAATTGTAACTGCATGCAAAAAGTCTTTATTTGATGCATTGGTTTGCCAATACTTCACTCTGAAAGGAGAGTTAGGAAAATATCTTGACACTTGAACTAAAGTAAGGAACTTGGAAAATCAAGCAATATCATACGTCAATATAAGCTTCATAAAAAAACTCAATCTATATGCACATCAGCACTACACAGCTATTTGACAAGATTCTGAATAAAGTAGACAAGACAGCAGTCTGTTTGCAACAAAGAAGAGCAGACCAATACACAAATCTGACGAGTGGTTTGTGTGTGGCGTCATCTTGTATAGGGCCCATTACTGTGATGGTAACTCAGGGTCTTGTGCTGTCTACAGACTGTGAAAGCAGCTGGATTAAAGATGTTGCACAATGCTGATGACGCTGTCTGAGGCCATGTCACAGAGATGAGATGTAGGTGTATCTTTTTTTTTTTTTTCTTTTTACTTTATGGATATATCGGCCACATGAAACCAGCGTTTTAGGAGCTTGGATGTGCCAGCTTTTTAAAACCCATCTGCCATCTTCCTTTTAGTGTGTATGTTTACATCACACAGGTTTTTGGTATATTTCTGAGGCAGCATTACAGCGTCACTAAAAAGCCTGGCATGTCCACTCCAGCGTTTTCAGTGGTTTTGTGGGGACACACACATTTCCTGGGAGATTCTGTGTTGAAGGGAAACTTTTTAAAACAAAGAAGAAATAGATCGGCTCTGTCTTCATGTTGACATAGCCTTGATGACATGATCGTAGCATGTAAAAGTTGTCGTATTATGCTGCGTTCCAGTTACCTCAGAAGTTGGATATCGGAACTGGAAATGACGTTACACCTGATTTGACGGCATTCCAGTAAACAAGTCGGAAAACCAAGATGGATGCCTACAGTTACCCGTTGTTAGCTGTTGTTAGCCATTGTCAGTTGTTGTTAGCGGTTGTGAGCTGTTGTTAGTTGTTGTTAGCTATACCAGTTGTAAACAACGCATAGCAGAGTATTTTACTCGTACATACACAATAGCACCGTGTTCACCGCGTTAGATGTTGGGCAGTACAACATATACCAATTATTTAATTTTACAAAAACAAAACAGAAGTGCTAATAAATGATACATTACAAGAGCTTTTACTGTTACTCTTTACTGTTGATGTACTGAGGTGCCATCTTGGATTATGACATTGTTGTCTAGTCGGGGTTGGTGAGGATCGTCCGACTTTCCGAGTCAGAAATCTGACCTCAAGGGGGCGTTCCAGATGAATTTCCAACTCAGAACTTGGAAATTCTGACTTCTGAGTACAACTGGAACGCAGTATTAGTCATCACATATAATCAAAGTGCGATGGCATATGGAAGAAAAGATAATGAAGTTAACCATATCTGCCACATATAAAGAAAAAAGAGCACTCAGTGTTGGAACATTATTCTACCAAGTCTACCAATGACTGCATTTTATTATCACAGACAAGTTACATCAACAAATAGACTCTTTAAATAAATTTTGATGATGCACAAATTTTCAGTCATTATTTATTAATTTATTTGCAACAACACTTATGTTAACATGAAGCTTTTAGATTGGAACGCTAGCGAGAGAGGGAGAGTAGTTTTTGAACAATTACTTGGTGATGAACAAATAGTCACCTGGGGAGGTATTACACTCACAGAGACTCACAAACATGAACCATGATGTATTGCAAATGAGCCACCAGTGCACTGGTACTAGGGGTTTCTGTTTTTGCCTCATGTTGCTTTGCAATTTAGCTTGTTTGGAAAACAGGGGAGGTAAAGTACAAAAACGCAGGTTAAAATAGCACCTAAGGACTCCTGGAGCTTCACACCATTTGGAGGAACAACAAATTTTGCAGTTGCACTGAGGTGTGTTTGAGACTAAGAGGAACAACTGCATGTGAAAAACATCAAAATACATCCTGAACTAAGGTAAACAGAAATCAGGTTAAGGAGCAGCAAAAATCTCCTCTGACAAGGCAGCGAATCGTGATGGAAAAGCATTTTGAAGCATTTCTGCATTGATCATATGACTTACTTTAGCAGAATTTGTATTTTAAAATGTAGTGCTTGTGTAAATATAGTACTTAGCAGACACTCTGGAGAGTCTGTGTCTGGCTCACTCAGGCACATTAAGATGCATCAAGCCTTTCGCTCTTACATTACAGGAGGACAGAGTAAACACCTGCAGTAAAATCAGACCATACAAAGATGTTTTTGGCTGAGCTGAACTGCAGACAGAGACTACTTCAGGCCTCTAGAGGCCTAAGTAATACATCCATATATTAAAAGCTTTTTATACAGCATAATATATTATCATGTGGGAAAAGCCTGGCATCCGTCCACCATATCATCAGACCGTAACTGCTGCTCTCTCCTTGGCTCTTACAGTCTGTATATTTTCTGTATGTAAACGGCGGGAATGAAATGTGGTGCAGGAGAGCTATGATTATCCATCTCTAGCAGTAGGTGCCACTCAGACACATCCATAATCACCTCTGTGCTCATCTGCAGCCAACAAAATGAACCAGCGGGCTTCCCTTTTTGCTCCAAGGGAAGAGGAATATCCATATATATATATAGATATATATATGTATTATTATTAAATTTTTTTGCTGCATGCTTATCCAGGGTGATGTAGGATGGACGAGTAGCTACAGTAGCGAGTCGATGTCTCACTCAAGGACACCTTGACAGGATATGCAGCTATTTGAGGGATGTGTCCTTCTGCTTATGTGACCGTAGACAAGAAATCTCTTTTTCAGGCCTTCACAGTCCACTAATATCATGACACTGACCACCATATCCAGCAGCTGTGGAGTTTGAATGCAATCTAAACTGTGAATACTCTCTGGGATCTCTTCACAGTGATTGTAGACCACTGATGTCCCAGATTTGAATCTCCATTATAACAAGCTTCTCCCCTGCTGAAGTGTCCTTGAGCAGAAATATTCAGACTCTCTGCCAGCTGCTGTTCTGGCAGCCTGACATCTCTGCAGAGGAACGTTTGCAAAGATCAAGTGTATCGCAAAACAATCCAGCGGAGTGTCTTCACAGTTTGCAGACATGATCAGCAGGGCCTGTTGCTCTTTACACTCGATGGACCGTACCATTAGGTCCCACAGGTAGGGGGGTTAGTTCCGGGGAGTTTCCTGTAGGGATGAGCACTAGTCGGGGAGGGGTGGTGGTTGGTGGGGGGGATCGTGAGGTTGTATCCTAATCCCTTAGCCTTGGCTGCAACACGGCCTTAGACTAAACTGACATGAAGGGTTTGGACATATGAAAATGTTATTTGGAATTTAGCAATATTTGATTCATGTTTACTTTTTCTACTTCTTGTTTTAATTTAAAGGGAATGCCATCTCTGGTAAGACTTATTTTTGTTTTGTTTGTGCTTTGTGCTGTTTAATTTGCCGTACTGTCAAGTGAAATAGCAAGTGAATGAGCAGTATTTCTAATTTTTCATAAAATAGTGATGGTTTAAAATTTTGTTTTAAAATCTATATTTAATCTAGAAACAGTCCTGTCTCAGACATCTCCTTTAGTATGTATTAAGTCAAATCTATCTACAAAAATGAAAAGGTTTGATGGGCAAATTTTCATCTTAGGACATCTGCTTATTTTAGTAATAATTGTAATGTTTTAACACTTAATAGACCTCTCAAACTCTTAATACAGATAATGTGTAAACCCTCAAACCAATGGGAACTCCTGTCATTCCAAATAAAATAACTCCAGTTACCATTATCACCTATTCAACAACCCATTTTTGGTTGCAAATGAATGAATCACGATAAAAACATAACGCAAGGCACATTTGATAAGGTCCAGAATTACAACAGCTTTTACCGCATTTAATGTATTTCACATAAATACACTGGTAAAAATCACAGGTGACATATTTACAGAGAGGTTGTGCCCAGAAATGACAAAGGATTGTCCTTTAACCTCATGAGGTCACAGAGATTAAAATGAACTAATTTCTTTACATTTTTTGGATGTACAAAAAAGAAACATGAACATGGCACGTGTTTATTCAGCATGTCAAACGATAACAGCTCATAGCAGTACCTGTAAAGAAGAGCTGATTATAACATTATGCTGATGACAGCATTTACTACTTTGCCAAATTAATCCAAAATAAAAAAGGAGTTGAATAAAAACTTTTCAAGTGCAATCCTTATATTATTTTCCAGCAAGTAAGTCATATAAAACATCAATGGTCAGGTTACGATTCAACAACTGGACTGTAGTTTTCGTCAGAACTTTTTCTAAAAACTCCTGAGAGGATTTTTTTTTTACATTTATAAAAAAGTGTGAAATTTATATTGAAGTCTGGTTTTGACATGCGAAAGCAAACAAGACCACCAATGACAAGACTGACAAGTTTTACTGTCATTCTTAATGCCTGAAACTGTTGTGCAGGGGTAGGTGTCAGTGGAACCAACATTGAACAATTGTCTTATTTTTAAACTTTCAGCCTTAAATATTTACGGTAAACCATATATTTCACCATCAAAAATTGCAGGATGATACTTTCAATCAAACAACTCTACCTGAGCATGAAGAGGACAAGATAAGCAAAAGCTGCTTTGTCCACAAGGGGTGCCAAAACTGACAGTCACAACAAAATTCCTCATTGGGGCTTTAACTGTTATAAAAATAAAATGTAATAAGTTAGAGCAGAAAGAAAACACGCACTTCAAATTGTACAGCTGTAAAAGAGTTACTGGGAGGGGATGGTTAAATTAGATATTTTTTTATAATTCAAGACAGGAAGAAGATCAAGTTGACAAAATAAAGTTGCAAAAACAACAAATCTGAGGTTTACTGAAGCAAATACAAAATAAAACATTTCACAGAATGCTGCGGACTATCAGCATGATTTTGTCCATTACCATATTAAAAATATAACTAGGCCTGCAAGCCAGATCTTTACAATGATTTTGAAAAAATGAAAGTGGAAAATATTTAAAACTTTAGCTCCAGCTGGTCGTCCATTGAGCCATATACAATTAAAAGAAGAAAGATCAGCAGCAGACAGACAGACAGAGTGAACTCCGGTGGCTGCATAAATCAAGAGGAAAAGAGTAAAATATACTTTAGCGTCTGGCCTACGAACAATTCAGCTGTTCTATCCAACTGTTGGGCCATGATCAAAGTTCAATAACACAGCAATAAAATGTTTCTTTACAGAAGGAGAGTAGTTTTGTTGCTCATTGTGGAACAATCCTCAGAAGCTGATGAAGTGAGGGCGACGGAGTTTGGCTCAATCGAAACTAATAAATGATCGGAGCGGTGAAAGGTCACTTGTGAAATTGAGAAAGCTTCTCGTAAATTATCCTGTGACCTCTCTGCTTCCTGTTAAACCTAAGTCTCACATTGATTTTCATGATTCAAAGGAACTCTTTGACTTTTGAAAGCTCCCACTGGAAGGGCAAGCATGGCCTATTCAAACTCTGGCCTGCACCTGAATCGGTATAGGAGTGTGTGTTCGAAGTGTTAAAAGGTTTAAGTTTATACATGGATAAACACAAACTAATCAATACGTCTGAGGAGAAAGAAGAGGAACGGAGACACAGGAGGAGAGTGTGTGTGTTCAGGCAGCCGAGCTGTTATGTAAGCACCAGCTGTGTGAGTGAAGGCCTGCTGCAGGATGATGAAAGCAACGCCGCTTCCCTCAACCAGACTGAGCATCCACTCTCCCTCTCTCTCTCTCTCTCTCTGCTGAATTATTCACATTATTGAAGGAAACAACAACACAAACCAGCATGAGACGCAGAGACGAGCGCAAGTACATCATGGTTCTGCAATTCCACTCGTTACTATTGGCAACAAACAAGATAAATGCGTACAATTTCAGGAAAATACAATTCAGTGCTTCAATGCAGTCTCCATAATCCACCGCCGCTAGCAGCCACCTCTTTGACTTTCGTGATGAAACAATAACGTGAGGCAACAAGGACAAAATGAAAAAAAAAAAAATCTGCAGTCTTAATCTGGATTAAATTACAGTGTTCGTCATCCCGGCTCCAAACCAACGCAGACCAACTCAAAGCAAACAAGGAGAATGACGAAACAAGAACGGATTCTCATCTTAGAAAGTCATACCAGTGAAAAACATGCAAAACATTAAACTCACAGAACAAGTGACTGATTGTGTCAGCTGAAGAATATGTCCCTGACATAAAAAGGAACAATCAAATGTCTTTAAAAAAACATTGATTTTATGAGTAGTTATGCCACGGACAAACAAATAATGTTTTAGTGTTGTTATGCAACTTGATTTAAGATGATTTTACTCCGGGTGTATCTTTATCCAACGGTTAAACTGTCCTTTTTTGTAAACTCAAAAGTACTATTTTAGATTGTCAGTCTTTCTATAATACTTATTTCAAAATGCTGCAAGAGAAATGTAATCTTTTTTGTTTGCACTAGCTCTTCATGAACTCAAAACCTGATATCCTACAAACACTAGTGTCTTTTTTATCTACATGATGTTACATCACATCTTTTGCTTTCTTTTAAAATCCTTAAAAACTTTTGCTTCAGTGAATCCTGAGGACTTACTCCTGCTTTTGGGGTCAGAAAGCAACTTGTCTTTGCTGTGATACAGATGTTTAACCTGCATCATTGTTACAGTGAGCCACAAGATGATTATAAAATTGAGGCTACTGTTAGGAACGATACGTTCGTGGCATTTTTGGTGCCCCCCTGTGGAGCATGTGGAGCCCCTCATCTCTGCTCTGATTTGGGCCTGTATATGTTTTAACCTTCAGTGTGATGAACTCTGTATTATTTAGCAGAATAGACTAGACAGAAATAGAGTTTAATAGTGATTCTATGTTTGGGTTGATGCATCATCCCCTGAATCTTAAAACTGTTTTGCTGGGGCACCACTGGCCTTATGTTTAAGCCCTAAAGGCTTTAGTCCTTGTTGCAGTGGTTGGTTAGACTCCCAACCAAGACTATTTGCTGCATCTTTCCCCACTCTGTACTCGCTGCATTTCCTGTCTCCCTTTAGTTCGCCTATCAAACAAGGGCAAAAATGTCCCACCCCCTAAAAACAAAGCAAATAGTATATATTGTTAACTTAAAGTGAGCCTTTTAAATCCACAAATTCACTTCCACAGAGGCCAATGTCTTGCATGGCCGTGTTTCTACAGTAACACAGAATGGACAAAATGGTACCATACACAATTTCATGTTAAGTTGTATCGAATGTGCCACTTAAAAGAAGAAGAAAGAGAGTCATTGTTTGCAAAAACAATTGTTTTAATTGCTGTCTCTGATGGTAAAACCTTGACAAAAGGAAGATCACTTATTATGCATTGCACAAGCTTCTTGACCTTGAAGGCTGCTGTAGCTGCACTAACAGGACAGGTGAGCCAGGGAGCATTTCTAGTGAGAATCTGACCACTTGATATTATTAAATATTCAACCGTCTACATAGCCTACTGTGGAAAAAAAGTGGTTTCAGCAGCATTTGGCTGATTACTTTGCCTGACACCTACCCTGTGGCAACTGTCTTGTACATGCAGAATCAGTGTTTGTAAGTCAGTGGCATCATTGATGGTGAGATAGTCTTAAGTAGATCATCAAAAGGCCATAAAAGTGTTAATTATGTCTCATAACTTGTTAAAAAATTCCCCACATGAGCTTCAATGACCACTTGTGTTGAAACAGTGGTGCTCTAAAGTGAGGCTCACAAGTCCCCCAGTTCTGATTTCTCACAAATGAAAGCTAACAAGCTAAGGTTAGCATAAACTAGCATCACTCTGTATAAAATATCTGATTTAGAAGACTGACCCCATGACTCCAAACATGGTTTGTGACTGTTGCTACATTTTTAGCGTTCATCTTAAATTCATTGCTAAGCTGCACTGTCATTCTGTAGTTTTTGCTGTAAAAGTCAGCTGGTTAGCTTTAAAATTAATTCTGTCAGGGTGCCCTTGAGCAGGGTGCTGCAGGGTGTAGTTGTCCTACAATCCCCACACTGTAAATGAAGAGCACAATAAAAGCATCTCTGACCACACGGTTGGAACAGACTTGGCATTTGAAGATTAAACTGTAGTTTGTGTAACTTCACACTTAAAAAGTTGCCTCTCAAATCAGCCACGTTCTCATTTTGCATTCAAATTATGTTGCTCTGTTGTCTGTCATAGAGCATTTCTACAATGCACCATTTGTTATCTTTAAATAACAGAGGCTCCAGCCTCAAGCAAACAATTGCTTAATTTTCTAAGAATGTTTGCCAGCCGTCACTGTGCAGTTTTTAAATGATGTTATTAATGAATGTGACAGCAGACAAAAATCCTAAAATTCAATGTAATTTGTGTTATTGTCCTCCACTTGGTGCCTCTGGCCTCCGGTCGCTCTAAAAATCAAGACAAATCTGAATGTGTCATTGTTGGAGTCGTCCTGTGTGATGGATCAAAATGGCGTCAGAGCATTTGAGCAGGCAGACGAAGAGATTATCTGGTTGTGTGGAAGGACACGCAACCTGCAAGGGAGACAGGAAGTCCTGAAGTGCTCTTTCTTTCCAACTCATACTTTCACTTCAGGCCAGAAAAATATCTCACAGCTGTTTTTATGTCCATTACAGACATGAATAAATAATGTTCAATTGATTATTATGACAGGGAAGGTTACTGAGCCAAAGTAGCAAAGAGGACAGGAAGTATGGAGTTAAGTTTACAAAAAGACTCTCCTCTGTGATGAGATGAGAGGACTTTTTCTACATTTTCAGTTACCTTGTCCTCAGTTTTGGGTCAAAGGTCACGATGTGAAACTGAAGTATGAATGTCTTAAAGCCCTTTAAAGCAATACTTCAACTACTCTTGGCAGGCCATTATCTGTCCCAAAGGAAACTCTTCTGTGGTAATGTCTCTGCTGCAAATGCTTTATGTGCTGTGATGCCTTCTTACTGATTCTGTTTGCGTTGTGTTTTAGGTCCAGCATGCAGAACTGTGCAAAACAAGAAAGTTAATAGAGCTCCATCTCAACCTCTGAGGCCTTAAATTTGAGACCTAGACTCCTGATAAGACCAAACCACAGCGTACCTGCAGTTTCCGTTTGACACCTGGAGCCCAGGAGACTGAGGCGACACTGACAGCAACTCACGGCTACTCCAGAGGATTATGTCATTATAGCTGACAACTTGAGCTTCCCTTGAGTACGACGGCTACAAGGCAAAGTCAGTCCTGCTCTGCACACACCCCAAAGAAACCATGGATGACCCCTATCAAAACAATGTGAACCAGCAGGTGACAGAGGGTGGAGAATACACCTACACCCAGGATGGAGGGGGTCAGGATGGCTACCCATACCAGACAGACTACCCTCCACAGGAGGAGGATGCCGCTAGTGATGCCACAGAGGGCGCAGATGATGACGAGCAGATGTATGAGGGGGAGTACCAGGGTATTCCTCACCCTGATGAGATCAAGGAAGCAAGGCGGGCTGCCCGGGTGGAGGCAAGGAGGAAAGCCCGTCAGGCCAAAGAGCAGGAAGAGGAGGAGGAAAACCTGCCAGAGCAGTATGAAACCATTATGGAGGACTGCGGCCATGGACGCTTTCAGTGGATGTTGTTCTTCGTGCTGGGTCTTGCACTAATGGCAGATGGCGTGGACGGCTTCGTGGTGGGGTTTGTCCTGCCCAGTGCTGAGAAAGACATGTGCATATCCAATTCTAACAAAGGATTGCTGGGTAAGTGAAATAAAAGAAAAGAGGATCAAAGCTTGATTGAGAAAACTCAAAAAGAAGACACACCCTCTTTTTGAAAATGCAGAGAAAGGGAAATCTTTGTTTTAGCCTGTTTTGTTTCTAGGAGGGGAGGATTTGATGCTTTGAGGTAGAGCTAATGCTCATATGATAATGCTATCATACTGATGAAAAGCATCAACATGCTGCTGATGCACTCGTACAATGTTTTTGTTCATCATTGTAGTTTACACTAGTATCCTGACAACCCCAAAGAAAACTCTTGAGATGTGAGAATCAAGAGACTCACTCAATGTGAATGAAAATTGTGGAAAAATTTGTTTTTCATCCATCCAATGACTGTTAAGCTAAAAGCTAATAATGTCAACGTAGTGTTTATTCTTCTATTCTTACATAATAATCATCAGTGAACAGTGACCCATGTTTGGTTTACCACATTAGCATGCTAATTTTCATCAGTGTTAGCTAACCACAGGACTTCCTGATGTGTTTCCATCACACAATTATCTAATTCTATTACCTGGCTTTCTTACTAACCACCCAGCTGTATCGAAAACTTGATTTTGATTAGTCAAAACCCCTTGACAAACAGTTTTAAGCAGTGTCAGAGACAAGCAGACACCAAATGAAATCAATATGTGCAACAAAGTTACGGCAGAACTGTTAGGCTCATTAGCATGCTGACTTGTTAGACCTCATGACATAAATATTCAGATTCTGTCAATGGCAGAAAAGCTGGTCAATACATGTGTGTTACCGATCACCACCAAGAAACTGAACTTTGACAGGTAACGATAACAGCAACACTTATGCTAAAATGTGTGTCAGTTGCAAAGCTCCAAAAATAAGGAGAGTTGAATGAGGACAAAAGGCGGTATTCATATACCCAAAGAACACCTGTGCACCTTGTTTTATGTAATCATCAATGAAAATGTAATAACACAAAAGCAGGCAGAAGTTCTGTTCTCCTTTTCTGATTTGATCTTTGATAGAAATGTTCAGGTAAATTGTTTTTATATCAGCATGCTTGTGATTTTACTTGACTGTTTATTGAAATGTTTACTTGGAGGTTTGTTTGTGCTGCAAGGAAACAGGTTAGAGAATTGGTAGTTGGTCGCAGTACCAAATATAAATATCATTTTTAAATCAGTAAAATCATCTTTCTGCATTGTTGAGCTATAAACTGTATTATTAGGCGCCCTTCGTTTTGTCTCACCTCATCGGGATTCTAGGTGGTTATACCCATTACCTCTTGAATAAACCAAAGCATAAGATGCTGGACTCGTAAAAAGTTGATCTGATAAAAGGGCTGGGGAATTGGCTTGGGTTCACCAAGACCATTTGTGAGGAAACACTTACATCAGCTCCAACTGTTATGCCATCCTATCCAAATGTCAGATCAGTATACTCTTGTTAAGCATGAACACTTCAATGCTGACCATTTTGTTTAACCATTTTAGCAAGCTAACATTTACTGAATGCTATCAAACCAAAGGTACAGGGCTTATTGCAGGTTTGAAAGGACTAAATTATTGGGAAAATCAAATCTTCTACTGATCATGGCACCAGTATTAGCGTTTGGAAGTCACCCGGGTTGCTCAAATCAGTCCAAAGAGGAAGATTATTTTCTGTACCAAATGTAAAGGAAAACTAACTCACAGTTGGCGAGGCCTTTCACAATTAGTCACATTTTATCCTCATGGTAATCTCTTAGGGAATATAAGGGGATCATTAACCTCAACAGTAATACTCCTCTATGCACCCTGAATATCTACAAAAATGAATAATAATCCATCCAAAGGTTGCTTATATATTTCATTCTGGACCAAAGTTATGAACAGGCAGCAGACAGACTGTTCCTGCAGTCCCTAGAGCTATCAGCTAGCATGGCTGAAAACAGATTTAGCCAAGACATCCTTCCAAAACAGATATACTGCCTTCTGGAAACCTACAAGCCTAGCTAATTACAATCATCTGTTGAAGAGTTCCTATCTTTTCCCAGAGAGGAGGAAGTCATCAGTGAAATGATCTGCTGTTGTGCTTGGCTAGAGTAAAATCCTGCATATGTTTGGCTCTCGATGGCACATGGTTGCAGACCAGTGCGTCAGACAGAAACATCTCCCAGCCACTGGGACACATTAGGGGGCTCGGATCTTTGTAGGCAAATGCAAATTATGATCGAAACCAATATTGTGTGTCCTATTACAGAATGGGTCCACTGAGCCACACTGAGTCATTGGATGGTGAGCCTTGTGTGCCACGGTGCCACAAGTGTCTGGAAGCTGACTTGGGGGAAGCATGAACACGTTAATTGTTAAATTATCTTAGAAACCAGACAGACAGGGAAGGTGCTGCTCTAAATATAGATTACATTCTGATTGCACTGTGTCTTAAGGGTCGTGTTTTCTTCATTTAAGTGCCCTCGCCAGCTTTACTTGTTCCAAAATTTTCAGTCATAACAGTAAACATGCCAAAAATTTAGAGAAATTTGTGTGCATCCCAGACATGACTTATTGGCAAATGTACCTTGAAAGCGTCTGTTCCTCTCTTCTCACACCGACAACTCAACTGCAAATTAAAGCCCCTTACCTTATTTCCCCGGCCACGTGTGTAGCCAGGCGATGTAGCAGATTGCTCATCGCTCATTTCATCTTAACAACAGGCTCCTGGGATAGCGCATTGCACGAGATTGATGAGGAACCCAGTGGTGATTGTATTCAGTGTGTGTTCTTGGGCTAATATGGAGCATGTTGCAGCAGTCAGAGAGCCTGGCGGCCTGCAGCGCCCGGTGCAGAGCTGTCAGATACGCTTCAGGCCTCTGACAGGCTGTGGTAGCAGGAGGAAGGCCTGGCGAAAATGAAATCCCAGCGTCTGTGCTGAGCAGGAGGGGAGAGCTGATCATTGGATAAGAATATGAAGTAGATCTGCAGAATGATCTTGTGCGATTCACTCCCATGCTCTGTTCAATACACTCACCAAAGCGGAAAGGTGTGTATTTTTAACCCTAGTCTTGGATCACTATAAAGACTCTTAAATCTTTTGTTAAAAAGAGGAGGGTAGCACTTGCCTTTAATTGTGTTTATATTGTTTTATTCATAGAGTGGAAATGTAAAAAGGCTTCATTGTCTGGGCTTGATGGGGAAGAAGAGATCCAACGAACAATCTCTTGTAAAACACTAAACTTGCAGTGCAGCAAATGGGTTTCTGGAATAAAACGAGAATTGCAATTTAAAAGGTCATGCATAAATCATGAGGCAGTTTTAGGATGCTTTCGAGCTGCTGGGTAAGGATAAACTGCAAGATTCTTGGTGCTATATAGCTTTCAATACTGCTCTGTTTTTGCACAGTGCACCTTGAGAAATCACATCAGCCATGTCGAACGTCCACTTCTGCTGTGTCTTTCCTTATTCCCCTTTTGTAACACAAAAACACATTTACAAGCTAAAAAAACATCTGAGCTAGAAGAAATTAGGAGTGGGGAATAAAGCGGTAGACAGTTAATGGAGTTGATTCTCAATTTTGAGGTCCAAACTCAGTGGGGGTTGAGAGAGAGTTGGTAGAATCTGCTAATGCTAATGCTAAATTAACAATTTTTCCAATGCTTCATGAATGTGACTGAAACTATTTTCCACAACATTTGTGACATGTTTACTGGATCTTTCTAGTTACTCCTCAATTTTAACTTCAATATAGCTACACCAAAGTAATGGCTGAAATTTGTAACAGCAATAAATCTCAGTGTTTTTTAAGGGGTTATTTTCATCAATTTTGTCTTTAATTTACAGGACAGCTGTTAAATGGAGAGCCATAATCAGTGTATGGGGCTCATGTGATTACCATTGAGCTAAATTGGCTGTCTAAGTGACAACGTTTAAGTTTAGCAAAATCATCCCCTGAATAAGACATAAACACACTTATAACTACGTCTTCAAGTGAAGCTTGTGTAGCCTTTCAGGGTTGACATTTCAGCATTTTTAATGATTGGCTTTGTTCATGTTCATGTTTCTGAACTCTATTTGTGTAAGCGAGCTTTTTACCTTTTCTCTACTGAAATGAAACTGAATTTAAAACAAATGCAACACTACTATTTCTTCTTGTTAATAATAGTGTAACAGGCAGTTTTTTGAAATGTAGTGCAAGTCTGGAGAATCTAAGCTCTCCTGGGTTTACATTTTTTTCTTAGGATCTAGTGTCTACGGTTAGATCTGCTAATTGTGCTGAGAGTGTGTTCTCTTCAAAAGCTGCGAGAAAAAGGAAAAATATTCCGTCCCCATGACAAATTCAGTGTCTCCGATGTGTTCAAGGACACTTAAAGAAGCAGATAAAATCATGTTGCTGCAGTGTTTGATCCCAGGCCTTCGCCAAACAACCAGGCTTTCTAATCACAAGGTCGCGCAGTCAACCTGTCCATGTACATATCCAAGGCATACACATGGCCTTAAGCAACATCCTGGCCGAGATATAAGTGACATGTTCGCCTTGACTCTTTGTCTCCCTCTGCCCTGAGCAGTCTCTTGTTGAATGAGTTGGGGATGTGTGTGCAGCTTGGCGTGTGGAACGTCAGAGCATTTGGAGAGTCTAGTAATCCACGGGGAAGGTGCACACTATGGCTCCACGTGCCATTAAGCTGCTTAGTCGCACTGTAATTAGGGCTGTGTGTAGTAAAAACACAGAGCAGGCAGGAGGTAAGGGTCTGAGGGTTTAAGCCACACGGTGAAGAGGTTGTAGGTTTGAACACTGACTGTGAGACAAGAGTCCAAAAGAACATAATCATCATAATCTCCTCAATGAAGTAACAGGGCTCTGTTGTTGTTGTTGTTGTCTTGGAACAATAAAGAGATGGCACAGGAGATCTTCTACTAAGTGCTTGCCAGGATGAACTCCAATCCACTGAGATTCAGATTGGAAATCTGCCAGAAAAACATGACAAAATGATTTCTGAACTGATAAAGGAAGCAGCCCAGAAACAATAAAATGTCAGAAAGAACATTTCAGATGATGGCAAAGACAACTCTAGCAGGGCTCATCATGGTGAACAATGCCTGAGGTGGATTGAGGAACATGAATTTTGTGGAAGTGAAGCACTCGCAGATGCCTCAAAATCCCAGTGACCTTTACATTTCTGTGAGTACCATAATCAGTGTAGGTGTATTTTCCTGGTGCATTATTATGAATCTGCTGAAATATTGATCAAGAAAGAAGCATCAAGCTGAATTACAGAGCAAAATGTGATGTTTTCTCTCGTCCTCTGTGTCCATACATGGGTGAAGGGAGCCCCCTTGTGGAGATCATTGTTCGTCCTCTCAGTGATGTGAATGAATGCAAAATCATGCACCTCTGCTGTGTTTTTCTGTGCGATCAAGACTGCTTCATTAAACTAAGTTGTACATAGATGAAATGCTTTATAGTGATGCTGGTGTTTTGTGTGTTTACAGGTCTGCTGGTGTATGTAGCCATGATGGTGGGGGCGCTGGTTTGGGGGGGTCTGTGTGATAAGATGGGGAGGAGGAAGTGTCTGATCTATGTCCTGACCATCGACCTGGTCTTCTCCTTCCTGTCGTGCTTCGCTCAGGGCTACGGCTTCTTCCTCTTCTTCAGGTTCTGCTCCGGCTTTGGGTGAGACATTTTTACATTCATGATCACATTTGCAGGCCTCACCTGGACTGAAGACAACTCAAGTGGTCTTTTTGACAAATAATCCTTAAATGACAGGAATTTTGTAACATTTCTGTCATCGAAGGTCAAGATATTTGTTTCAAAATAAAAATGTAAGATGACAAACATTCCAGTAAAATGAGTACTTGGAAAAACATCCGTTCAGAAAACTTATGGACCTTCAGAGAAGTGTAGAGCAAAGATTTTTCAAGAGCCAAGTTTAGTCTCTTTAAAACTACAACTAATTAAAAAGAGTCAACAGTACTTTTTGCTTGATTTTAATTTCAGTGCTATTGCCAACTTCCTGCTGTCACCAGCACCTCGGAGTTGTGCACGAATTGATTTTGCTGCTTTCAAAGACACATTTCTTTTGATAATGATTACAGCTTGAATAGGCCCAGACCTGCAGTATTGATGTTTAAGCTTTTTGCTAAGACAAATTGTGCAAGGTCACCAAAATAAAACATTCAGCTGTTGCTGATTCACTGTGATAATGAGCCCTGTGTGAAGTCATTAACACTCACATCTGCAGAAGGATTGAACACATTTTGCTGGCTTCATGAAACACAAAGAAGAGATACAACTTGCTTTCTTGGGGTTAAAAAAAGGAAAGATTTTAAACACTAGAGAGAGGCTCAATAATCAATATGCTGTGGTTGTGGATCCAGGGAGTGAGATTTCTCTGATGTAGGTTTATGGTTTCCATTTTCAGGTGCCATAGAGATAATATTGTGCATATAATATCAAATCTATAATTGTATTCTAAAAGTTCTTGACATCAGGAGTCCAGCCATTCAACACTGGACCAGTCTTCTCTGGATTTTGACTACAACCTGAACTAGTGTTGTAGTCATGTCATCAAACCTCAAGTCCAGGTCTTAAGTCATCTAAGGAGAATGACTTGAAATGAGTGAAATTCCCATGACATGAGCCCAAGTCCCAGTCGAGTTCACATTGTAAAAGTGTATTGTTTAAGAATGACCAATCCAAACTTTGGACAGTATGAGCCTGGATTTAGTTAGGGTGACCATATTAAGAATCCCCAAAAAGAGGACAAGACTAGGCAAGGGGGCCATCATGGAGTCTCATGAAGTAAATTTTAAGAGTTTTTCAGGTTGGCTGGAGTGTTTTTTTTACGTGCTTTTAACTCAGTAAACCCACACTACACAAACTCAAAACTTCCAAACAAAACCCCGGACATTTGAAGGATTTTATAAACTTCCCTGGACAAGGCCAGACAGGCCGGACAGCCCCCTAAAAAGAGGACATATCGGAGTAAAAGAAGACATATGGTCACCCTAATTTAGTGTTAGTCTTTTGGTTGTGTAGAAAACACATTTGATCTACTCCCAAGAGACCCAGCTGGAGATTTAAATAAGCATTAAAGCTACAGCTCTGTTTTATAAATGCTCTCCATGCCTCCTTCAATAGAGATAACACTCAGTGTTCCTGCTGCTGTGGGATCACTGCAGGTGTCTAATCAGCTCAAAAATACCACAACCCAGCTCATATTAATCAGAATTTCAACCAACTACACATCTACCACATGGTGGTTGAGTCACTTATGATGCTAGCAGTACTATTCACCTTCCAGCTGTTACTTACAACAGCCCAAGTAGGCTAACTTTCGCATCAGTCTTGTTTTTCAGCTGCTTCCTGGACAGATCGCTGTCAAAGTTAAAGTTTGTTCCCTTCTTCTTCTTGGTGTTTTTTTTCTTTCATACCACACACGTTGTACGGCTCTTCCCCACATTTTTACCATGAAATGGTGGAAAGCAAAATGCACAATTCATAATATCCCTTTCAGCAACCTGGAAAGAACTGGCAGGATCAATAAAAGCTGACTCTAACAATAAATAAATCCATCCACTGAGTCCTTTGAGTTGAGCTCAAGTTAAAGTATTAGAGTGGATTACTTCAACACCAACCTCGGTTTAACTGCATTGTCTGGTCCTCTCTTGCATTACACTGAGAAATACATTTTTAATAAATATCTGAAACTAACTTTTTCAGAATCAAGAAAATTCATTTTTTAATACATGTCAAAATGTGGACATATATTTTTGGTGTAATTTCTTTGAACAGTGTTTTTTTTCACAACCCTCCTTAAAGGTAATCCTTGATCACTTAGCCTGTACATTTCCAAAGATGATAGTCGACAGGATGGACTAAGGAAAAGTGTACATGTTTGCTTTCAAAGATTCATTAATAATCTTCTAATTTCCTCCTCCCAGAATTGGCGGCTCCATCCCGATAGTTTACACCTACTTCACTGAGTTCCTGCAGATGGATAAACGTGGAGAACATCTGAGCTGGCTCTGCATGTTCTGGATGCTGGGAGGACTGTACGCCTCCTTTACTGCCTGGGGGATCATCCCTCACTATGGTAACACACATACAGGATCACACTCACACATAAAATACACACAAATAATCAGACGTACTCTTTATAGTCACAGTGTGACGGTGAAGCTTTTATACTGATAGGAGACTTAAGAAGCTGAATCAAATAGTTGTTTATTTCAGTTTATTCATTTGTCTTTCTGTTTTCTGTGTTACTGTGTATTTCAGCTTGTTTTTACTAATTAAATATTAACAACTGGCACAGAAACAAGTTCAAATTTTTGCCACAATCAGGAATTTAAAGTGATTTAGGGATTCAGGGGTTTTGTTTGTTTACAAAACATTATTTGTCCAGGGATTGAACTGTGTTTGGATTTAATTTGATGCACTGATTTGGTCATCTGTATTTGAGTTCTTTAAATATTTACAGGCTCTTTTTTTCACTGCTTGGTTTCCCAGGTTGGGGCTTTGCCATCGGGACAGAGTTCCAGATCCACAGTTGGAGATTGTTTATGTTTGTGTGTCTCTTTCCTGCACTGGCTGCACTTATTGGACTCGTCTTCATGCCAGAGAGCCCTCGGTTCCTGCTGGAGGTAAGATCTGATTAGGAAAACTCTAAACTCTTCAAAACAAAAAAGACTTATTTTTCTGTGCTGCTTACACAGCACAAAATAAGTACAACAACAATGTTATTGTGATGTGTACACTCTTCAGTATGAAACACATCAAGCTGTGATTGGCTAAAATCTGTTGAGTCATCAGCCACCACTGCAACATCCCACTGCTGTGCAAAGGTAGCGAACGGTTGTTAAGGCCCCATCAGGACACCACCTCCCCTCTTTCTCATCCAGCACATTGTCAGACCTTTAACCGCATGTGGTATTGTATTTGTGTGTTACAGCAGAGCTGCTCCAGCTCACACACCCCCCAAATTATTACACATTACCCCGTCTGATAGAGGCGGACCACCTCATGGGAACATTGTTACTTAGCTGAGTCTGGGTGCTGTAAATGTGGGGACTATATGTGCCATGAACCCGGACCAAAATAGAAATGTTTCTGTGTGTGTTTTTCAGAACGCACGACATGATGAGGCATGGATGGTGTTGAGACAGGTTCATGACACCAACTGGAAGGCCAAAGGAGAGCCAGAGAGAGTGTTCACTGTAAGACCTTTTGAATTTCCCTCTGGGATTATCTATCTATCTATCTATCTATCTATCTATCTATCTATCTATCTATCTATCTATCTATCTATCTATCTATCTATCTATCTATCTATCTATCTATCCATCCATCCATCCATCCATCCATCCATCCATCCATCCATCCATCCATCTCACTAGACATTTGCATTTCTCATTTTGTCATTATACATAATTAAAATGTAGCTCTTCAGTCACAAAAAAGTAACCGTAACATAGTTTCTGTAAAGTCCTGCATTCATGTCTGAAGAAGGTTAATACATCCAAAGCAACAGCAGATGCCATAATGGAAACACTGGCTATAAAATCACTCTTGACTACTGAATAAACTAGCAGAGAGGTCATGATCTTGCAGCCCAGCAAACAACTACACTGTGCTCACTTGTTAGTCTAACCACCGTAACCATATCTGATAATATAAAACCTGTAGTCCTGATATTATCAGGAATAAACAAATGAGGAATAAAGACAGGAGCCGCTTTTAACCAGATCTGAAACAGGTTTTATTCTGCTGTCCTTTATTTCCTGTCTTACATTATTGGACAAACTGATTAATCCAGGTGTGTCTGAGCCGTCACAATGATCAATCACACCTAGATTAATCAGTTTAATCTGTCCAATAATGTAAGACAGGATAAAAATGAGCTGCCTTATGTTCAGGAAGTAGTGGAGCTGTGCATAAAGCCCATTGAGTCTCCTTGGCTTGTAGAGTCACCCTCATGTGGACACTAGAGGAACTGCAGTTTCCCCCCCACAATCCTCTACATTGGTGTTGTTTATCGCCTTGGAGGTTTCAGGCTGGTGTATCTTATCCTCAGCCTAATCTATGTCCTCCTGCATAAACAGCTGCAAATTTTTATTCTTCTATCAACAATAAAATTCTGCACATGTGCACATTACAGTAGACTTTTTTTAACAGGGCTAAGTAGAAAAAATCAAAGTCAATCAAATCCTATTAAAAGTAATTGATTTAAAATGTTTTATTTTGTTTGTTTCAACACAGTCATGATACATTTGGTCTAAACTCCTCTCATTTTGTGAAGGTGACAAACATTAAAACTCCACAAACCCAAGAGGACGAGTTCATAGAGATCCAGAGTGACACTGGAACCGCTTTCCAACGCTGGACCGTCAGACACATGACCATGCTGCAACAGGTCTGCACATCACTCCAATGCAGGAGTGCAAAATAACTTTGTTTTTGGATTACCTATGGTTGTGAAAAGTTTCCTTTAGTAACCTTTTCATGCTGGCACAATTTAATCTGTCTGTCTGTCTGTCTGTCCTCCTTTCAGGTGATGGCTAACGTCATGTCTCTGTCAGCTCCAGAGCTCAGACTGCAGGGCCTCTTCCTGGTTGTTGTCTGGTTCTGCATGGCATTCAGGTAGGGAAGAAACTATTTAGCTTGCAAAGGCATCCCGCTTGAATACACCTACATATCTCCTGGTGCATTTGCATTCGAATCATCTGATTTTAGAATATTTTAAACAGGGATATTTGACAACTTATCTGAGGCAGAGCTTATCTGTAAAGAGAGAGAGATTGTCACTGGTAAAGTTTAATAACATTTTCTACTTACACTTTTGATAGCAGATCATTTCTTAAAGTGCTCAGATTGTAAGTTTGTGTTTGTTTCAGCTACCATGGCCTGGGAGTGTGGTTCCCTGATATGATCAAATACATGCAGTATGAGGAGTACGAGTCCAAGGTCCGAGTGTTTCACAGAGAACGAGTCGAACGTTTCCATTTCAACTTCTCCTTGGTCAACCAGATCCACCGTGAGGGGGAGTATGTCCATGACAAGTATGTTTCAGTTTACATTACCAGGCATGTAAATGTACACGCGTTGGTCAAAGCTCTCAAGCATCACGTCTGCTTTTTATGTCTCATTTTAGGTTTGCAAACATCGAGATTAAGTCTGTGAAATTTGAGGATTCTCTGTTTGAAAACTGCTACTTTGAAGATATCCGGTCCACCAACACCTTCTTCGAGAACTGCACCATCAAGAACACCGTCTTCTACAACACAGGTATCGTGCAAAATTAATGATTTTATAAATAATTTTTAGCTCTGTCAGGTTTAGACATCAGTGAATATCATCAGGATTGACTCAGACTGTTTGTTTTGTTTCTTTTTACATCTACCTGTCCTCTCCAGACCTCTGGCAGGAAAAGTTCAAAGACTGTCGAATGGAGAACACCACCTTCCTCCACCCGAAGAAAGGCTGCCATCTGAACTTCCAGGAGGAGAATGATATCATAATCTACATGGTCAGCTTTCTGGGCAGTTTGGCTGTGTTGCCTGGAAACATCATCTCTGCATTGTTCATGGACAAGATAGGGAGAATCAAGATTATAGGTGAGATTATTACAAAGCTTAAGTAAAGTGGAAGGATATTTTTGGGTGTCTTTTTTTGACTGATGCGTTTATCATTTCTCCTCAAAGGTGGCTCCATGTTGGTGTCCTCGGCCTGTACTTTCTTGTTACTGCTGAGTTTCAGTCAAGGAGCTGTTATATGTTGGCAATGTCTCTTCTACGGTGCCAGCGTGGCGGCCTGGAACGGACTAGAGGTCATTTCTGTTGAACTCTATCCCTCTGCTAAAAGGTACAGTACACCCTAAATTCTTTGTCTTTCTCTTTATCCCTTCTCTGTCAGTTTTTGCAAACTCAACAAGTTTTCATGGATAGTTCTCTAATAACACACTCAGGGCTAGGAGCTTAAATGCTGTTGTTAATTTGCTGTGCTGTCCAGGTGGGTTGAATAAACAACAGGATAAAAACAGTGTCTGAGAGGAGATTTGGAGGTTTTTTAAGATATAACAACTGACTCAACAACTCAAAGCTGCTAGAAGATTATCCTTTTATAAATCCACTTCCTAAATCCACTTCCTAGCTAATAACTTAATAGTTTGATGTTATGACAGAGAAATATTTTAAACCTGAGAGAGAACATTAGTTTTTGTCTTTTTTTTGTCAGATTCACGACACTTATCCTCCTTGAAACCCTTAACACAGTCATATGACATAATAACAGCCAAAGTACTGAAGCGACTCAGTCTGAGCTTGATGCTTGACAAAAACATCCACGGTGTGAATATAGCTGATTAACAAATGGTTGAACCTTTCAATTAAGCAACAATACCCCAATATTAGCGTAGCAGTCAGAGAGCACAGAGGCCTTGGAAAGCTTATCCATATGTTGGGGGTGTGCCTGCCCAGAGGTGAGGCAGGTGATGTCTGTTTTGACCCCTGTGTTGTCTTTTGAGTCAAAAATGACCCCCACCATATTTTAAGGGATATTCCAGTGTAAATTTAAGTTTTGGTCAAACACACCGTAGTAGGTCTACCAAGTTGGACACCCCCTCAAGAGATGAATGTTGCAGACTGCTTGCTTCTCTAGTGATACCAACTTCAGCAACGACTGCACAAAAGGAATACACAGTGGTCTACCACATCACATGCAAACCTCAACCTCAACCAAAAAGCCACTCTATAGCCTCAAATAATGCTCAGAACAGCATCTAACTTCATCAACAGTACATTTAGGGTCCCAGCCATAGTTCTAGCCACCAAACATCTTTTTAACTTTGACTGGTTTCTTTAGCAGCGAAAATATATACACAACTCACCCACTCTCCTCCAGCAGCCGCTTGTTTGTGGGGGAGCTGTGACGAGTGCAGCGGAGTTTAGCAGCTTAAGGAAGAACATTTATGATTATTACCTCATGAAAATGCAATCAGAGTTCCTGTGTATCTTGTAAGTGCACTGCAGGCGTGGTAGTTCTTCTGCCTTAGCATCTCGGCCTGATTGCATTTCCATGAAGTAATAATCAAAAATGTTCTCTGTCAGCTGAAAGTCAGCTGCGCTCAGTGATCGACTCGTCAGGGCTCCCCCACAAACAAGCGGCTGCTGGAGGAGAGTGGGTGAGTTGTGTATATTCTCGCTGCTAAAGAAACCAGGCAAACTTAAAAAGATGTTTGGTAACTAGCACTATGGCTGGGACCCTATATGTACTGTTGATGAAGTTAAGTGCTGTTCTGAGCATCATTTGTGATTATAGAGTGGTGTTTTGGTTGAGGATTACGCATGAAGGCATAGACAGCTGTGTATTGCTATTGTGCGATCGTTGCTGAAGTTGGTATAACCAGAGAAGCAAGCGGTCGGCAACATTCATCTCTCGAGGGGGTGTCTAACTCAGTGTTCCGATGAGTTTGACCATAATTTAAATTTATGCCGGAATATGCCTTTAAGAGTGGATAAAACTGCCTTTGTTCCGATTTTTACTGTTTGGATTTTTATAAACTCCCCTGGAATGACCCAAACATTTGAAAAAAAAAAAAGTCTTTCTCCGTATTTCCATGTGAGCAGTTCATCAACAGGTTAGAACAGGTCATTTTAACCCTGCAGTCATTATAACGTCCAAACATCACAAAAAAAAAAAAAAAGCCTGCCTGAAAAATACTGTCTGTTTCTCTCACATACACATATTCACAGGCACACAGCGCAAATGACAGGTTGACGATGTGGGTGCTCCTCATTAAACTCAAACAAAAGTCAAACTACACAGAATAAAAGCACACGAGAGTACACCCAGTTCTGTCAAACAGTGTTGAATCTGAATTTTTCACATGTTCTTTTAGCACATGTGTGAGAGGATATCACCATGTTAAGAGAAATGTATGTTTAGTTTGTTTCCTGTGTAAAAAAAAAACAAATGTGGTTAGAAATGTTTCCTGCATGCCTTCTTCCTGTGGTAAAGAGGAGGGTTTTTTATTAGTAAAACTTAACACCTTTATTAATAACAGAACAACACTTGAAGCTCTTCCTCTGTAAATACAAGTATTCAAACTGGTGTGAAGTACTCAGAGGAGATGAGTTTATTCATCGAACATTTTCTTTCCTCCCCGCAAAGAGAGAAAAGCCAGATATCAACTAAAGCAGTGATAAATGACAAGTTCTTTGTTCATCTAATGAGTTTTAAGTTTCTATTCAGTCTGGCTTTTTTATTTTTGAGGTTTAGCCTAAGGGGTGTGAACAGAGTACAAGGACAACATCAGAGTTAGTTTTTACAACCATTTAGAGGAGAAAAAATGATATTGATAAAAAATTCTGTTTTTCTGTTTAAGCATTAATGACCAACACCAGGTGGGCTGGCTAACTACCTCATGACCTTAAGTGGTAATAAAACAGCACTTTTACAGCTAAGAAGAAAATTAATCTTGTTATATTAATTTTTGGGGTTGTGATTAAAGCCCTACTTAAAACCAAAACACGGATCATAATAGAGTGAAGGTGCTCTTAAAATGAAGGCTAGCACACGTGTTGGTTTTTCAGCCTTTTTTTTTCTCCAGTAATTCAAACTAAATTTATCAGCATGAATATAAATGATGTTGCAGAAGTAAAAAGGGTTTCAGCGTAATAACCCATACAATGTGATTACCAGCATGTTTCCACCATAGACTGTGTATAGAATGGACGCCGTCTGCCTCCTCGTTGGGTGAAGCCACCGCAAGAACAGCACCCTCTAGTGACAGGCTGCAGTATGGGTCATAAATCCTGCCTCCTCCAGCAATCCTTATGGAGCTGTGGACAAACTGTATATACTATATACAATCTATGGTTTTTACACTGTAACCAGTGGTTTGTAATTTCAACCATTAAAACGTTATAATTAACTTTTTAATACACAAGTCAGAGCTTATATGCTAGTAGGAGGTTTTTTTTGTTTAAAAGTTGCATCTGCTTGGTCAATATCCCATAACAATGGTCTAACTCTTAACAGCACACAGCTAGAATGAATATAAGTCCTTATCACAGACTATTATGACTCACAAACTGTAGTCATAATAACTCCACCTATAGAGGTCCAGCTCATTTGAGGTCCATTAGTTTATTGTAAGAAAAAAAAACTGCAGGGAGAAGGCAGGGGAGTTTTAAGGACAAAGAAACTCTAGGAACTTTATCTCTTATTCAAAACTGTGTGTAAGTTTTTATGAGATTTTTTCAGATCTAAGATTGCTTAAAGAAATTATAGTGTTCTGGCAGCATTCGTTCTCAACATCTGTCACTTTAAAGCACACATCTGCCTGTTAAATGCAGTGAATAAAGGCTGCTGTGTTCTTGAAGTAAAATGGTGCAGGACAGTTCTGCTGGAATATCAGAGAAAACAGATTGAACTTAGAGTCACGATAAGTCATCTGAAGCAGTGACACTCCACTTTTTCCCCTGCAAACTTTTTCATAACCTTTTTTTATTTTCTATGACTCTTATTCTTGACAGCTATCCAATCTTACCAACAAAGAAAGAGCTGTGTTGTCAGAGTATATTCAACTCACCAGTCATCCATATGAAGTTCTATATCTAATCTGTTTCTGCTTTTCTGACTCTGCAGAGGGACAGCGTTTGGTATCCTCAATGGGATCTGTAAGTTTGCCGCCATCATTGCCAGCTTCATCTTTGCAGCCTTCATCGGCGTCACTAAGATCATCCCCATCTTCCTGGCCTTCGCCGCCCTCGTCTGTGGGGGTCTGGTGGCTCTCAAGCTGCCTGAAACCCGGGAGAAAATCCTCTCTTGAAAAGCCAAACTCCTGCAGCCTCCAGGGCCCAAACACAGTACAGCTACGAGGAAATCTATCAGGGGGAAGTAAGAGCTGAAACTGAAATGGAAAGACACGTGAGGAAAGCCGTGCTGTGCTTAGCTGTGTGTAAGAGTCTGCCATGGTTATAAGATTAAAAATATTGAAAACCTGTCTGGTTGCCTACGTGAACCTGTGGTTGCTTTCTATTCCCTCTGTAAGCTCCTCAGGCTGCCCAGCATTTCTGTCACATCATATGAAACCTGTGTTTGTCTTTTCCTTTCTATCATTTACTGCCCATCCTTCTGTTTCACACACACACATACACACACAGCGTAGAAACTTTTGTTTTGTTTGAGGTTTGTGTACAAGAAAGATAATTATGAGATGAAAATGTGTCTGTATTTGAAGGTGTTGTAGTTCATGTGACCATGTTGTGCTATGAATTCATTCCCTGTTGGAAAATAAAGGAAAGAGAGCGGACTTTAAGTGATAACTTGGATTTTATTGGAATCCCGTTTTCACTGCCGGGGCTCGGCAGCAATATTACTGCTGGGGTTGTTATTCAGAAAACACCTCTTTCCATCATCCACTTTTTATTTATTCTGCACTGTCCTGTGGTTTATGTAGTCGATTTAGTCTAAATTGTCTTTCCCTATCGACACCAAAGCTGTTCTTGTCTGATCAAACCCGAGCAGTCGATCAGATCCTCCTCCCATCTGTCTTTCTGTCCACGCTGAGACGTCACGTCTGTTTTTCATTGTGTTCTGTAGATGCTGATAAAGTAGGATGAGAGTCACATCTTGCCATGACAAAGTGTAAGGAACTGTTATTGTTTAATTTGTGTGTCTTTTTTTATCTAAAAGAGAGGCTGACATAAAACTGTGAGATTAGTTGTTTTGATAAAATGCTCACTTTGATGAAAAACAGTTTTACAGAACCCGCTGCGTTTATCTGACGACGTGTGACAAGATTTACAAGGAGCATGTTACATTTATGGTTTGACTGATCTGTGTGTGTGTGTGTTTATGTGTGAGTGTGTGTGCGTGTGATTGTTATCCACTTGTCTGTGAATTTACTGACACACAGTAGTCTGACCACTTAACTTTATTTGTTGTTGTACATACTGTAGACCTGTGTATATTAGCTGTAAAATAGTAGCTCCATCATGACTTGAATAAAGCTGAGGACTTATGAGCCAGTTTCCTTGTTGATAAGGTGCAAAAGAAGGAAAATACTTGAGTTTCAAAACCACTGAGTAATCTCTGTTGAATCATATATCCCTCATACAGGAGCTCTAAAGGTCCTTACACACCAGGGCTGACGCGAAGATAGAAATTATGAAATATTTGGAGGTGAAATTTGACGCCCCTGACTATACACATCAAGCCCGATGTGATTTTGCGACTTTCCGGGGGGGAAAAGTCGCGTCCCGGGTGGAAGCGAGAAGGCTGACACAACAGCAGACTGACTGTTTTTCAGTTCTGATTAGGCACTAGTGTTGAGATGGCTGTCTGTCATGATAGCATGTACTGAGTCAGGGCCAGTACCAGATAAGCACATTAAACTATAATCCATAAACGTAAGGTAACAACCGAGACGTAACGGTGCTGTGACAGCAACGCGATTGAGTTTGAGACAGTGAAAATACAAATGGTATGTTGTATCTGAACAGGTTAGCTTACGAGCTAAAGTTACTTAGCACAGATGAAAGTTAAAACAAAGACGTTTAGCAAACTGTTAAAGCACACAAACCATGTTCTCAGACACGTAAACAATCAGCCGGTCAGCCATGTTGGATATACCGGTGAATCTGACATCGCAAGAACACGAAATCTGATTGGTCAGAAGTGGACAAACATTATGCAAAACTTTAAAAATCGACCATGATCCGAAAAAATAAATGCCGCAATATCACAGGACGGGAAAACTTCGCTGATGTGAACGCTTGTATTGACAGGATACAGTTTCGAAAAAAAAATATTGACAGAAATAATCGCATGACAAAAACGGTCCCGGTGTGAAAGGACCTTAACCCTCAAAGCAGGTGACCCAGGTTTGCATCAGGTCATGGGTCTCTTGCTGTGTGTACTCCTAATTGCACTGTTTTCTTTCCATCTACTTACAGATTTATGCCTACATCTGTAAGCATAAATCTGTATGCACAGGAGCAAATTGCAAAATTCCATGCACACACATAAGCAGAGTTTTAAGTCATGGAAAATAGAGGTTTTTGAAAGATTTTTGGAAACACTTCTATGTCGTCCTCCTGTGGACAGCAAAAACAAAAGTTTGGGCTAACACTTACATTGTAAAGGTTTATATGTGTTATGCATGCGCTAAGATAGCAGGATACTGACTTGTTGTACATTCTTCACCTTCTATCATCTCCTTCAACAAAATCGTATTTCCCTTTGGCGATAAGTAAAGTCTACTTAACATGATTTGTGTTGCAATAGTAGCCACACTCTGCCTTAAAGGCTCGTTAAATGTGTGTGTTTTGTCTTCCGTTTTGGCTGATGGAAGGGGTGTGATATCAGTTATACAGCTCCATCAGCCAGGCCGCTCCTGCCCATGCTCATAACACACTTTCAGATGAACTGTAAAGGACATTTTCATTGAGTTTGAAAGATATCAGGACAGAATGATCTTAAAAACTCCTCTTAATAAGCTTAAAAAAAACTATAATGTGAGAATGAGTTTACTGAAAATATTTGGCTAGAAGAGTCACAAATAAAGCAGTAAAGTGGAAAGAATCTCTCCATCTGATCACTTTGTCCACCCCATTGTTGCTCTGAAACTCTGAAACAAGCTTAGATGCTTTCTAGAAACATGTTACACACTCAGCAGTGGGTGGGAGGTGAATATATCTGCTCTCATGTCAGAAGCAGCTGTGTCTCGGGGGGTAAACTGAGGAGGGCTTGTGAAAACATGGCAGCACACAAGTGTGAGCAAGTGACAGCAGTGGGAGGATGTGTTTACTCTGTCTGAGGTGTGAAAGGCTCTCTGCTCATCTGTCCACCAGGTTTAACAGGATAGAGTGCAGAGAAACAGAAGACTTATAATTACCCCAGCATTAACACTGTACTATTACTTTAATATGATCCAGTTTATAAAGTTTTATAACATTAGACTGTGACACTAGATACATCTAAAACCGCTGCAGGGGGTCAAAACTACTTTATCTTTTCCCATGAAAATATCAGCCAGTGTATGTTTTAATATTTCTTTTGAGCAGTGTTTCTGAGGTCAGGTCAGTTTGTTAAGTTGTTGTCCTGAGTGTTAGCTTCTTTAAATGTCACTCTTTCACAATTAGAGGAAATTTACTGTCCACCTCTGGCTGACCCTCGGTTTGAGCGATGTTTCACACCTAGGGTGCAGAATTTATCCCCCTGACTTACCACCTTACACACACAAACACAACACACTTTTTTCAGGCTCCCACCACTCCTACCATTCTAAAACCGATTCATTTTGAAGTGATAATGCAGAGATATGTCTCTGTGTTTTATGAGAAAACCTGAATAAAATCTGGCGCAGGTTTTTATGTACAAACTTTTTTTTCACTCCCTCAGTGCAGCCAGCAAGGTTAACCTCTGATGTGTGTGCATATTCTTCACTCCTACACGACTTTACTTTGTGTTATAAGCAGGTGGGCATGCCCAGGTACACTTACTTTTAGAGTGTGATTAGAAAGAAAAGTCTGCCAATGGAGTATAAAAATAAATCACTTGTCAAATTTCTTGAAACAAGTTTAATGCTTCAATCCAAGACACATTTATTGTTATGACAAACACGCTTGTTTTGCGTGTTTGTCTCAAAGTGTTAATGTTAGTCATGTAGCTCATAAGCAATTCACCACTGAGTCGTGGGCAGAAACAGCGCTGCTCTGCACACTCCTCTTCACGCTAGCTTGCAGCCTAACATTGCCGGTGTAGTAGAAGAAGTAGGTAACATAGGAGCTATTCAGCTCTTGGACACTAATGTCTTTAGGGACATGATGAAAGATAATATCATTATTAGCTTTCTTATGAGCATTGCAATCAACTAACGTACACTCTTGTTCCGCAATCATCCTCTCTATTTCTCTGAGTCTGGCCTGCATAGAGGGGCTCTGGGGGTGGGGAGCTTGGAGTTGTGACATAAGAAATCTCACCGTATCTGATCCTGCCATTTGGGTCTGCCAGAGATTCACAGGGATTGGAATGCAGAAATACTCAGAAATGTAACTTCTCACTTATTTTTCTCATATGTCCTGTAGCATCAGAAAAATGCCATATGAAGTTGTGAAAAACAAGAAAAACATGATTTTCATCGGAGTGGGTCTTTAAAAGCTATGAAGGCTATACAGTAGCCAGCCAGTAGGGGGAGCTCGAAATCTTTTGGCTTTGTGGTAAGTGAATACTTAGGGCATCAATTTTGGTCTACAGTCTATAGGTCCTGGAGGTTAGCTGGATCTCTGTCCTCTATGTATGTGCTTGAAGTGTTTTTGGGCTGAATATTGAATACCTAGTTGCTCTTATTTGCTATTGTAATACATATGCACTTTAAACTACTTCAAGTGGTTAGAAAAATTAAAAAAAAAAATCTGCAAACGTTCAGTCCACTTGTCAGTTTTCTCAAATTTTACTATAAATATATTTACTACTATTCTTGCAGATAACCCTGTCATATTGCACCAATGAGAAAAGGCTTCAATCCAGACCAGTTATCCTGAAGACATTGTTCCCTCTGTTATGTTTAACATTTTTCCTTTGACCATCCAAAGTGAAGGCACACTCAGACTTTAACTTTCACTGGAGGAGATGCTGACACTGTTTTAGAGTTCATTAAGTCTTTAAATTTTCTCTCTGACTCTACAAACAAAGGCAAAGCTACCCTGGAGGATGCCAAATTATCTTCCTTTCCTTCCTTTCTTGATAAGCTCCCAAACTAGTCTGGAAATTTATAACCACAAGCCACACTGGGGCACTGAGAAAAGCTTGTTTTTCACTGTTCTTTTTAGGCTCCCAGAGGAAGACGCACAAAAGCACAAATAAAGACAACATTTAATTACAATTGTGTTGTGTTCCTCTGCTTTACTTTGTGTGAGCTTTAATTTTCTGTCTGATCTTTTTCTTTTGTTATTTCCCTGTAGTTATATCATTGACTTTGTGTTTGATCTGATTTTTTTCTCAGCAGAGGAGGTCGTGGTGGGGTTGATGGACACAGGAGGCTCAGACAGGTGGCAGGCAGCCCAGCCTCAGAGCCCACTGTGGGTGTGTGTGTCCACCCAGAGGTGCCAAACTCCCAGCGAGGCTCCCACAGCCTCACCTTGTTCAGGGAGGACTGACAGGGTCGCTGTGAGGGTTCAACCTCGGTTCACCCTGCCCTCAGCCTGACACTGCTCTCTTACATCAGTCCTATTATATCACACATCACTATTCAACCTACTGTTTCATTATTTAGGGCCCCTGGAGCTGCTTTTTAAATTAGTTTTAATGAGAATAATCCCACACCAAACAAAAAAAGACAGTTTTAAGTTAAATCTATTGTATGTGTGTTTATATTTGAGTTCAATAACCATCCATCAGACACGATAAAACCTTGGTGCAGAGCCAACTATAAAATAAGCTGAGGGAAATATGAACTCTCCACTGCGTAGGATAAATAAAGGTTTGATTTTGAGATCATTTAATAAACAAAATAAATAATACATGACAAATAAAAGAAGTGACAAAACTCCCATTGCTGAAAAACTGGGGCCGCATACAGGCAGGATGAATGGAGGAGAAAGAAAGTGAAAATAAGACAATATAACGCAATCTACTGACTCAGCATTCACCCAGGATGCCAGTTTTTTAAACAGGAACTGTTTTCTTAAACAGGAGTGTTAGAATCTTAACGCGGCTGTGAAAAAAAAAAAAAAAGATTGCAGCAGGTTACAAAACACTGAAATTGATATTGATAAATTTAGGGCAAAAGAAGCAAATAAAATCATCAGCATCAACTTCCAAATACATGCAGCATTAAAAGAAAATAGAAATGAGAGCTGAATTTCATTATTATTGATATATTGTAGGAATATCTATGTGTAGATAGACTGTATATACTATGGACAACTTGGCCATAGTATGAAGCCAGATTGCCCGGTAATTGGTGTTTCCGGGATTTTCTCCACTTCCTGTAACCACCACTTGGGCAGCAGCATTGCATGCATTCGGCATGAGAATCATTGTGATGACACTCAGCTCAAACAGTGTATCTCCTGGGTGATCTATGCAATCTTCATACACCCATAGGCTGTATCAAGTGTCAATTACAGAAAACATGAACCCCCTAATAACTTTTAAAAATGGAGCTGTACAGAAAAAAAGAGGACTTGAGCACAAACTAGTCTTATAGTAACTACATGTCAACATTTCAAATAGGGGGGAGAAAAAATCATATTCTGTGTAACAAATTTCTGAAGTTTGTCCACAACTCCAAAGGAATTGCTGGAGGAGGCAGGATTTATGACCTATACTACAGTCTATCACCAGAGGGTGCTGTTTTCGCAGTGGCTTCACCCAGCGAGGAGGCAGACGGCATCCATTCTATATACAGTCTATGGTTTGCACCTGGAAATGTTTTATATATTATTATGGAAAGAACTTGGTTGAAAATGAAAAGTTGGATATTTTACCACACACTGTCTTTGTATGTTTGGCCATCAAGTCCTCAAAGTTCAATGAAACATCATTCACACATTAGCCTTAATGTCAAATCTGTCCATATTTGTTTCGCTCATTTACTCAACAAACATCCAGTTGCAGAATTGTAGAGAGAAAATGTACGACTTTTTACTTTTTCTTCTCCAGTATCAACCATGAGTGCAAACTTTATTAACAGAGTTTAAGCAAACATTTTAACTTTGCTTTCTTTAGGGGAAAAACAATCCATACATCCATGCTCAAAACAACAGTATAAAGAAACAACCAGTCTTATTGCTGATAATCTCGTTTATGTAAGTCATGAAGAGGCATCATTATTAGAGTGACACTATTTCAGAGTTAGTTATAACGCCTCACAGCATCTTAAACATGTTCAGGACAAAATCAGCAAGGAGACAAGGAGTGCCAAAACCCACACAAACTTCAAGCCCTCTGCAGGAGTTATTTTTTATCCATTAAATATTTGAATTTTATTGAAATGTTTAATCACTTACTTATTTCCCTTTGCAAGTATAACTGTGAGGATAAACCATTTAAAACAAAATCCCCAAGAAATAGCACAAGGTCAGGGTGTAAACAGATGAAAAACATTCAGGGAAACTGTTTTACCAAAAACAAAACAAAGAAAAAAAAAAAAGAGAGAGAGACAGACCCCTAATTCAGTCCACTCATTATCAGAGCCTATTATTTTAAGAATTGTTTTTTAGAGGGTATATCTGAAGTAAATGTTGGGTATGTTATAAATCTGTTTTATTTGTGTGGCAAAAAAGACAACAAAGAAATCAAATTCAATTAGATTCGAAGAATGATATTAAAAAGGGGGGACAGGATGCTTGCTTGAAACAGTGAAAACTTTGTGTTAGATGCCAATTTAAGTCAATCAAAATTTATCAACATTTTTCTATTTATAAAATTTCATATGTTGTAATTTGATCAAAAAACAAACAGGATACCATTTATAATAGTATTTATAATAGAAAATGGCAACCTAGAGGAAATAGAAAGTTGGAGCCCTGACAGGCTTTTGGAGATGATTCCTAAAGCATCATAAACACCAACTCTGGAGATGACGTTTATGCCTCCTGATCAAAAACAAACTCTTCCTATATCGAGACCATGTGTTAATAAGACTGTTATGATTGTGGCTCTGGACTGATAGTGGGACTTTTTAGACAAAGATGAAAAAAGAGGGGGATCAGGGGGCAGAGAGAGGGACACAGAGAGTTCAGCAGAGACAGAGTTACCAGGTAGTCCTGGTTCTCACAGCTGAGGTGTGAAGTGACGCCTCCAGACTCATCAGTTCTCATCAGTGTGAAACCATCACACCTCTGTTTAAATCGGATAATACAGGTCATTATGCTTCATTAAGCCTATTAAGATTTACTACACTTACATTGTAGACATGTAGGATGTAGATGTTCCTACACAGAAGCAGGATCAGCAAGATCAGCAGAGTTTCCTTATTCACAGGATCAAAATGTAAAGACAGTAAAGGGTCTGAGAGTCACAGCTCAAGACTGCCTTAGACTATAAAATGATCACAATGGTGAGAAAAGGAGGGATATAAAGTGGAGAACACACAGATGTCAGGGTCAAGGTTGAGGTGAGGTGATGGGGAAGGAGTCGGCGAAGAGATAAAATTTAAAGACAGGAGGGAAGATTCATCTATCTCCATGATAAGAAATCTCCAGGACTCCCAACTCATTTGTCTACTGTGCCAGTGCCTGTCTTCGCTCATTTGCCCCAGTTTTTGTTCTATAGGAGTGTCTCCAATGGACCAAGAACTGAGCAGAAACATCGAAAAATATTCTCACAATGAACCCTAAACTCCAAACTTACACTTTCAGACCAGTGGCTGAACTGACACACAGATAAACTCCATCAGGTGGTCATCACATCTCCACCTTTAAACTATTTGATCGTCCAAACATCCATCATTATATTTAAAGTTAAGGACTAATTTAATCTAAATAAATCCAGAATTATTAAAATCTCTGAGTTGAAAGCTGTCAGAGAAAACCTTTCCAGAGGTAGACATGATGCATATTTGTGTTTAGATTTATAATTTCCATCTTTGTTTTAAGCACATGTCTAATTTATGGGGTATGAATATATAAATAACAGTAAAACCAGAGTGAAATTCCCGGTATGTGCACGAAAAGAAGATTCAGATTTTGGTACTTCAGGATACAGATGTTTGCATTTCAGCATTTGAATTTGCAAATATAAATTAGGAATATGGACAAACTTCCATCTCTAAGCATTGCTTTCGAAAACCACTGTGTATTTGGTTTTAAATGGTATTTTATATGGTTTTAACGCGGTACAATTCTTTAAATCCGAGGTTTATGGCTAAGTTTTGGTGATTACTTTTGAGTAATCATATTTTGAATACCATACTTAAATTTCCACTAATTGGCATTACAAAATACTGTATTTTAGCCATCATGACTGCAATAGGGCCGACTCTACCATCATGACTCTGTGTCATTGCGATGTGCTCACTGGTGTACGGTGACCCCTGGTTAATGCTACAGTGCTTTACAGGAGTTCCACTCATGTTTATGTTTCATGAAGGTCCTGTATATGTTAAACTACTGTTCCACATGACAGTAAGACATGTACGTGGTCACACTGTGCTAACCTAAGGACGTCCTTTTCCCATCACATTTACTGGCTCTCAGTTAGTTGGCTTTCACTGAACAATCAATGAGCTCTATGCACAGATCCACTACTTCTTGCTGCTCCTTTATTTCCTGTCTTACATTATTGGACAAACTGATTAATCCAGTTGTGTCTGACTAGTCACAATGATCAGTCACACTTGGATAAATCAGTTTGTCCAATAATGTAAGACAGGAAATTAAGGAGCAGCAGGAAGTAGTGGATCTGTGCATAGAGCCCATTAATTCTTTGTCTTCTTGGATTTATGTCACACTCTGAAATAATACTCTACTAGCTTTTGAGATGTGAATTCTTGCTGTCATCAGTTTGATTAGCTGCTCATATGTGGTAGCCTAGACTCTAATTACTTTGGAGATATTTCAGAGTGGTTCTGTTTGACACGAAATGCACATTGCTTTTGACTTGTCAACTGAGCTGTATGTGAGGTAGAATGTGCCATTCAAAAGTACAATAGTGCAGATATTTTCCATCATGGAAACAGCAGAATGCAGGCCTAACCAGTGTGCCAAAAGAGGCAACAGTATACGTGATTGACGTGTTAACACTGACAGCCTGCGTCAATTTAATATGAAACACAGAGTCAAAATTAGTAAGTATGTTTACACATATCTGGTTAATAAAGCAGACTTAGATATTTTTGGATTTAGTTATCAACCCTTGGAAAATGTCTGATATTTGGTGGAGAAACTGTTTACACACTCTTCTTTTCTTCATTTTGAATACTTATACTCATTGCAAAAGGTTTGATTTTAATTATCTATAGATCGTTTAAAACACATCTGAGTAAAGTGACATTTAATTTGCATACAAGTTGAAAATTGTTTTAAAGTCCATATTAAAGTGTGTTGAATTGGTTTGGACTGTGTGCCTTTCCTATTGTATTTCTCAGACTTTGGCTTTAATGTTAATAGTTTTATGTGTGTGTGTATGTATATATTTATAAAGCAGCCCTTGATTTACATGCACTGCCTTATTAGAGTGTCACGTTTCTCCAAATTTTTGAAAAAAGTGTACCTATGTTGATCTTTCTTATAGTCATAAGAAAAGCAGCGATTTAAAACCTTTTAAAGGGACTCTTAGATATCATTGTCTACCTTATCTGTCTTTTTAAAATTGTACAAAGGACTGCAGTGATTTATTCCTTTGACCAGGTCCTTTGGCTTGAGTGTTAAAAAGTGAATGCGGGAGAAATCCCTGAAAAACAAACCTCATCTCTTCAACATGTGCAGAATACATCTGAGTTTCTACAGGAACAAAAACCCCAAAAGCAGAAAAACAGTTTATTGTTTTGAGCAGGAGTCAAAATTCACACTTCCAGTCCTGTAGCTGAACTTTCCCAGACAGAGAGGAGAAGCAGAGGTAAAGAGACAGGGTCCCAGGGAAGGAGGGAGGGAGAGAGATAGAGAGAGAGTGTGTGTGTGTGTGTGTGTGTTCAGGGGCCTCAGTGATGGTTTGTGAGAATCTGCAGAGGTGTCACTTCACACCTCTGCGGCCTGCCCTGGACTTATAAACCAGAGCAGCAGAGCAGAGCAGCACTCACAGCCTTTCAGTCCTTCCAGTCAGACCACTGAGACCCTCTTCGTCCTCACAACATGGATACCTCCTCGGTCCCCCTGCTCGACTACAGCCTACAGTACCAGTGGTGTTCGGACTCGGACCTCTCCAGCATCTCCTCCCCGGAGACCCTGTCCCCTGTCCCTTCCATGGATTCCAGCCTGTCCCCTTCGTACCAGCAGCTGCCTCGGTCGACTCCAAAGCCAACCAAGACTGGATACTCCCAGACCCTCAAATCTTCACCATGCTCTTTTTCCGGGAGAGGCCGGAAATCAGGTCGAGCCCCCCGGATCCGGAGTAAGCAGAGGGAGAGCGCCAGTGAGAAGGAGAAGCTGAGGATGAGGGATCTGACTAAAGCTCTGCATCACCTCAGATCCTACCTCCCACCTTCTGTGGCCCCTGCAGGACAAACCCTAACCAAGATTGAGACCCTCCGCCTCACCATCCGCTACATCTCCTACCTGTCAGCCCAGTTGGGACTCAGTGAGGAGGTGCTGTTTCAAAGAAGGGAGCAAGGAGACACCTCGGCCAGTGACACCTCCTCACCTGACATCCTCAGCTACTTCCAGCACAGCTCCATGGGAGGACAGGAGGCCCAGAGTCTGAACCTGCAGAACCAGAATCTAAACCAGGGCCTGTACACACAACAGTGTCACAACCAGAACACCCTGCTGCATTCTGGGAGTTGTGGTTTTGGAGCAGATCATTATATTGGAGCTTCTCAGAGGGAGATGAGCATGGAATCATTCCTGCAGACCCCTCCAGAGACACAGCCCGGCTGTCAGGTACGTCAATATTCACTCGTTTTCATTATTCATGCAGATATCACACATTTTTATCTTTTCAAAATAAAAGTACTAAAAACCAATCTCATATATATCCTGTTGTTGTTTTTTTTTACAGATGTGTGGCAAAGACTTCTGCATGCCGCTGGTTTCCAGAGAGTACTGGGGTTAAACACTGAACCATCATCATCCAACAACAGACACAAACTACTTCTCTGTTCGTACTGCCTCACTGTGAAACGACTAATTTATTTGAAATATATATGAAATTCTTTTCTACATTTTATTTATTTTGTCCTGTGAAATGTTCCCTGTAAATACTGATATGTCGAACAGCTATTTTTATATATCTTTATACCACTATTTATAATAAAACATAGAAAATGTCCAAAGTTGTTCTTCCCTGTTTCTGTGTCCTTGTTCAGTTATGACTTGCATTTTTAAGTGAAACTAAAGAATGATTTTTAAAAATGGTGTTTTATGCTTGAAGCTCTGAATCTGAAGGTTGTAAGATGTACTCTACAAGAAATGCAGAGTGAAGCTTAAACACCTGCAGCACCCTCTGCTGGTCTTTCAAAGACACTGACATACCTATTATTTGTTCTTGCTTCAGAAATTTGAATTAGAAGTATCATTAGTATGTTTTTATACACATTAATTATAGTTATGCAGTCTGATCTAATCAGGTTTTTCATTCCAAATTCATACCGATTGTGTTTCCTTAAATGTTCATACAAAAGTGCTGCTTTCCACTAAAGACTCAGCTAGAAGAGTTTGTTTTTTTTTATTTTGTATTTTTTGGCATGGCAGACACTTTGAGATATTCTGTAGCAGGTCAAATTCTTAACTACTAAAAAAATACCAAGACACCAAAACTGACACTTTTAACCTGAAATCACAACTCTTTCCTTGTCACCTTACCCCCAAGATTATGATACAATGACAAGTCTGATGTCAACAGACCCCTTAATTTTGTTCAAACCATCTTCATAGTCAATTTTGACAAAAACGGACCGAACAAGAAGTCCAGTGTTAAAAAGAAATTTGTTAAAACTCAAAGAATACTTTTCATTTTAGATGTTTTTTATGATACATTCATAAATTTGAACAAACATCTTCTTGGGTTTTAATGTTCTCTGAAAGATAACAAAACCTTTGAAATGCAGCAGTCCTCCCCTGTCTATGTCCATACACAAGTACCACTCGGTCACCATGACAACAGACAATGCAATACTTTAAATGTCACAGTCAAAACTATCTCAGTAAAGGTAAATGCTTTTTCCTTTTCTAGACAGAGATTTATGTAACAGAACATGAGGACAAATAACTTAATCTCCTCTGTAGTCCTAGTTTCAATGTTTGGTGGCTTTTTTAAAGATTGGTACAAGGAAATATAATTTAGAGGAGAGAGAAAGTGAGTTCACAAGAGTATTCATATCAGGGAGTCTGAGAACTACCTCATCTTAAAAGAAACCTTTAAAAACATTTTTTTGTTCAAGGCCTTTGGGTTGATTTTTCATTTCAAGTGCTGATGAAAAGTTTTTTTTTTTTTGTTTTTTTTTAATATAACTATTGTGTCCAATGTTATGACATGTCCTGTGAAGTGTCCTGTTACTGTAAAATGAGCTTTGTGTTTTTGTGCACACCTACCTTCAGAGTACAGGTGGTAATTGTGGTGTCACATAAATTTACTTCTTACAACTCACAGCTGCTGTAGCTGATACATTTTTGCAGCACCCCAATGCCAAGACCTCATTTGTAAACCTGTCAGGGGAAAAAAAATTCTTGTACTTTCTTTGGAAGGTATTAAAATTTATCACATTTTAGCAATTCATAAAAACATTCAAGCTTTCCATCAGTTACATGACAACCATCTGATTAGATGATGTCTCCACTGTGAAGAATTCAGATATTCTGGTTTAAACATCTCATTATGCTTAAAATGAGCTACCCTGACCTGACAAGTGCAAATTTGAATCTTGTTTCAAGTCATCTCAAGCCTAAATTTTCATGATGAGCTCTTTAAAATAACAATTTGTGTTGCTTAACTAATAAGAAAATGCCGCTTGTTGTATTGGCTTTAAAATCAATCATGTGCTTAAACTTGGCTCTTAATTACAAGCCTCAGTGCACAGTGAGCAAAAATTATCTACCAAGTGCGAAACTGACAAAAAATGCTGCAAAGTACCCAGAACAATGTGGTAAGTGAGTGCAGGTCTATGCCTTATGCAAATCTACCTCGACAGGTCTTATTATCTGATACTAGAAAATGTGCCAGTGCTTTGCTTCCTGAAAGGCACACTAATGCCAACACCAGTCCTCTCTGTCTGCACCTCCATCCAAATGCACGCCACGTCTCAGAGCTGGCACATTACCACAATAGAGCACACCTGTAGGACCCGCCTTCATTTTTCAGCAGCACATTACCCTCTGTACCCCATTTTCTTTAAAGTGCACCGCAGTTTGATACATATAATCTGTTTGATGTCACATTATGTTGGGAGTAAAACATTAGCAGCCACTGAGACATGAGTCTCTGCAGAAATATTACGGTAATTACCTCCCTCTATGCAGCCTGTGAGGATGTGAGGTTTTGCTCCTCAGCAGAGCGGAGATCAGCCTCTACCACAGGTTATCTACTTTATTTAGTGTATCTCTGTTAATGAGGCTCTGCAAACACACAAAGGTCCTTGGCACCGCTAAGTCTAGACTAAGATGTAAGACCCCCCTCTCCTCTTCTCCCCGCTCTCTCACCTACAGGCCTAATTACCTGCCTGAGTCCACAGAGAGGCCTTTAATATTCATAGAGCAGAGAGGAGGCTGGGGAATTAGCCCTCGGTGTTTAGTTTGTCACATACATGCAGGTCATTTGATATGCACAGAGCCTGATACGCTCACTCAGGTCTTTCATCACAGAAGAGCTAATAAACTCCTAAAGCTGAGGGGCTTTAAGATGAAAGGGTTAACACTGCTGTGCTGATTATTCCCTCATTACGTGTGAGTAAACACAGTCAGAGCTAATGTGGATTAAGAGAGGGCAGAACCTCTCTGTCATGAAAATGAGAGGGAAGGAAGAAGGCTGACAGCTCAGGAAATTAAGCTGAGACCTAAAATAATAATAATAGGAGAACTGTTACCACCGGGAACAAAAACAACACACATTTACCTAAGATTACAGATATCCCCAAAAAGTGTTTAAAAGTTATGCAGAAATACAAATACTTTCTCATTTTAAAGTATAAAACTGAGAAGACATCACCTGTAAAAGCTGCAAAAGGTTACAACCAGTGGATAAAAATCTCAAATTCATAATAATGATTGCCATCAGGCATTTTTATATGAGAGTTGTTATATTTTAGATGAAAGGAACTTCACTTTTTGAGTGCTTGTCTTAAAACGGTAACCTGTAAATGACAGGCCAGGCTAGTGAGAGGGAGATACCACTTACCTTTATCAAAATAAAGCTGCAGTAAGGAACTTTAAGTCTGTGTTGATTTTCAAGCTCCTTTTGGGTGAAGATGTACATCTTACCTCTTATCTTGTCCTGTAAAAAAGTCCGCCTGCTGTCTTAAGTCTGTCAACGTAAATATGAAAATGCAAAGAAAAGCAGTTTATCTAGCGTACAGTCTGATTACTCCACTTTCACAGCAGTTTCAAGCACTGAAAAAAGACAGTGTCAGCACTGTCAGTCTTGTTGCTGGTTCTATTATTTGTTTGTTTCTGAGGCCATAAAAAGGCATCAGTATTAATCACAACCTGGTCCAAAATCAGTAAAGATGTTCCAACAGAGGCTTGATCAATCAACTTTGAAGTCACCGTTGATACTTGTACATGCGCCGTTTTAAGTCAAGCTACACTGACATTAATTAGGCCATGGACAACCGTCCTTGTCCCAGTATAAAAGCACTGAGCCAAGAGATTCATTGACAAATGTATGTTCATCTTTACTATGGAAAGTGGCAGTCAATAGATTGTCAATAAGTTTGCCTGTGAAGCATCATTTCTCTAATACTCAGACTTGTTACGAGCAGTAGCAAGATAAAATGTATAGATCAAGATAAAGTTTTTGAACGCAGCTTGAAAAAGGTTTCAACAGGATTCAAGAGGACTATGAAAAGTTTAGTTTTTACTCCTGTTGGTTCATGTAATATTGTGACCTGTGGGTGGTCAAAGGTCACTGAAGAATCAACTCCTCTAGTCAGCTGTCAGGTCTGGTGTCACCTCACACACTTCTCCACTGAACACAAAGTAAAAAAGACTCAACCTGCTTCAGTGAAATAAGAATTCATGTCATTAAGAGTGAGTCTGAATATCGTGCAGAGGTTCTCGTCCTCACGGTAGAAACTTTTTCTTCATTCAGAGGTATGTTTTTGTTGCATCAGTAATGTGGAGGAGAGCTGTGTGAGAGTGCTTCACACGTCTCACTCAGAGGTTTCACCTCCGCTGCAGAGCAGGAGTCAAATGTGACGCGCTGGATTGTGGGAACATTGAGTGAGACTCAGGTCCACAGTCCACACCTAAGACTGTGATCACCAGAAATATCAGAGAAGATCTCATGGCCAGTTTGTATCTGACAAATAGATATGATAAAGAACATTTCTTAAATCATTAGGTAAAAGATCAGACAACACATCTGGACTTCACCTTTCAAAAAGAAGATATGAATCAGAAATAATTCAATGCTCCAAAAAATCTTAGATGTAAACAAGTTTGGGTACCGAGGGAGCCAAGATGATTGTATCAAGACTTTTCTCTTTCTTGGACTGACAATCTTGACATTAAGAATTTACTTTCTGTACATAGAATTAGAAATTTTGTTTGTGCCTTTGGTCTCTAAAACATAGTGGAGTTAGCATTATTATTCCTGTCTCGGTCCCTTCTGGGTTTGAAATGTCCAGGCGCGGATAGTTGGGCCTGTACTCGTATGTTTTTGTGTTGGACTTGATTAAAACTTGAATTTCAGGATCCTTTCTTGGAAACAAAAATGTGCCATTAGTTTTTGTTTTTACCCATTATCTCTCAATGATCAGGGTTCCCAGGCTTGTGAGGCCGACTGCTGTCCAAACAGGAGGAGGTGTAAACTCCTCACACCTCCCAGCTGCTCTGGCACACTTCTTCAGCCTGAACTTGTGCAGGATACTAAGGCAAGAAGAAAGAAGATGCACAACTGACTATTAACATACTGTTTTGTTTTGGTTTTTTTTTTGTGGGATGAACTAACTTTAAATGCTGAATATTAAAAATGACTTAGCATCCATGTGACTCTAAAGCCTCAAAGTTCAACAGCTCATCCTTTAATCACTCAACAATTCAGAAAAAAAAGCAGAAACAGTCATTGATATCTTTTAGCTTCAGATCAGATCCAAAAAAGGAAGAAAGAAAGAAAAACCTTTTAGAGAATCTTAACAGAAAATTTTACAGTCATCAACTTCTGACCCAGGTTCAACCTCTGTTATGTCAGGGTCGCGTTCCCGAGCTGCCCAAGTTCATCGTGTGAATTTCTTTCACTTTAAGATGTCCGTGCGAGCTCCCGGGTCACACCTTGTCCCTGAGCCGGCCGGTTTCCCATGAGACCCCCTGTCCGAGGTGTCAGCCCTGCTCCCAGAGCCTCTCAGGACCAGAGGTGGCTGCTGGAGGTGCAACCTCACACCTCCCACCACATATATGGAGCAGCCTCCCTGGTCCTCCTCACTATCCTCTTCCTGCTTCACCAGAGACACACTGACAGCTCACTGCTCCGACTTCAACCACAGCCATGGAGGTTTCTCACTGCTCTCCTCTGCAGCTCCAGGAAAACTCTTTCCTCTTTGACTGCGAGTCTTTGCTGGACAAGTGTTACGATCCTCTGGCCTTCGATCCAGCCTCTGACCCGGGTTACTTCAGCGCTGGGAGCAGCCTGTCTCCCACTTCTTCTGTGGACTCCTTCTGCTTCTCCCCCAACTCCATCCAGGCTGCCAGAAACGAACAAGATGCTTTGGATTGTTTCATCTTCAACAGCCCTGCAGTCCCTTGTCTCCCTCTCAAGACAGAGTCCTGCTCTGGGTCATCCAAAACCACATCAACCCAAAAGAAATCCAGATCAAGATACCCTGGGAAGAAGAGGCAGACCGCCAGTGAAAGGGAGAAGCTGAGGATGAGGGATCTAACCAAGGCCATGCATCACCTCAGGACCTACCTGCCAGCTTCAGTGGCACCAGCAGGTCAGACCCTGACAAAGATCGAGACTCTGCGCCTCACCATCCGTTACATCTCCTACCTGTCGGCTCAGCTGGGCCTCAGCGAGGAAGTGCTGGAGCAGAGGAGATCCTCAGGTTTCGTGGAGCAGCCACAGACCCTGAACCAGTTCCTGAGTCAGCCCACAGCCGACTACAGAGCACAGGAGCCAGAGTGTAGCAGCAGTGTGGGCACAGCACAGATGTCCTGTCTGCAGACTTCATATCAGGTATGTTCAAATCCACTGAAGACGCGAGGACTGTATCTCGTAACATATTGATTCATGACAGTCTGTTGAAGTCTGGATGGGTTTCTAACCAATCTTTGTTTTCTCTTGTCAGGTTTCTGATCGGGTTTGCTTCACCGCTGATCAGTATTGGATGCAACAACAGCTGCAGCACAACACCACCTTTTCTGGACACTGCTGAGAGACACTGATCAGATCGATGCGATCAAAATATTTTCATTGCACCAATGACCAATTACAATATTTATGGACAAAAGCTCTGAATTTGTTATTATGAATAAGAAGTATTTCTGTCCTATGCTTGATTTTTGTACATAAAAATGTGTATTTATTAAGTTTTCACGATGTGAACAGAATAAATGTTATTTATGAAAAAATAATACTTGACTTTCTCCTGTTTATTTCTTTGGGTTTTGCTTTTGGAAATCTGATAAATTTGAGGAACTTCAAGTGTAGGTATAACTGGCCTCCACTTCCTTATACAAACTGCAGCTGTCAGCAGGACGATGAGGTGCTAAACAGGGAGCACATCCCCTCTAAAGTCTTTAAGGATAGACCCCCACTGAGAGCAGTGACAGCTGAGCCAGGACTTGTTAACTGGCACCTCCACACTCCTGTATAAACATGCTGAGAGTTTAGAAACCTTGTGATGAGTAACTGGGCCTAGACTGAGTGCAGAAACTCATTGGTAGATGTTTCCATTATTTGCTCAGCTCTAAATCTGGGTAAAGACAGTCTCTGTATTGTGTTTCTGGCTTGCCCGCTTTGTGAATTTCTGTTTTAAGCTGTCACTATTTTAAAAATATCTTCTCTGATGTTTCCCAGACCCTGCAGCAGCTCTTCTTACAATGACTGACAATTATTTTCAGTCTTGCATTTTGCATTCACACAGTTTTTGTATTCACTCAAGCGCCTGCAGTCTCAATGTCAAAATATTAATAAAAAAACCCAAATGGTCTCTCTCTATTTAGAGATTTCTTTTTATAAATAGAAGAGACAATGAACACCTTGAAGGTGGATGTATAAAGTCTTCCATTCAATATGACACAGACTAGTGTCTACAATATCTGCAGAAGACATGGGTATGTTCTTTAATCTTTCAAAACAATTTAATTAGGTTTACCCTGTGAGTATCAGGTTGCTATTCTCAGGTGTACAATCCCCCCTCATTTGTCTTCAGATTTAATAAGGTGCCTCAAACACCCCCCAGGGATTTTAATCGATATTAACATGAAAGCATCACACAGTGACTGCAGATTTATTGGCTGCACATCTGCTATTTCACCACACTGTGAAGGTGCTCTTCTGGACAAGATCTGGTGATAATTCATCATAACTGAAAGCATTTTTACCATTGACTGTATATAGAATGGATGCCGTCTGCCTCCCCACTGGGTGAAGCCACCCTGAGAACAGCACCCTTTGGTGACAGGTTGCAGAATAGGTCATAAATCCCGCCTCCTCCAGCAATCCCAACAGAGCTGTGGACAAACTTTAGAAATGTATTACACAGACTGCGAAGCTCACCTGAGTACCATCACTACAACTCTCTGCAACTCTCCTGCCGAAGGCGTACAACGCTACTGTGCAATGTTGGTTTCAGGAAATGGAGAAAAAATGCAGAATTACCAAGAGCCTTTTGGCTTCAAATCAGTGTACTTGCAGAAGGCGGAACCAAATTTTCCATAGTATATACAGTCCATGATTTTTACTGGTCTTGTCTTGGTCTCAGACTGGGCAGGCTCCGGATTTTCATTTTCAGATTGGTCAAAACCCCCACAGATTGTCTATTTGTCCATGACACAACTAGCTTAGCTGATTTATACAAAGTCAAATTAGATCAACAAAACGGGAAATGCTCGAGATTACTGATGTAGAAACTCTTTGGAGATGTAAAAGTAAACTTTAAAAAAAAGTTAAAAAAAGATCAATCTTTTACATTGTTCAATTTTGTTTTGGTTTTTCATCTATTTACATCAGGGGTCTCCAACTCAGACTGGCTTAGGATCCATCAATACTGCCTTCTTTAAGGAGGGTCACTTTAAATTTCAAGTAGCCCAAGAAAGCACCATGTTTTTGAGAAAGTACTTTTTGTTTCCTGTTGTATTTTTTGTCATACTTAAACAAAAATGCAAGCATCAATAAATTAACATTATTTGTTGATTTTCGCTGCAAAGACAGCTCTTTTAGTGTTTCTCATTTTGTAAAACATAGACCTTTCTCAAGTGGTGTTTCCACCAAATCCACTCCTGAGTCCAAACCGTCTCTTCTCTTTTGTTTGGAGAGAGACATGGCCACTAACCAAACTATGCTGTCTCAAAATCTTTGAGAACCTGTCTAGTCCAGCTGTTAACTTAAGTCTATGTGCTCTATTTTGGTGCCTCGCCGGAGACTTGCCGCAAGCGCAGCGTCAATCAGATCCGCCGTGCTGACAAGGCGTTCCCAAGCACATTTTGGTATTTTGGTGAGCCGCGCAGCCCGGCGTAAGTACCCCCCCTCCCTAACTCGGCTCCTCCCGGCAGCATAAATCATAGACGGGGAGGAGAGAGGGCGTATACTGTATTTAACACAGCCGAGACCTGTTTTCACCAATCACATAAGCTCCTCTCCTTGCCTTTAAATCCGCCACCGGCGAGGCGTTATACTATTTTCATGAAGTAGTCAAAGAGATCAAGAGATGTCTGAAGACAGTTATGCCACACGATGGCGACAGAGGGCAGCTGCTCAACAAGTGTCCTCCACACTCTCTCATCTGAGCACAGATGGATTTGGTGTGCGTAATGTTGGACCCACTGGTAAGACAAACACCCTTTTCCACAAATAAAGACACTCACATAAAGTTGCATATATTTAAACCACACATGACAAAGGTGGGTTTAGCGCACAGATCACAACATAAACTCCAAAAATGGCATTAAAATCGGAACCATCTGTGCGTAAATGACGCATCGCGCTCCGTGGCCTGGCTCTTTCTTTCATAGATGTTGGCATATAAAATAAATTTGGCCCACAAAACTGAATCTTATAATATCCGTGTGTCGGCTTAAAGTAGATAACGCATCTGAGCACTGAAACAAATCATCTGTTCAGCTGCAGCAGCAGCAAGACGGACAGAGGACACGGAGACGTGTCCAGGTCGAGCTGTGCGAGAAATAAGAGGAAGAAAGAAAAGGAGGGAGACACATTACATATCTTGTTAACTTCATCATGTGTGTTTATTTACTAGATATTTAATTTAATTTGATGCAGTTTCAGCTGTATTGATTCGGTCAGGTTGTGTGCCCAAACGCGTGCCAAACGCGTGCCAAACGCGCTCATCAGATCAGATATAGATCAGAATATATCTATATAGATCTAAATGTATGTGCTGACTCAGATTAATAGTTGATGATGATTATTTAATGCACTGAAATGTGCCTGACACTGTGGAAACCTGCCGGTGAGGCATCAGTGACGTATGTCGATACGCCGCCGGTCTACCAAAATACTACCAGACCAGCTGCGTTCCGCCTTGCGCTGAAAGCTGACCAGGTTTGAATCGGCGAGCTTTCAGCGCACTTTACACGCCGTTGGCGAGCACGAAAATGTCACTGCGCCTGCTGATTCTGTCGACACCTCCCCCTGCCACACCACCACGCCCAGCTTGGCGGATCTCGGCTCGCCTCCGTGCGGCTCATGCCACGAAAATACCAAATTGGCCTTACGCTGGGCTCCGCCAGACGAAAATACAACTGCGCGGGGCTCGCCGCCCTCCGCCGCCTCACCGGCGCGCACGAAAATAGAGCCCTATGGGCTCTATTTTGGTGCCTCGCCGAAGACGTGCCGCAAGCGCAGCGTCAATCAGATCCGCCGCGCTGACAAGGCGTTCCCAAGCACATTTTGGTATTTTGGTGAGCCGCGCAGCCCGGCGTAAGTATCCCCCCTCCCTAACTCAGCTCCTCCCGGCAGCATAAGTCATAGACGGGCGTGAAGTGGGTTTAACACAGCCGAGACCTGTTTTCACCAATCACATAAGCTCCTCTCCTTGCCTTTAAATCCGCCACCGGCGAGGCGTTATACTATTTTCATGAAGTAGTCAAAGAGATCGAGAGATGTCTGAAGACAGTTATGCCACATGATGGCGACAGAGGGCAGCTCCTCAACAAGTGTCCTCCACACTCTCTCATCTGAGCACAGATGGATTTGGTGTGCGTAATGTTGGACCCACTGGTAAGACAAACACCCTTTTCCACAACAAAGACACTCACATAAAGTTGCATATATTCAAACCTCACGTGACAAAGGTTGGTTTAACGCACAGATCACAACATAAACTCAAAAAATGGCATTAAAATCGGAACCATCTGTGCGTAAATGACGCATCGCGCTCCGTGGCCTGGCTCTTTCTTTCATAGATGTTGGCATATAAAATAAATTTGGCCCACAAAACTGAATATTATAATATCCGTATGTCGGCTTAAAGTAGATCACGCATCTGAGCACTGAAACAAATCATCTGTTCAGCCGCAGCAGCTGCAGCAAGACGGACAGAGGACACGGAGACGTGTCCAGGTCGAGCTGTGCGAGAAATAAGAGGAAGAAAGAAAAGGAGGGAGACACATTACATATCTTGTTAACTTCATCATGTGTGTTTATTTACTAGATATTTAATTTAATTTGATGCAGTTTCAGCTGTATTGATTCGGTCAGGTTGTGTGCCCAAACGCGTGCCAAACGCGTGCCAAACGCGCTCATCAGATCAGATATAGATCAGAATATATCGATATAGATCTAAATGTATGTGCTGACTCAGATTAATAGTTGATGATGATTATTTATTGCACTGAAATCTGCCTGACACTGTGGAAACCTGCCGGTGAGGCATCGGTGACGTATGTCGATACGCCGCCGGTCTACCAAAATACTACTAGACCAGCTGCGTTCCGCCTTGCGCTGAAAGCTGACCAGGTTTGAATCGGCGAGCTTTCAGCGCACGTTACACGCCGGTGGCGAGCACGAAAATGTCACTGCACCAGCTGATTCTGTCAACACCTCCCCCTGCCACGCCACCACGCCCAGCTTGGCGGATCTCGGCTCGCTTCCGTGCGACTCAGTCCACGAAAATACCAAACTCGCCTTACGCTGGGCTCCGCCAGACGAAAATACAACTGCGCGGGGCTCGCCGCCCTCCGCCGCCTCACCGGCGCGAACGAAAATAGAGCCCTATGTGTTAAAATGCATTGAGTAACTGTCATGTAATTGGCTGATCATAAATTTGCTTGTCGAACAGTTGTATTTCACATACAGTATAAACCAGATTTTAGGTATCAAATGGTCTTTATTCATAAAAAATCTTGATCAAAAATTCACATCTAAAAAAGCTCCATCACATTTGGGACATTTTTAATAATAAGGATAATAACAATTTGGTATCAGCCTGAGTTTAAAAAGGGGGTATTATCCATTTTTTCCACACTTTTCTTTTTGATCCCTCTTAAATAAATTACATGATTTGTTAGATTTAAAAAAAAACTCAAATTTCTCACTCTGGTGTACTAAAATATAATTGTTTCATCCTCTGTCTTAAAAACAATTTTTAGATGCTGTCTCTCGAAGCAGCTGATGCAGGCATTTTAGTGAGTCTCATGTCTTTCAAGCAGTTTACATCCATTTTCTAGGATTATGACAACTTATGTTTACTGTCAACTGTGCAGTGTGGAGTTTTAACGTGTAGAGGAAGCTTCATTGTTGAACCAGTCCAGCACTTCTTTCTTGTTTAAGGTGACCCAATTGATATTGGCTTTTGTTCCCTCCAGAGCCTGCTCAAGAGACGCAGAGGCCGAGCCCAACTGACCAGCGTTGTCTTCTTTGAACTGGAGCAACTGTGGAGGAAAAGGAGGGTTCAGTTCTGCATGTTGAGAACAACACTAACAAATATGATGATAGAATAACTTTGTATATTTGTATAACTCAAACTAACAAGCTTGTGAGATGACTTGAATACAGATTTCTTTATTCTTTACAAAAAGAGGCGAGCTATCCAAACCAAATGACTAAAATTCCAACATTTGGCAAAAAAGTTCTGAAAACAGAACAAAAGCTGTCCCTACCTGTTTGTACTCAAAATCAGTTGAGAATCTTCTTGTCACTCCACTAATAAGACGACCAAAATTAAATGATCCACCACCATACCTGAAGAGAAAAACAAAAACAACACAAGTTAGATCACTGCGCAAACAGCTACAAAATGTGCTCACAAAAATCAGAACAAGGGACTAACTCTGCATGCTAACAACTGGTTGGCAGATATATTGTAATCTACTATAGTCTGTTTGAGCATGCTAGCATGCTAACAATTAGATAATTCAAGTATAAAACAGAGCCATATTTTGAACGCACCATGGTCCCTGCAGTTCATGGAAAGTCACAGACTAAAACCTTACAATTACATCCAGTACCTCGGCCCGTATGCCAAAAAATCATTTTGGTTGGGTGTCATTCTTTTGCTTGTACTTGTAAGACACTTCAGCGTTAATATTGTCAGTGTAACATAACATCATATTTGGATTGCCAAAACCTGTGTGTATCCTCCTCAAACCATGAACAACTATTTCATGGTGACTGATATGAAAGGAGCTGCTTAGCTGTTTTAGCTTGAACAAAGTTGAAGGATAAAAAATATTCTTCCCGGTTCAAATTATTCAATAACTCTACAGAATCATATTTAACGCTAACTCTATGTTTTTATATGTACTGTATTTACTATCAAACCAACATAATATTCATGTGAATAAGGGGAAACTCACTCATTGTATAGATGACGCCAGTTGGCTCTGATAAAGTCCCACGCCAGAGGCTGACCAACGTTATTTCCAGCAATAGAAACAATAGCAGAAGTAGCATCCTGCTTACGGATCTTCTGTGGGTCTAGACAATATTCCAGATACCTGAAACACATTCAAAGTGAGGACAAAAAAAAGCTCTGGATGCAAATTTGCTGCAAGTGCAAATCCACCTCTAGATGATCAAGTCCAACAAAAACAAACAGTATCCAGCAAAGCTTTAGTGTTACTCACCTGTTGAGCAGCCAGGGTTGTTTGGTGCAGGACAGAGCATCCATGAGCTTTTCAGCCTCTGAAGCGATGGTAGCTTTCTTGAACATGGACCAGGCAAAGTCCCACTCCTCCACTCCTCCTGCTGAGATGGCACTGCAGTACACTGTGGACTTCAGGTTGGGACTAATCCTGAAACAAGGGATAAGGATGAGTTAAAGGCAACAACAGCAGTGAAATCAGGGATAAGGGGGTGATAAATAGGATCAGGGGGGTACAGGCAGAGAAAATTACACAGCCAGTAATAAAATATCTACATACAAAGAGCTTGTATTAAGGTTGGGAATCACAATCTCTAAGATCATTATATCAACAGCTAATGTATATGGCTAATAAGTATGATGGGTCTCATTCTACATGTAGTGAGTATCAAATACTTTAGAAAGGAAAGATCAGAACAGCTGACTTGGCTTTCAGATACTTCATCCAACACTAATCAGGTCTTCTTACTTGTTGTTGTCTGGGTTACTCATCCACTCCCTGAACCAGCCTGTGGTCAGCTCTTTACAACCCGCCACTCCAGCACTGCAGGCAGTGGAGATAGCAACCACCTGGTTGTACCTGGATGGAGACATGAAATACAAGAGTGAGGAAACGGTTCAAAACACATCCAACCTTGGACCGCTCATCGGGGGGTTTAAATCAGTGAGATTGTGTCCTAATAAATAAGGTAGTCTGTTGTTTTTTTGTGTCTTTCAAGTAAGAGTGCAAATTGAAAGATGATAAAGGTGTAAACTCAGGAGTATAAGTATGTTTGTATTTAGTATAAACCTTAATGAAGTAGACCTCTGAGATGGCAACTTAATGTGGAGAAGATAATGGGAGATGGAGACTTGAAAACATGGTGTTATATCATGTTGTGTAAACTCATACAGTATTGTATTGTATTGTATTATATCAATATATCAAATTGTATTGGATTGTGTTATGTCTTGTTGTGTGGTATGGTAAGGTATCCTATTGGATAGTTTAGCACGGTATATTACTGTAGAAAATGGTATCAGATCTCATATCATCCTCAACTATCATGTCAATCTCATCCTAGTAAAATATTATATCATAATATCCCTTTAAATCACACCATTTTGTCAAGACTCTAGTTGTTGGTAACATCATCACGTGACAGATCACACTGTAGCTTAACGTATCTTAACGAACTGTATTCAGATATAACACATTATACATGCTGTGTAAAAGCCACCATATGTTTTAGAATTTTTGCCTTTTTCTGCTTTGTTTAATAAAGAACATGTGCAATACACTTAATATTTATCACTACGAGAGTGGAAGAGGCTCAGTTTGTGCTGTACTTGACTTCTAGTCAAGTTGCCTGTGGGACACAATAAAGAGTATCATAGACAAGAACACAAACATTTGAAAACTTACTGATCAGTGTGTTTTTCAGGGATGTCTTTCCAGTCGGATGTGATGTTTTTGAAGTAGTTAAACAGAGGGGTGACCTGTTTCTTCATGTAGGCCTGAGGGGTGAGAATATGTACACACTTTTGAACCTCTATCAATCAGTAATATTGTGTCATTCAGAGACGTGATTGACTTCTTCAGTGCTGATTCATGAAAGAAGTACAACAGCATTCATGTATCATTCATCACATACCTGCATGGGTCCGTACACATCACTGCGGTCAAACATCAGATAGAAGTAATTTAAGTTATTACGGGCTGTCTTCCAGGGCATATATTCAACTTCTTTATCCAGGAACTTGGTGGTCCTCAGAGCCAGGGTTGTGTTCACCATCTTTGCTCTGAAATAAAAGTGATTTTAAAACCTTGTTTTGTAGCATCTGACAGCAATGCTCTATATAAACATGGCCTTACCTTGCCAGGTTAAAAGCATCATCAATAAGCCGGGCTCGGTTGATCTCTGGAATATCCTAAAAGATGAGTAAACATTGAGTTTTGGGGATTGGGAAATTAAGTATTAGCACAGCAGAGGTAAAGCAGTATTATTTCTTGCTACATTTGTGTACCCTATGACTGGAGCTAAGCTTAGTAAGGAGATGCTCCCAGTTTTCAGAGTCATAGTTGACTCTGTAGAAACCTTTCATATTGATGTTGGCCACCAACCAATCACTTGAGCCAAGAACCAGGTCTGCATTTGTATCTGTTAGGGTGAAAATAAAGCAAAGAATGCATCTATTTGTTTTGTATTCATCACTCTTGCAATGCTTTGAACATTTAATAGAAACAAAACCCACCTTTTTCGTTAAGAAGCCAATACTGCTGTTCAGGCCCACCATTTTTGATCCATGTAAGAGGAACAAACCACTCATAACTGGAACCAAAAGCATCAAGTCAAACACATGTGTAAAGAGAGGAAGGTGAAAAAAGCTAATTTTAGAAAATTAAATCTGTCACATATTCAACATTTTTAAAATTGAATATACAAAGTGTTTCCTACTTAAAAGGTGAGGGTGTATCCACAACAGAGTCTGGGTCCAACAAGAAGTGTTTCTGGGTGATTTCTCCAGTCTTGCTGTTGATGGTGACCACAGGGAACCCCATCTGGAGGATCCATCGGTTCATGATTTCCTCCACAGTGTTTGGCAGCTTAATGCCAGCTTTATCAACAGCCTGGTAACAGAATTATTGACATAGAGTATGACTTTCCTCAGATGCAGCAATTTTTTTTTACACTTCTGTAGATTTCTTTGTTTGTAACCTATCAGAATGTGAAACACTGGCAATAAGCACATGTTCAGAGTTTCACCCAAAGCTTTAGGCCAACATCAGGAAATTAATGAGTGTAACCGAAGGGACCAACTTCAGCCATCTGTTTGTCTTTTTCACATAAAACAAAAACTGAAGTGTGAAAATGAATTTAACTTGTTCCTCACTTTTTTCCTCATAGTGCACGATCAACACAGCAAGTTTCAGTAAAACATGAAGCTTTCACTAGAAACTGTTCAACACGCTATTGTGACCTCCCCCTTTTAGATTCAGGGCTCTATTTTCGTGCCTCGCCGGAGACTTGCCGCAAGCGCAGCGTAAGTCAGGTCCGGCGTGTCGACAAGGCATTCCCAAGCACAATTTGGTATTTTGGTGAGCAGCGCAGCCCGGCGTAAGTATTCCCCCTCCCTAACTCAGCTCCTCCCAGCGGTGTAAGTCGTAGTGAGGGAGGAGAAAGGGCGTGGAGTGGGTTTAACACAGCCGAGACCTGTTTTCACCAATCACATAAGCTGCTCTCCTTGCCTTTAAATCCACCACAGGCGAGGCGTATTACTATTTTCATGAAGTAGTCAAAGAAATCAAGAGATGTCTGAACACAGTAATGCCACAAGATGGCGACAGAAGCCAGCTCCTCAACAAGTGTCACTGTAAGCGCTGCATTGGGCATCCTCCACACTCTCTTATATGAGCACAGATGGATTTGGTGTGTGCAATGTTGGACGGACTGGTAAGACAAACACCTCACGTGACAAAGGTGGGTTTAGCGCACAGATCACAACATAAACTCCAAAAATGGCATTAAAATCGGAACCATCTGTGCGTAAATAACGCATCGCGCTCCGTGGCCTGGCTCTTTCTTTCATAGATGTTGGCATATAAAATAAATTTGCCTCACAAAACTGAATATTATAATATCCGTATGTCGGCTTAAAAGAGATAACGCATCTGAGCACTGAAACAAATCATCTGTTCAGCCGCTGAAGGACAGAGAGAGGACACGGAGACGTGTCCAGGTCGAGCTGTGTGAGAAATAAGAGGAAGAAAGAAAAGGAGGGAGACACATTACGTATCTTGTTAACTTCATCATGTGTGTTTATTTACTAGATATTTAATTTAATTTGATGCGGTTTCAGCTGTGTTGATTCGGTCAGGTTGTGTGTCCAAACGCGTGCCAAACGCGCTCATCAGATCAGATATAGATCAGAATATATCTATATAGATCTAAATGTATGTGCTGACTCAGATTAATAGTTGATGATGATTATTTATTGCACTGAAATGTGCCTGACACTGTGGAAACCTGCCGGTGAGGCATCGGTGACGTATGTCGATACGCCGCCGGTCTACCAAAATACTACTAGACCAGCTGCCCTCCGCCTGCGCTGAAAGCTGACCAGGTTTGAATCGGCGAGCTTTCAGCGCACTTTACACACCGGTGGCGAGCACGAAAATGTTACTGCGCCCGCTGATTCTGTCGACACCTCCCCCTGCCACGCCACCACGCCCAGCTTGGCGGATCTCGGCTCGCCTCCGTGCGGCTCAGTCCACGAAAATACCAAACTGGCCTTACGCTGGGCTCCGCCAGACGAAAATACAACTGCGCGGGGCTCGCCGCCCTCCACAGCCTCATCAAAATAGAGCCCTCAGTCTTTTGTCTTGAAAATATATTCTGACATTTTTTAGAAAAATGAATTTTGACTTTTTCCTTAACATTAAATTCTTTTAAAGACAGGACCTGTGAGTTTTCTCCGGGGGGCAAAAATGACAACTGCACAAAAACATAGAACCCAGTACGATAATTGGGAGCAGTTTTGTCCAGGATATAACATGGGAATGTGTTGTTTCATTCAGCAAACTGTTTTTTTTTTTATTTTTCCTCAAAAATAACTTCGATTTTTTTGCCTTTTTATCTTTTGTCTTTTGTCTTTGAAAGTGGACTTGAGATTTCAACTTTTTACCTAAAGTGTAAATTAAAAACTTACTTCAAGACTTTTCTATTAGTATAAGGGTTGGCACTGTGGTTAGACATAAGCCAAAATCTAACACTTTTTAAGAAACTTGAGCCCATATTTACGGGCCAAATATGGCCAATTTACTTCAATTAATACAACTTTACCATGCAAACATTAATCTCTGTTTATCAGAAATCTAATACGATTTCGGGCTAATGCGATTAGTATGCAACCAGAGAAATTTTAAGGTCGGTGTTTTCTTCCTGTTTAGTATCCAACAGCTTCCAGCTAACTGTCTTATTATCTTATTATATTCAACTGCTTTTGCATTACATTAATGATTTAAAAGAGAGAAAGAACTTTCTTTGAGCAGAAAGGAGGTATTGGTGATAAAGATGCATTCTTACCATTTGCAGGTGTCTCCAGAGGTCTGTGTAGACGGTGTTCTTGTACTTGAACTCTTCTAAGTATGTCTGCAGGCAAATAAAAGTATGGTAACACTTATTTTTGCTTTTAAATTGAAAGGTAAACTATTAATATTGGGCAAAAACAGAAGAACATTGTTTCAGATGGGTGATGTAGTGTGTCACTAAACATACAGAGAAGATGTTGATGGCTTTATTTGACTGTACTCACTTGGAGACCTTTGGAGAAGATGTCCTCAGTGATGAACTCTGAGAGCATCCTGAGGACAGCAGCTCCCTGTGATGGGGGAGGACATTAGCAGTGTTAGTGGGTGGCATATGAGATGGGATATAATTAGAGCAATCTGTTAATGGGGATCAGTGATTCATTAGTGGCCTAATTTAATTCTGGAGTCCCCAAAGTGAGTTTCAGGCGTCCTTGATGAGGGTCATGTGGGGACAGTTTCATTCACTCTGTTTACTTTAGAGGAGGTCGATATCTTGTCTTGTGGGGCTTGCAGGGAACAATCCATCAGTAATTTGTACTGTCATATCCTCAGTTATACTACACCTTGCTATATGTGATGGAGTCAAACAGCTGACTGATGTCCTCTGGCTTCTGGATGTCCTCTTCTTTAGATGAGAGGGGGTGGGAGGACGCCAAAGCATCAATACCCATCACACCAGTGATCTCATTCAGCACGATTAAATCTTTCTGTAAACAGATATGTTTGTGTTGAGCATGATGGCACCGTCAGACACATAAAGATGTTGGAAACATTATCAGGACCAAATGAGTCCGGCAGAGAACAAAGCTCACCATATTCCAAGTTGGCTCAGCATAATTGGCTCCAAGGTATGATACGTAGGTAGCAAACCCTTCATTGAGCCACAGGTCATTCCACCACCGCGTCGTCACCAAGTTTCCAAACCACTAAAAGACAGAGCTTTGCATTTTGATCAGGTTTTCAAAGCTGAACACGGTTATTACAAAGAAAATGAGATTCTACAAAGGCGGGGAGCCATTGAAACACTTGAGTTTGATACCATGTGAGCCAGTTCATGTGAGATGACTGTTGCCACCCACTCCTTGTCTCCATTGGATGAGACCCCGGGGTTGTATAAGAGGGCGGTTTCTCTGTATGTGATCAGACCCCAGTTCTCCATGGCTCCAGCACTGAAGTCAGGAAGAGCGATCTGATCTAAACACATCAGCACAAGACAATTTTGACTGATCACTGCACACTTTCTTTGTTTTTTAATCTTCATTCTAAATCCCTTCATGACATCATTTAAGCAGCTAGAGTCAGTGAGATAAAACAAGCTGGAAAACTTGGAACCTCCCAAAGGAAACCAGAGGCTAAAAACAGTACAAGGCACATCTACTGTGGAAAAGATCAATTATATCATTTTTTTTTTAAAGTAATTATTTACCAATTCTTTTCTTCTGGTATGGAGGGAGCTCAACAAAAGTAAAAGAAAAAAAAGACAAAATAACGTATAAAAAAAGAAGAATGAAGAGGAAATAAAAGCAGAGCATGAAAGGATTTTGTATATTCATCTTATATGTTGGATTTTATGAATTATGCCATATCAGTCAGTTAGGGGGCACCACCATGAAATGTACTACCCCTCCTGGTGTGTTCAAGGACTGTTAGATGAAAATGCATCCACAAATTACACCATTTACCTGTAATAACAAGGTGATATCATTGTTTTCTTAATATTTTAACTCAATGACCGATGATTATAACTCGTAAATTAGAATTTGCTCAAATACCTCATTATCGTGGCTGTCATCAGGGTTTATAATGTCTGTTATTTTACTTAAAGCTGCAATTTTTAAAAATGGGGGTATTCATATCTTGTAGTAAGACTCTAGGTTTAAATACTCCCTTTCTCATCCCTCCCAGTGTGTGAAGTTCCCATAACAACACTGGCCTTTGAAAGACAGGAAGCTCTTGTGATACACAAGTATCAAATCAATTCTCCATTTATCAAGTTTTTACCATCAAAAACGTCAATACTTATGCTTTTGCTCATAAGAACCACTTTCATTCACTTTGTCTTTATGCTGCAGTAGTGACATGGTGGTGCAAGATAGAGGCCTCCATAGAAGGGGGGCCCACTGTTTTGCAGACAAACACGTCCCACTCTAGGTTCACAAAAACAAAACCATGATTATAAACCGAGCATAACATGACGTCAGTCCACAGCATGCTTAGCCCACAGTACATCTAATTACAGGTTCTCCTGATGTCAGCCCATTTCTGCTGAAAGTGAAGCGGTTGGCCCCTGTTCACAGCGAAATAGGCAAAATGTCATAATAGTCCCTCTATTTGAACAGCTTCAGCCTGTCTTATTTTGCTGCTTCCTTTTTCCTCCTCCTTTTTCTACTGTGTCTGATCTTACTAGTGTCTTGTGTACTGTCACTGATGCCTGCTCTGCTCTGTTGTGTTCCTAAGGGTCCTTGCTGCTGCTCTCCCTGCTTGTGTGTGTTTCTAACCCACCTAAGGCTTTCCACATAGACGATTAGAGAGCTGTACCAGCTGATATAACTTCTTGCACAAAAACAATTTATCCTTATGGACAAAAGCAGCCCTGACTGAAAGTAATTCTCTCGTAATAATGACTGTTATATTTCATTTCTGCCAAGTCTGTTCTGATAAATGTAACTAGACATTGTGAGATTTATGTATTTCATTGCATTTGTGGCCCAAAGGTGTCTTCTCTCTCTTTTATTATATATACTCGTTGAGCATCCATAATGCTTTGCCAGTATGAGAGAGACATGCCCATCGCAGAGTGGTTCTGTCTGCATTCATTAACGGCTTTATTGAAACAACCAGAAGCAGAGTAGTTCAGTGCTAGTCATTTTGGCAGCATTAGCTAACAGTCTGACCTATTACAAGGACCAACTTATTATTTCATTTGCTAGATAAACAGAAAATGATCCTGTATTCACAGAATTAGCTTTGTTATCTCAAGATGAGTTAATTTAATTTGTGTGATAGGAAAACAAACTTTGTCATCCTGAAATGGAAAGATAAATCAACACAGGTAAACAATACAGGGATGTACATCTACTTTGAGCCTCTGCACCTTTTAGAAATAAGTATATTGATGAAGTTATAATAGATGAAAGTGAAAGCCAAATAAAAACCCCATTAATTTCAGTCCTAATTGCATTCCTTAAAGCTCCAGTGAGGAACTTTGTGCTTATTATACTAATGTTATGTTCCAAGTCTGTACCTCCAAATGCTGCTAAATATACACTGTTCCTTTAAACATAAGAGCAAGGACTGTATATTTTTCATGTGTTTCTGTAGTATAAACTAATACTGTGCAAATACATTTTTGTCTCAAAGCTCAGTACATAAACTTTGTCTGTCTTTGTGATGCTTTCTGTGTCTATGTCTCCTACCTGACTTGGTCAGGGGGTAAGGGGAGTTGTAGTACTTCTCAAAGAAAGCCAGGATGGGTCCAGTCTTCTCCAGGGCGTAGTCTCCCTGACGCTCCTCAATTGCCTTCTTGCGGGCCCAGATCCTGATCTGAACATACATAGTGCACCATTTAATCCGACAGAAAACATACAGTAGGCCTACTTTTAGTCCAGCAGAGGGCGGCAGAGAGACACGATGACTGCGAGGAGGATGGCCCTATTACTCTGAATGAAGTGAGAACTACAAAGGTCCAATGATGAAGTTTAAATGATTTTTCACCGTAAAGTTTTGATAACAGCATATGAATCATCGAAACTTATCTTAAATTCAAAGAGCATCTTTCTTCTCTAGTGTTTCCAAAAGGGAGCTTTTGTGCTTCTTCCTTTGAGTTTTTGAGTTTCAAACTTAAGTGTTGACTCACACGAGTTTACATCTTGGCCCTGACAAGCTTACACAAGTTATATGGTGGAGTATTGTAGGGGAAGCAATAGCAGAAGTTATTATGTTGTAAAAGGTGTAAAAGTCATAGTGATGTAAAGAGAATCTAAACACCATTGACAAGGGTTAGAGTCTGTTTCAGCCCTGTAGCTCAAACTGCTGCAATTAAAATTAATTATTAGAAACCATAAAAACTGTGTGCCACTTTTACTGCAGAGATTCTGCAAGACACATAGGATAAAGTACTAGCAGTAAAAAAAATCACCTGTTACGGTAAAGTCACATATTTTACACCTGTTTTCATATGTTTCAATTTGAAAATGTAAGATTTGATTACCAGAACGTCCTCTTCAGGTTTAGACCCAATGAATGAGAAATCACAGACAACGAAAGCCAGCAGGTAGGTGGACATGACCTCAGAGGGGTCAAAGCTAGTCCGTTGTACATCAATGCCATCCATAGTTACATTAACAGGCGCTGTAAGGAGAGGTAAGGACAGATCTCTTACACAAAGAAAAAAAGAGCACTTTAAAAAAGAGCACTTACTCGCTCTATTAATCACTTTGGCTTTAGATGTTATTTGGACATCCACTGGTTATTTTAATGTTATTCCTCTATCCTGTATAAAACATGTCAATGAAAAGTTTCCTAATGTCATGCATAACATCTATTGATCTAAATATTCAAGTATTGTCTTCTGTCAAAAGTCTCATTTTGCAGGTTTTTGACAGTCAAATGTATTATTTATTGTAAACATTTTATGTGGATATTGTTAAAAACAGAGCTCTTTCTTATCATTGATTGTCTTGTTTGCCTCTGTATATCTCTAAAAGGCATTTAAATATATTTCGGTAACACTTTATTTGACACTTATCTCTATAACGCATTATAAGTATATGTATAATGCGTTATAATCACATTATAACACTGTATAACTATAGTTATAAACACTCATAAATTATCATCATGCTTTATAGCAATAATCATAACACATTATGAAGCATTTTATCATTACTTACAAGGTCAGGTATTACCATGTGTTATAACTGTTAACAACTCACTGACAATGCCTGCATTGATAATGCTTTATATATATGTTCACGATGTGTTAAAATAAGCTTATAAACTTGTATTACTATCATTATAAACACTCATTATTTATCATAAGGCTTTATAATAATAAGCATAACACATTATAATACATGACCTTGTAAGTCATGATAAAAGTCTTTATAATGTGTTAGGATTCTTGCTATAAAGCATTATGATCATTTATAAGTGTTTATAACTATAGTTATACAGTGCTATAACGTGATTATAACGCATTATACATTATACTTATAATGCGTTTTAGAGATAGGCGTCAAGTAAAGTGTTACCTAGATTTCAGTCCATTACATTATGTCATAAAACTCCTCAAAGAAGCTCTAAAGCTGTATGCTGAGTACATGTCAAATGCTGCTGTGGACTGAGGCAGAAACTTGCCGTGGTTCATGCCGTTGGACAGAGCCACAGTCCCATGTGGGTGCAGGAGAGTCATGTGGAAGACAGCCTTCATGGCGGGCTCATCAAAGCATGGGAAGGCCTTCCTGGCATCAGTCGGCTGCATCTGAGTGGTTGCCACAACTCTGACAACAGCAAACACAAGAGTTATTTGGTAAAGAAGAAGAGATAGTTTTACCCGATACGACCTTTGTTGCTTAACTTGTATTTCTCCTTGTCATTGACGTTATCAGTTATTAGCTCCCAAAGTTGGCAAGTGAACAAACCTGACATTTGCTGTTGATTTGTTCAGAAAGAGGTCAGCATTGTGACTGTTAGAATCAGCAGCTCTGTTTATGGGAAACTCTGGGCTAGAGAGCCTAAAGAAGTATCAACAGCAGAGTGTATAAAGCTGTCAACCTAAAGTATAAATTATCTCAACCTGAATATGTTACAAATATCACACTGATGCAGATAGCTGATATCACTTTGAAACCACTATCTGCCACGTGTCAATGTCCAGTTTGCTGAAGATACTGAGCTGTTGTTTTTCTCTGTTAATAGGCTCATAAAGTTGTGCTGCTGAGTGTGATTTCACCTTGTTATGTAGCCTATAGTAGCAAAGACAAAACAGTGAACACGGCAGAGTGGAGAATGGAGGCTTATCAAGAAGTGATACTATCTTTGGGAATTTTACTCATGGCCACACATGACATGACACTTCTAGCTGTAACCACTGTGGCAATGATCACATTAGAGTCAGGCTGAGGCATCCTGCAATACTGCAAATACATAAGACTTGAAATATTTTCATGATTTCAATATTTTCATTTTCATATTGACAACCCTGCTGTTTGCATTTAAAAAAGAGGACTATTCACATCCAAGAGCGTCAGTGCACCAAATATTACATTCTGACCTCATAAGATAAAGAGAATAAGGACCACATTGAAAAGGAAAAATGCTTGATATTTCCACTATTATGTCAAGATTTATGAGAACAATGGTGTTAATTTAGCTGTAGGTTTGCGTGGAAATTATTCTGAAAGAGGAAGATCTGATGAGGAGTCTGTTGTCTTTTATTTAACCATCATATCACATTGTCATAAATATAGAGTGTAAGAGAAACCGGCATGCTTCTGCAACCACTGTTTGTGCTCAGCTGTTGAGTTTAATTTCACTAGATGATCAAAGTTCAACATTTTAGTGCAGGTGACTGACTGCTGATCTGCTATCTCCCCATTTGTTATCTTACATGTGGACTGACCATATCCTGCGATCATGATTTTTCTTCTCATGAAAATAACGGCTTTATTCTCTTATGAATTATATTTTATGTACAACCTTAAATTCACATTTTTACAACCGTATTCTTGAAGATGTTGGAGTCTTTTTAGAGTAAAATTGACTTCTTATTAACAGATTGTAAGAGTTAAATTGGTGGAAATAAAACTGAGGTTTATGTTATCAGTTTTTCATGTCATGTAAAAATATAGACTGTTTTCATCTTTGTGCCAAGCTAGAAAGTAGTCATTAGATCTAGATGTATTAATTTTCTAAATCCTGAGTGTCGTCCAAGTCCGTTGTCACAGTCGCACTTCAACGGAAAAGATAACAGCATGATGAGTTCACATTCTGCCCTTTGAGGAAGTGGCTCAGAATTAAGTAACATCTAAGTCCTAAAGATTTAACAGCTGCATAAATAGTGTAAATCTTTTTATTAAGTAACTTCTGATATTTTCATATTTGTATTGTCTACTAATTTTATTGTTTTTTTTTTTTATTTTTTATTTTTTTTGGTTTTTTCCTCTCGAGCAAACTTTTGTGTTTAAAATCTAGAAACGATTTACATTTCAATCCCATAACCGCAGATGTGTCAAAATATGTTTCTGGCATATCCAAAGTATGTCCAGGAAGAAAAGTTTCTTTTTGTCTACAAAATTATCCTGATGAGTTGAAATTAAGTTAATGTGCTTGTTATGAAAGCTCCTGTGAGAAACTGTAAGTATGTGTAGATTTTGGTGCCCCCAGTGGTCAAAGCAACAACCCTCTAATTATTGTTAATTGTCTTCAGTGTATGTAACCCCTCACAGCAGTTCCAGGTATTAAAAACTGCAGTATAGAAATTATAAATCTATAACTGACAAGCGCCTCACAGGAGCTTTAAAAGCCCATGTTAGGTGAACATCTAACCAGTGTTCCTGGGCTATGCAAAGCTGAGAAAAATAGCCACTGGCTGTTGCTTCATGTGTAAAGCAAACTGATAACAGTCTGTTATATCATCCATAATCCAGATCTATGACCTTCAAAGTGATGGTCTAGTTCAGATGCATGGCTTTCAGTGACTTTAAAGCTGTCATTGTTGCTCACAGACACAAGTAAACTTAACTAAACTAAAATATCTGAAGGTAAAATGAAAAAAATCATACTTTTTCACTCCATCTTCCATGTATTCACTTCGGTAGAATCCTCCCAGGTCATCAGCCAGCTCTCCAACAAACTCAGTGAAGAGTTCATAAGTGGCCCCGACCTTCAATGGGCTCTTCAGCCGCACCACCAGGTACTGTGTGGGGATCTCCAGCCGGGTTTCTGACAGAGGGGGAGCAGTGGCCCCACCAAGGCCTGTCAGCTTGGCATGGTGTCCATCATAGAGGGTGAGGTTGAGTTTGTTAGAGTGGATGAGGATGAGGTCTGTCTCCTTCTCACATCGGAAAATTACTGCGGAGTGTCCAGTGAAGATGTAGAGATTCTCTTTATTGGGCTCCAGTCGGGGCCACAAAGTCACATTGTAGGAGATAGGAACCAGCGAGTCTGGGAGTCGGTACTTCTGCCAGGGCTCCTTTGGGGTGGAGGGTGTGGTTGGAATTGGGGTGGATGTTGGACCAGGGGTGGCTGTCTGTTCATTCTTTGATTTTTCCCGATCGTAGACCACAGCCAGGCCTATGATGGTGGCAACAGCTGCGATGGCTAGCACCACACAGGCGCATACCGCACCTTTGCTCAGGTAGACGCTTTTCCCCATGTCTCCACCAGAGAAGAAGACAACAGACGGGGTGTAGATCCTTTTATATGCTCTGACTTTTTCAGATCCAGCCCAGAGTTAATGGTTTGTCTCCTGGGCAGGGAAAACAGCTGAAAGTCCAAAACATTGTTATAAAAGTGCTTGAGATAAGAATGGATCCTACCTAATCTGTGGACTTTATACCTGCAGAAAAGCCCTCTTTAGAAACTGCCTTGTCTCTTTAAACACAGGATTGTAAATTTTATGATTGAGGAAATACATGAGATCTCACGTCTGTGTGTTTGCATAAACTCTGCAAATTCTAACTCCACACATTCCTGGCTGTCCAACATGGTGAAGAAAGAGTTTCATAATCAAATTGGACCAACAACAAGCATTTAAAACTGCATGAACCTTTATCTAGTTTTGTTTGATCAAAAAAGTTGTGGTTTTTAGAGGCAGGAACATTCCAGTGGTCTGAGAGAAAAAAAAAAAAAACATTTTGCGCATGGATTCCTATCTCAACACCACAGCATTGTTTGCACATGTGAAAACGAAAGTATTTATGGACATAAAAAGAAAATTAAAATTATTTTCAATCTATCAATTAAACAATCCTAGCTAATAACATGAACTCAACCAGAAGCATCAGTTTATAGTGGGACAGGCTGATGGATGCACGATATAATAAAACCATAGTGCCATGAATGAGCCAGCAGACTAGAGTCTCACATATGGTGCATTAACGCGCAGTAATCTTGTGAGGCGAGAAAAAAAAAAAACTCTTTTATTTATTTATTTATTTTTAGGTCTTATTACTAAAGTCTCTATGTCGATGTTGTTGATAATTAAAATATGTTGAAACTGCCACACATTAAACAAGTGAATGAGTAATGGCATAGACTATAAGATATGAGTGCCTGGATCTTCATCCATATTTGAACATATCACCACAGTAGTCAAATCATTTTGGTTCCAGGTTCAGTACAGTTACTTTCTAAATCCTATTATTTTTCCAAAAAGGGTTAAATGACCTGCTAATGGACAAGAACCCAATCAGACACCAAAGATCATCAGGTGGAAGTTTACTGACTGTGCCCAGAACTACATCAAAGTCTTGTGAAGAGACATTTACTTTCTGCAGTCCTCTAGTTTATCTTTAACCTGTAATGAAATGTGCCTTCTAATAAAATTACTGTTGGGAATGCTGTTACCATCTCAGACGCATCACCCTCTGGTCTCTGAAGTGGAGTTCTGAAGCTAGTTGATGGATGTCAACAAATTGGAAACGCTAACTTAACGTAACTTTGCTTACCTGTCAAGTCAGCCTTAAGCCTTTTTATTGAAAAAACTTTATTTAAAATCATAAGTCATGACAAAATGTTTCTCTATTGAGCTATTCAGACCAAAAATCGTTATGTGAACCAGGCTGTAAACATTTTTTTTTTTTTTAAAAATGCAAAAGATCGGCTGTTGAGAATGGGTGTGTCATTCAGCCAGCCCCAAGTGGACACTGGAGGAACTGCAGAATTGAATGCTATTTCTGACTATTTGTTTCAAAATCCAGGGGATCCTCTTTAGACTTTTTGTTATTTAACCACTTTTACAGCAGAATGAAACGTGTTCACAGACTGGTGTGAAAAAAGGTTTTCGTCTTGGTTGCACATCTTAATTTGTGACATGTGTTTGCCAGTCTCCAGGTAATCAGAGGTTAGTTAAAGTCAGCATTTCCTATGCTATGATTGTCTTGTGTTGACTTCATAGCACTTGAGAAAACAATGGGTTATGCCACTCTGACTACAACTGTGTTTATACAACCCATGATTTGTACATGCAGCATTAACAATTGTTTCAACAATTTTTCTTTTTCTGCTCGGTAGTACGGTTTTTCTAAAGTGTACTTTAGACATGTGCATAGCTTCATCATTTGGCATGACAAAACCTCGATTAGCTTGAGACAAGATTTTGTGGGTTCTTGTTTATGTTAGAAGAACAATACTGACCACAGAGTTTCAACAGTCGAGAAAAATGTGCTCAACATATAAAAAATACAATAGAATAACAGCTAATAACACAGTCACAGAGATTGTTTCCCAACTTAAACTCCGGTCTTGTTTTTTAAACTCTGTGATGAACTATGATGAAAAGGCATGGGAATGGATGTGTTGGTGCAGAAAAACCACAGGTCACCCTGAAGGACCTGAGGAAATTGGTTACAGTGGCCAGAGGCAATATTGTTCAAGAATATTTTGTCCAAGATGTCCAGAGATCAGAGAAAGCACAGCAAAAAGATGTGTTTTTCGAGGACAGGAAAATGAACATTTCATCTTCATGCATGGCTTGCAACCATCCACTCTGGGTCGATATCCTTGTCTGTTATATCCCTATCTGGGTTTAATTCTTGCTCTTTATTTGTTCAGTATTAATGTTAATTATAAATTAAATTGTTGAATTGGTTTCATTCAGATGTGGAGCAACACATCTCAAACCAAGGCTTTTTAGTGTGTTTTTTAATGCAGTTTGAAGTCTCTATATGAGCATGAAAAATACCTACATTACATTAAAGAGCCCCATACAAGCAAACAGGCAAAACGCAGCGCGTTACAAATCACACAGTGAATATTAAATATTTCCATTTTGAAAAGATTTGGCAAGTTTTCTTACCTCGATTAACCAGTATTTCTGACGTCTTTTCACTTGTAGTTTGTTAAAGCTGATTTTACTCTGTACTCACTTTCAGTTAATCCACTGCTCGTCCACCTGCATCAAGAGAGCAGCAGCTGTCTCAAGTGAAAGGGAAGAGAAAGTTTTTCATGAAAGGGAAATAGTTTTTTTACAATGTCATCTGATATGCGTTACTTCCTCAAGAGATCAAGGTTGGGAGTGTAAAACTGATGCATGATGCAGGATATTACACAATCTGTCTTTGTTGCTGTTACCAACAGTAGGTCCTGAACTTGTCATGTCTTGTTGGAACAGTTTTGGTGTTGCGCCATTATTCAAAGCTGGCATCACTTGTGGGAAAAGAACTGTACAGTACAACACAGTAAGGGTAAACATATTCATGTCCCATTGATACATGCCCCTGAATGTGTATCTTCCTGAAGGTTTTATACACTGTTGCCTTGTTGGTTTCTGCAGATCAGATGATGAACACCTTTAGCCACAGAACTACTTGACTCCAGCTGTTACAGCTTTCATACAAAATATGTATACTCTGTGTTTATCCAGGTTATCTCATTGGGACACAGGGTCTCATTCTCAAGAGACACCTGTTTTGGATAAACACATGAGTGGCAGACGTGCAACACAAAGCGTCTTTTGGGAACTAACAATACAACGTTCAATTACTGATGAACCAGTTATACAAACACAAAACAGAAAGCCAAAAAAGGTTTTAAAATAATGAAGAGACTAAGATGCAAAGAACAAAAGCAAGTCCAGACAAGCTCTCTCTATTGGCCCTAAGAGAAGTTTAAAATCTCCCAGTGGAACCAAGCTAATATGTCCCAGGGAGCAGATAAATAAAAGCCCCAGAAATGCCCTTGTCATAGGTTATGGTTGCACCTTTTAATCAGCATGTATGAGAATAAATGCACATGCAACAGTCAAAGAATGGATTTGTAAATTAAATTACACCAATGCAAAACCCTTTCAATGCAAACATCTGGGCATGGACAACAATGGCCAGTTGACAAAGTGCATTGATGTGTGGGGGGTTTACCTCAGTGCTCCATGATAGAAAGCATCAAATGTATGAAGAAAGTGAGCAGAGCCTTTCATATAAATGATTTCCCTGTAGTCAAGAATGGGCAAGAAGTCAACAGCAACATGTTGTTTCCTTGCCATAAAGGGGGGAAAAGGATTTATTTATGTATAGAAGTAATTTTAATTCTTTAATTTCAGTTTTATCCCAAAGGGTTTAAAAGAAAGAATTAGAGCCAAGAGAATGCCAAGGTATATCTCAGACACCACTAACTAACTCAGCTGCACTGGCACCCTTTAAGAAGAAAAAACTGCACTTTCTTTTCAGAGGATACCTGCATTTAGCACTAGTCTTAGGAGGAACAAGTGCAACAGAATAGTGTCAAAAAATGAGTGCAAAGAGTTGAAAACCAAGGTAATAGCGCTTGCATGACCGTAAATGATAGATTATCTGCATAGAAATGTACTGAAGCATCTTTAAAGTGTTATCATCATTAGTCTTACTTGTGTACATTTTCTAGCTTGGGCCAATAACTGGCATTTCAAAATAACTGGCAGCTACCAATATGTGGGTTCATAAGGCACCCATAAAAAAGCACTAGTTATGTTTGCAGACACCACAGGCAGCCTAGACAATGTGCCTGCTGCCTGCCATATGTTCTGTTCATCTAGTTTTCTCCTGGTTTTATTTGAGTGTATTTTGTGTATTGTCCCTAGTGTTTCTGTTCCCTATTGTTCCTGTTCCCCTGTAGTCCAGTCTTGTGAATTTTTAGTTCTCCTGTCCTCCTGTTCTCTGTGTTTTTATTCTTTAGTGTTTCCTGTTTCAGTGTTTCCTGTTTTATTCTGTAGTAGTTTATTCCCTGTGTTTCTAGTCTGGTTTTACTTCCTCAGTTTTCCCTCCTTCGTTAATCACCCATGAGTTTCACCTGTGTCTCGTTAGCCTCACCTGTTGCTCGTTTCCTAGTGTGTGTGTATAGCCCCTGGCTGTGTCCGAAATGAATCATTCAATCCCTAACCCCTAACCTCCATATGGGGTTTCACTATATAGCTGACTATGTTGTGAGCTCAATCACCGGAGGTTTCGAACACTACATGGTGCACCGTTGTGATGTCACTGCTCAGACTGCCGCGTCTGAAGTTGCGGCTGTTGTTTTCACATCACTTGAATTTTATGATGTTGTATAGATGTATTTGTTTTTCCAGGATGTTTGTGAAATAATAACATAAAATAGAAAAAAAACAATGAATTAATAATTTATTTAGAAGGCCTTATATTTTAGTGCTGAATATTGTTTGCTGCGTCATATTGTGCACGAGACTACATGACGCAGCAAACAATTGTTTAGCAAAAAATGTGCAGATCACTTGCAAGTGTAGTGGAGATAAAAAACTTACACTGAAAATGGCAAATAGAGCTCGGGTTCTGTCTCTTCTTGCTCTCGTCATGAGGCATCTTTGAATTGCCACTGGAGACAGAATGCATGACGGGATGCCCACCACCGGCAAGTGGCCATCGGATAGTCACTACATTTTGCAATGCCATATGGGAAATTTTGAGTCGCCTATATAGGGCATTGGAATTGATTACTTAGGTTTTGGACACCCCTCAAAATGGCGCTAACCCCGGTATAGTCACCTATATAGGGGTTAGGGACCCATTTCAGACACAGCCCCTGTCTTCCTCTCTGTCCTCTTCAGCTCTTCACAAGAGTCAAATACATATAATATGTTATGTTGTAAAATAGTTAAGCTTAATATTGCCTTTGATATGAAAATGTCATGTTCTGAAATCTGTATAATATCCCAGTGCATTTTCTTATTTCATGAATTGACTCAGAATTCATCTCAAACATGCTTCTGACTGAGATAACTATATATTACTAGTATTAAATATTACCACTATATATTTAACTAGAATTAAATTGTCATCTGTATGGAACAATGACTGTTATTGTTAATTTTTTGTATTTCATCAAATGCAAAGAAACAACAGCAGCCTGATATCCTCATTAGCTCTGCACCACTCCCAGGAGATAAACAGTCCGTAAAAGTTTTTATTATCTTGTGTTTTCGTCTTGAACTTTATCAAACAGGCTGAAACAAGAAAAGTATCTCGTCTCAGGCTATCTTAGTTTTCTACCACAGTACACTGAGAGTAGATTGTTGTTTAAATGTGTTTCAGTAACAGTAATTTTTGGTTTTTACGTTGATGGGCAGACAATGAGTTTCTCTGTTCCCCAGTTGTGAGCCTTGTTCTGGTTTCGTTCATATTCAGAATAAAGTGTTTGCATGCACACAGAGAAACCTGGGTATTCATGGCCTTACATTCATGGTTTTATAAACTTTGAAAGCTGCTGAATCAGAGCCATCTCAGTATTTTCCAGTGGGACCTGACTTTCTCCAGTTAGGAAACAGTCGTCCTGCAGCCTCTTCACCACAGTCTTGAGCAAGTCAGCAATTTGATGCCTCCTCTTGTTTAAACTTCAGGTTATGTAAAACCTCCCCGATTAAAAAAAAAACTCAGTTTCCTTGTTGATCCAGAACAAAACGACCTTGTTGTTGCGGCTGTTTGTTCACTGATATCACGCAGGGGCTGTGCCTGTGCAGGTTTTTGGCAGCTGTCAGAAACCAGGGTAGGGTGTGTTTGTCACAGTATCACTGTTTTCTTTTGGAGGTCTGCTGGTGGCAAAACTGGGTTCCTAAAAACTGGGATAAATAATCATTTCTATTTCTGATATTGGGATAAGGTTTTTATACGCATAAATACAAAACAAGAGATAAAAAACAATCAAACAAAAACAAGACCCATTAGTCCATGTAAATGTAATCAATAACAGTTTCTGACCTAACCAGTATGTATAAAATCTATCTCTGCCGCCACTGGAGAGCAAATTTGTCCAACCAGATGGACAAAGATGGTCTAAATGTGTTTAAATCATCCAGCTACGTCTTCACACTGATCTTGAAATCTCATCTTTTAAAAGTTTCAGATGAACCTGCAACTTACACAAGAATGGAGAGTGAGAAACCAAATATAAAAAATTAACAAAACTAACAAATTCATATGTCTTAAACGTTTGCTATTAGACAACAGCGAATAATCGAAACCAAAAACTCATCAGTAATTTATCCATTTGGCACAATGAATCAGCTGAGCAACAAGCAGCAACCTACAGTGTTGAAAATAAAGCCAATGGGGAAGTACAAAAACTGTAGTTCCTCATGTGTCCACAGGCTAGCTACAAAAGTTAGAGTTCCCATTGGGTTTAATATTAAAATGTCAAATTTTACAGCAGAATGATACTGTTCAGGGGAGGATATTTTCTGTTTTATGCACATATGTTTTTATTTCATCAGGGTTAAGAGTCACATGTGAATCAGGGGAACAGATAAAAGAAGTGTTGTTGCTGTTTGCCATGAAATGCCTGTACAGTTTGGTCAAAAGTCAGGTGAGTTACTTAAAACAGGGTGTCAGCCATCGTGGTTGGCCTTGAAAACATGTTTTCAGAAGTCAGCAGTGACAGTCACAGAGAAGATGTCCATGTGTCATACAGTATATGGCTTTTTTTCCCCATGGAGCTGCTTCCTCCTGGCCATCTGACAGTGCAGCCTTCAGGCATCTGAGCTGTAAACTTACTGTTAAAACTTTCCAAGGTTATGATTATTTTTGTATATAAAGTCAGTGGCTACATCCTGTGAGGTGACAGTCAGTTGTAGGATAAAAAATCAATGAACACAGAAGCTGCTCTGCTCCACTGCAACTGGCCTAAAGCCTGACATTCATAGTACAAATGCATTTCACACATAATGGGAGGCATCAACATGTATGTGTCATATTAAAAGATAGAAAAAACATGAATGGTTTTCTGACAACCACAAAATATGTAATGCAAAACAGTCTTTTGGCTCCCATAATGACAGGGTTTTCTATACAAAGGGATACGCTATAAATGTACATAATTTCACAATACTGCCCAGCTGCTACAGAGATCCTCAGTGGATATGGATCTATATTTAATTCATTCCATTTTCCCATGACAGCATTTCATTTTAGTTGTTGTTTTTTTTCCTTAAGATTTGTATGCGCTCATACCACATAATTCGCACAACACTGATTCTGATTCTTCACAGTTCGTAAAAGTTAGTAACAGCAGATCTTCCTGGGAGCTTCTAAACTCACTTGTGGTGGTGGTTTCCTCTGGATCACTGCGGTATACGTCCTGCTGCTGTGGACCCACCTGACTCCAGCAGCTGTTAACTTTATAACTGCTGGACTCTTATTTAATTCATACCCCTTTTTTTATTTCACTGCTAGAAAAAAAATATAATTGATCTACTAACATTAATTTTCTTTTTCTGTGGGTAAAAGTTCAAATACTTTTACCTTCATTACTGGCACCTACATCAGTATGAGAGGTTGTTTGTCTTGCTCTATCTGTTGTTCTTCATCTTCTATCTCTGTTTTTGAGCTGAATACAGACAGCTGTTCACATGAATCTAGATGTGCTCAGAGTTTATACCTGTTAAAGGAAGTTTCTACATGCGCTGTTACTTGTTTGCTCACTGTAGATTAAGATAAAATCAGATGGGATTTGATCTTATCTTCATGTTTGGTCTTCAAGATAATTGAAAAATCCTACTGCCAGTCAAGCACCTTGAGATAACATTCATTATGAGCTGGCATTACGTATTTAAATCAACATTCAAGTTAAAAACCCCTGAAAACAACTAAAATAACTCTTAATCATATGAAAGTAAATAGAGTAAATGTATGTCTGCCCACTTTTTACTTATTTGACTTTGGATGCAAATCTCTTATTTCCCATGACCCAACTTCATGTACTCTTCACCATATTCAGGGGGAAGCTGTGTAGTCCATCATCAAACTGAAAGTGAGAAGCTCAAACGCTGCCTTAAAATCCCACTGCTGTCTGACAGGCTGTATTATCTGGAAACACTCCCATAAGGCCGATGGGGAATAAAACCCCAGAGGGAATTGGGCATTTTCCCACGTAGATGAAAGTAACTTTAACACATTAATTAACAGTCAGACAACTACAAAAAAGTTCCCAGGTATCAGCTGAGAAGTGATTTATACCTAAACTGGTTATGAAACAGATTGAAATTACGATTTATGCCACTGTATGAGTTACAAAACCAAATAAGACCAATAGCTCCCTGGTGTGATTTTTTTAATGCCTGAAAACTGCTACTGTGAGTTAGTTTTTATATCCACTTGGGTACTTGCCTGTGTGTTCATGTGCTCAGTGTCTTTTTGCAAATGTGTCCCATTACTCTTACGATCAGCAGTGCAGCTTGTTTGGTTTGCACTTTATCTGGACTTTTAGTAAGACCTCTATTGTGTGGTGTTAGCCCAAGTATATATTCCTCAGTGCATAATCCTTGTGACGTTTGTTCATAAGTTATTATTAGGAGCCGTAAGATTGCCACAGGATGCAACCAAAGAAACTTCAATGCAAGGAAGACATTTAAATTACATAGATAACATTAATGTGTCTGCAGGTCCACAGCAATTACAAAAGTTACAATTTATTTTTATAAAGTGACTATGAACCACACACTACAATCAGCTTATGGGTATAAAAGAACAGCCTTTTCATGGATGCAAAGATCACAGTATCTGATGGATCCTGATAAGTTATATTATCCTTATTATTTAAAATAAGCATACTAAAATTTGGAAAATCTGAAGTACAGATGAGAGATTAAATTACAGCATCAATATAACATCTGACAAAATAATATCAGTTTTAGTGTTGATGCACTGTCACTGTCAAGTGTGTTACAACTGCTTTTAGAAATCCCTGTCCACTTTGGCCACTCAATACACACTTACACACTGCAGACAAATGTTCTTCTCACATGGCAAAATGTGACCAAAGTGTGGGCGTGACCACATGCACTCTGCTAATGAATTGGGCAGCACTTTTGTATTTGTCAAAGTCAAGATTTGACGACTGGTACTTCAGACTAATACAGACAGTTTAACTGACAAGCTCAGTGACAGTGGATATGAGTCAAAACTTTTTCACAGGGCTTCAAATTGTGTAATAAAACAAGACTTGACAAGATGTGGGTGTGAACTTTTGGCTCATATTAGCTAGTGGTTAACTTTGGGAAAATGGGCAGCTATCCCGCTTGATTTGGCCTCCCGATGAATTTACAATTCAGATAACTTTGAAGGCCATAAAACAAAGATTTTTCCATTTACTTCATTATTCCAGTTGCAGGAAAGTGTCTAGAGGTAAAAGCTTGAGTTATGTCTTTAGCTGTACATCACTGGTATGAATTTGTCCATGTGCTCCTGCCCATGGACTGTCACAAAGATGTGGCTTTTTTTCTGTTTGTATGGCGTCAGTTGTGTTTGCACAACTCTAACCAGCTGTCACAGGCCGCTCATTTGTTGTTGATGATTATAGTGATTGTCATTCATTACATGTCCCTGGCAGTGCAAAAAGACAGTGTGTCATTCAGACCATCCAAGCGTCCTCATGTGGACTCTTCAGTAAACCATTTCAGCACATGGGCCTTGTTCTCGTTCACCCATTTGATGTTGGCTACAGTCTTCTCTATGGCCTGCTCTATAGCCAAGGTGCCAGAGCCAAAACCAGCATGGATGTTGTCTTCTTTAAATTTCTTCAGCTGGAGAGACAGAAATAAGCAAAGACAGAAAAAGTGAGAACATTTGTTTTCTTTCTTTTTAACTGCTCACCCTCAGAGAATTAGAGAGTGTATTTGGCTGTGGTTGTGGCTGTGTGGGCTCAATACCTCCTGTAACTCAAAGTCCGTAGAGAATCTCCAAGTGATTCCGCTGATGAGACCAGCGAAGGAAAATGATCCTTTTCCATAACTAAAAAAAAAAAAAAAAGTCAGCTCAATGAGAAGGATCTGGCCGTGACAAACACCAAATCATTATTGCTGTAAAAAGAAAAGCCTGCAGCAAGAGGCTAATAAAGTGTGTTGCTGTTGGATGTGGCAGTAACTTGTGGTTTGTGGTTTTTTATTATACATTTTAAAAGGCTCCAATACATCAACACCTTATAGCAGGCTTTCAGATAAAAAAAGGCACTATATGTTCTTGGAAAATCATATTTCTTCCATAAGCTCCTCAGCAGTCTGAGAGCTGTCGTGGTTTATGCTCATGCTATTGTTTTCTGCCTCCTGTAAGTGGTGAGCTCTTACTGCTGGAAAATGTAGTTCCATCTCGCTCTGACAAAGTTCCAGGCCAGCGGCAGCCCCACAACATTTCTGGCAATAGCCTGGATGGTAGAGGTGGTGTCCTGCTTTCGGATCTTGGTTGGGTCTAGAGTGTACTCCAGATACCTGAATCAACCAGAAACATGTCACTGAAGAAGTTGTTTTATTATTTGAATGTTTGTTTTAGGAGGAAATCAGCTGCCGTTAGTCAATGTTGAAGTTATCCTTGTGTTAAAGTTGCCTACTGCCTGAAAATACCCAAGTAAATTGAACTTTAGGAGTTCAGACAGAATACCAAGCCAATTTTAGACAGTTCCAAACAGAGTAAACAAAAAAAGGGAAATGAATGAACATGACAAGGGAACCATTTTAGAGCCCCACTGGCCTAGTGGTCTAAGCGTGCCCCATATATATTTGCTCCTTCCCCTCATGTCACTTCCCTCTCTCTCTCTCTCTCTCCCAGTTCCCTACTCTGCCCACTATTTGATATAATCAAATAAAGTAAATGCCGTGGGTTCTCTGTTGATCCACAGTAGACAACATCTCTCCACAAGTTCCGTAAAAAAAACAGTGGATAGTATTTGTCTGTAATCCTGCAAACCAACCCCCCAAACAAAGTTCCTTTGATGAATAAGGCTGTTCCCACAAAACTGGATTGAACACACACATACCTGTTCAAGAGCCAAGGTGCTTTGGCGCAGGCCAGGGCCGACCTTAGTCTGGCCCCCTCAGATGCCAGAGTGGCGTTCTTGAACATTGCCCAGGCAAAGTCCCATTCTTCCACTCCACCATTCGCTATGGCATGGCAGTAAACTGTGCCTTTCAGATTCGGATGGATGCTAGTCAACAGTGAGGATAAACATAAAGCAGGTTAGGATGTAAATATGGAACATGGACAACCAGTATGTAAGCTGCTACACAGTCACAGCTCATGTTAATACAGCTGTACTTCTGTATTTCAAAGTGAATTAATGCAGATTTCACAAACAGTCTAGCAGCCACCTTTATGTAAAGGATAAATATTGAACAAAGATAACCCCTCTTATATGATTCTGTACTTACGGGTTGTGCTGTGGGTTTTCCATCCACTGTCTGAACCAGCCTTTGATCAGCTCCCTGCAACCCTTCACGTTTGTTTTGCAGGCTATTCCAATAGCATTGACCTGATTATACCTGAAGAATAAGACATGCATTAAGAAGCTGGAAAAAAGCCCTGTTGTGACAAAGTAAAAAAAACATAACTTGAGTATAGGCTGATATTCACAGTGGGGATGAGCTTCAGCCCAAACAGGCCCTCATTATGATTCTACCTCCTCTGTCTTTTCACTAACACCTCAGTACAGACTTTTTTCCTTTCCTTCTGTGCTGTCTTTCTTCTGGAAGAGGAGGGTGAGGTAGAGTGTGCAGTCTAACCTGGTTTGGGTGGGCTCATCTGGCTGCATCTTCCCTGTCCTGTTTTTCATATTTGTCCAAAAGTTTTTCTCTCTGTTCTCTTGCTTTTCTGCTCTTTCTTCATAAAACAGGGATGTGGGGCAAGGTTGAGCATACAGCCTACCCCAGCAGGTGTTAGCTCTATCCCAAACAGACTTTTAACTCTGACTCTGCCTTCTCTGTCCCCTTTATAACATCTCATCTCTGCACAGACTCTTCTCCTCGTTTCTTACTTTTGTGATGGGATATAAGAGCTAGTATGGAGGGGGAGTTAACCCAGAATACTGGGGGGAAATGTTGGGCTTTCTTGAGATTGCCCGGACCTAGAATTGCCGGTAGGTTGTCTGTCACCTGAAGTCCTATTTTTATGAAAGGTTGGACTTGTAATGGTTGTTATGGGTCATTGGGTAGGCTTTGTAGCTTATTAGTGTGGCGGAAGCGGTGGGATTGAAGGAAACTGGACAGGAGATAGGGGGCCTCTCTACAGCCTTCACATTTGGGCCATAGACTGTTTATAGAATGGACGCCTCCTCGCTGGGTGAAGCCACCGCAAGAACAGCACCCCCTGGTGACGGGCTGCAGTATAGGTCATAAGTATGAGCAGTATAAGCAGTATAGGCCTCCTCCAGCAATTCCTATGAAGCTGTGGACAAACTTCAGAAATTTGTTACACAGAATATGAATTTTTCTCCCCCCTTGCTTGCGATGTTAACATGTAGTTACTGAACGACAGGTTTGTGCTCAAGTCCTCTTTTATCTGTACAGCTCCATTTTTAAAAGTTATAAGGGGGTTCATGTTTTCTATGATTGATGCTTGATACAGCCTACGGGCGTACAAAGATTGCGTAGCTCACCCAGGGGATACGCTGTTTGAGCAGAACGTCATCACAACGACTCTTGGCAACTTTCCGGCTGAATGTGTACAACGCTACTGCGCAATGTTGGTTTCAGGACGTGGAGAAAAATTGCGGTATCACCAATAATTTTTTGTCTTAAAACCCGTATACTGGCGGAAGGCGGAATCAAGTTGTCCATAGTATATACAGTCCATGATTTGGGCGCATATGGTTAGAGTTTGTTAAAGTTTATTTTAAAGTGAAGTTGTATCACACTGTTTTACATTTTTAAATTCATTTTTGCATGAAAAATTAATATTTGATATTAAAGATCTTACTGGTCAGTGTGTCCTGTGGGATCTTTGGTCCAGTTTGCTGTGATCTCCTTGAAGTGCTCAAAAAGTGGTTGGATTTGTTTCTTGAGGTATGCCTGAAATTAAAACCAAATATAGCTGCAATAGTTTTATTGCGAATTAATGTGCACTTTTATAATCTTACACTCTGAATGAAGAGTAAAAGAGTCACAAGGTAAAAATAAGTTCAGTCAGTAAAAGTAAATAAATTATGCATCTCTTAAAAACAGACAAAACAAAGTGTTTCCCAGAGACAAATAAAAGGCCAATCACAGAGATTGTGACAGAAGTCGAATTAAGACAGCTAAGCAAAAGAAGACATAGGCAGACATAACCAAAGGCAAGTCCAAATAAACAGAGCTTTTCCATGCTATTCCATACTTAAACACAGAGAGAGAGTTACAGTGTTGGATATCCACACTAAACCGAGCAGTAAATAAATACTCACCTGTATGGCTCCATAAACCTCAGTGCGGTCAAACATAAGGATGTAATAGTTGAGGTTTCTCAGAGCTGATTCCCAGGGGATGAAGTCTCTGTCTTTGGACAGATATTTGGTAGTTCTCAGGGCCAGTGTTGTATTGATTATTTTGGCTCTGCACAAAGAGAACAGATCCTTTGTATTTTTTTATTAACCTGTGACAGTGCACAAAGTACGGTGTCCTCTCAGTATGTGCTGTCCTTACCTCGCAAGGTTGAACGCATCATCTATAATCTGTGCTCTGTTGCCGACTGATAAAGCCTGGAAGAAATTAAGCAAACATGACTACAAAATACACAGAAAACAAAGCCCCATGGGGAGCGAAAAGAACCCTAGAAAATACTGATAAAACCTTTTTTCCAACTTTTTCATATTTGCTAAACCAGAACATAAAAATAAACACTGAAACCCTTATTGTGCACAAACAGAAGGGCAGCAAATGAACAGAAATTTTTTAAAAATCAGTTCAAAACATATTTTATATGTCCTTTCTCTTTCATAGGAGGATCCATCAGGATGGTTTGATGCTTATTTGACTGAACACTACGGTCCTAAGCAGTATCCTCCTTAGGTTTTTGAAGAGCCGTGACTTGTGACTTACCTGGTGGTTGTTGTTAAGCAGGGAGAGGAGACGATCCCAGTTGTCAAGATCATAGTTCACCCTGAAGTACCCAGAAACATTGGTGTTCAACAGAACCCAGTCACTCCCTGACACTCTCATCTCACTGTTGGTGTCTGTTAAAATATTGATGTTACAGAAATTCAAGTTTTAGTTGACTGGATCTTATAGGGAGGAGCAGGTGGGTTTGCTAGGCCATACCTGTCTTTTGAAGGAGCCAGTACTGTTGTTGTTCCACACCCGTCTTCATCCATTTAATGGGGACATACCAGGAGTAACTTGAATAGAAACAGAAAAACTAATTTGAACAAGAAAAAAAAATGGAGCAATCTCAGTGTTAAGGTAGACTGTCAGATTGACTGAAATCAAATTTATAACAGACACTCATTATCCCCACTTGGTTTACACATTCTGTGTCTTCTCCCTTGAACCTTTAAGAAATTTACAATAACTAACGAGTATAAAATATAGTAAAATGTGATGCATACACTAATGTCTCACCTAGGATAGCACTGGATAGTTTTATTGGCTGTTCAATTTTTTTTGAAAGGTGCCCACATCTGGTTGGATTGTTTTTTTCTTTTGAGTAATTTTGATTTATTTTTAAGTTTGTACAGCAACAACAAAAATGAGCAACACAAAGTAAATTGAAGCAATAAAAAGTGAAACGGATCAAGGCAAACAAGAAAAAAAAAGAAAAGAAAGATGAATAATAAATAAAAAGATCAATAAACAAGAATAGCACCTACCTCCCAAAATAATAATGGAAAATTTCTCTCAGAACAAACAGCAATGCTGTGCGTTGGTGCTTTAGGCAGATATCTAAAAAGTAATTTTGCATTCATTTTGGCAAAATTGTCCTCTTTTTACACTAAAGTGACCAGGGAGCAACAAAAAAAAAGTGAAAATATCGCAGTCTGCTGAGAGATGATGGTATAATGATATTATGGTCTTGCACTCTTTTCTGACAAGGCTTAGCATGTATACTACCAAATAACAACATCATTCAAGGTCGGCATGAAACTCTTCTGCATCAAATGCCACACAAACAGGTAATAACCTGTTTATGATGCCAACAGACCCTGAATGACAGAGCTGAAAGGTTATTGTGGTTTTAAACTTGGGTAGCTGTTGGTTTAAATCACTACTGTGTCCAAGTACAACCTAAAGGATCTGTAGTCCAAACAAACAGCCAGCTATGATTGTGCTCCAGTCAGTAGTGATTGGTGTGTTAATAATAGGCTCATCCAAGTGATGTCTATCAGATCAGGAAATCAGTCTCCTTATTTACTGTCTATATTAAACTTACAGGTGATGTAAAACTGATTCCTACTTAAACTCAGAGGGCCTCTCCACCACAGAGTCTGGGTCCAGCAGGAAGTGTTTCTGGGTGATACTTCCGGTCCGGGTGTCAACAGTGACCACTGGGAAGCCCATCTGAAGAGTCCAGCGGTTCATGATATCGTGGACAGTGTGAGGGATGTGTAAACTTGGTGTGTCTTCAACAGCCTGTTAACAAAGATATGCAGGAATTAAAAGAACACAGACACAAGGAAAGCGGAACCATGCACAACATATGTGTGACTTTAAGAGTCACTGGCTCTACAAACCTGCTGCAGATGGTTCCATAAGTCTGTGTACACAGTGTTACTGAAGGCGAATGTGTTCAGGTAAGACTGGGGAGAGAAAGCAGATGGTAAACCATTAATCAACACGTTGATTTACTGCCATTGAAGTGTGAAAGCTGTAACAGGTACAGGTTAAAATGGCAAGTGATGTGTTGTAGATTAATTTATTGTGAATTGGTAAAAAGACTCAAATATTGGGTTATGCGATATAGTTCAGTACATGGCAGGTATTTCTGTCAGAAGCAATACCAAACTGCATTACTGTATACATAATTCATCATTTACTCTTAAGGGTAGCCAGTTACTGTTTGATTTCATAACATTGGGAATTAGAAAAAGGTGTTGTCAAAAGATCTTTGTGATGCTGGCCTTGTGAGGGCGGATGCTGATTTTGAGGATTATTATAAAATCCTATTAATAAGCCTGATTAATCGGCCTTTCTCTAGATCTTAGCATTCGGCTTTTTCTGTATTGCACTTCATTTCACACCAATCCAGTGACGGACTTCACTACTATTAGAAATTATTAGATTAAAAGGACCTGTGTTGTCAGTGAGGGCTGACAGCAGATACCAATGCACAAAGGAGAGTGTAAATCGGAAGTGTAAGGAGATAGATAATTTGTAATCCTGGGGTTTACTCCCACACAATAGTCAGATTAACAGTGCAATAAGGTTTTTTTGAACCGTCAACCATTTGAACCGTCAATACAAGGGCACACAGGCACACAATTGCAATGCCTTATATAAGAGTTTTTACTCACACTGAGTCCTCTTGCAAAGACTGGCTCAGTCAGAAACTCGGACAGCATCCTCAGCACCGCCGCCCCCTGAAAACAACAAACACAGAAGCCAACAGGGTTTGGTTAGCTTGAACTTCTCAGAACAGCTCAGGATTTCGCCTTTTATCCAGAGAAGAAAGTAAAACAAAGTATTGCAAAGGTGCTCTGTTAATAAACAGTTGAAATCTACTGTGAGGAGTTTCCAGTTTGTTTTCACTTTAACATCTTCTGTGGACAAAAACAGTAACCTACCTCTCCTCCCTCAGTTAGTCCTCTCACAAAATAGCCCATTTTCCTTTTTCCTTCTTGCTGTCAAACTTTCCACTCAATAGCTTGGCATTAATACCAGCCTGTTTCCAGCTAACCAGCAAACATAACAAGTAAGCTGTTGAGAGCTGATGGATTTCACCATAATAATGGTTGCATAACATGCTGACCAGAAAGACAGCTCCATCCATCCTCTAATGGTGGGTGTTTGGTCTTTTATGGAAGGAGATAATTATTGCTAACCCCAAACACACAAAACATGGATTCCTGTATGAAGACCTATTTTATTTTGTTTAACTTATATCCCTAACACATTATCTGCTTACATGGTTGAGTTTGCCAACTGTGGTTCAGAAATATATCAATAAGTTAGAATATGAATACAAATTTATTTTATGGTTCTAAAGGACCTTCTTGCATTGTCAAATCATGTCAGACCTTGTTGTAGGAGATGCTGCTGAACATCTCGCTGATCTGTGAAGGGTCATTGACCTCATCTTCTTTGCGGGATAATGGATGGGAGGAGGCCAGGGCATCCACAGCAAACACCCTGTGCACGTCATACAGGATGATCTGGTCTTTCTGCAGCCAAACAGACAGAAAAATAAGAACAGGAATTCTCCACAAGGTCATAGAAAGACTTAATTTATCTAAAATAAGGATCTGAAATGTAACAGTGCTTTTTTGCTCTACAGGGCTCACTAATACTTGAATGTAGATGCATTATTCTTACGATGTTCCAGGTGGGTTCTGCGTAGTCAGCTCCAAGGTACTCCACATATGATGCAAAGCCCTCATTTAACCATAGGTCATTCCACCACTGCACAGTCACCAGGTTTCCAAACCACTAAAAACACATGACAGATGAAGAAATGAAGAACTCTGAAAAGTCGGTCACATCACAGCTGAGCTCAGTACATTTCCAAAGAGCTAATATTTCTGTGAACAATGCTGACAGTGTCTGATGGTAACCTAAGATTTTGGCAAACTTCACAGTCAAAGTTCAACTGAGAGATTAAGGATAAATAAACAAGAAAAGGCTTTAGGAAATTCCCAACCACAGAATTTCACATAAGTTATGATGTCAGACGTTAATACATCTAAAATAGAGCACAGTTAATCTGTCCCCATGTGATGAGCTGTCATTTCTTTTTGGGAAGGGAGGTTGAGTTTTCAGGCCAAATTTATGCTTTAAAAACATGACTGTATTTCTCGTAAGAATGAGGTGAGCTGGGCTGAGTTTCCTTGAGCCACAGATTAATGTTACAACCTTTGTTTCCACCCTTTAGTAAAGTCAGCACTGATTCACTTCAAATGAACAAGATCAGCTTGAATTCACGCCTCTGTGCAGGGGAATTTTGTTTAACTCTATACTAACTGGAACCTGAATGCTGACATTCAAGGAATAACATGACCAAGCCTTGAGTCATATCAAGCCTATGAGCTGCCAACCTGGACATCTGCTTAGATCAGCTGAATTAGGTTTTCTAGTTGTGCCCTGACCTGGTGACTTAGTAAGCCATATGCATGGTGAGTGCAACATGTGAAATAGAAACTCAACAAGGTGAAAGAGAGGTACCTGATCGTAACTATTACCGGGATAGTAACTAAAATAGAAGCATGCTAAGTTTTGAAGTCATCCAGGTTCAACAGTTGGGAAGACTTGAGTTATTATCAGCCTACTTACTTGTCCCATTCACATTAACCATAACATTTTCATTCACAGAAAGTCCTAACATCAACTTTGTTTTGTTGCCGTTCTTTGAAAAGCAAAAGGGTCAAACACACACTGCAACACCAAGTTAGACAACCCGTCGAGAGATAAATGTTGCCGACCGCTTGCTTCTCTAGTTATACCAATTTTAGTAATGACCACACGATAGCAATACACAGTGGTCCAAGGAGCCACAAGCTCAACCAAAAAGCCACTCTATAGTCACAAATAATGCTCAGAACAGCACCTAACTTCATTAAAAGTACATATAGGGCCTGGGCCATAGTACTAGCCATCAAACATCTTTTTAGCTTTGCCTGATTTCTTAGGCAAAAAGACTGAACACAACTCACCTACTCTCTTGCAGCAGCCACTTGTTTGTACCTCAGGCGAGTCCATTACCACAGCGGGGTGATGCAGCCCAAGAAGGAACATTTATGATCATTTCTCCATGGAAATGCAATCAGAACGCTAAGGCAGAAGAACTACCGCGTCTGCAGTGCAAAATGATTAATATGATGATAATTACTTCAAAGAAATGATAAAGTAATGATCATAAATGTTCCTTCTTGAGCTGCATCACCCCGCTGCGGTAATGGACTCAACTGAGGTCTCCATACAAACAAGCAGCTGCTGGAAGAGAGTAGGTGAGTTGGGTTTAGTCTCGTTGCTAAAGAAGTTAGGCAAAGCTAAAAAGATGTTTGATGGCTAGTACTATGGCTGGGACCCTATATGTACTGTTGATGAAGTTAGGTGCTGTTCTGAGCATTATTTGAGGCTATAGAGTGGCCTTTTGGTTGGGCTTGTGGCTCCTTGGACCACTGTGTATTGCTATCGTGTGGTCATTACTAAAATTGGTATAACTAGAGAAGCAAGCGGTTGGCAACATTTATCTCTCGTAATGTTTAAAAAACTCTTGCAGGAATATCATCCAACTAATGAGATAAATTTGCAACAGATTAACTATACAACTATATGATGGAGTATACCAGAGAGGCCAAGTTTCTCAGCAGTGGAAGGAGGTTTAGTGCTCATCCACAAAAGCAGGTTAAAACTGTACAATTCAGAGAGGAAACCACACAGAAACATAAACAAGAAACCCTGACAACCTTTTTGTGCCTGAGCCTGATTTAGATGCACTGTGGAGAAGGAGAAAAACACCCTGAGGTCTGACAAATAATTAACTTTACATTATTTTTGGAAGTCATGGATGCTGGTTTCTCTGCTACCCAGAGCAGAAAGATCACCCTTCATCTGTGATGTTATGAGAATGCAGAAGTCCCCATTGCATGGGTGGCTTACACATCTGAAACATTTCAGGAATGTATTGCTGGTATCAAACAGAAAATAAGCATTTATCCCCAATCAAACAAAAAGTGTTGAGTTCCAGCATTTGGTCATCTTTCCCTGTTTTCAATAAAATAAAGGTTTAAGTGATTTGCAAACTCTCAATATCTCTTTTTTTAATAATTACTTTAACTGTATCACAACTTTCTTGGAATAAAAGTTGTAAATAGATATCCAGCATGTTCTCTGATCATGTTAGCATGTTTGGCACATTGCCACAGGGTGAGCTGAAATTATAAACTATGTAAGTGTGCCAGACTCTTTTCAAGGGATAAATTCCATATGATGTGTGTGATCTGGTTGCCCCTAATGTGCTTCTCCCTGCTATTCAGACCCATTCAAACCCCTCCTATTGTGTCATGGGTTTTCTTTACAAAGCCAGGTGTTCAGTGTGAAGGCCAGGTTATGACGGCTGCCTTACTTTATTTTATTTTCTCTATCAAAATCTACAAATGATGCAATCATGACATTTGCTGAATGACCTACCATGTGTGCAAGTTCATGAGCGATCACAGAATTAATTCTTTCTTTGTTTCCAGTGGAGGACATAACGGGGTCATACAGCAGAGAGGTCTCACTGTATGTGACCAGACCCCAGTTCTCCATCGCCCCAGCATGGAAGTCAGGCAGAGCGATCTGATCTGAGAAGGAAAAGACATCTCAAACTCGAAAGAAATCGAAACTGTCTTGATAAAATGAAAACAAATTGAACATTACAAATGAACTGATGTCAAACGAAGCAAAGGAGGGTGAAAATTTCCTCAAACCATCCAGTTTAGTGGTTCATGGTTTCATTAATGAACTGGTGAATGAATCAACAGGATGTCAAAGTACTGAAGACACTGAATCATTGACTCTGAGGTACATGATTGCTAAAAAATGATATATTTTTTAAGTGTGTCGTGGCATTTTAGATGCTTGTTGGACTTGGCCACCACTTTACCAGATTGCTTCAGTGAGGGTTTTCACGATATACTGTATATAAACCTGGTTTATGTGTCTTGAAGTACTGCCATGCACTATTACTGAAAGCCACTTTCAAGTAAAGCAACACAGAAAGCCTTCAATATAAAAGAGAAAATGTCTGATGGCAAATGTGCAAAGGCAGCAAACAAAGATCAAAATGTCTGAAAGCCAGGAAACGGGGGGGAGCATTTCCATCCTCAGGAAAAAGGGTTGCCCAAACATGCTGTCACAAAGTTGACCTACCTGACTTTGAGAGCGGATATCTTGCGTTGTAGTACCGCTCATAAAACTGAAGGATGGGCCCTGTAACGTTGAGAGCATATTCACCATGCCTGTCATTTATGGCTTTTCTTCTGGCCCAGATTCGGATCTGCAAAGAATTGGACAGTTTTTATTTCCCTAAAGAAATAATCTCTAAAGATTTAAACAGTCTAAACCGGGTATGTATATCTATGTGAGATGACCTCTGACTTTGGTCATTATTAACCCTGGTTCTATGTACATGGATTAAAAAAAGGCACAAACATTTCTTACCAACAGGTTATCGCTTTGAGTTGACTGAATGCTGATGAAGTCACTGACGATAAACGCCAGCAGATACGTGGACATCCTCTTTGTGGGCTCAAATGTTGTTTTTCTGACCGCCACACCATCAATGACAGAGTCTTCTGAGGCTGGTCAGAGAGAGGAAGAGTTAGACTCTGTTAGGATTAATAGAGTCTAAATGCTGAATTTCTTTTTGTCAATGTTCCTTACTACTTACAATGACTCTTTTTCATCTAAAAAAGTCCACCTTTACAAATAAATACTGCTTAATTTAAACTACCTTTGTATTCTTTTTAGATAGCACAGTTTGGTAACACTTTATTTGACGCCTATCTCTATAACGCATTACAAATATATGTATAATTCATTATAATCACATCATAGCACTGTATAGCTGTAGTTATAAACACTCATAAATGATCATAATCCTTTATAGCAATAAGACATTATAAAGCATTTTATCATGACTTACAAGGTCAGGTATTACAATGTGTTATAACTGTTAACAACAGTGCATTGCATTATCTATGTGGGCGTTGTCAGTGAGTTGTTAACAGTTAAAACACATTATTATACCTGACCTTGTAAGCCCTGGTAAAATGCTTTATAATGTGTTATGATTATTGCTATAAAGGATTATGATCATTTATGAGTGTCCATAACTATAGTTATACAGCGCTATAACATGATTATAACGCATTATACATGTATTTATAATGTGTTATAGAGATAGGCATCAAATAAAGTGTTACCTACAGTTTTATTTTCACTGAAAATTAAAAAATAAAAGCTTGAAAGGGCAGAATTTACTGTTTCTGAAACAAACCTATGTCCCTGCCGTTAGACAGAGCCACGGTGTCTCGGTCGTGGATGATGTCGACATTAAAGATGGCCTTCATGGCTGGCTCGTCAAAGCAGGGGAAGGCTTTCCTGGCATACGTCGCTTGCATCTGAGAGGTTGCAACAACTCTGCAAAATTTTAGATTAAACATTAACACAAAATAGGCACTCCAAAGTCTCACCAACATGAAGATCAGCAATGATATTAACCCTCAGTGTAAAGATTGATATGATGTTGCATATTTATGTTATACTTACTTCTTCACCCCATCCTCAGTGTATTCACTCCTGTAGAAACCTTCCAGGTCATCTGCCAGTTCTCCCAAAAACTCAGTGTAGAGTGCGTATGTTACTCCAACAGTTAGTCTGCTGCTTAGCTGAAGGACCAGAAACTCCGTCTTCACAACAAGCCAGGACTTGAGGATAGCAGGCGCGGTGGCTCCAGCGAGAGCAGTCAGCTTAGCTAAGTGTCCATCAAAGCTGGTGAGGTTCAGCTTGTTGCAGTGGATGATAATGAGGTCTGTTTCCTTCTCACATCTGAAGTGCACAGACGAATGTCCAGTAAAGACGTACAAGCCATTTGCGTTGGGCTTCAGCCGGGGCCACAGGGTTATGTTGTAGGAAAAGGGGATGAGGGATTTGGGGAGTCTGTAGTGGTCCCAGGGCTCCTTTGGAGTGGAAGGAGTAGTGGAGGGTGAAGGTACGCTGGTACTGTCTGCTGCTCCGTCCCCAGACGTGCCTCGATTCTTGGCCCTCTCCTTATCGTAGGCGATAGACAGAGCGATGATTGTAGCCAGAGCGATGGCTGCCAAAGCAAGCAGCCCCAGGCCCACATTTTTACTGATGTAGTAGACTTTCCCCATGTCTGATTCAGACAGTCAGAGAGGGAGTCTCAGGAGTCCTAGTCTGTGTTTGTCCAGCACTGCAGGTCTCTACCCTCCTCAGTAAATGGTTGAGATATTAACATTGCAAACAAAACATTATCAGAACACCTAAAGAGGAATACAAAAAAGACAGTTAATTTCTTCAGCTGTTCGGTGATACGGCACAAAACTCTGTGTGTTTTAAGTGGTCTTACAATGTTTATCTTCGATGTTTGTAACTATCAGCAACTGGATAATCGTAGAGCTTGCATTCCAGTCGACCACTGTCATAAGCTATCTCATAATCAAAACATATTACAAGCATCTAGAAATGGCTTTAATACGGCCCTCTGATTTAATCCAGAGCCTTAAATAAGGTCCTGATCATGATGCTGAGCTCACTGCAATATCTTTTGCAAAGTCTAACATGCAAAGAGCTCTGTTAGAAGTTCAGTGATACGTGTTGCAGAGAGAAGTTGTCAATTGTTAACATTGTGTAATGAGGGAGCAAAAACATGACAGCCTCTCTTTAAGTGCCTTCCACATACAGGAATACAAATCATATACCCATTAAATGTCACTGCATTCACAGTTTGCAATCAAAATAGGCAAACAAGAGGAGTGTAGGGTGATTGAGATAAGTTCTAAAAACAATTATTTAATGCAAATCTTTGAAACAAACAGAAATGTATAATTTATGACCAGGGTGGCCCAACGGGGACGTACGGGGTGGTGTTAAGTATTTTTGCAGATACACACCCTTTATGACTCCACTTTTGTCTGTTTTAACTTTTAAAATTCAAGTATCAAACGTGTTTCGTTTGATTTAAAAGCTTTGAAAGACCTTAAGGTCTTTTTGAACACATACAAAAGGAAACGGGAAGCAAATTACTAGCAATCTCTTTTTAACACAGCCCATATGGTTTATTGTAACATAAGTCATACTCTTCACAAGAGAAATGGCAAATAGTAAGTTTGGGATTCTGGGATGGCACCGGGGGTGACCAATCAGATTTCAAGTGGCAGTCCTGTAGATCCCCCTTAAAGTTTGATAAGGGGACATCAGTATGAAGCAATTTTAGGAAAATAAAGAAAATATTATGATAATGATAATGATATGCCATCACTTAGAAAGACGGTGTCTAGATATGCTGACAGAGGTTGAGTGACATGTTTCCGTTGTATGCATAATACTGGTTATACAAGCTAACAGCATTCAATTTAACAAACCAGAGTCAAGTTTAAGTATAAAGGCATGATATATATGAACAAATGTAGCATCCATCTAACAAACCACTAAAAATCTAAATATATTTTCCTTATATGTTACGTTATTGCTTTCTTATTATAGAGTTTTTGTATTGTTCTAGTATTTTTAATTTCAAATGGACTAAAGCCAAAACTTAGTTTCATTCCTTTTTGTTCCCTTTGTAACTCTCTAAGTGAAACTATTGTTAGAGGCATGAGGGACAGCGTTTTAAAGTTTCAGCATTACTATTTTGTATGTGCTGGCAGGGCCTTAAACAGTGATACTGTAAGGGCCTGTGTCCACTAACAGTTTTTTCACTGGCAGCACCCATGCCGTCAATCTCCAAGCACCACCTACCAGCACTTGCTGTTTCTAGGTTAAAAAAGTTAACTTGTGGAACTGATGGGTCCATTTGAATTGCTTATGCTTTGCTTTGGCTTCGATTCAGCTGATTTTTTTTTATCATTAATAGAAATTGTCATAGCAACAGAAGCTTCTCAACATTTTTGTGGGTGTAGCTAGTACCAAAGGTCTCACGAATTCTTGATTTTGATTGGTTAATGATCAACTAACTGTCAACTAAGAGCACTCAGACAAATCCAAGTTTATGCTGAGGGAGCTTTTTGAACCTTGGATACATAGCATTGTCAACACTGAACTGGATTGGTTTGTAGAGAAAATGGGCTTCGCCAGTGCAAGCAAAAATACCTATCAGTGAGCATAGGCCCTAACTATTATTTTTCCCAAAGAATGAAAAAAGGATGAGAAAAAAATCTATGATGTGGAAAAAGAAAACTGCATGTTTGAGAATACAAACAAGTTTTACGTCACCTAATTGATCATATTTAAAGATAATGAGGGTGAGACAAAACATCATAGTGTTATTGAATGCGGTCAGACTCTAACATATTTAGTTTCAGCGTGGGTTTGAATTGTTCACAGCTGGATTAATGCTTTGGATGGAAAATTAATCTTTCAAACAGGAAAAAAGTAGTAAGAGCTGGATCAGGCTTGGACCAGCTCTTAGTTTTCTGCTGCAGGCTTAGACTGCCAAGTGGACGGCACACTGAGCTCCTGTCTTCCCCTCTCTCTCCTCACTCTGTCTGCATGCTACCAACTTTAAATCCTCCTCTGGATCATTGCTGCAGATGGTCTTCTGCTATGGACCTGAATCCAGCTGTTATGACTATAAATACCAGCCTAACCATTATTATCACTGTTATAATGCAAATGTTATTTTCGAAATGGCATGACTTCAACTGCGATAGTAATTGATATCATCATTCTTAACCCGACTCTATTATTACTAATGCTACTACTAGACTAGTCTGATTCATTTGCAGTTCCTGATAGTAATACACACGGTTATTTTATATGTTAACTTTTGCGACACATACATCTGAATAAGCTGTTGTTGTCTCTAACATAAGTCTAGTTGTGCTCAAGGTTTCTGCCTGTTTGAGGAAAGTTTTTCCTCTCCACTTTGACTCAGTAACTGTTGCAAAGTTCTCTGCTCCTGGTGGATTAAGATAAGAATGGGTCTTATCTAATTAGATTAGACTCAGTCTTTTCTTGATGATGAGGCTTTGTAAAAAAAGAAAAAAAAAAAAAAAAGGTCTAGACCTGCTCCTCCTCTTAAGTGTCTGGAGTTAACATTGATCGTGAATTGGTGCTAAAAAAAAAAAAAGATGATTCATGATGACATCCAAAATGCTCTCTCTGATAATGTACTAAAGTTGCTCAGTGTGATGACTCTGCTGGCGTAGGTGGCTGGTATACTGTTTCTTCATCCTTAGAAGACTGTTTTTCCAGAAGCTTCACAGGAATCAGCTGCTAGGATACTGACAGACATGATACATAACGAACTCAGAGTGTACCCTGTCACTTTTTCACTTGAAGAGCAAAGTCCTGCCAGGAAAGTGTCTCTCTTTCCTTCCCTTTTCTATAGACAGCATGTACAGATGTTTCCTCTGAAGCACAGTTGTTTAATGAAAACACATTAGGTGAGATTTTATGTGAATCATCAAATGTTTCACTGCTAGCCCTACTGAAAACATACCAAAAAAAGCATATATATCAGCGCACAGAGGTGATCTGCTGGATACTTGTTTAAAAGCTCTTGTATCTTTAATAGGTTTTATTCTCACCTAATGTTATTTATTGAAGCTAAAAGTTGTTGCATTTGATGTCCTTGGTGTTGTTGGTCAAAGTTCATTATATTGGACTTGGGTTTCTGATGAGTACACTGAAGTGATGACAAGTGACCCATCTCTGTGATAACTGAACAAACCTTATCTGACAAGACTGCATTATCAAACAGCTGCTATTTACCTCTGATGTCACACTCTGGGTGGGAAACTCAAGGCTTTTAAAATGCTACTGATCAGAAGTCCAACATCTCTTATGTGATTCTTCACATTGTCATCGTTACATGACTTTACAAACTAATAAACAAATAAAAAAGACAGTACAAGGAGTAAGTCGAAGAGCAACACGAGGAAAGGCAAGACGAGGTTGGAAACTTATTTAAGTAACACATAACCTCCTTGACCTCTATCATGCTTTTATTTTGATATTTTTCTGTCTTTCCACTTATGGCCTTATGCCTGCATTGTAAAACTGTGCTTTTATTTTGAAGTATATGCTATTGCTTCTAGCAGATGGGTCACAGAACTGAATGAAAACAGCTAAAGAAGAATAAAAAAAGCATGAGTCACTTTTTCAAAGTGCCAAGTCCTCTCCCAGAGGAGTGCTACTGCTAGCTTTCTAGCACTCTTTTTTTTGGTCTATTCTCTCTGTAAAAGACAAACAAACCAGTGCAAAGGAACCCAACTTTGAACTCACGATATTACTGTATGCTTATTTTTAGTATCAACATTTCACCAGTACTTGACTGTATTAAAAAGAAAGCATAGGTATACCGTGACAGCCCTAGCTAGTTATGTTTTTAATATCTTTGTACAGTGTCTAATTGTTGTAAAGTATTATCATTTCTTGCATTATGAATCTATGTGGAGCACTCTGATTAAAAGCCCTCTACTGATAGATCTATAGTTTTAATTACTGTTAATCTTAATTAACATTGCTGCTATGTCAATGTTAGCTTGACTGTTGCCACCGGCCTCTTCATCACATTATGTTACACCCTCAAAAAGTGTTTTTATGAGATTTTATCTCAATGATAAGAACTAATATTCATGTTTGCCAATATTTTAACCATCCAGCATGAGCCTAAAAGCAGGTGAGAATGGCTGATGCCTAAAGAGGGCTGAATCTAAAAGTCACCTGTTACTTTAGTGCATTATAAATCTTAAGTTTTGTGGTGTTGACCGAGTCATGACTTAGAATTGTTTTACCGTTTAGTGGAGTAAAAAAGTGGCGTACAACTGATGATGTCCTGCCTTCTCAGCTGCTCCAGTTCTTTTTCTGCTTTCTCAACAAAGACTCCAAGCTGACTCAGATTTTCAGAGGCTAGTGTGTTTAATATTGACAAGTTCCTCAGACAACTTCACTTGAAAAAAGGAATCCCTTTAACCAACATTCTTGGGGCAGGCATCTTTCTGTGGAAACACATTAACCTCAACTGACAGAGGCTGTATACCTAGCCCACTACAATCATAGTAACCTGTGTAAGATGTCATTTCAATTCACACTATTCAGTTATTCTGAGAAGTTCTAAGACTTGGATGAAATAATAAGACTGTGGGGATTTTAGTAAGCAATATTCTTGACCCTACAGCCTTTTTTAGCTCCTCAGTGTTTGCACATGAGGCTGTAATAAATGAAAAAATGTCACATTTTGTATTGATGCAGACTTGGTTATGAACATTTCCAAAATGGAAAAACACTGATGCTAACAAGTTCAATGTGTTCCCCTGGAAATGGGAAGAAAACAGCATAGAAGGTACAATCCTTGGGGGTGCTTGTTTTCTGAACTCAGTACCTAAACAGGTAGAAAACATCTGGAAACGATCATCTGAATCTGATAAAACTCTGCAGACAAATATAAACATATTAGACACTCATATCACCTAACATACTGGCAGTCCTCTATGCAGATGTTTCCATGTTTCAGACACAGCAGAGACAGTTTGTGATGGTGTCGTGACAATGAACAGTTAAAAAAGAAAACTTTTAAAGGCAAAGAGCTGTAATGACGGTGAAGTTTGGTAAAGAATGCTGAAAGTTTTCAGGCTGATTATGAAATTGTCCAAAATTATAATTGCCTGCAGCTGTCATTCCTCTAGTAATAAACAGTAGGGGAGATTTGAGTCTGTGCATGGGGAACTGAAGTCACCCTTTGTTTTTTTGGCATCTACAGACAAAGTTGGTCAGATGATCACACATTTTCAAAGAGTCATACCAGGCTTTGTTTTTACTTGAAATAGAGGTGAAAAGGATAATAACTCTGGTGTAGCTTTAGCTAATATTAGAAGTCAGCAGGAGCTGCACAAGCTAGTTTCTGTGTGATACTTGTACTTTTGCTGTTAAGATAGATTTCTTCTGATGCAATGGAGTAAAAAACGTCCAACAGCTAACAAACGTTTTAGGCTTCCTAGCTCTGCTTTGACTGCAAATATAAAGGCATATTTGCATAAAAGACATACTTAAATGGTGTTAGTTTTTTAATCACTAAGGTGCAGGTTTGTGCCTTTTTGACTAAATTTGGACTAAATTAAATGTAATTACTGACATTTGTTTGCTGGTAGTTGGGCCAGTTAGAAAAAAAGTGATAGACACAGCTAAAATAAATTGAAAACTCATAAATATGATAGCGTTGGTTTAAAGAACTGGTGTGTTGAACCCAGGCAGTTAACAAGCGTTTATTTGCATTAAGTCAAAGTTAATCAGCCCTCTGTCAAGAAAAAGCCCTCCCATGTCCAAAATTCTTCTTGAGACTGAGTTAATTAGAAATTAGAGCCAAAAAACCCTCCTTGAGAATACTTTGTTCCTACTCGCTCAGGGCAGGATAACCTTGTGGTGTTAATGCTTATCTTGTGGGAACAAAATCGCATATTTGCATAGTGTAAAAAACAACAACGATGGAGTCACGTGACCACCTCTGTGCCATGTTGTGCTTTTAACAGACTCTCCCTCCCTCTTCCCTGTAAACACAAGCTGCATTCTTACTGGTCAAACCTATCCAAGGATCCATTTAGCATTTTAGTATTGTACAAGTAGCCATCATTAAATGCTAAAGTGCAGTACCCTTTCTGTGAAATGAAAATGAAAATCAAAGTAGGAAAGGTCAGAAGTGGAAAAGCACTCAGCTGAATTACAAGTTGAGGAAGAAGGAACTGAAACTGGACACCTGTCATTATACTTTCAGTCTCCTTTGAGTGATATTAAGAAATAAATCATCAGCAATACTTTGTTTTTGTTTTTTTTTGTCTGTGAAATGTGTCCTTTTTCTTCGTCCTTTGCTATCTTGACCAGGTTCCCTGTTGGGGTTGAATAAAGGTCACCTTATCTGAGGAATATAAAGGTAAAACATCTTTGAGTCCCCTCACAAACACATGCATTATCATTCTACCTGCACATGAACCTGTGACCTACACTATCAGCTCTGTATTGTCTTGGCTCCACACTGTGCAGATAAGACTCAGCTAGCTACAGAAGCTGCAGAGTTGACATCCAGTGCGACCAACACGGATGTTGGCAACCAATAAATATCCACACAGTATCCACAAAACCTAAGTGGTACCTCAGGCACACAATGAATTCTGTTCAAGACACATTTCATAACTGTGTTGCACAAGTTTGGTCACATGGGACCAGTTACTACTCTTGTTGTGTGTCTGACCTTCTATTGAAACTGAAGGCAACACAACTGCAAGACAAAGTATTAAAAAGAAGTAAACAAGCTTCTTAAAAGTTGTTTAGCATACAAGTTGGACAAATTCCTTCAAACGTGGGTAAAAGGGTACATACCAAGCTCTGAGTGTCCGGTGGAAGTTCTGATTTAAGCCTGCATGAGACAGAGAAGTTGAGCTGGAATGATCCCGGCTGATGTAAAACACACACAGTCTGCATCTGTGAGGGTGGAGGTGGGAGGTAGTAAGAGCTACCACAGGTTTTGTCAAGGATAAAGGGAGGGAACAACTCCCTCGATTTTCCTCTTAAAAAAAATCCCCAAATTGGTTGGAAGGGGGAGCTGAAAGAATGTGGCTGTATCAACAAGCCTGCTAACTCATTGTGGTTGAAAGCGCTGCATCTGGTGCATCAGAGGTACAGATTCTTCAGCCCACAGCCAAGGGACTCGGCTTACCTGGAGACTAATGAGAAAAACTTTAGATTGTTGTGAATGAGCCAGACAAACTCAGGGGATTTGTGTGCTTTTTTTTTTATTCTTCAATTCAACTTGCCAAGGAATGTTTTGATCACAGGAAGTTTGAGTACAAGGTCTGATTCTACAGCCAATAAGACACAAACACTTAATACAAACACTAAAAGATATAAAAAGAAAAGGTCTTTGTAAGTCTGCTGTTTCCTTAAACAGATGTTGGCAAGATTCTACAACAGCACATTAAAACTTGGCTGTAACAACATTCACATTCGCTGCACTGGGCACAATCAGCACCCAGGAGAACAGTAATGTTATTCACAAATCACAAGGATGTCTGAGACGCACTATATTACAGAGGAGGAAAAATAAACTTTGACAAGAGCCGAGCAGAAGAGTCTGAACTCAGTCTGTATGAAAGTTGAAACAGGAGATAAAGATGTGTATGAGTAATTACAGCTCTACACAGAAGCCAGAGGATTTTATTACAGAGCGCTGCACTGTGTCCAAAAGCTCGAGGGGGAATCTTTTAGACAGGGGGGGACCGGTGATGAATGTCAGAAATTTGGGAGAGTGTGCCAGAATATACACACGAGTCCCACACTGATCATTTTTCATTAGGAGAGAATGGGAAGTCAAACAGAGAGAACAGAAAACTGAGAACAGAAAAAGAAATAAAGATAATAAAATTTCTCGATGCTTTTATAGGATCAATTTTTACATTATTGTGCAAATCCTTCGCCTGTGGTAATCTGTAACCTGCATTCAGTAGAACTCAAAAATATGACAGCTTATCCTCTCTTCATCTGAGGAGAATAAGCTGCTGTGGTTCCATCATGATACATTTATAAAAACAGTTTTCTCTCTATTACCAGCAGAGCTGGGTGGAGGGGAGCTCCATCAGTAGTACATCAGCCCCGCAGAGCTCAGCTGGACCGCTGCTCAGAACGGGGAGAGGCTCGGCACTTTGATATTGATGTCTCCGATGTTGATATTGCGGGGAATCTCGGGCAGGTTCATGTTCTTCACAGCTGACACGGCGCGAGCAGGCGCAGCTGACAGACCTCCCTGTAAAGCGAAAAACATGAGAACACCTTGGAGCCGCTGTTTGTGGATATCTTACGTGATTACGGCGTCCTTAAAAGAACTGATCTGCCTTTTGTCGATAAAAGTAACAAACTTTGCCGTCTGTTAGATTCTGGTCGGACATTTTCACAGCGATCCAAGAAATTTATTGACTCCATTCATGTAACACAACCATGTCTGTACAGGTCAAGAGATACACTGATGCATATCAAACTCAAGTGAGAGATGTGTGCGTTGAGTCAGGAGTCACTACCCACTCTTCATCAAAGGCCTGAAATCCTGTATCTAAGCTGCAGCACAGTGATCCTCCACCAGCCAGAGCTGTAGCACTTACTACTGGATACTGCCATAATGTTGTAATGCTCTACTATAAAATGAAGCAATATAATAATTCAAAAGTTAAGTGAATCCACGGGCAAAGGAACTGTCTAAAAACCTTGGACGGTTCTTTAATCGCAGCCAATACACTGACCTCTGACTTCTCCATGCGGTTCTGCACCTCCACCTGGGCTACGATCTCATTCATGTTGGTTTCCAGCACCATTCCCCCCATCACCACCTCCTGCAGGATATAGTGGACCTGCAGACAGACACAAAACAACAGTGAATACACACTGACAGCTTGTATGTGTTATTCCAGTCATTTAAGCATCACTCTGCTCATGACGCTTGCTGTGACTTGACATTTCAGATTCATGGTCAATTGTACAACCCTAATTCCATCAGAGTTGGGCTGCTTTGGAAAATATGGATAAGACAGAGTTTGAGAATGATCCAAAGCTAGTATTTGGTTAAAAAAAGTGAAAAACAAATGATCAGATTACGAGAAGTCATTTTTCTGGTGTAGGGGGTGGGGTGTATAGGGCGAGTGGGAGTGGGAGTGCATTGGGAGGGAAAGGTTAGCAAACACTGAAGCAATTGGTATGTTGTTGTCGGGTTTCCATGGATGCGAAGATGTTTTCTCTGTCCCCAGTTTTGTAAATGATTGCTCATGATCCTCCTTTTGACCTCTCCTATTATCCAACTTTCTGAATAAATTAATTAAAAATTTATCTAAAAAAAAAAAGCAGTCACTGTTTAATGAAAATATATTCTTATATTAAATTTCATGACAAAAAAACATGTTTTAAAACAGTTAGGACGGGCATGTAGAGCTGGGTGATAAACCGAAAATTTACCTATACCAAAATGTACGATAATAACTGACGTCATTTTGCCCATCTCAATATATTTGGTGTCAAGGAATAAATAAATGAAAGCTGGTTTTGGATGTGTGTAGGTAGGCTATGGTCTCATGTCCCTTTGAGACGATGTCCTACGTTGGAGATGTGACTTCACCCCATCCAGTCAGTAACAAAGAGGGAAAGACAGGTGAGGAGATGGAGGATGGTTCAAAAGTTGTAGCGACTGGAGCGGCAGCTGAAGTAGACGGGATTAATGTGTGGGGGGGTGAGCAGCTTGTGGAGTAGTTATCATCCATTTGTCGTTATCGAGGTGAACTGCTCAAAATAACATGATACTGATTTGAGGCCATATCGCCCAGCCCTACAGGCATGTTTACCATTTTGTTACATTAGATCTGCTCTAAACAACACTCTTGAAACGTTTGGGAACCAAGCGACCGAGTTTTGTATCATGAAGCTCCAAAGGTTTTCTATAAGGGACAAGTCAAGACTGCAGACAGGCCAGTTTAACACCCAGACTCTTCTACTACAGAGTCACGCTATTGTTATACATGCAGAATTTCTTCCTTTTTGCTGTCTTATGCAAGGTCTACCTGAAAAAAAGGAGTTCTCTGTGTACCAGCATATTTTACCCCAAAACCTGTTCAGCACTGATGGCGCCTTCCCATATGTGTAAGTTGCCCATACTGTGGGCACTCATGCATCCCCTGGCTTAAACTGTTCCCAAGAGCAGAGAGGATGCAGCATCCTTGGTTAAAAAAGAATGTCAAATCTTGATTTGTCAGACCACAGGACAGTTTTCCACTCTGGAAACTTTCCTGTGGTTTTCCACTCTGAATCAGTCCATCTTAAATGGGGGGCAGGGCCGGAGAAGTCTGGGCCAGGAATTTCAGGATCATGTTCATATATGGTTTCCACTTTGCATGGTAGTCTTTTTAACTTAAGCTTTTGTGGATGCAGCAACAAACTGTGTTGACAGACAGTGTTTTTTAATGTGATTTTCAGCTGATGCAGCGATTTCCACTGCAGAGTCATGTCTGTTTTTAGCACAGTCCTGCTTGTGGGTCCAAAGTTCATGGCCATCCAGTATCAGTTGTTGACCTTGCTCCTTATGAACATATATTTTTTTCAGATCCTCGGAATCTTTTGATGATTCTATTTACTGTTATTAAAATTGTTTGCATTTTTTATTCTCAGGTACATCTTCCTGAATTTGCTGAACTGTTTCCTTACACTGCCTTTTTCAGAGCAGCAAACCTCCTCTCATCTTAAATCCTGAGAGACCCAGCCCTCTGGGAAGCCATTTTTTAAAGCCAGTCATCTGATGTAAATTAGCCTCATCAGTGGGGAGAAGTTCCTTCAGGTGATTTTTTTAGCAGTATATAATGTTTTCGGCTGTCCTCGTCCTGACTGTTTTGAAATGTGCTGCTGGCATGAATTGGAAAAAGAGCATCAATTTTTTATTAAACAAAAACATTTTCTTCAGATTCAACATCCGATTTTCCACTGTTTTCAATGTAATACAAGGTTATCTGTATTCTACGTAGTGTCCCAGCTTCTACAGAATTCGGGTTGTCACAGAAAATTGTTAAGTCAGAAAATGACTCCGACATTAAGAACGGGATTACACAACAACCCACAAGAGGCAGGGTCCTAAATACAACCAGATGTCACCGTTCGGGCTGTACACAGTTCAGTAAATAACAACCCTGTCTTTTTCAGCAACCCAGCTCGTCTGTGTTTCTTCATAACAACTAATACAAAAGGATGAAACAGGAACAAAACATTGGAGGGACTTTTCATTTCTGTTACACTTCTCCAAAATAAGACCTCGCCAGGACACAGTTTCAATCTCCCTTTCCAGTTCAGATGCGGGAAATCCTGCGGGCAGAAAACATTTCTGGGAAATTGTGAGAGTCTTCAGTTGCAGACCTACTTTGAGGTTACAGATGACACAGTAGTAAAAAAAAACATGTAAATCTGTACCAGGTTTGGTTTTCCATAAAGCGGTATTCATAGAGTTAACTGTGCAAAAACACAGTCGTGACTCAAACAAATCCCACGAGGAAAATAAATCCAAAATCAAGGAATTTCCTGGACAGAACAGTAAAAAGTCTGTTTTATGATCCTGAATAAGTGTGAAAAACAGTTTAACTCTGCTGCTCAGATCAGTGTTGTCTGCCCAGCAAAACCTTCAGAGCGTTTTAAAGGTTGACTCTCTAGTAGAAATATTTCCAAGTTTCATCCTAGTACATTCCTCAGGCCAAACCCCACCGCACCACATGATGTCAATTTCCTGCAGGGAAAATTCAATCAAGATGGCCGTAGATATGCCTGATTAGTTTCCAGCAACACTTCGAGCTCGACTCCAGGGAGAAAAAAGGAGTCCTTGTTTTAGAAAAATGAGACACAGAGCTCTATCTTTAAAGAAGTCTGTCTAAAGTGGTCTTAAAACAAATCATGGGTCAAAACCTTGAAAAATCATTAACCTTCTAAATTTCAAAGAAAAATTTCCATCTCAAAACAAAACGAGTCTCCACTGACGATCCTTTCTGGAGCTGAGTGTGTTAGGAAGGTTGTTTTTCAAAGGTGCAGAATCAATCATTTAAAGTCTACACCATATCAGAGAGTACAGGAGCACTGTTCGATAAACACAGTGAAAATGTTTGGCTCACTCAGGAAAAAAAATAATGAAACAGCTGTGCAGCTCTTCTTGGAAAGCAGCTGGCTGTATGATGCAGGTTTTTGTATATGTAACTCTGGGTCACTCGTACACAAATGCCCTTAAGAGGAAAATCTTTTTTTTTTAAGTACCAAATAAATAAACAGCAAATACTGAGTATCTCATGCAAAAGTTAAAAAAGAGCTCCTTTCAAACTTGCTATTCAACCCCAAATTATGCAGACATTAACCAGAGGAGGCGTGTAAGAACACAGATGTCCAAACCAGTTTGACCATACACTACACAGACTAAACCTGCCTTTAGACCCTGAGTAGTTATTCTCTGCAATATCCTCTAATAAGGACAATGTGTGCATTTAGCTTTTAAATACTCCATAAAAACTCTTCTTACTCTTTCATGTTCATTTTGACGGTACAAATGTAAATAGTAGGGCCTGACCGATGTGGATTTTTTGGGGCCGATGCCGATTATTAGGAGGGAAAAATATCTGATATATCGGCCGATTTTTAATATTTTTTATGAAGTTATAAAATATATCACTCACGTAACACATTTCCAGTCTGGTCTCAACTGGAGACATGCAGCTGCCTCGGTAAGAGAAGTAGCTCGATCACGTAATGTGTACTGTTGTTTATTCTACCGTTACTGGCACGGCTAACAGTGTAGCAAGGCTAATAGCAGATGGCTAACTCTAAATTTAGCTTGCATATTACATGGTGCGTCACTGTTAACTTAGCATAACCAAGACCAGCACAGCAGGGAACATCGTGAAGTGGGTTGAACTGAAACTTGTTGAGTTATTGTGTGTTTCACAAACTGGTTGGACCACTCTCCTCCGTCCGTCCCTGAGCTGCCTGCTTCAGATCCCTTACTCTGCTGTGCTGTGAGGTAGTTAGTGGATGAAGATTGTCATGAGGTCGCTGCACCATCTACAGGATAAGTCGGGGAGTCTTTTCAAATGGCGGAACATTTTCAAAGGGAAACCGTTCTCTTCCTTTTATTTCTGAAAATCTCAGCGAAAATCTGCGAGTTTTGGCCTATTACTGATTTGTCTCAAACGGGCTAAAATTGGCTGATTTAATTGACTTGCTGATAAATCGATCGTGTATTTTGACTGTACAAATGTAAATAGTGACCAGATTTGCTTTGGAAGGGTTACAATTCTTTGTCGAGTCATGACACTTTGTGTGTTAATACTGACTTTTGATATTGCAACAGATTCTCATGTTTTTTTTTCTGTCCTTCTTCTGTCTCTCTTTTTGTTTAACCTGCTTTGTCTTTCTCGGCCCATCTAGCTGTCTAAAGCTGGTCCAGGTCTCCGCCTGGACTGCTCATATCGCCACATGCTTATTCACACTGGATTAATAAGAGGTCTCAGTGTGCCTCTGAGCTCATAGCTGAAGCAAAAAACAGCAGCGAGGTTCAGGAAAAACACTTGAAGATGGCCATCATAGGAATCGCTGCTCTGTGTCACACTCACCTTGTCCATGTGAAATATGAGATCCAGCTCACAGACATTTTCAAAGCACTTGTCCAGCGTCTCCACAAAGACCTAAAGTGAAAAGATAAGAAAAGTTAAACAGATCATATCTCAAATCACCACCTGCATACAGAAGAGAGAGCTTTGAAAGGTTGAAAAGAAAATAATTTTAGAGTTGTTTTTTTCAGGACATAATAACATACTAAATAATAATAGACATAATAAATACTTCAACTTAAATGGCTCTGATAAGAAGAAATACTCCTCTTCACGTGATCATTTAAAGGACTGCGCATAGAGCCTAAATCTGTGATATCAGCCTTTCCACTTCACATTTTTATTAGTATATGGCTTCTTGTGTTATCAGCGAGATTCTCAATGAGATCGGCAGAAGAGTGTGTTTCATTTTTCTACCAGCACCAGAATCATGAGGAGAAACCGTGAAAAGAAAGGGGTTAGAGATGATTCCTGTTTCTCAAAATGAACCCTGCACAGGTATTGTAATGAAAAGGAGCTTCTTTAGTAGCTCAAGGGGGAGACAGAGTCTTTTATTCATGCTTTGACTGTACAAAGGTTGAAATGGAAAAGAGAGAGATGTTTGTAAAATCAAAAACATTTAAAAAAAACATCTGACAGGTGATAAAAGAACAACTATTTATCTCAGAAAAGTCCTTTGCAATGACATTATTACCTTTCAGCGTTGATTCTATGAGTATCTGAACTAGGGCTGTCACGATATATCAGTATTAATGATAAGATGATAGGTGTCTTCAACCACATGAACTTTGTTTGCAGTTCTCCCTACCCCTTTTTATAGAAACTCATACCCAGAACCCTGTTAGGAGCCTTTCTAGCTTCAGAACAGTGCAGATTTCGTTGACGAAGCCCCTTTTTTTCAGGACAAAGACATGACGTTGACGAGCTAATCATAAGTCTAAGATGACTAAAATGTGACGAGACAAATGTGCATTTACGTTGACGAGACTAGACGAAAACGTTAGAGGTGGACCCCAAACAGAGTTGCAAAATTCATGAGCATTTTGTCAGTCAAACGCTAAACATATATTTTGCAGTGTTGTTTTCGTTGACGAAATATTCGTCATCGTCAACAAAAACAACACTGCTTCAGAACTTGTACTAGGTACTCTCCCAGAACAAGAGGGACTTACAGGTTCCCTGTGATTAGTACCACAGACAACCATTTTAAAACCCTGCAGTTCATGTTAGTAAACGATTGCTAAAATAGGAGAGAATAACAAAGCCCAAGCTTAAATAGTTGAGTGTTTATGTGACGGAGATAGAACAATATTTGTACTCTGTTAAGTGTAATATAAAAAACTCTGAAAGTGTTAACCGCCAACTTTCTACAACTATCCACCACACAAGCAGTGCCGTGAAGAGATAAAGAAACTCAAACAAAGCCACAAAAAAAAGAAAACTGCAACTACCAAAGCTAATCTGACAGGAAACCCTTATTTGGCTATGGACCAGCATATGCTGTTTATAGAGGCAAAAAGATTTCATCAATTAGGCTTTCAGTGGCTTTTGTTACTGGCATGCTGAGAGCTGGAGTCCACCTGCAAAGGGTAAGTGGCTCTCATTGTGGCATTTTCCTTATTTTTTGCTGGACTGTGTGAGTGATGCTTCTGTAGCAACTTTTGGCCGGCTTACCACACTTCAATATTAATGTCAACCAGCAACAGGGCAGTGAAAAGGCAGACAGGAGGGCTGTGATTCTTTGAAAACCACCTGGTGGATAGATAATTCTTCTAAAGTCGATAAGTCGAAGTAGAACTGTTTGGTTGTAAAACACTTATTAACTAACTTTATTAAATATAGACCGATTGATGCTAAAATTAATCAAACAGGTTCAAAGCAGAGAGCCAGAGTGGGTCTTAACACTGCTTGCCAATGGACATAAAACAAAGGCAACACAAAGAGGTAGCAGCAGCAGGGGAGACCCAACAACAAGCCAGCTTTTACCCCAATACATGGCTTCTACTGCAGCATGAACCATGTCAGAGGAGATAGATGAAAGTAGGGCTGGGCGATAAACCGAAAATTTACAGATACCGAAATTTACGACAATAACCTACGTCATTTTGCCCATATCGGTATATTCGGTGTCAGAGATGTGACTCCACCCCATCCAGTTCGTAACATAGACAGAAAGACAGGTGAAGAGATGGAGGAGGGTTCAAAAGTTGTAGCGGCTGGAGCAGTGGCTGAAATAGATTAAGTTAATGTGGGAGGGGATGAGCATCTTGTGGAGTATTTATCGTCCATTTATCGTTATTGAGGTGAACTGCTCAATATATCATGATACTGATTTGAGGCCATATCCCCCAGCCCTCGGCGAAAGTGAGGTACACTGCTCACACCCCAAAAAGCCTAAGCTAAGTTATAATCATGTTGGATTTACAGTGTTCAAGTCTACATGTATTCAATGAAATACTCACTGAAGTTTAGCAATTATGTTTTTCATTTTTCTGTGTAATTATACTGTTGTTTTTTGTCAACAAAAATGTGAAATTGGCATTAAATATCTGCCAATAACCAACCTGTCAGTAAATCAGTTAAATAGACTACAAACTGACCTGGATCAGGTCCAGAATGCCCAGCTCACTCTCAGACGAGTCCACACAGAAGACAAAGTAGAGGGTTGCGTAGTGTCTGTAAATCAGTTTGTAGTCTGAACCACCGATGAGACTGTGAGGACAAAAAAAAAAACATTACTTTACACACACAAAATATCAGGATTTGTGCTTCAAGGACGAGAGTAGCAGGACTAAAACCAGACCAGGCCATTGATTGCTTAAATCCTTTAATCGAACCCTTTAATTTCTCTTTTGGAATTTCCCCCCGTGGGACTAATAAAAGTGTATCTTATCTTATCTCTTAATGTGCGCTGTAAAATAGAGACATGTGGTTAATTAGGTATGAGTTTATCTGTTTTATTGCTTTATTTGGACTCCCATTAACTGAAGCAGCACTTCTCTTCCTAGATTGGTGATATTAAAGATATCACAAACTGTCTACAGCAAAACAGAGAGAGAGAAAAACACGATAACATTTGAAACAAGAATGAAAAAAAAAATACTGCACTAAACAAACCAAGAAGACCAGGATAAAACTATTAAAAATCACACCATAAGTCATATCTGAAGTGCCCCCTTTATGTCTTCCCAACCAATGAAAGAGACCAAGCGGTTCTTCACTGTTGATCAAACAGTATTTGTTTTGTTCAGCCACGAGATGTTCTGTGACATTAGATACTTTTTTATTCTCCTTTGCAAAAACACCTTTACTGATTAAACAAATTAAAAGAAGTGGCCGAGACCTGGCCGACTTCTGTGGGTTTGCTTCCATCTAATGGTTACAGTCGTGTTACTGCATCCACACTTAGCTGCTCATTAGAGGCTCATCTTTGCTGCCAAGTGACGTCAGCATCTGTTGTGGCACAAAAGCCCCGAAAAGGGGGCCAAGGTTTACAGCAGTTCGTCTGTAAAGGCCAAAGAGACTGTGGCATAACACCTCATGAGTCAAATCACGTCAACTGCTCTGCCAATTTTTATCTCAAAAGACACTTTATATTGTCGTTAATTTCATAATTATCTGACATTTAATGACATGAATCTAATTTTGTCCAGTGACTGAGTTAATCCACTTAAATAAGTCAAATCACAATTATCTAAATCTCAGTTGCAGCAGCTTCTCCGACTTGCGTTGACAGACAAATCTGTAACTCTGTGTGCTCTCAGATAGTTTAGGCATTTAATCATTGGCTTCTTGGAATGGCATATTTGCACAGAACTGCACAAACATCTTGACTCACCTCCCACCCTCCAAGAAGTTGCAGACATTGTCGTCTCTTTTAGACACCAAATGGAAAGTCTCCCGGATGATCTGCTGCTGCATGTCCTCCGCCTGCAAGAAAACATGTTACCCAGTCTGCTAAATCTCTCAACCGTCCATGAAAATGTAGAGTGAGTCTGGTAAACAGTCCCAACCTACAGACAAATGTTATTATTTAGCTGATGTTTTTTTAAAAGTTTAGTTTGATGATGTGTAGTTAACATTGCACTAGGATAGCGAGTTATTAAAAAAAATGATGGTTTAAAGGTAAAAAAACAAATGCTTTTGTGGTACCAAATCCCATCAAAAGCTAAACTCCAAACATACTAGAATATTGAACATCTATAACTGTTTGTCTGCTGAAGGTGGCCATGCTCTGAGGGATGTGGTAGTCATGTGGTAGATGAGATAGTACCAGCATTGTCCCTACTTGACAGGCTTGCCAAACAGAGTTTGGCGCTGTTAAAGGTGGCAATGCTGTCTGGGTTGCAGAGGCCACTGAAGGCTATGAGGTGGGTTACATAACTTATCAGCTCGGCTAAAGTGTTAGAATGAGGGTGAAATCACTGACCGTTTATCCTTTTCAATCAAACAACAATACTTACACATTCAGTCATAAACTTGGAATTTCCTGATAACATGAGCATGAGGAACTGTCAATATGTTAACTAGATATTTTGACTCTAAATGAGGAAAGAAAAAGGGGGAAAGCACCTTCATTGGCTTCTACCTAGACACAGATGCAGTTAATGTGAAAGGTTTTACCTTTTTTTATTTTTTTTTTGCTTCCCTCATGTTTGTTAATGAAGTGATGAAAATGCAAGAAACAGCTTACAGTTTAACACACTCCAGTACACCACAATCTCCCACTACGTCTCCGTTGGCACAGTGGATATAAAAAGTCTACACACCCCTGTTCAACAGCTAGGTTTTTGTCGTGTAAAAAATTAAATCAAGATAAATAATTTCACAACTACTTCCACCGTCAGCACACAGCTGTTACCAATTAAAGTGCCTCTGATCAACCCAAAATAAAGTTCAGCTGCTCTAGTAGCTTTTCCTGACATTTTTGTAGCCACATCTTCCAGCACAAGCCATGGTCCGCAGAGAGCTTCCAAAGCATCAGAGGGATCTCCTTATTCAAAGATATCAGTCAGGTGAGGGCTACAAAAGAACTTCCAAGGAATTAAATATACCATGGAACACAGTAAAGACTGTCATCATCAAGTGGAAAAAATATGGCACAACGGTGACATTACCAAGAACGGGACGACCGTCCAGAATTGATGATAAGACAAAAAGAAAACTGGTCAGGGAGGCTACCAAGAGGCCGACAACAACACTGAAGGAGCTGCAGGAATTTCTGGCAAGTACTGGCTGTGTAGTACATGTGACAACAATCTCCCGCTGTCTTCATATGTCTGGGCTATGGGGTAGGGTAGCAAGGCAGAAGCCTTATCTTACAAAAAAAGCATGGTCGTGGCAGCATCATGCTTTGGGGCTGTTTTTCTTCAGCTGGAACTGGTGCCTTAGTCAGGGTGGAGGGAATTATGAACAGTTACAAATACCAGTCAGTGTTGGCACAAAACCTTCGGCCTTCTGCTAGAAAGATGAAGATGAACTTCATCTTTGAGCACGACAATGACCCAACGCACACATCTTAATCAACAAAAGAACGGCTTCACTGCAATAAGATTGAGACTTTGGAATGGCCCAGCCAGAGCCCAGACCTGAATCCAATCCAACATTTGTGCAGTGATCTAAAGAGGCCTGTGCACAGGAGATGACCTCTCAATCTGTCAGATTTGGAGCGGTTTTGCAAAGAAGAGTGGGCAAATATTTCCACATCAAGATGTGCCACGCTGATAGACTCCTACCCAAAAAGACTGAGTGCTGTAATAAAAGCCAAAGGTGCTGCAACAAAGTATTAGTTTAAGGGTGTGCGTATTTATGCAACCAGGTTATTTTAACTTTTCTATTTTTTGTTTTTCCCCTTAAAGGTTTCAGTTTGTTTTTCAATTGCATTGTACAGGTTACAGGTCACATTTAAGGTGGAAAAAGTTGTGAAAATATTTATCTTGCCGTCATTTTCTTACATCATGAAAACCTGGCAGTTGAACAGGGGTGTGTAGACTTTTTCTATCCACTGTATATCACTTTTGTCTCTTTTGTTTTCAAAGCCTGGAGGAAACGTCTGCACAGTTTATTCCTGTAAAATTATTTTTGACATTTTCACAGCTACTACTTTTGTTTTCATGTTAAAATATCGTATATGCGTGATACAATAATAATCAAATCATTATGAAACACAATACTGGTCCGTCTGATCGTACAGAAAGTGGGAGCTGATCTGAAGCTTTCTGAAGGTAGTATTTGCTGTAAAAGGTGTAAAGGACTTCCCCATGTATTCATAATGTTGTAACAGGTAAGTTTATTTTAGAAACAGATTTGTTTGTCTGAATAGGAGGAACTGAAACCAAACCGCGAAATCACTGTGTGATCAGCTCTGTCGAACATAACTCACGAATGTCATAAGACGTATTTTCTAATCTTGTTTTTAGCCTGAAATTTAATAACACAAATCAATGAACCAGTCAGAAATTTTCAAGAGAGTGACATGAACCCAGCACAGACTGACAACAGCTACAGCTCATGCTAATGTTTTCAACAACAACCCCCCAAAATACTTACAAAATACTGATAGAACCTGATCAGCCGCGGTTTCCCATGGTTGTTGAATATCAGAATAGCTTTGATCATGATTAATTAGTTAAATTCACCACCTCCTATATGAATTCAAGCGTCTAATATAACGCTGTTGACAATTTATATACCGTTAGCGGGGATGCTAACTAACGGCCTCTCATTTGCCGGATGATTTAATCGGTTACATCCGGGTGAGTCTCCACATTCAGCAGTCGACCTCCCACAAACATTTCTGCTCTTTTGTTCCGGGGAGTTCATCGAGTGCAGTTATTATTTTATTTCTTCATCAGGTTCTAGTATTCTGAATATCCCCGCTATACATTTGGCATACAAAATTCATACCCCCTTTTCGTGCTATCGTGATATGCAAATGTAATGTCCCATGTAAGTAAGGAACCAAAAGAAGGTGCAAAACTAGGACACAAGCGTGAATCCCTCTGGCCTTTACTATCTCTTACAGTTCTGATGATATCCTCCATGAAGCATACACTGGATCATAAATAAGATTGTAAAATAAATCTGAGCTGGACATTTGAGGAAAAAAATAAACAATGAAAAGAGAAAAAAGGAGGGAAAAAATGAAAAAATACCAAATGATGACAAATGCAAACACTGCTTCGAAACCATGAACTGTAGAGCTCTGTAAAAAAGCAGAGCGAAAAAAACAACAACAAACGGTGTTTATTTGTTGAGGTAGTGTTGTCAGCTTTGTGTAGCTTCATAAAGCCAACATCCCCTGGGTGGTTTACATTGGTTTTCTTTTGTTCTACTACCCTGGGTCATCAGTTTTGAGCTTATTTCCTAGCACATGACATCATTTCCCAGTCTTTTCGACTAATGCACCAGCAACCAAGGCACAACATAATTAGTGGACCTTTTGTACCTCAAAGCAGTGATGTCAAACCAACTGTACCTTTTATTTCGCTTGACCTGCACCCTGTTTAAGAATCAAAAGCAGATTTATAGAACACAGAGGGGGGTCTTAAAAATCAAAACACAATTAAAACTTGAGCAAGCAAACAGGAACAATGGTTACAAATAGACCGACACCCTTCACGGGTGTTTTGTCAACCAAATCACAAACAAGGGCCTTTGAAATGGTTCATGTGAATTAACACTCTACTTAACAAACAACAAACATCCTGAACTTCTTTACAAAACTTCTCAGGCAAGGAACAGTCTTTTGTAAATCATCAATTATGATTCAAGCGATTTATGGAGTTAAAAGTGGAACATCGCAAACATTAAACGCATTGAATTATGACATTAAGAGAGAATAGGATATTAAAACACAATATTTATTGAAATCTATGGAGTAGAAAAAATTTACTCAAGTAGAAGAGAAGTGAATGACATTGTGGAAAAAGGAGCAGTGAATAAAAATGTTTTGAGGCTAACAGACTGAGAAATACTCAGGTAGTCTGCTCACCCTTGCCACTAAGACACTTAAAGCTGTCTTGGTCCAGGTTCAGGCCTGAGAGGTCCTGCCTTAACAAACCAAAAGGTCTGATGGGTGTTTCGCCCCCAGATGACCCAGTGCTCCAGGAGGAGAATTTCAGGATTCATCCTTTGACTCACTCAAAGTCAGTGTAAACACTCCAAATCTCATGTCTATGTTCTGTGCTCAAATGTCCACTTAACATCTTTGATTTACAGTTTAATATTGACTTTCTCTCCACATATCAGAGGGGTTAATAATATCAGATCATATTGATACTTCAGCGAAAAAGAAACAACAAAAATAATGAGTTTTTATTTTTTAAAGTCTGACATAATGCACAAACATCCAGTGCAAGGCCTATTAGAGCCTGATATGTAACACTGACCTGAAATGTAACAATGACCTGAAATGTTATTTTCAAAAAGTAAAAAAGCCGGAAATGTAATAATTGGTCAATAATGTTACAAAATGTTTGGCCTGAAATGTAATAGAATAAATATAATAGATCCCAAAATATTATAACTGACCCAAAATGTAACAAGTTGCTACATTTTGGGCAAAAAGTTATCATGTTTTGGGCTCAGCATTTTGTTACATTATCAACCAGTTAATACATCTCAGGTTTTATTACATTTTCTATTACATTTTGGGTCATTGTTACATATCCAGTTCTAACAAGGCCTTTCTGCAACTTTTGGCAGTAAGAATCATTGTTGAAAAAGTCCATGTATTTTTCACTTTAAACAATGTCATTACAAGTTGATTTTGGCTCCCCTTGTGGACAGATTAGCACCTATTTGACTGATGATTTTTTCTGACACGAAAATATAGTTTTTACCAAAAAAAAATCTCTTGCCCTTTTTTTAAAGAGTAAAACATATCACTAAATGTGGGCTTCACATTTCAGCAGCGCAAATTTCTTTAAAAAAGCCATAAAACCAGACTTTACACAGGACCAAAATGAAGTTATTGTAATTTAATGTACAGTATACAAAAATAATTAGAGTAATATCAGCAATTTATCAAGGATTAACAATGGGAAGAGATACTTTGATGGACTGTATTTAAGTTAAATGGTAAAAAGAAAGTGAACCTTCTGAAGATTAGTGTAATAACATACAACAAATAACCACCAGCTCCAGCAAGTGGAAAGATTTTTGTTGGAAAAAAGACAAAAAAGAAAGTAAATTTTTAACAGCACAGACATGCTGGAGACTGTGTAGGGGAGTAAATGTAGATCACACCCATATTTTCTGGAAATGTGCAAAGTTGGAAAAGTACAGGAAAGATGTCGAAGGAGAAGTAAAAACAGTTCTTGGTCATAAATTATCAAAGAACTTTTCAGTTTTATATCTTGGTGCCCTGACAAGAAAAAAAAATGTTGTGAATCAAGACTTGGTGAAGGTTTCACTTGCAGCAATGAAAAAGGAAATGGTGCGCAGAAGACCAGCCTACATGAAAAAACTGATTGTACATTGTAGAGGATATCTTTGATGTGGAATGACTCAGCAATGAAGTCAGCATTTGGAATTTATAAAGAAACTGAAAAAAGGGACAAGACCCCACACAGAGACGCCACCAAATCTCCCTGATGAGGAAAGTGATGCACACAGTTGTTTGAAGAGCTGTTTAGCTCACTGGCATGAACATTTTAAGTATGTATCAAGGGTTTTAGTCTATTCTATTTTACTGTGCTATGCCTTTTTCTCAGAGAAAAGTAATGAAATTTAATTTCACAATTCAAGAGGGTGCTAAGGGCGCAGAGTCTTGAAGTACACACATACATGAGACAATGTGCAATGTAACAAATACTTTTTAAATCCAGTGTTTGTTACTCAATGGGTCAGATTTCTGCGATATTGAATGAGTCATAATATTATATGTGATTGAGCTTTCTTTTAGGCTTTTTCTACTTATTGCAAAAAGCAGTTAAAGAAAACAAACTGTCTGTGATTTTCCTGCCCCATGTTGTTGAATAAAGGGAGAAAAATAAGTCTGATTGTTGTGTTATTGATGTATTCTGAGGCTTCATGATACAGATACTGACATTAATATTTGGCTAATACTGACTCAACTGGGCAGTTCTGTCTAATTCTGTGTGTGCCATATCTCTATTTGCACGCATGTGTGTGTATGATGTGCATTAGGAGTGCACCAGGTGGCCATTTCACTGTGAGAAAGAAGAGGGAGTTACCGAGCCTGTATGGAGATATTTCATCCCTATTACACCATAAAATTGTGTTTTATGATATCTGCAGAGATCACATTTGTTTTACAAAGTAAGGATATGTAACTCAAACCAAATGTTGTCTCACACATGAAGAATATAGAAGCACGCATCTTGATTTTAACAATAAAGCTGGATTGGTTTTGACTGTCCGCACATGTATTTAATTGGTTTTCCATTTTGAAAACATGATGGTGCATCCATAATACAGTATATACCTTACAATTAATATAGGTTCTTTAAGCATCTTGCTCTACATAATATACCTTACTTTCAGATGGACTCAACCAGACAAAGCTTATTAGTCTGTGGTCAAATGTCAGTTTATCAGGAGATCCTCAGGCCACGATCACACCACTTCAGTCAAAGCAGGCCAGTGGACATCCTGTAGATCTTTGTGATCAGACCCAGCAACATCAGAATGTCAGGCCACATTTCCTGCTCTGATTTCATATCCATTAATTCTCTGTTCTACGTTTTTCATCATTAGCGCGGCAAAGCCACCCGGGCTGTTGTCTGCATATCATCTATTATTTCCCCTCTAAATTCCCTTCCTCCTGCATGAGCACAGTGGAAAACAAACAGACGCTCATTAGCATGTGTGACCCGTTGGTGGTAAACAGGCTTATTTCCACATGAGTGCAGTGCGAGAATGGACTCCACCAGGACAGTCGAGGTAGGTGGGCCCGCCGGCTGCCTTCATGGGGACTTTAATAGGGACTTAACAAATGCAAGTGGACAGGCACAACATTCTCTGGCGCAGGGAGGTCATGTTGGTACAGTGAGCACTTGTTAGAGGGTGACTCACTGTATTTGGTCTCTTGGGTGGCCACTGATATTCACTTCATTTTTAATGTGCATTTTTCCCCCCAGTGCTAATTGTTGGATTGTGACAGATGCCGAGCGCTGTCTGCCAGAGCTGAGGTAATGTGCAGTGTTCAAATAATGCTTCTGTGCTCTGCTCTGTGAAGTGATGAAAGCAGCCTGTAATTACAGGGATAATCAAAACTGTCAGGGGCTCCTCTATGGATGGTTCTGTTTACTGTCTGCTCCTCTCACAGCATCACAAGCTGCAGGACCCCCACTTCCTCAGCCCCGACCCCAGACTTCCGAGGATCCATGTAACTGTACCTGTCCGCGTGTCAAACAAAGTATAAGTCAATGTAGTGACATAAACTGAGTTAAATTCTCAGTTTGGAAGAAAGCTCAAACTTTATGAGTCATTTATGCACAAAAATCCTAACATCTCAAAGGTTATACAGAGCCTGTGCATGAAAAGAGTCTCAACCTACATTTTACTATTTCCTCCCAATGTAAAAGAAAATACAGTACAGTCGCAGTACCCCATTATTCCCATATGCGAATTCGTAAAATAGAGTTTCTCTACCCACTTGATACTTACAGTATTTACAGCAGATCGGAACTCTGCAGTTCAATCTCTTCTCCGCAAGATGGCAGCATTTCGGCGTCCCTTCAGAGGAAACTCTATATTGTTGCATGATTTGCTGCCAAGCTCCACAAACATGTCTACATAATGAGATGTATTTAAGGGGATTTTCCAAACTGCTCTATGTTTATTCTGTAAAAATCATCCACCCATTTCATATCACTAAAGTGGTTTTATTTCAGTAAACAATATTTTGAAATGAGCCTTGGTGTTTTTGTCATACGATATTACAAATGTCATAGCTAAAGAACCAAAAAGGGTTTTTTTAAACAGAAAATTTTGCATAATGTGAAATCAATGAATGAATTAAAACATATATTATTGTTTAGAGTGAATAAATAAGATTATGGATGATGTAGGTTAGGATTAACATTAACGGTGACGGATGACTGTGATTTTTGTCAGAAATAGCGTTACGATTAAACATTACAAGAAGAAGGCACACCTATGACTACATCATTGATTTAAAGAGTTATTACAGGCGGTGCAGACAAACACGATCTTTGTGTAGGAATCCTCTCCTGTGAGCTCGAGAGCTGCAAAACAACCCTGATCCTGGATCAGAATCCCGTCTTTCATTCAAACCGCGTCGTTAACGGAGCCGCTACGGTGGTACGCAGAGAGGAGTAGAAATAACAGATATCTCACTCTGTCCGCTTTTAAACTGTTAAATGTTTTTACTATGTGCTTTACAAAGTACAGGAGTAAATAATGGCTTTAAACTAGACAGTACTTTTTAAACGAATAACAATCATCTCAGTGGTGGTTATAACCCCTGCCTCTGTTTCTGCTTTGAATGCGGTGTGCAAAAAATCCCCCTCCTTCTAAATTAATCCTTTAAAGAATTGCCAAGTGCCCCTTACTTATTATCTATGGGCAGGTGATTCAGTTGACAATCCTGCTAACAAGCAGAGATAAAAACAGACTTGCTTGTGATTGGTACCAAACCAGTCACTATGGTAACTGCTCTCCTATGGTGGCAGTCTGGACCATAGTGATTCATCTTTACAAATAGAGACGATCTGTGCGCACGGCGCCGTGTTTATAGTGAACACGGCAGACTGCAGACTGATCGAAGGAGACGGTGTATGTGCCTATATATTTACCAGCCTAACTGCTTAACCACCTATCTATCGACGAAGGGCATTAGTTAAGCAAATGACTTGCCTCAAATCGAAGAAAGAAGGACAAATCCCCTATTTTCCGTTGATATGAAGGTGAATTACAGCTACCACAACAACGCGGTGCGTGTGTGCATGATGAGCGGCTGAGGAGGAGGAGGAGAAGGAGGCTGCGGTCTGAAACCAGATTTTTATCCTGGATTTTTCGAAAGAAATGTCGTTTCATTCACGCCGGGAGTGTTTAAATTGATTTCATGTTACATTTTTGGTTCGAGACCTCCTGTTTTCATCCCATTTCGGCTGGTATTTAAACCGTTTTTTTGCCTCCTGTGGATCCTCCAGCAGCGGGACGTTGAAGGTTTTTTCCTCCAGATATGGAGTGTGAAGATGCGGATTACAGAGGAATCCCCGCCGCTGCTTTAACCGCATTGCTTTCATTCTCCACATCATTGCGGTGTTATTTTTGGCAAGAATAGACCAAACTATGAGTAAATATTTCCAGAGCAGAGGAATAAATCGGTGATTTTGGAGCACGGTCGGACTCCCGTTTGGAAACGTGAGGGGGGCTATCCTGCTAGCCTGCATGTAGCAGCTATTAGCTCCATTAGCCGGCTAACAGCTAAAAGGTGCTGGCTGCAGATTAAAAAAGCTTTTTAGTATTTCTGACCAGGTTTCGGCCACGTTTCCTCGCCTTGACATATTTACTGACAGGATTTGGTGAAATTTACTCATCCAGGAATGAGGTCTCGAACGGAAAGGAGCCGCTTGACCTTGTTTTGGGGTCTGATGCTGGGTCTGTCGTCCTGCCTCCGGCCCGCCACCGCAGAGAGTAAGTCATGTTGCTCCACACGGGGAAACACTGCTTTATGCTTCAGTGCTGCATAAATGTGGGAATTTGTTTTCATAAAATTGTCAAGATTCATTCATTACATATGCAATTATCTGCTCCTTAAAAAAGGTGTTATGGTTTTCTGGCTTTCTACAATTTCCATTCGTGCATTGATGGAGAAAATTTAATGTTTACCCAGGAGAAAATTAGATGAACCATAATGCTACAAGTTATGTGGCTGGCGGTTAAATATATCACCTTACATGCTTTATTTATATAGTCATGGCAAGAATCCAAAGTGATGTTTACACAAGATTACTTTTAATGGACCACGGTTGAAGGAAGGTGATAAAAGATATCAATTAACAAAATCACATGTTGTAAATTGTGTATTATATTGTGTGCTACTGTACATTTGGTGAGGATGTTTCGTTTCCGGTAAGGAAGCGTGTAATAAACTGCTGTATGATTAGTTGAAAAAGTACCTTGGTTTGAGTTAGAACAAGGATGTAGGCAATGGTGAGTCTTTATTTTGCATCGTGTTCAGCATAGGTGAGGTGAGTGAGTTCATAGATACTTTGCGGAAGATGCAGATAATATGAACTGACTAGCCATAACATAAACACCTGTGCAATCTAATACAATCCAATCCAACAGCTTTGCTCTAAATGCTACTTACAGGAAGCTGAAACTTACAGATCTTGTTTACATGGTGAAGCAAAAACTTTCTGTACTTTCCAACTGCAGACATAGTGGATGGTCTTCTTCTATAAATGATGTTCCTTTTTATTTTATTTATATCATTCATTAACATGAGGGTAGCAAAATATCAGAAACACATTTCTGTATTATGGGCTCTTACTACAACTTGTCAACAAGTTGTAGTAGGAGAGCATGTCAACAAAAACTGCAAAAGGGGACACATCATAAACGTAGAACTAATTGTTCTAGGATGTGCCGATGTACGATTTAATCGTGATATGCGATATTAAACGGCCGCGCTGATGAAATCGTAGGGTACTGTAATAATCGTTCCACAATTATAATTTAAAGACGAGTGGCAGCGTCACTCAGCAGAGGCGAGTGAAGCTGAGTACCTACCGACCTAACCCGCTTGTAGTCTTACCCACGGTGTCAAAGCCTCAGTAGCAAAATGTACAAACAAACCACCACAAAAGTAGTTCCAAATCCAAAACAAACTCTCGAATAAAGTACATCAATGCCAGCGCAACAAAAACGGGAACATTGAAAGAGAAAATGAAGAAACTTTACAACAACCAGAAACAGTTTGAAGAAGAAAAAAAAGTTGACGCACACGTTCCAACTTCCAACCAACGTAACGATGCAGCCAGACCAAGAACAGTCGGAGACTGAAAATGATGAAACGCCTCGGCTGTATCCTTCAATTAAAAAGATTTTGTCGGCAGTATGGATGTTTAACGGCTTCACAAAACATACGGAGCAGGTAAACCTGACACCAATCTGCAGGTTATGCTGTTAGGAAGTTGCAGCGCCGTTGTCTAACACTTCAAACCTACGTGCCCACCTCCATGAACACCATCCAGCATCATTCGCCCAAATCAAGGTAAAAACAACATGACCACAACAAGTTTGGTCTACTCTACTGCTCAATATTGACAACATTAGTGACGTTTCTGCTAACTTTAGCTCCAAAAAGCGAATGCTCCCAATGTCGCGTTTGCTGCCTCTTGCTCATATTGTTTGTGTCATGCTGTGCACAGAGAAGTGATTTCACAGTTTTTTGCCATTTTTAATAACGTTACAAGCAATGCGCTAATATCATGAAAATATCGTGAATCGTGATATTTTGGGCCGCCAATATCGTGATATCAAATTTTTAATATTGGCACATGCCTAGTGAGGTGAGTGAGTTCATGGAGACTTTGCAAAAGATTCAGATGATATGAACTGACCAGCCATAACATAAACACCTGTGCAATCTAATGCAATCCAATCCAACAGCCTTGCTATAAATGCTACTCACAGGATGCTGAAACTCAAAGATCTCGTTTACATGAAGCAAAAACTTTCTGTACTTTCCAACTGCAGACATAGTGGATGTCCGCTACTATAAATGATGTTCCTTTTTATTTTGTTCATATCATTAATAAACATGAGGGGACGAATATCAGGAACACATTTCTGTATAATGCCCTCTTAGTACAACTTGTCAACAAGTTGTAGTAGGAGGGCATGTCAACAAAAACTGAAAAAGGGGACACATCATAAATGTAGAACATATGGTATTGCTTTGTTTTGCATTGCATCAGATTGCCCAGGTGTTTATAATGTTGAGGCTGGTTGGGGATAACAAAAGTAAATGAGTATATTCAACTAAGTATTGGTTATCATTGAGATATAGGCTATAAAAAAGTGAAGTTATATTTGTGTAATTCATGTTTAAAGCAGTCCTAAAAGTGAGTCAGCTTAAGTGTGATGATAAATACATTACTGTGACTCAGCCTGTGGAGAGAGTCTGTCAAGTTTATATATACACCTCATTGTCATCAGTGACTCACACTGTGGTGAATTAAAATCAACAAAGAGTGGAAGGTATCTGTGATCCCAACAGAAAACCACTAACAGAAATAGGGTGAGGAACAAAGGTGGGTTTTTGGAGTTAAGATTGGCTTGTGTTCCTCCACATCCAACATTAGCACAAAGTAGTTTTACTTTTAGAAAGGAAAACCAACAAAGCTTGAATGTGACGTGATAAGCACACATGGACACGTAAGTGTGACGCTCATTGTTTTCATTGTAGTAGACCGCAGACAGTGAAGCTGTGATGGCCTACTGTGTGATTCAGTCAAAGAGTCAACATGAAAATTGTCACAAGTTATTAATTTCTTCAACAGAGTGAACGTCACACAACCTTGATGATTAATATTAGGCTTTCCATTGTGTGTCTGTGTTTTAATAACACACCTTAAATATTGGCAGGAACCGCAGCATACAGATGTGCAAGTCTAAAGGTGTCGCATTGCTTTTCTTAACCAGGATATCGTAATTAATCTATTAAAGAAACTCAGGAAAAACATTGACCTTGGAAATGTTTTTATGAAGCTCCAGTATGTCCATCAGTCACAGACTCATCCTGCCAACAGGCAAATGAGGATAACCACAAAAGGGTGGAAGTTAAAGATTGTAATCATAATATTAAAACTATTAAAGTAAACTACTCAAGAACTTTTAAGAAGTGGCATCACCCAGATGGTTCAGTGGAGGGAGGAATGAGGCTAAGCTACTGTATGGCAGCGCATTGACGCCCACAGCCTCTGTTGGCTTGTAAACCTTCAAATTTAATGAATTTAAGCATCTTTATTTATTCAGAATTTCTTTTTATGTGCTGCCACATTAAATTTTTCCATGTCTCCAGCTACACTGTAAACTAGGCTTCCTGATTCATCCCATTCATCATGACATGCTGGGGAGGGGTGGGTTGGGGGCTTGAACCAGGGTCTGGGTTTTAAAATAGACCAAGCCAAAGTACATTCGCAAGCAAAACAGACTAAGTTCTGTTGATTGGAAAGAGTGAGGAGCTTGTGAACTGTGTGTCATGGGGTTTACTGTTAGCCCCAGTGGTCACAGGACAAACCTGGGAGCAGAGAGGTTCTCCCATCGAAATCCTACATTTATTCTCACTGTGCTGCGGAGCCGTGTAAAGGTGCCTTGTGTGGCTGAACTCTAGGCATTCCTGCTGGTTTACTGTATCAGTAACTGGGGACTGAAGGGTAGCTGGTAGGTTTTGGGTTAACCAGGTTTGGCCCTCTTGCCGCGCACACCGCCTCTCAGGTGAACCAAACAAGTTTTATCTGTCAGGAGTGATCTTTTGCAAAAGCTTCCCAGCGTATTTCTTCTCACCTTGCTTCTCATGTGGAAAAGTATTTATGAATACGTTCCCCCCCTTGGGCGCTCTGTCACTAACAGGATGGAAATGAGGAGTAAACAGACTTGCTGCAGTCTAGTGGCAGTGTATGAAGCACCAGCTTAGAGGGCATATTGCTTCCTATTTCTTGTCTTATGGGGCTTCGAGTGGATTTCCTCTGATTGTCTGCGGATAGTCTGGGTGCTGCAGCCAGCTGGGAAAAGGTTATCAAGAGTAAATATGTGATCTGGAGGCTCATCAAAGCTGCACAGATAGGCTTGTGTACTCAGCTGTTTAAAATGTGTCAGTGCTGGTGGAAGAGAGGGAGGGGGGAGTTATTAGGCCCCCCCACACCTGCTATTTGTACTTTCACTTCCACACAAGATGTAAATTTCAATCAGAAAGAGCTGCGTAGTGTGTGCAGGATGAGCACGGTCAGGAGCAGTTCCCATGAAAGACGGCCATGCTGGCGTTGCAGTGAGGCCACAGAGGGTGAAGCGTCGAGGCTGCGGTGATGTAACGTCACCAGGCAGCGTGTCTTTTTTTACAGGCCCGGGTGTCGGGATTGTATTAACAGGTATGCAGCTTGCTGAGGGCTGCTGACAGTGTGCACTGACAAGTAGATTACAGAGAAAGACATAACCGCCATACCAGCACACTGCCTGCCTTAAATCACACCAAAGGCATTTTATAATGGCTCACCAAAGGCTCTCACATCCTCTCCAGAGAACTCTTAAATTCTGAACACTTTGGCAGGAAAGCTCACAGTTCTTAACCCTCTATTTTATGTGAAATTATCCTGAATTATAAAAATATTAGCAGGGGATTGATGGAGCCACAGATGAAATGTGCTTTAAACTTACATAAAAAGTTAGCTAGAGGTCAGCTATGGGAAAGTTTCAACACTTGTTGATTGTATATTTATTTGTACATTTTTTTTGTTGTTGTTGTTGGAAGTTAAGTAGATAATCTCACAATTGTTTAAGCAAGTTTCCAGCACAAGTGGGTTCAGCTTTCCTTGAGTTGAAGGAACGGGTTGAAGACTTTGTACCTTTGTTGGCTGCACCTTTTCGAAGTATAAATAGTGCAAAGAATGGGACAGTGTTATTAACGCAGTGGAAAACTGTTGTGGTCAAGTTTTTCTGCTGTGCTTATATAAAGGACGATCGGGATGATTTGCAAAGGATTAGGGTCGACGAATGAGTTTCTCAAAGCTGATATCAACATAGATTATTAGTAGCTTATGAGACCTGTCTGCAGTATTTGGAATCGAAAATGAAAATCTGTCTGGCAAAATGAAGAAGATTGCCTGGAGCAAATGTTTAATCAAAACTGAAGTTGTGGATATCACACACAGGAAGTTCCCATTTCTAAAGAGCCGCAGGTACTACCAAAGATGCCAAAGTTCAGAGGTTCTTGGCTATCACTCCTGTGACATTTAGTAAACTAGTTTGTGTTGTGGGCTGGATATTCAATAAGACAGCCGCAAGTTTAAAAAAAAACACTTTCAAATGGGAAGACAGATATGCAGTAGAGGGAAAGTAGTGAATTTCAGTGAATTGATTATATTGGCAAACGATAAAATAAAACATCAATACTGATAATTGGACAGACTGCAAATATTGGCTCCAATAAGTGGTCCGGCCAGTAATCCATCAACACCTTTGAAGCGCGGGTATTTTAGCGAGGATTTTCTCAAGATAAATCTGCAATCGAGTTATTGCCCAAACTGTGGTTTGGCTGAACGAAGCGAAGCTGAAAAACCGACAATTGCTGATATTTGACATGAGTGTAAAAATTGTGCTTAAATGAATAAATGCAGTAATGCAAAGGTGCAGCTTTCAAATGTTGTTGGGAAAAGTAAGAAAAAAAATGTATAAAATCAAATAATTTTTAATGTTAGATATATATATATATGTGTGTATATATAAAAAAATGTTTTATTACTAAACTGGAACAGTAATGTGTCAAAATGATATCAATATGATTTTGTCTTAACACTTAAGTGTCACAGAAAAAAGTTAACCTTTCATTTTGTAGCATCTAGATGTTTGTTTTATTGTTTATCAGCTCATCCTGCCTCCAATCTCTCAGTATTTAGCTAATGGTGGATGATATATTTTTCATAGTACCCAAAATTTGAGCTAAAATCATTCCAAATGAAACTGCCATATTTAAGGTTTTTAATTTTGGTCTCCAGGGTAGGGTACAATTCATCGTCACCTGTAACCTGTCTGTGTGTTTTCTGGCTTCGACCTGTCAAGCCTGTTATGCTGACACTTGTGTTTGCAGTTTTAGATACGAAGATGTTGAGAGATATTTATTTATACATCACTTCATCTTGATTACAATCTAAAAGACGGAAAGACTGAATGTGCTTCCCGCACTTGAGGACTGCTGTGACATCAGGAATTTATAATACCTATTTTACACAGGAGATGCTGGTTTGACCTGCATCATTGTGTGTGTGAAATGGGTCAAAGAAAACCACTCGACTACTTGACTGTCTTTGTGAACTTTGCCACAGATAAGTTCACTTCAGCTGCATTTTCAAAAATTTATCCTATACCTTTTTTTTAGAGGAATGGTTACTCGAACCAAAATACAGTTAATGTCTTTATCTATAGTTTGTGAGGTGTAATGTACAATAGATAGGGGTGGGCAATATGACCCAAATTCTGTGAGGTCTAATCATATTCAATAATGTATTTTTCCATGTATGTATTTATTAGAGAGTAGTGGTAGTAGTACTATCTTGCAGTTGTACAAAATTAATAGGAATCACATATTTTCTCTCTCTTCCCCTTTGAAATGAGTTTACGCTGCAATACTCAGTTTATGTCTGTGCATGAAACCAGACAGATTTTTTAAAAGTCATTTTGTGTTCAGTTCTCAGTCAGTTGTATCTTGGGGTTAGAGCACTGACTTTTCTACTACATGTTTTATTGATTTAAAAACAAACATATAATCTGGTAAATTTGTCTTTACTTACACAGATTTGACTGTACCCACGTTAACGATAATCTCTGATGTAGTTTTAAAAGCTGATTTAATTATTACCACATAAAACGGTACATTGCTACTGATGGTGAAGTAAAACAAGGTGAGCAGGATCATATGAATCAACGCTACACCTGATTGAGGTTTTTTGCCCTGCCACTTTTTAAGTCTGTGACTTTAACAAGGGGCATCTTTTCCATTTTTCAGTCCATAAACGCAGCTATATCCAATTTCATGTTCTGTAAGTTTATGTGCCACCATCATTTTCATACATTTCTCTTTTATAGTCTCTGGTGTTTGTGTCGGTTACTTCTCCAGCTTTTTCTGTGCCTTGACACCAGATTTTCGTTTTTTCTCTTTGCACATGATAACAGTTTGTCTGCAGGAGTGTGTGAGTAGATTTATATCCTAGTGTGTTATTGAATATAGACTAGTCCTCATTTTTTGAATATTGAAGTAGTTGTTAATTTTGGAAATTTTGAAGGGTTCATGAAGCAATTATTTCATCTTTCAGATATGATTTTCCCATTTTATTTTATTATTTTTATCAGGCCTTGTTGGGTTTTAACCAGCACAGTGGGGCTGTAGCCCATCTTAAAGCTGTTTGTAGGCTGTCAACTAAATAGCGAAAGAGGAAGAAAGCAGCACTAATGTCAGGCAATTGTGAAACAGGTGCGGTTTTGTGGGATTTGAAGCCACCACAGCTACAGCACATAGAAACCAAGGTACCAAGCAGAAGGAACCTATCTAACAATGAAATAGCTCCAATTTGCCACCAAAAATTAGTGTTGATGTTAACAGACTGTTGCTATGGATTATTGGCCAATAAGAAGCAAGGATCTAGGCAGGTAATAAATGCTACTAAAAATGTAAAGAAACAGTGTAATTTAAATGTTAGTTTTACCAAACCTGACCTTAAGTACACAGCCATCCACTTTCCTCATTCGGTGTAAGGCAAGAATATGCAGCAGGCACAGTCCACACAGAAGACATTAGTTAACTTTATATTTATTTGTACATGAAGGGACATCACCAGTGGACTGCAGTAATATTTCACCCTTTGAGTCACTGTTTGTAAGCTTTACCAACTGTAAAAGCTAAAATCCTTACACTTTGTTTGGTAAAAGGCAACAGTGGTTTACTATGATCTGCTTTCAGTGATGGTTTGCATTACGCTGTGATGTCAAACTGTGTTAAGGGGTCAAGGGAAGCTTTCCAGGAGCTGCTGACGGGTTCTCAGTGTTCTTTTGGTTCAAAGTTAAAACTTTGCTTTACCCTGGTGGAAGTGGTTTGTGGAGAAGACCCACATATGTTTTAGGAACAACATGTTTTTTTCGACCATCTTTAATTTATTGTATATGTTCTGCATCCCAAATTTACTGACACCATGTATACTCACAACTAAGAACAGTATGCTGACGGGACACATCAACACAAGTGGCAAACATATTGTGAAAAGTATTGAACAAGTATTGCACAGCAGAGTGAAGTGTACATCTTGTGGGGGAATATGTAAAGACAACAGCACTTATTAAATAATTGTCTATGCACACAAAATCACCGGCCCTAGTGTTGTATAATTCAGAAGATATATTTAAGGAATGATCCTGACTTTGCTTCGTCTTTCCTAAACCTCCCTGCACCACATTCCTCCAGTAAAACTTTATAGACCAGCATTAAAGTAGTAGTGTGTGTGACAACCTGTTAGCTGGTCGGTGTGAGTTTTCCATGACTCACTGCCCTCCAGCTTTTGAAGTCTAAATCCTCCTCGCAGTGATGTGCGATAATGGCCTCCATGTTTCTGTGGGTGCTGCTGGGGCTTCAGGCTAAGTATTGTTTAGAGAATAGCACACAGGTGGGAGGAAAAGTTGGGAAGGCAAACACTCCACTTATCATTACCGATCATCACCATCAGGCCTTTACCAAAAGTCCTCCTGATGTGGGTTCAGAGTCTTCCCAGAACTCCGAGCTGTGCCGTTTTTATCCACTCCTCTTTGTAGTTGTTTGGTTTGTGCTCACTGTTGCCCATTTGTTTGTCTAAATGGATCCAGAGTTCACTGACTCTCTTAGTAACAAGAACAAAGACGCACTCAAGAGGTTAAAAACAAAACAAATGTAAACAAATCTGTTTTGAATTGAACATAAAACAGCATAAATACATGTTTTTACAATTTGTTCACATCCAAGGCCAGACAACTGTCCTTTCTTGTCAGTCGTTTGATCAAAGGCCCAGACGTTTTCACTCCTGCCAAAGATAATCCTTCAATTCTCTTGATTATAGAGTAGGCAACGACCGCCACAGGTTGATGCTTTTCCTGTAGGGGGCGCTACCTTGTGGTTACAGCTGCTGTTTATACCCTCGCAGGCAGCAGGGCTCCAGGGATTGCTATGTCAGTCTGTTTGTCCGCTGTTTTGGACTGCATGGAAATATCCAAACAGCTGTTACATTAATTGGCATAACTTAACACACATCCATGGACATCAGAAGGAAAATCCTACAGACTTTGGTGATACCCAGACTTGTTATTGAATTCGTGCACTGGCAGGTCAATAGGCTGAAATAGGCTGTCTTGATTGATCGGTGCAGAATTTGTGACTGCCATTCATGGTTTTACAGGCTGTGTATCCAAATGTCTGTTAATTCCCTGACTATTTATCCGGTGCCAAAATGAGATCAACATTTTTTAGGGATGTGATTTGTCCGGATTTATGTGGAATTCCAGATATGCGGATCTGGAAAGTTGACCCACTAGACTTTGTATATCCATGTGGATGGTAGCTGGTAGTCAGCTGAAACTCAACCTGCTGGTTTTTCAGGAGACAGCTGTGAGCCTTTTTGGCTGTTTGTGTGTTGTGAACAGAGTAGGGTCTGTTTGCCGGTAGATACCAACACAGGTGTGTTAAAGTTGTGTTGTGTCGACATTTTGATGGGCACTGTGTTATGATGTATTTCTCATATGAGATAGAAGCTAAACACTATGTTGTTGACAGCCAGACTTTTTGGCAGACCGGGGCACAGACTTATGTAGGGGGTGGCCAGACAGAGTAAACAATCAGGGTTTATCCCAGACTCTGAGAGTTATTTCCATAAATCACATCTACTGAAACTTTGACCACAAAAGCAGCAACTATTACATTTGATCGGATGGACTTTTAATACTTTAAGAAGACAAATAGAAGAGGTTTGTTTCCAGTACCAGCATCACCAAATCTTCCATGGTGAAATGCAAAGAAGCTTCTGGCAGCCTGTCAATCACAGCCCATGACTGTCTCTGGCCACCCCCTGGCTCCACCACTGCAGATGGACTTGATAAACAACATTGTGCTGAAACTGTGCTCGGAAAAGTACAGAGGTTATAGATGGATAGAGATGATTGAACTTATTTTTTATGTAAAATTGTGCCAAGAGGAAGTGATATCTAAAAACAGATAAGACAAAGAGGAAGAGAGAATAAATAAAGATCAGGGCATGATGAAATGAGACAAATGAGTTCATACAAATTTACAAACATACAGGTTTGAGATTTTTATGCTCAAAATTTTCTGAAGAAGGACCCCCGGATTCCCACTCATTATGAGTTCCCTGTGCTAAGTGGCTCAACTTGTTCAGGTTTTGTTACACCTAATTGTAACCTGTAAGTTGTTCATTTGTTGAGTAGAAATTTAGATATGTGCTGCATTCTAGTCTGTTCCTGCTAGATTTTCCTGCTTCTGTATTTTGCAAATGTTAGTTTTGAATAAAGGTCCTTTTACACCGGGACTGTTTTTGTTGTGCGATTATCTCAGACGTCAATATTTTTTTTCGAACCCGTATTTTGTCAATACAAGCGTTCACATCATTGACGTTTTCCTGTCCTGCGATATTGCGGCATTATTTTTTCGTATCACAGTCGATTTTTCTAAAGTTTCGCATACTGTGTCCACCTCTGACCAATCAGATTGCGTGTTGTTGCAACGTCAGATTCACCGGTATATCCAATATGGCCGACCAGCTGATTGTTTACATGTCGGAGAACAGAGTGCTTTTTGATAAAAGACACAAATATTACAAAGATAACGACCTGAAGGACAACTTGTGGTTCGTGTGCTTTGACAGTTTGCTAAACGTTTTTGTTTCAACTTTTATCTGTGCCAACGTAAGCTAACGGTTGTTATCATAGTTCCATGTGCTTATCTGGTACCAGCCCCAACTCAGTACATGTTATCATGACAAAAAGCCATCTCAACAAAAGTGTCTCGTCCTCTGCCTCTTCAAACTTGGAGCTAATTGTTTCAGCAGAACTTCAAATTGTCCAACGGACATCCAAAAATAGGTTCTGAAGCGACTGTTGTACAGTTTCAGCTCCTGAACCAAGCAGTGAAACTCACCAAGTTCTAATATTGGACGCACCCATGTGCTACGTTTCTTTTTCTTTTGAGAAAGCAAAAGGAGTACCAATTCGCCATCACTTGAAATTGAAGTAGACTCCATATTTGTCTCCTTGCTTCCACCTGGGACACTGTAGGATGGTAAGGAAAGGTCCCGCCTTCCTTCGCCTCTGATTGGCTGTAAGTGCTGACTTTGGCTTGAGTGTATGATGACGTTTCCAGCTTTTCTAGACAATCAGAGGTGAAGGAGGCTTGACTTTCCCCGGGATGCATCTTTTTCCCCCCCGGAAAGTTGCAAAATTGCATCGGGCTTGATGTGTATAGTCAGGCGCGTCAAAACTCGCCTCCTAATATTTCGTAATTTCGCGTTCTATATTCGCGTAGGCCCTGGTGTGTAAGGACCTTAAGGACTTTGGAAATATAAGAGATTACTAATTAAAAAGAAAGAGTTTTCCGTCTGGAGCAATATTCAATGTGTTTTAACCTACATCTTCTGATAGAGGAGATAGAACTGACAGTATTGCAAACCCGTTGAACTTCTACAGGTGGACAAGTTGATAAACATTAAAACACCACCCCGATGGCTCAATATATTTTAAGAAACCACACATTATTTGTTTCTACCTCTACGATAGAAAATCACTCAAAAACTTGTTTGTGTATGTTCTCAACAATCAGTTACTATATACTCAATTAATTGTTAACCTTCCAAGTTTTGAGTGAAACCTGTGTTGCAATCATTGAATGGATTGTGACGAAATTAAGACCTGAGTTTCATAAATGTGTGTACCAGCTGACGATATCTCCTCTTTGTTGCGTCATTGGATCAGAATTTAAGCCGATCAAATATTTGTTTGATAGCCTCACCTGCACTCCACCTTTTCAGAGCTGCTAAATAAATGTTAGCTATGTCAGATGTAAATATTAAAACCAACTAAACATCAACTTTTTCATAGTGAGGGTTTCATCATGTCAATATTATTGCCAGAGTATGTTTGTTATTACTCATGATTCATTCTGTCTTCTGTCTCACACATTGTTTTACGACTATATTCTTTTGATCCGATGGCAGTGTGCGCATGTTTATGGATGATGCCTTTTATGAAAGACTCTTTTCTCTGCCTTTGAAGTCATTGTTGCATAAAAACTCGGTTGAGGCGGACTAAACAAAGAGACTTTGTGATATAAAGTGAAAAACAAAAGCAGCAAAATCCCGAAGGCAGAGCAATGTAAACTTGATTGCACTGTTAACCCGAGTTTGAATAGGTCCTGAGGAAAGTATTTACCCTGTCACACCAGGTTAAGTTGGCATTGAAAATGAAAACGGCCGGGCAAACATGTTCTGTCAACAAGAGCACAGCTCAAGTGTACTGTCAATATTTAAGATATGTATTGGATAAACATCTTTTTATAAATGACACTATTTCAGGGAAGGAGAACAATGTTTTGCATATTGTTACATTCAACAGTGATTAGTTGTGAGATGTGTATGAATAAAAGAGGAAGTATGTAGATTATTTGCAAAAACATCTTCTTGTTTTGGTGTCTTACAGCTTAGCTCCCAGTGAAGAGGCAATACTGTTTGTTGTCCCCAAATGAGCATGTGCAGAAAAGAACTAAAAATGAATGATGTTTAATTTGTTGTTTAGTTTATCATCAAGACCCCTCATCCACATTTTTGTGTCTTTCTGCAGTATGTGGTCCCGCCATTGACATCGGAAATGACATCAGTGAATTCAGGCGCCTGGAGAACTGCACGGTGGTGGAGGGCTCCTTGCAGATCCTCCTCATCGGTGACAAGAACAACAACATCAACCAGGAAGTCTTCCGCTCCCTCAGCTTCCCCAAGCTGACCATGATCACCGGCTATCTGCTGCTGTTTAGGGTATCCGGCCTGGACAGTCTGAGCGCGCTCTTTCCCAACCTCACTGTCATACGAGGTCAGAAACTCTTCTACAACTACGCCCTCGTGATATTTGAGATGACCAGCCTGAAGGACATCGGTCTGTATAACTTGAGGAACATCACCCGGGGAGCCATCCGCATTGAGAAGAACCCAGAGCTATGCTACCTGGACTCCATAGACTGGTCCCTCATCATGGACGCAGAGTTCAACAATTACATCGCTGGCAACAAGCAGCCCAAGGAGTGCAGTGATGTTTGTCCGGGCATCATGGAGAACAACCCTCAGTGCAGGAAAACCATGTTCAACAACAACTACAACTACCGCTGCTGGAACTCCAATCACTGCCAGAAAGGTAAGCAGGCTGCCACACATGACAGCTCATCAGGGATTTGAAATGCAAATAAATCATGCACTCTGTCTAGCCTCTGGCCTGAATTGTGTTTATGTGTGTGAGGGAGTGTTATGAACTCTGTACCCACAACTGTGCTCTTACCGCAACTTAAACAGCTTTAGCTGATGTGTTTTGGTTTCTAGTAGGTAACAGAGTAGAGGGGTGTTGTTGTGCTTGGCTGACTCGTCCGCAGATCTTTGCTGTAAATCATCTGAAGTGTAAATCTGGGTAATAGTTTAGATTTTAGAAATACAATTATAAGTTACTTACCAGAGGATACTGAGTACAGCAGCTGGTGAACGCTGCCCTCTGTTTGAATGAGCCTGTAAAAGGACATAGATATTAGCTAACCTATGGACTCCTGTTACAGACCTAAAAATGATGTTTACACCACTTATAGGGCCCTATAAAATCCATTTTATTTATTTATTTATTTTTTTCAGTTTTAATTTTTTGAGAACTCGTTTTTTTTTTTAGTTTTTTATGCAAATTTAACCACCATATAAAGTAATGAAAGTAATGGGGGTGAAGCTGCACGGTCCGCAGCATTAGTGACCCCCTGGAGCATTTTCCCAAGAGTTATGTTCCTTTTTGTTCCTTTTTTCTTTTATTTACGTAAAATATCATCATTTTTCGTGATGTTCCGCATTTATATTGAATTACGTTTTTTATGTCCAATTCTGTGATTCCGTCCACGATTCCATGTTCGCATATTTTATGGGGCCTTACACTTACAGTTTTAAACTTATTTTTACCTGGCAGTATGAGACACTTTGAAAGTAACTTTCAGCTCAAAAACATATGTTGGACCCAACTCACAGGTGTAACTTTTCACACAGCTTTGTAGTCATGAGACAACCTGAGAGTGATGCTCTCACTGATCACATCTGAAGCCAGTTGTTAGCACTCATACTAGCTCCCCATTACAAGTTAGCTCTTGTTACATTAGCTGCTGTTACAGATTGTGGCTCAAAGCCTTCATGGAAGGTCTTAAAGAATAGATGAGCCCCAGGTTGAGATGCAAATGGAGCTCGCATCGGTCTTTGTTTACAAAGGGATCATCAGTGAAGTGGTGAGCACAAACAATTACTTTGTGGCTGTTTTTGTCTCCACCAAAAAAACAACTTACTGCTGTTTTAGTGCCTCCATCTTTGGGGAGACAAAATTGCTCAAACTTTCCTCACAACCGAAAGACTGCTTACTGGAAACTTTCTGAAACATGTAAAATCAACACAGTTCAGGGTGGAAGAAAAATAAAGAGGTAAAATGGACTTTATAAGCAAGAGAAAATTTGAAGGAGCTACTTGGTGGGTGTGTTCTTAGTACTGCAGAATGGGTATGCTCTCCAACATTGTCCTAATAGGGTGGCACAACCTGACGGCAGGTTGAGGACAAGTTTTGCAGAGTTTTCCTCACAAGTTTTTAAGAGAAGCCAGAATACCCATTAAGGGATTACACCAAAATCATCTCATTTTGGTGTGTGTGTGGAGGGGTAACGACATATCGTTACGGTACGTTACATTACCCACACTACTCGCTATATAGACCGTGTATAAGCTTGAACGTAATCTTTCACGTTGATGGAAGAGGATCCGACAGGATTTGATGAGATCCTCGATGACTCAAAACAAGTCGAAAATAACTTCCCAGAAATACTAATGTCCCTCTAATTGCTTCTTAATATTTTGTCTATTTTCACAAATTTAGACAGCCATATATGTTGGCGCAGTGTTATTTTGATATTCTGTACATATACTGTAGATGTCATTCTACATGTGCCATTCACTGTATCAGATCAGCTGCTAAGTGGCTATAGCAGTCTGGACTGAAATCATCCTAATTTTTCTACATTGCTGGTCCCTCACAGTGTGTCCTGTAATCTACTGGAGGTATTACAACGACCTGAGGGTTGTAGGCCAAAGCATTGCAGTCTTCTGCATTTCTCTTAAAGGAGGTCATATATTTAGGTGTCTCATTGCACTTATTAGGTACCATGGAAGTTCAATCCCAATGCTCTCATGTGCCTAAACAAACAGAATTAAAGGCATAAATGCCTCAGAGTTTAATTAAACTACTCCAGGCTCAGCGAGTGTGATGTCGCCCTTTAATTTTGTGTTTATGACTGCAGTGTTGTTTTGCTGGTGTGTTTCAGACGATGTGTTTTGGCTGACTGAGTGTGTGTGTCTGGCTGAATTGTTTCCCTGGTGACTGGCGCCTTGCTGCAGACTCAGCATGTTGATGTTTTCAGTCTTGTGACACGGAGCTGTCGCAGGACTGGCCTGCTCTGCATGCATGCACATACATGTACATCGATGCGCACACACCGCCACAAATCGTAAAACTCACTCAAAACACAGACACAGATGCAGGCGCACGCAAACATAAACAGACTGAAATGGAGATGCAAATCTGTCTGATACCTGGCCTGCTTTGTGGGTCGTCGGAGTGGCAGAGAGTAGGCATGCGGCAGAAGAAACCAGGAGGTGGAATATGAAGGAGGAGGAAGAAATGTTGGATGGGTGGAGGAGGTGTCAGGTGGAGCACCGTAACTCTGCCCTGTTTATTGTTTCTCTCTGTGAGACAACTCTATAGAGGATCCACAAAAACTGAGGACCTTTCTGTTTCTCTTTGTCTGGCTCTACTGATATATTATCCTGCAGATAGCACATGCCAATAAGGGCCTGTCACAGGTATTTTATTTTCATATGCTCCAGGGTTGCAACTTTATTTTGCAGGTCATGCAAGAAAAGATGCTAAGAGTATTTAAGAAATGTAGTCACAAGGGCCCGAACGATTTATCAGCGAGCCGATTAAATCGGCCAGTTTGAGCCTGTTTGCGACTAATCGATAATGAGCCAAAACTCGACGATTTTCAGCTACTTCTCTTACTGAGGCAGCTGCATGTCTCCAGATGAGACCGTATTCATCAAGTCATGATGAATACGCGGAATACTACTGAGATGATCAGTTGGTCTTCCTGTTGCAGGTAGGAAGTAGTAGTCTATAGTATATCTACAGTATATAGTATACTGTAGATATCTACAGTATATATATACAGTATATATAACTTCATAAAAAAATTTAAAAATTGGCCGATTAATCGGTAATTGGATTTTTTCCCCCCCTAATAATCGGTATCGGCATCTGCCCCAAAAAATCCATATTGGTCGGGCCCTAGTAGTCACCAGGTTAATCGTTAAGCAGAATGCACCTCAACCTTATCATCTACAATAGTTTCAGCACAGTCTGCAGTATAGGTAACTGAGCAGCACACCTCTGCAGATGCTGGTCTTGAATTCCATCGCTGGAAAATGTACATTTATGCAAGATTCACTTTACAATTTCATTAAGAAAACAACAGTATGAGTACTTTTGAATCACTCTAACTTTGTGAGAAGTTTAAATATGCATATGTATTATTTGGGTGTAACAGTACAGAAAACAATCAGTCCTGTTCAGTTCACAGGTTTGAAGCTCCAAACATCTTTGGTACAGTAAGGAAAGCACACAGACACACACACACACACACACACACACACACACACACACACACACACAATACTGTTTTCCCCCTTCATCAGGAACTTTGAGAACTTTAACAGCAGAAATCTTGATAAATTCTCCAAGAAATGACAAAAATCTACACCAAATGAGCGTATGCACTAGCAGCTGGAGCCCCTCTCTCTGAAGATCACAGGTTGAGTTCACGGCACAAAACTGATCACAGGTAAATACTGTAAATAAATAAATAAATAAAAAACCCTGGATTTGAATTGACAGTATGCTGCTGCATTTAACTGCAAGTGCCTAACTGAAATGATCCGGCACAAACATGTGACCCTTTACCCCCCTCCTTACCATAATCAGCAAAATTTCCTCTCACCACTCAGTTCAGATATCGTCCTAAACATACTTCACTGGTGGATCAGCGCATTGCAAAAGACCAGGCCTGTGTGGGCGTTTCGCTCATTTTGGTCCTGCAGCTTGACTGATGATGTTGCATACCAAGGCCCCAACAGGATACAGGTGTGAAAAGTCTGTGGACTACTGTTGTTGGTTTTGATAGTGATAAAAATGTTGACATAAAGTTCATGTGTTGTCGGTGTTAAAGAAATCAGCGGTAAGGAGGTCAAATGTTACAGAAACACTACAGTTCCTCTTGATTAAAGTTCACGAGTCTGTGTCTGCTCTGTTGAGTCTGGACTCAAACATGTTGTTTTTCAGACAGCGGGGGCCGTGAAGGACGGGAAATAGATTGAGATATTGTTTTTTAAATAGCCAACTCCTAATTCTAAATGCCTTTCCTTGTATTACCATTACCAGTGCTGGTGCAACAGCTGCTGCTACTACTGTTTCTCTCACTACTGCCTCAACTGCTAAACCATCTGCTGCCACCACCGTAACTACTACTATTACTACTATGAGTACTTCTAAAACTACGACAGTTACTCCCACCACAGTCATCATTTTTACAGCTGTATGTTTGTCACCATAGCCTAACAGGTAAAAATGTGCACAGACTTCTGCAAAAAAAGCTGGTGTCAGCACAGTTCGAGTGGTGTCTGTGAGAAAAGCAAATACATTTGTGTTAACATAAGAGATGGGAAAGACAACTCAAGTCTCTCAGGCGATAGAATTGAGTCTGCGCTGCTCTTGACTAACTAGACAGATGGGACACTTTTAGGCATGACTAATTTGTTTTTGTTCAGTTTGCTCAGAGGTTGACATGTTTTGTTAAATCAGTTTCAGTAGACTAAATATAGAAGAAGTGGAGAATGACCCTGTGAAGATGCACAAGCAATCAGCTTGGCTCCAGAGGGAGTTTGTCAGCCAGGGCAAATGGGCCATCACTTGCCTCTGCTGCTGCCTTAAAACAGCAGTGATCTGAAACAACATGAGCACTACCGCTCTTACTGCAGAGACTGCATTGTTGTGCTATTTATTAGGCGGTTTATTGGAGAAGTCTGGTGGCAGTAAAGCCAGGCTTCATTAAATTGAGGAGGGCTGAGTAGTTAAGCTGGCCGACTGAACTGTGTTCATTTCCTAAAGTTGTTGTTCAGTGGCTCCAGTGTGTGCAGATCAGAGGCTGTTTCTATGTGGAGCATAAAAGTGGTCAAAAATCATGGTCTGGTTTGTCTCTGTTTTTGTTGGTTTCATTAAGGGTTAAGCAGAGGAACTAAAACAGAGTAATTTTTTTTGTCATTTGTTCTAAATATTGAAGCATTTGACGCTGACGTGAGCTCTGTTTTGTCCTTACAGTTAAAGTTTATGCAATAATGTCTCAATGAAATATTAAAAATGCAGATAATTCACACACATTTACAGATAAACAAATGCACTATCAATAGAGTTTTTATGTGATCACATTAATCTAATAACTGGGAATAGTCAGATTTCCACATTTGGCCTAGTGCTTAGGAAATACTCATCATAACAGAGATGAACAGAAGAGGGCACAGTGAATAAAGAAAAAACACTGTAAACCATAAATCTGTTTAAAAGATGTTAACTTCCACAGAAGATGATCTGGTCATTCTGCTCAAACCGAACAGAAGTGAACAACATGAACGTTTATTGGCCTAGCTACTAGGAATGGGCGATAACGGCCAAAAAAATGATTGCGATAAGTTTTGCCATTCTGCCGATAACAACAAAAGTCCAGATAAAAAAATATTAAAATTCCAATCTATGTTTTTGACACATTCTGTCTTGAGGACACCAGTTGGCAGAGTCAAATAAGATACTTAACCACAAGTTTAATTGTTAGGTTATAGAGAAAACTTTTTTCAACCTTTATTAAAAACTCTTACTTCACAGAGTGAACAGATCCACTGTCAGATGTCAGGCGTGCCGGATCGCACTCATCTAAACCCCAATCCTGAAGGAAATCCCTCATGTGGAGCCTTGTTTAGCAACAAGCTGCTCAGAGACGTCTTCTTCATTACCTTCGGCCATGTTTGTTTATTATTCTGATCTGTGTGGGCTACGGCTGCAAGTTCGTCACTTGCACTTATGTCATCAACTTGCATTTATCGCGTTTATTGTGAAATGGAAAATATTTATCATGGAGGAATTTTCTGATGACAAATCGTGAGCGCTAATTTATCGCCTGTCCCTAGCTACCTGTTTAAAGTCTTCTGGCCGGCGTCCCCTCCTGCTGTGATGTAGAAGGTCCCCATGATCCAAGTCAAGTAAACAATTCAGTCCACTTCTACAATAGCTGTATGCTTTTTGAAAGAGTTTCCTACAATTCATCTGTGTTGCAGGGTTTGGATCCTCTCAGGTAAACAACCTCAACCTAAACGCTCCTAGCGATGCATTTATAGTTTTGTTAGTAATTCAGCTCAAGAATCAGCTTATTTATGTAAATGTGAATAAAAATTCGGGGCACATTTCTTGATGGGCCTCCCACCCTGAGCTTCACCTTCCAGGATGTAACTCACATCATAGGATTTTTGTGTTTATTTTGGTGGTGCACGGTAGCGAGCTATTTTGGGTCATAAAGTTAACAGACTGGTGCAACTGCATACCAAAACATTATCCCGTACCTGGTGGTTTGAGACGAAAATATACTCAAGTTGATAAGCAAAAGTCTTTTGCAGTATTTATAGGACAGAATATTATTGTTTTACTCTGAATCATGTTTGTTTGACTAGGTTGTTACCAAGGCAGCAAACACTGTGAGCATAGAAGAGCATGTTGAGATGGTTCTGTTTGTCTCCTCTGATAACGCCATGCCTGTATCAGGCTTCAGTAATCTGACCCCAGATCTTTGTCTGAATGTGTGCCTTGCTCACAGGCCTTCTGCTGTGCTGGCATGAGAGCCAACTTTGTATCCACAGGCGTTTTATTACCAGACCCGGTCTGTCATTCAGCAGATCAATAAATGACGGAAGGGAAAAGTGCAAGCCCTGTTTTCACCGAGTCTAAATAAAGGACATGCTTTCAGTCTGAACTCATTCATAAAAGTGCTCCAGAGCAGAGAGGGTTCAAAGCCCGTCTGCTTCTCTGGGAAAGTCGAGTGTTTTTGAGCTGCAGCAGAAGTGGGGGCTTCATTCTCCCATGTTTACTTCCCTCATTTGTTTTTTGGAATCTGGTTTGGGTGTTTTGTCTCGTTCATAACTCATGGGTTCCTTCTAAAGAGGAACCATGTCTGTGCACGCTGGGAGCAAACACACTGTCTCACTCTCTCTCCAACACACGCTCACACATTGAACAGCATGGGGGATGTTTTTCCGGTGCTTTGTATGGTCTGAGGAGATGAAAGCACATCATTAAAGTACAAAGTAGGTCTTCTGGGATTTACTGGAAGGATTTTTTTTTTGTCTTTTGTTAACCCTTGGTTGAAGGGATTACACATTAAACTACAAGGGTTGTCTACGGGGCTGTTACTCAGCTTTCAGCTGGATTAATTTACAATACTTGACATGTCTGTGTTTGCTCATTTAGCTGACTTATTATCCTAATGAGACAATGGACCTGTATGAGTCATTGTGGTTTTGTAAAGGAAAGTTAGTGTGTGTGCACTTCAATACTATCATTTTTGTGTTGTTGAAGTTCAACAACTATGACTTACTCAGCTCTAACGTTGTATGAGGAAAGGAAACTTGATACCTCATTTTGATTTAAAGGTGCAGTGTGTGGAATAAAGAGGCTTTAAGCAAAGCAGACTTTGTAGAAATGGAATATGCTTTTAATAAGTTTATTTAAGCAAGTGTGTATCTACCTGGATATTACAACTGCTTTTGTTTTTGTTGACTCTGAACGAGCCTTTTCTGTTTCCACACTAGCCACCACTGTCTACTGCTGTGTGTTTACACAGTAGCACAGAGCAGACAAGCCTTAAACCATATGTGTTTTGTTTACCCCAAAAGCACTGTTTGGAAGATAAAGAAGAGAGTGACTGTTGTACGAAAGAATTCACATTAATAGACATTTTTGATTGTTAAAAACTTAAAACTTACAGTGTTTCCCCTAGAATTTTGTTACCCCCACTCTGTTGCCGCTCCAGGAGCTACGCTGTTACATTCACGTTACGTTACCTGTGCCACTCGCTATACAGACCGTGTATAAGCTTAAATGTTACCCTTCACATTAGTGGAAGAGGGTCCGACAGGATTTGATGCGCTCCTTGATGATTCACAACAAGTCGGAAATAACATTGTGTGCTGTTGTGCTCACACAGTGTGAGTAGAAATCATTAGTGCTGCATTGATAGGAATGCTACTAATGCTATTAATGCTACTCGCTATAGAGACCGTGTATACCCTTGAACGTTACTAACGGTATGACTCCTTGAGCAACTTGAGTACCGTACTTTACTTAAAAAAAACATTTGCCTTGAAGCTTCATTTAAATCGATTTATGAATGATTTGTAAGAATAATATATGAAAAACTCGGATATGAGGAATATCATAAGTAAGTACAGTAGCTCTGGTTTTAATTTAGGATCTGAAGATTCTCATTTTCAGCTAGATTTCCCATGTGGCGCACAGATGTTGTTTTTTGTTTTTTGTTTTTTTCTTCCCATTATTTGTTTTTGTTATTTTTTCTTTGCTTACCACAATAGTAGTGTAATTTAAAAATATGCTGGGTTTCCAAATGCATGTTAGTGGACCCAGAACTTCTGTCTTCCTTTGCTGTCTGCATCTCAGAACAGGGCCGTGCCTGACCCGTGCCAAAGTAATGTAAGTGTCACTTTACACTGATGCACACTCACAAAATAACAGCAGCCATCAGCACCAATACTGTCTGAGTAAACAACTTCATCCAGTCGGGGTTTCTTTGTCTTGTTTTGTTTCTAATTTTAATAAATTACACCGCATATCTCCTTTTCTAGAAATAAATCTCACTCCATTGCTTTCGTTCGGTCCCTCACTCAGATGTTTTGATTGAATAATTCAGCAAATCACGTCTTACAGTAATTCCTCGTCTCCGAGAGTTTCTTTTCTTTCTGTAAAAATTAGTACTGCTGTCATTTTTTAGGTAAAATGCTGAATTCATTGCTGTGGCGTCTTTGAAGCCGGACGTGTTAGCTGACATGCAGGCAGCACACTGTCAGCTGTCTAGCAGGAAAACACATTTGGGTGTATGCGTGTGTGAGTGTGTTTGTGTGTGTAAGAGAGAGCGCTTCGGAGAGTCCGACAGAGAGGGAGTGAGTAAGTTGTGGAGTCAGTCGCTGCCCCCTCCTTCCCTCTCCTGTTTTCTGGCTGGTTTTGGATGTGGTAGATCCAGTGTTTATTTACTCAGTGCTTCTTTAGTGCGAACTCTGAAGCCATTTTTAAACATGTATTTTATTTCTCAATGTGAACTTGCCCTTTTTTTTCCTCTTTCAACTTTACTGATGTTTTTGGGGTTTTGTGCTGTTCTTGACCTTAAAAGTTTTGCTCTCTCTGTTAAATTAGATTGTTTGAATGGCTGTAGATTTATTATAAATTCAGTGTTTGGTTGTGTTTAGGGGACCAAGACATGATTGCATTCATTGCTGAGCTGCAGTATCATCAGGTCAAGATGTTCCTGTCAACAACATCCTTCCTCTGGCCAGCTTGCACTTTGAAGAACAATTAAAAGCTCTGTATCTACTGTGCTGTAATCTCACTTGTTATTTTCCTGTTTTCCTCTGGGAGCGATGCAGCTGTTGTGGGTATCAGATATACATAAGCAGTAGGTGTAACGCAGCGTGACTGCAGAGTTCGAACAAAGAGATGGAAAGCGCATGAATTCAAACCAGTGAAGCGTCTTAAGGAACTGAAACTTTACTCATTTATTCACAACTTTTTGCCTTGAAGGTACTGAATGACTGCTGCACTGTGTGTAGGAGGCAGCTGTGTTGGATATATCTGTGGGAAGTTAACAAGGCTAAGTTTGTCATACTGAACTATTTAATTATTTTATAACCTGATGTGTACAATGCATTTCCTCCAATGAAGGGGGATGCTAACAAACATGAGGAGTTACTTTAGTGAGACAAAGAGGTTAATTTTATACTTTCTTAAGTTCAATTAATCGACATGTACTGATAGTGTCTCTATGGTAGCAGGCTACCATCAGTAAAACTGCTTTTAAATTAGTTAAATTAGTTTTATGATTATCAGATTGAATTAAATGTGGTGAGCCCTCATTTGTGTGTGCGCAGAGTAGCTAACCAAATGTAGCTGCAGATAAGGAGTTTCGGATGATACGGTTTGACAGCTTTTCATAACACTATCTTCCATCTGTAACTACTGGAGACAACACCTGACAACCAGGTTTGTCAGGTGTGTTTCCAAAAAACTTTAGTAGGTATCGCTGCAAATCATTAAATATTAACAGATAGTGTGTGTTTGAAGATTTGTCACATCTAAGATCATCGATTTAGGAAGTTATTGGAGATGAAGTAGAGACTTCAGATGCAGTCAAACACCGCTGTGTTTTCCCCAGGAGTCGTATATAATTTAGACATGACAGAGGAAGAAAACGAGAAATACTCAAAGACAGCTAAGGTTGGTGTTAGAGCTTTGTCTTTCAAAGTGTAAGTCCTTTATTCATGTTTGAATCAAAAGATACTGTGATTCAGGAGATTCAGATGTTGTGTCTTTGTATATGAGTGTATAGAAAGGTGGTTATAAAACACATAGCTCTACTTCCTCTGACACATATTACATAATAACAGGATCTGTAGCATACTCGAGATGTCCAGATACTATTTTTCTTCCTTCCTGAAACTGATTCTTGTAACAATTGGTGAATCACTGGATACGGAGTACAGATCTGATATCAGTGTGGGACTTAATAAATCACAGCTGTTCTCTGTTAATCCAGTTTGTTAGTCATAGGATTGTCTTCGATTTGGACTGGCCGGCTCGGAGGATGAATGATGGGCAACTTTCTTTTACGAAATGAGAAAAAAACAAAAACATGTGAAACTGAGAATGAAAAAAACATCATTATGGAGAGGATTTGTTCCGCTGATATAAACTTTTAGGAAAGTACTTTGTTTTTAACGTGGAGCTGCTCCAGTCATTTTGTCATGTTTTCAGCAGTTATATATCTGGGTCAATGTCTTTTATCTGGATAATTTGGCCCCTTTTGAAAACTGATTGTTTAAAAGAGCTTTCATGATGAAGAATTTCAGCAGAAGGTCATGGCCAGGAATTGAATTAGTAATGACTGTGATAATAACTTGGATCATTAGGTCATCTGAACCCTGTGCAACTTTTTCTGAAGCAAAAATTCAGTGCATTATGGGAAGTATCTACAGAAGCGTATTGCATTTATCTAGAAGAAAAGAAAACTGTCTGCTCTGATTTTCCAAATTAAAAGATAATTATGAAAAAAATCTCAGAATTTTGAATTTGAAACAAAACAGAGCAAATAATTGCAGTTTTTCGGAATCAATTAAAATACAAAATTATAAATGACATGACGAGAATTGTGTTAATTAGAATTATAATGAGAATAACAGAATTACAAAAAGTTTTTTTTATAAATAAAATAAATTCTGCCCCTTTTATCTGAATTATCAAGATGATAATCTCGTCTATTCAGAAAATAGCAGAAGCATTTTACTAATAAAAATGGTCAAAGATATTTATCTTGTTGTTTTAGGAAAACAGAGCAGTTTTTTTTTTCCTCAAGAAAACTCAAGTGAGCGAAATACTCCTCCATAAGTTTTTCATTGAACACTTAAAGTAACAATCTAATAAGATTTTCTGATTTGATTTAGAGTTGTTCTGAACATTTTAAAAATATTATTATTGAAAAGTGGACAAAAAAACAGGAACATTAACAAAAATAATAGATGAAATTTTGAAAAAAGTAGAAATAATTTCTTAGATTTATACATGAAAAAGTAGCAATATAAGAATATTTTTTAACCCCATCCTTTCTCTATTCAGCTGCTTTATAAAGATAAATAGATAATTCATGATCATTTATTTATAGTCTAATGTAACAAGTTATATAACTAAAATTTCTGTCTTAACAGGTATAACATAAAATATTACGAGCATTGATTGTACATCTTAATCAGATGGACTGTGTTTTTTAAAGTAAGAAATTTTGCTTCATTTGCAAAAAAATAAAATAATAACTGTCACTCAGAAAAAAAGGGCAAAAGTAAAAAAACAATTTAAAAATAATATACAAATAATAATATACAAATAATATAAAGATAAAGAAGTCTCACACACACACACACAACTAAGCAGCACAGGTTACATCAGTGACAGTGTGTGATGACAGTATGTGGTGTATACATTATGTGAGGTTACAGGGTAAATGGTTAAGGAAGTTCTGACCAGAGACTAAACATTTTTCTACTGACATCAACAGGACTTGCTCATACCTAACTTTGCAGTTAACTATTTTTAGACGGTTCAAAAGCAACATGAATAGGTCACCATGTTGGCTACGGTTTAACTGCTTATGGTTGGGGTATTTAGCTCGTTGGATCCTTAATTTTAAGAGGTAGTCAATTGACCATATTTGATGTAATGTTGAGATTTGACCCACTCTTTTTCTAGGGGATGAAAAAAGTTCAAATGTAGTCACTCAAATTTGTTAAATTTGTCCTTGTCTTTCCTGTCCTCACCTTTACCTGACTGTTTAAAAGAGTTGTTGATCAAAACTATGAAATCATAACATACAATGATCCAGATCTACTCATGCACCCCTTACCCTGACCCAGAACCCGGAGGCTGTCAGGCTGGATAATTATAGGGACGGCTTTGTAAACCAGGCACATCCATGACTACTTTTAGTGAACAGTCACACCCATCCCTGGAATTCCTGGAAGAGAACATTGCTGGTTTGGCTGTGTTGAAGTGCCTACTGTAATTATGTGGCCTTTAATTGGGCTCTGTTAACACCGTCAGATTGGGATGAGCTGTAACTGGGACTCGGATGAGTCTTTTGACCAGTTCGAGGAGTTCATGTCTGGTTGTAAAGGCTCATTTTCTTCCTTTCACTCCGCCTTGTTCGCAGCAAAATTAGGATGAGAGACTGAGAAGAGAGAAAAATCACTAGTAAAATGTTTTGTGCCATATGAGTTAAGTTTTGCGCATGTGTTTAATAGAAGTTGTATTTTATGCTTGTCAATGTTCAGCATGGAACCAACAAGAGCCAATGAGGTAGGTAAAGTAGGAGGGGTTGAGAGGATGTACCTCCACTTTGCACACACACATGCTACAATGATGAGGGATTTACAAGCTAGAAGAGAACCCGGGCCAGCCCCTTTAGGCATAACCTTTGTATGCCAGGTATGCGTGTAGACCGCGAGGCATATGCGCCCCATCATCATCCATTTCTCATGATGATCAGAGTTGTTTTTATCAAAGTTACCAACACTGTGACGGAATCCTTGGCGTTTAAAGTTGTTTGCAAACACAGTAAAACAAGCTGGTTTATTAAGTACTTTTAATGTGGAAACTAATTTAATGATAGGATTTATGTGTAGAGAGTGCCACAACCCGGTCAAAATCATGGTTCTCTGACTTTTCAAAGTATCAAGGGGGGGATTTATTTCATTTATTTTATTAATTAAATGTATTAATAAGAAGCCTACACATTATGGACAATGAATTTCAGCGTTTATACAGCATTTCAATTTCAACTGAAATATTCACATTCATACAAGCCTTTTATAACTACGTTGCAATTTTACAACCAAGCTGTAGTAGGAACCTTTAATCGTGGAACTGGGCGCCATTCTCTTGACTTTCTGGCGTTCTGCCTCAGTCGGGGGAAGCACTTCGTTCAGGAGAAAAGAAAGGTGTGTGGCTGGTGATAAACTGAAGCATCCATACTGACTGAAGCGAGCTCGCTGATGCTGAAGCTTTTGCAAACCGCGAGAGGCAAAGAATTGCTGAGCTGTTGCAAAGATGGCTAGTAGTGGAAGTGACATACGTTTCGCACATGCGCAGTACAAATGAGGTTTCCAGGATGGATCAGGTAGCGACACCTCCTCCTTCTACCAAGGTGACGTGAGCGCGTTGTGTCACCTCGAAAATAACCCGTTCGAAACAGTGATGATTTTAATTGTGGTACTCGAGGAATTGTTTCAGCCCTAATATGAGAAGATAAAAGATCAATCCTTATGCCAAGCCAATCAGAGTTTTGGTCGATTCAGCAGGTATTGACAAATAATTCGACCGGTCGACTAGGACTTTACAGTCCTAAAAGATAGCTGGATAAATGAAGGAAACACCAGGCTGGAAACATGCTGGAAATGTACTGAAGGTCATTAGTGCAGCCATCCATCTAGGCCAGGAGTCCTCAAGGTGAAAGGGAATTTTATACTCTGCCTCCTGCATCTTCCATTGAATTCCAGAGATATTTCTGTCTTCCCGCGCTAGGAAAACACGCAAACACAAAGACTCAGGAATGCAGACAACTTTCTTTTTTTTTTTGCAGCCTGTGTGTGTGTGTGTGTTCAGATTTTGTAAGTTGGTTTTCTTTGAGAATAATATCAAGTCAACCTAGGCTTGACACAGACTGTAAATTTACTCACTAGGATGGAGAAATTAACCCGTTGAACTGAGCTCAGATTTAAAAACATTGAAAAGCAGGAAAAACACGTAGCTGGTTATTTGAATGACGCAAATAATATCATGTCATCATCATCGTGTTTAGGAGACAGAGCAGTTAATGATTCAGTGTCTTATAAAAACATTGATAGAGAGAGGTCCAGTCCAAGGGAAAAGTGACTCCAACTGTGAGGTTATTGAGGTTACAAGATTAGAGTATTAGGTTGGTCTTGCCTAGTGGTTTTGGCTCAGTGCCTTGAACAGAAACAATGACCCTCATTTCATACCTGAGCCTTTGTCACCAGCAAAGATTTCAACAGTTCTGCTGTTTGACCGACACATGACCCTGAGCATCAACACGGTCCGTGTTCCTGAGTGCCTGTAACCACTTGTGATATCTGTCCTCATTGTGAGTTACTGTTCGGCTGTGGGTATGAAGAAAGAGCTGATGTTACAGCTCGGTGTAAACCTCATCCTCCCCGTTATTGTCTGGCCCGTGTGGAGACTCTGGGGACCCGAGTATTCGATTTGTCTTGTCTTTTCCAGGTCAGTCAGCAGGGGGATGCCAGGAATTCCTACTGTCAGTAGTTATCCTGAAGTGTCAGCTGATCTGACAGATGTTTGTTCACTCCGAGTTCAACTGTTGGCTCTGTTTAGATTAACTTTAACGGAATATTTGTCAGATGCTCTCACATACACTTTGACTACGAGGTAATTAAAGGGTTTGTGATCTGCCTCGTTGTTCTGACAGCAGGCTGTTGCTGAATGGCTGATGAGCTGTTTCTTTTCATTCCTGTTGTGTCGTGCAGGAGGAGATTTCATCGAATGAAAAGCAGCTGGAGAAGTTGTGCTTGTTATCATGTATGTTATGCCTTCCTGCCTTAACCCTCAGGATATAGTCTAACTGGGAAAGATTGCAGATAAATAACTAAATGAGCTTTTAGTGTTTGCAGATGGAGAGCTGGTAAAGCACTCATACGCTGGAGGATAGTGTTGGATATGAAGGCAAGGAACAGCTGTGTGCCGTCGTACAAACTGACCAGAGAAGAAGCTGGTGTCCTCTGACTTTGTTTTGCAGGAAACATTCACACTTGGTTCACATTTCATCTCCTACAAATACCCTTTAGTAACATGCCACTAATTTGGGGAGACCTTTGGAGGAATTAAGCTCTCTGTTTTGAATTTTTTTTTATGTGCCATGGATTTTCCAGAACTATAACAGACAGATGCTAGCCCAGACGTGGTCAGTCATTTAAGAAAAAAAAATCTGTTTCTAACCTAAGTTACCAGTACTAAAGCTCAACTTCATTTCTGCTACATTGAAGCTCACTTTTAATCATTAGAGTATTGAATGTACCTTATTAATCCCAAACTGTATATCTGCAGCTTTCGAACCATAAATTCTAAATGGTTGTTTTAACCTTATACCCATATAATTCAAACTTTCTTTTGAATATTTATCCAATAATTTTAGATTTCAATTAACAAGCATGTTTCCTTGAGTTCACTTTTTTGAATACTGAACAAATAATCACCTTTAACTAAATAATCGGCTGTTAATTTATTGAAGTTTTTGTTTTAAATTTTAGATGAGTCTTAAATGCAAGCTCTATGAGGATAATCAATGTTTAAGACTTTAATAATGAAGCTTTATTTTCAGCCTTATTGTTTATTTATTTAACTCTTTATTTTACTTAATATTTAAGACTTAAATCCCTAAATTTGAGTTTTATTTTTCATAACTCTGGACTTAAACTTACTTCTCAGAGACAAGTAACTCATTAATTTGGAATTTTTTTTTAACTCCTTATCAGTATTTTTAGCCTTGTTATTTACATCATTTAACTTTTATTTATAATTATTTAAATGCAAGTCTATTTTTTTTTTTCAATCTATCTATCTGACAGATAGAAGGCACAGCTTGAGTCCCCACAAGAATTCAGTTCAGGTCAATCTAGTGAGTTTTATTGGCATGAATGTACAGGAACAATGTTGACAAAGCTTTCATAACAAATTCACAAATTCATTGATGTTCATAATTATAAAATTAAGGTTAATAAAAAATGTATAATGTCAAACTAAACACATAATTTAAAAGCTAAAGAGTAGTCATATTCAAAGTTATACTTTACAGTAATGGAAATTTATATAAATGTGTTTAATTTTAAACTTATTTCAAAATTGTGTTACACATCAAATTTCATACATTATGTTTTTATGTAAAGTATTTCAAGTATTTTAATTATTTCATACTCTTAACTAACTTTGATTTAAAAAATAAATAACTTTTTTCTTCTATAGTTATTTTCATTTATACCATAACATCTTTTCAACTATGAACAAGTTGAAACAACACCCAGAAAGGCTGGCAAGTATTGTTAGCTGACTCTTTCACAGATTTCAGCAACCCTCAATCTATTTAGAAAAGTGTTTTTTAACTTAAAAGCACAGTTGCAGTTATTCATCTATTAATTTAGCGGTCTGTTTAAACATTTAGCCATTAGTGTTCACCAAATATCTCAGCTGTTCACTTATTGTTTACAGCTGAATCTGTCGTATATTGTTCTTTGTGTGTAATTTTATTGTACCATTTCATATTTTATTGACATCTTTTGTTGACGTCTTGTTGACTTTATTGTTTTAAATTCGAGGATTTGCCCCCAAGCCTCAGCACCTAGTTAAGTGTATTTACCTGTATTTATGTTACCTTATGACCCTGCAGTTAAAAAAAAACCCACAAGAGTCAGACTCAAACTACAAGTCGATCTTTGTGTTCTGTTTTCTAGATTTATGTGTGACCCTCTCTATAATGACCAACAGGGAAGTACATGTCCAGCTTCTCATTTCTAACAGCAACATTGTTCCCAGACTGTCTCACCTCTGTTAGTGTTCTTCCTCATAAACAGACTGTAATTATCAACAGGAAGCTTTAGACCACACATCTCCTGTGGGATGTCTCCTCACAGTCTGCGGAGCGGAGGAGGAGGAGCAGGAGGAAACCCACCACAACCTTTGATACTCCTGTCAGACACACTGTGCAAACTACATCCCTCTACCTGTGCTGCACAGCGCCTAAACTCCGCGTTCATATAAGTTATATCTGATAAAGCTAAAAAATGAAAAACATTTTGTACATTATTATTAATTTATCTGTTTAATTGATACAGGACCTAATGAAACACCTTCTCTGAGTCACCCAACCAGCGGCCAATAAAACTCCTCTTCACCAGCCAATGAATGCTGCACCTCCTGTGTCCTGTTTCCAATAATTGTTCCATCCAAATGGTGCACAGCTTTTGAACAAACGACCAGATAATCTACCAGATACAATGCGAAACAGTCCGCATTATAATCTCAGTCTATTTTAGTGGGAGACATTTGTGAATGGTCTCCAGCTCCCCAGAAGAGCAAAGGGCTTAAGGCGAGTAAGTGCATTTTAATCAATGAGCACTGAGGGAATATTCTCGAGAGGGCGCGGAGAGATTACATAACTGGAAAGAAATCCTATAACTCTGGTACATATTGTTATTTAGTTTAAATATAGGGATTGTATTAGGACATGGATTGTGGCTGCTCAAACACAAACGCAACTGTTGTTGTTGTTGTCCTCACTCTTTTTGTTGTAGTCACTGAAACACAGAGGGAGCAGCCAGATCGGCAGGTTGTGGAGTCTGTGGCCTTTCTTGAGCAGTAGACCAGTTGAGCTTACCGGTTGGTGGTCATGTCTGCTGTCTGCTGGGCGGCTCAATAGGTGAACAGTACAGTACCCGTCAAGCATGTGGAACTGTGAATGGGCTGATGAATGGAGATCCTTGTTCCCCCGATGCGAATCAGCCTATATGGACAGCACTCTCTTACACTAGAGACTTGCTGACCAGTTTTCTGAATGACTGCTTCACTGACTCAACCTACACACTGACAGACTGTCTGGAGGTAAAAGAACATGCTTTGTGTGAGAGTGGGAACAAAACAGTATTGTTGTGCTTCATCATCAGCTTCTGGTGCAGTCTGAGGAGACGGCACTGGGGCTGTTTGTTCCCCCTCGATTCAGCCCGAGCAGTGGACCACACTGGAGGGTCATAGAGGGGTTTTGAGGAGAGCAAAACAGTGGATGTAAACTCCATGATAGGAGTTTGAAACTGTGAGATGTTTTTGGGGGAAAGAACCGAATTTAATTCAGTGAATGAGTGGTTTAAAAAGAGAAACTCCCCGTGCTTTTTTTTAGACCAGTTTGAGCTCAGCCTCACAGTTAAGCACAGGAAGTGAATGAGGCTGAATGGTAATGAATGAAGCCAAAGAGATCAATATTGTTTTGACTGCTGATCAGTAGTAACAGAGACAGTCATGTGTTGTTGTGGGTTTCTCCTCTCGCATAAGGATGAGTGGTTCATTAAGTCTGTTTTAGATCATTATGGTTTAAATATGAATCAACAGAGCAATATCTACTGCATGGCATTTCTGTCCTGCTTTCAGATCTCTTCTTTCTGGATCTGGTCTTATTTATTTGCATTATTCCTGCTGTGACAGAAGACATATCATGGTCTATGACTGCCGAGGAACTACGAAGGTTGTGTGTGTAGATGTTAGTTCCTGTACTATCCATTTTAAATTATTAAAAATAATTTTGGAATGACATTAATTCTAATCATTCTTTTGTTTTTTATAACATCTGAAATATAACCTACATTTGCTCTTTAAACTGAGTCTGGTGATCACAGAGCAGACGCGCACAGGAAGTTGAGGGAGCCTGAGGGGGTCTGTTCTTGGCAGCCGCTGTCATGAGGGCAACTCAGTTATCGATTGAAAAAAAAAAAAACATATCAACTATCATGCTTTTTTTTTTTTTAACTTCCTGTTCAAGTGAAGCTACTGATTGAATGCAAAACCTCCTTTAAACATGATTACTCTTTTTAAATAATTCATATTTAAAAAAAAAAAAAATGTAAAAATTTGTCCCAATTTTCTCTCTACTCTTAAAACTTTAGAGATGTTATTTTGTTTTTTACTTTTACAAAATCCAAAGAGTTTCTTTAATGTTTATTTTTTATTATTATTATTCTTTCATTATGTTTCATAAAAAATACTAATGTCACATACCTCCCTAATATGCTTTAGAAAAGTGGTTTCCTACCTTTTTTTTCTAGAAAGGAAAAGCATATATCCCAGAAAAGCTAAACCCAGCTATAGGACTATCTCTGAAAAAGGTGAAACTTAAACATGAATTTTGTTACTCCCACCAAGAGAGGTGAGGATTTTTCTTTTTTTCTTTCTTTTTTTTTAACAGACAGCAAGCGTGTTATTCTTATTGTAGTTAATGTGTGCTAATCCAATTTTGACAACCTCAAAGTCAACGATGCTTCACCCCCTTGGATTTTTGTAGGGAAATCTAGACCCCAAGACTAAGAACCAGTGCCTAAAACTGACTGGAGCCACTGTGTTTTGTGGTATATTTTCTTGAGTTAGGTAACTCCTCCTCTGTACTCTCTAGATCAGTGGTTCTCAAGTCCAGTCGTCGAGGCCCACTGTCATGCATGTTTTAGATGTTTCCCTGCTCCAACACACCTGATTCAAATGATCAGCTCATTATCAAGCTCTGTAACGAGCTGATCATTTGAATCAGGTGTGTTGGAGCAGGGAAACATCCAAAACATGCAGGACAGTGGGCCTCGAGGACTAAACTTGAGAACCACTGCTCTAGAGTGTAAAAAACACATGAAAGTTCATGTTGCTGACATTGTCACAAAATTTAAAACATGCATTTTAGTTCATTAAAGATAAAGGTCTATAAATATTGTGAATAACGTTAATTCAGTGCAGGCTTGATGTTAACTCAGCACAAAGTCTAACTGTCATCAAATGTTATATTTGTGTGTACACACAGCTGGCTATGACTAATATTTTACTAGAAAAACACCTGATGAGACATCAGAAAGGGAGGAGGGAAGTCAGCAAAACGAGCATTAGCTCATGTGTCTTATGCCTATTCCCGAAAAATGGCCAAACATGACCAGACGTGACTACAAGTAAAGTCTGGAGAACTCAAGCTCTTAGTCACGTTTAGATTTTTATCAACAGCATTTATGGTTTTCCATTCAGGGAAACAGCTTTCAAACTTAGTCTTTGGTTATCGTAAAGTATCTTTTGCCAAATCTTCACACACAGACTCTCAGTTTTAAATTGGAAAACAACACTTGTCAATTGCGGGACAGTCGGCCTCGTGACCTGTTCTTTGAGTTTGACGTGACAGATGATGAGGTTAAGGATGGGGAGCAAAAGGTTACCATGTAGACTCATTTGTCCCTGAAACTAGAATGAACATCTGTGTCACCTTCAGCCGTTACAGATCCCACTCTTCTTTTCCCCAGAACAACCTTGCTTGAGTGGGTCTGTTTTGATGCTGGTCAGTTTACACAGAGGAATAAAGCAGGAGCATTATTACAGCATCTGTGTCTGTTTTGCTCTCCTTTTAACGCCCCCAGGATTTAGTCTGAAAACGATTAAGAAAACTTTAAAATTTTCAGTTGATCATTTCATCTAAAAGAGGAAGGACAACATCAAAGACCTATCTGCAGTTTTGATTGTTTACCCCTCCAATCACTCATGACTGTGGAGTCCTGTTTGATTCAAGCAAGCTGCTGCCAGAGTAAATTAGTTCAGGAGCAACAACCCAGAAACTTTCCCGCCTTTTGGCTGGTGACTGGTGTGAGTTTCCCAGCCTACCTTCCTGCTGGGCTGGTATTTCTATTTCCCTGGAAGCCCTGTATCGGCTTCTCGACCCACCACAGCGGTCATTACTCCACAGCCAGGATTACAAAATGGAAAAGGTGTGCTAAATACACTTACTACTACTAATAACGACTTAAGATATAAGTCTACACAACCCGACCCTTGATTTTCAATCTCCCTTTGGACTGAGGCAGGTTACCAGGACGTATAAAACCTGTGCCGCTGATGCTGCGACCGAATTTTCTAACAACATTTATAAAAAAAGAGAACAAGCAGGTTCAAGGCGCCACAATGTGAACCCATATCAGCTAAAATTAATCAGCACATGCATTCACAAAGAGTAACAGGCCCTTTTTAAATCAAGACGTGTGTGTGTGTGTGTGTGATGAGTTTTAAAGACGTGTAGCCCAGACAACACCTAATGTTTAAATTAAATCAGCCTATTAATGGTCATCATGCTGTGAGACACTTCCTGTTCAACACCAGTATAGCTCGGTGTTGGTGTCAGTTTGTGTCGTCTAGCTCCCCCAGCTGGCAGCCCTGCCAAGTAGGTGTGTGTGTGTGTGTGTGTGTGTGTGTGTGTGAAGCGTTTAAAAAAGATGTGATATGTTAAATGGTGCTTTTAGTTCCCTCCTCCTCCTCGTCTACCACCCCCTTATCTCCATCTTTAAACCGTTTCCTTCCTCACCTTCCTCCCCCATGCTCACTTTACCTCCTCTTCTCCCACATCTAAATCTTCTGTGCCTCACTCTGTCTCATCCTCTACACTTCCTCCTTGTCTTTCTCCTCCTCTACCACTTGCCCTTCCTCCTCCTCCTCCTCCTCCTCCACCACCACCACCACCTCCTCCCCTCCTGCTGCAGCTCTGCATCAACCTGTCTCTGAAAGTGCAGTAAGGAGGGTAAAGCTGGGATCTATTATGTTGCAGATGTCTGCTGGAATGCTGATGTACACTGTACGTACCCATCGACCCCTCCACCCCTGTTCACCTCGTGTGGGTCAGTCACTGAGTCGTATTTAGGAGGCGTAGAGCTCAAGCCGGAGACAAACTACAGGCACAGATTATCTCCTTCCTCTCCCTCTGCTTCCTCTCTCTGCAGGCTGTACATAACCACATAGCAAAATTACACCTTTCCGACACAGCTCCCGTCATCGCATCTCAGAGGTCAGAGGGCGGCAAAGAGTTGGGGGGTTGGTGGGGGCTCGGAGCAGAGAAAGAACATTCTGTGCCAGAGAAATGCGGCACTGGTTCCCTCCTGCTGAGCACAAACAGTCTGCTGAATAGTTGGTGGGACCACACAGTCTGGAGGTTCTGATTGGCTTCTGTGCCAGTCAGGAGGCGGGTGGGGAGGTCATCTAATGGGCACTGCCGGATGATCAGTTTATGTCATGCAGGATGGACAGCAGATTTCTCCAATGTCCTCAATTGGAAGTTTTCGTAAATAAAATGACTTCTGTTTATGATAAAGGGGGGAAAACTTTGTAAAGTGACAGGTCAGCCTGGCAGCACAAAAATCCGGCGTGCAGTTTGATCATTTCTGAGCGGCTCCGTTCGCTGGGATTTTTTAATGTTTCACACTAAATCAGTCAGGGAAGTGTTCGTCATGTTATAACTGAGTGGTGAAATGTGGTGACAATCGAAATGACCATGAAACCAGGAACAAATGTATGTTTGACATGATGGCTTTAAAAACACATCAAATTTCCCAAACATAAACTTCATGTAAAGGTGTGTAGAAATTGGAATATTGAAGGCTACGGTGGCCTTCAAGGACAAGAAACATCTGTGATCCATGATGAGTATGGTCCTCTTCAAGTTTACCATCAAAAATGCCTACCAGTACAACTCAGGTCTGTGCAGCTGCTAAATGCTAACGCAGTTACCTTTTCTAAGTAGTTTGTATGTTCAGTGCAAGATGGTAGCCATGGACGAAGTGATCTTTATGACGTAGGCAAGGGTGATACAACCTCAAATATCTGTCACTTTATTTCGTCTTTGCCTGAGAGCAGAGAACGATAATTTTATGTTGTACTTTTTAACTGAACATTTGAGATCTGTATTGTTTTGTGTGACGTTACTGCTAAAAACAGAGGTGGCTATTCAAAGGAATATTTAAGACAAAATAACAGCTGACTTTTATCGTGAGGAGTTTGTCAGAAATCAATGTGTGTACCAGTGGTTTCATTGGGAGTTAACGAAAACAAAGATAAATCAGTGACTGCCAGCATCAGTCACTCCTCTGCTTTTAATCATCTTTTTGAACTCAAGAAAAACTGAAAAAAATTGTATAAATTGCAATATCTTGTATCGCAAAACTCTTTTTATTGCAAAATGTTTAAAATCGCAATATTGTATCGTGGCCCAAGTATCATGATATTATCGCATTGTGGCCCAATTATTGTGATAATATCGTATCATGGCCCAAGTATTGTGATAATATCGTATCATGGCCCAAGTATTGTGATAATATCGTATCATGGCCCAAGTATCTTGATATTATTGTATCATGGCCCAAGTATTGTGATAATATCGTATCGTGGCCCAAGTATTGTGATAATATCGTATCATGGCCCAAGTATCTTGATATTATTGTATCATGGCCCAAGTATTGTGATAATATCGTATCATGGCCCAAGTATTGTGATAATATTGTATCGTGGCTCAAGTATCGTGATAATATTGTATCGTGGCTCAAGTATTGTGATAATATCGTATCATGTCCAAAGTATTTTGATAATATCGTCGCCCGGCCAAGTATCGTGATAATATTGTATTGTGGCCCAAGTATCGTGATAATATTGTATTGTGTGGCCACTATTGATTCCCACAACTACTGAGTCCCAAGAGTAACAATAAAAGTAAATACATGTACTATCCTAATGGTTTTATTTTGAAATTGCTTACTATTTAGTGTTGCAGCTGCATTAGTCAGACATCAGTTACCCTTAGCAACACTGCCAACTGTATTCTGGTGCCATGCAGCTTCTCAGGTATGAACATTGGCCGGTTTACTGGGACAGTATCTCATCTCAAACTTTTCAACATGCACTCGTCTCCCATAAATTGCAAGAACAAAGAATAAAAGCCTCATTCGCAAACCAAAAATATAGAACTGCGCTTCGACAGTGCTTTTTTTTATGGCAGCCTCTTTTTCCAAAAAGCAAACATCCCGAAGCGTTGAAAGATCAAGCAGATGGTTGGAACCTCTCTTTTGTGTTTCAAGCCCCGGAAACAGCTTCCTTTTCCAATTTGACATCTGGTTTTTGCAGCGTTACAGTCAGCATCCAGCTCTCTCAGCATCAGTTTACACAATTTGAGCATGACCATAAAACAAGTACGAGTTGAAATATTCTCCCCCAAACACTGATTCGGGATAAATCACAGAAACGTAAATAAGAGGAGTAGCAGTCAAGAGAAAGCACCTCCTGAGACCAGGTGTTTTCAGTTTGTTGTACAGAGACGGCAGAGTCAATGTGTTGAGACATGCTGCAGTGTTTTATCACTCAGCATCCTGTAAACAACACATAATTTCCCTCCACTTCACTTTGTTTGCTTTCTGTCTAAACAGAGCCTCTGGCTAACCTGAGTGGATGACATAAGCAAAATTACACTTTAATTTTTTGTGTTCATCTGGTTGTTTTCAGTTCAGTTATGCATATGCTTTTTGTTTAGGCTTCACACACCCACCAACACACAAGTAATTTCATCCAGAGATGGATGGTTTCCATAGCAATGAGTGTTTGTTTCCTCAGCAGGCAGATCGTTTCATGTCTGAGGAGTGAATGTGGACCAATCAGCTTCTGTCTCTATTGTGCTCGAACCTACAAGATCCAGTCACTGATGCTGGTTTCAAAGTTGGTGCCTCACTTCATTGTGATGACAAAGCTTATAAAACTGTCAGTCAGTAAAAGGAGCAGCTTTAGTGTTTTGTTCTCGACTACTAGGTCTCCATCAGGCATGATTTAAACCCCCTCACTGGGACAAAGGCCGTGACGAGGTGTGGCTCCTCTCTGTACTGTACGTGGGTCAGTCCTCTGTTTTTCTTCTCCGGCTCCTCAATGAGTATCTCCCTGTCATCAGTTACAATATCCTCTTATTTAGAGGGACACCACAGCAACTGGAAGAGTTATTTGTAGCCAGGCTTGATGGAAAACCTGGAGTGGAGGGGGGAGTCTTTCACCGTGGATCTGGGATGAGCTCCACGCAGCACAACTGGGCTCAAACCCAGCACATCCTGGGAAGGCTCTGACAGATTCATTTAGCTGCTGAACATTTAGTTCTTTGTTTATTTTAGACTGATATTTAAGACACATGTACAGTTGTAATTAGATTTTGGAGCAGCCCTCTTAGCGGGTGTCTGTTTTTAGTGTTTTACAAGCTATGTTTGTGCATCTACATGTGTTGTTGTTCAGGACTGTAGTCACAAGCATCGTGCCAGAGGCTAATTCAGGCAGTCGATGAAGGAGGTCTGTTCATGTGTTACTCTCTACCATTTGCCAAAGTAAGGGGCATCTGACTAAGTTTGCTAGATTTAGATTTTGAATCTAAAAGTCAGGGGTTTGACGCAGGTATTTGTGCTACCTTCAGCTGATTTAAGGTGTAACACTTCCTCTCTCTTTCTCTCTCCCTTCCAGAGTGCCCTGAGAAATGTGCAAGACGAGCATGCATGGCAGACGGAGAGTGCTGCCACCCTCAGTGCCTGGGCAGCTGCACAGCTCCTGATAGCGACACAGCATGCACGGCGTGTGTGCATTACTACTACCAAGGACGCTGCGTGGAAAACTGCCCCCCTGGCACCTACAAATTCGAAGGCTGGCGCTGCATCAGTGCCGATCTTTGCTCCAAGGTCCAACCCCCTGATGAAGACAGCCTCGTCATCCACGGCGATGAGTGCATAACCGAATGCCCACCTGGGTATACGCGCACCGCACCCAACAGGTAAGCTGATCCACCTGGGTATAAACTGAAACAGAGACGCTATTCTGCTTTTTTTCACATCCTGACTTGGTTTTCATTTTAAAATTTCAACAAGGTCGGAGCGAGAAAGGCCAGTCAGTTAATAGACAACAATTCTTCCTCAGATGCCACATAAAGCTGTGATTGTTTTGTAAAATAACAGAAGTTTCTTGTTAACATTTAGCCCGAGCTGTCAAACACTGACATAAAATCTTTCAGGGATGGAAATAAAACAGAGGAAAGGTCAGAGGAGAGTAACAAGGGTTCAGAGAATGAATGTACCTCTTCATTTACTCTCCCGTGTCTCCTCCTTTCTCTCCCTGTCCGTCTCCAGCATGTTCTGCAAAGCTTGCGATGGTCTGTGTGATAAAGTGTGCGACGAGAAGGTCATCGACTCCATGGATGCCGCTCAGTCTCTGAAAGGCTGCACTGTTATCAAAGGAAACCTGCATATCAACATCCGCAGAGGCCGTAAGTGCTGCCGTGTACCTCGGTTAATCCTCGCATCTCCACTTTTAATGCCACGCTGCAGCCTCTCAGCTGGTCAGGAAACTTTGACATGTTACATTCATAATGTTTGGATGCATTTCACAGTCAAAAGAAACATCATCTTTGACCTCAACAGAACAGGAATCATGTTGGTATTAGTCTATATGGGGGTCTTTGAAAAAGTTCTGGATAGTTTGCAAAACATGTAATTTCAAGGTGGTGCAAGGAAGGTGACAGCAGAGGTGAGAAATGAATTGGACCAAAAGCAGTTCAAGCAGTTTGCTATTTGATGACGATGATTTAATGAAGCCATCTTGAGTAAAACACACATCTTGAACAGCAAGTTTGCAGGCTTTAGATTTATCAAAGTATTTAATTTTCAGAAATTTAACCATTACCACAAATTATTCTTTTAAATAAATAGAGGTGTCTTGATACGATATTGATATTGGATATCGGTCCAGTATCAGCAAAAAAACAAATATCGGATTATATCAGCCTTCATCTAATATCTCCGATATCAGCACTACGATACAAGCAGTCCATTCCGTACTCCGCTCCGACACCTCTATCTAGCAGCACCCTGATCCAGTATGCAGAGCCCATGTAAACACAACAACAGTGTGTACTGGGGTACCAACAAAGTAGCAAGGAGTAGGAGTGATGTTGGCCTTGTGGGAGTATTTTTTGTTTAAGTCCAAAAAGACATTGCAGCTGAGTGAAAAACTTGCCATGCACAATTTTGTGCCAATATCGGATCAATATTGGTATCAGTCAGTCTTGAAGGCTACAATATCGGTATCGTATCAGTAGTCAAAAAGAATATATATATAAATGTTCATTGAAATACAGTTGAGTGTTGACAGTCTTTGAACTGAAGTGTGTTTTTGTGTGTTCAGACAACATGGTGGCAGAGCTGGAGAGTTTCACCGGTTTAATCCAGAGGGTGACGGGCTACGTGAGGATCAGACACTCCCACACTCTGAGCTCGCTCGCCTTCCTTCGCAGCCTCCGATACATCGACGGCGAAGAGCTTCTAGACGAGTAAGTCTCCCCATGAAAACACAGTCACATAAACGATGAAAGATACAGCAAGATACAGTTCATTACAGGACCACCTGCTTCCTTTGACATGAAAACTGTCCCTGGATCTGTACAGGATTCATTCTAGGTTCTATTATTCAGTCAAGTGTAGGTCTGCTCCAGCTCAACTTTAAGCTCTGAAGCTGCCCAATATTATATCTGACAGATCAAGTGGTTCAGGAACAGTTTCAAATCAAGGCTAACATCAAAGAAACACAAGGCTGGCTGAGGATCAGATTACAAGAGCCCATAATAACGACCCGCCCAAGGTCTTGGGGGTCTGTTCTGGTGTGTCTCCACCAAGCAGTTTGATTAAGTACAGTTCAGCACAGTTAACCCTGATCTTGCATGCAATGCCACAGCAGACTGTATCCTTCCCTGCTGTGTCTCACCAGAAGTGTTTTGGCTGTCTCATGGCCCTGACAGAACTTGCTCTTTAGTCTGTTTTAACACATCAGACAATTCAGCCTGCCATCCTGAGCAGCACATTGTTTTCCAGAAACTGTGAGGATCACAGAAAAATGATGAACAGAGGGCTGTATTTGCTAGCTCAGTATGTCGCAAGCATGGTTGTACTTCCAGTTTTCTTTTCAGAACAAAAGCCTGATTTGTGTCTGCGGTGCAGAGACTCCCCTTCTTTTCCACTCTATGCTTTTATTCTGAAGGTGTGTCCAGTTCAGTTATTTGGGGAAAGAAGTAATTTGCACTTCTCTGCACCATTTCTTTTCTCAGTCTTTTTTACGGTTTAGGGTCAGATCAGCGGGCTTGGTGCCCCAACAGAGGAGTGCCAAGAAAGCAGGATAGTACAGGTCATATATTTGGGTTCCTTTCCCAAATTTTGACAATGGAAATGCAAACAACAGAGTAGGGCTGGACAATGAGCTGAAAATTTACCGATTCCGAAATGTATAATAACCGACGACATTTCGCCCATGTCAATATATTCGGTGTCAAAAAAATAAATAAAAGTTGGTTATGGAGGTCCTATGTTGGAGACATGACTCGACCCCATCCAGTCTGTAACAAAGAGGGAAAGACAGGTGAGGAGATGGAAGACGGTTCAAAAGTTGGAGCAGCCATAGTGAACCAGACTGCTTGGTGAAACTGTAGCCTTTCCTTTCAGACAGTTTGTGCTTTCTTGAACAGAAGAGCGTCAGTCCTCTATTATGAAACAGTGAAGAACTTCAGCCTAAGAGCAGCTCATGGTCCTGGATGATTGTATTGCAAAACGAGTGTCCTTTTGAAATAAAGAAAATTTACTATAGTGAGTGGTAATAAGCCCCATAGTCAAGGGACTGGAGTAATGTATTGACTTAGTAAAAATATCACTTCTCTCTGGTAAGAGACTCCCCGTGTTTACACACAGCGCTTTCATTTTGAAGTCTTGTCTGTGACAGTTGTTTGGTTAGAGAATGAACTTGTGCACTTCTATAGTAAGGCCTACAGTAAACTAAAGTTGTTGTCAGGAATGAAGGTGGTGTCAAGTGCTGCGCAAAGTATGCTGGACATACAGCAGGGCAGTGTGTCTGTCTGTACTTAACCGCTATCAACGCTACTGTAGGCTGAGAACAACCACAGTTAGGGTGGCTGAGGCAGGGTGATGATAACAGATGGTACTAAAAAGAGCTTAACATTGGCATAGAAATCGCATGTCACTGAATGCTATGCAAGTCTTCTCACAGGAATTCAGTTTGAACTCTCTTACCTCTAGGAGTCCCCTCAAACATATACTGAAGCGCTTCTATTCTGGATTTCATGTCAACAGAGGAGGTCACTAAGAGTTGAGCTCAGTGGAAAGTAAAGGCAAATATGTTTTGACTTTGTGAAGACTGTAAAATATTAGTGTATGTTATGTGCACAGACATATTTTTCTTATTTTGAATTCCTTTCTGTAATTTTTTTTAAAGTGCCGCTCTCTTTTTGAACTGAACATAACAGCCCCTTTTTTGCACGACCTCGAACGCAGCTCAGCTTTGAAGGAGTGCAAGGAAAGCTTCTCTCAGGGTCACGGAGAGGCCTTCACTCCCACCTCGGCCTGTTTCTCCTTGAGTTCACAGGAATCTCTCTGTCCCAAGGCCCACATTACAGTCATTCCTGAATGTCTGGGTGTTACCCAATGACTCATAGAAACTGCACCTCCACTCCCCTCCGACATGAAAAAACCAAGCCCCCTGCTTAATCTGATTTCCCAGGTCATTTTTATCCCCACTGTGAGATCCATTCCCTCTCTGTCTAACTGGGTCATTAAGAAGTACTCTGCTGCTCCTGCTGCTGCTGCTACCTTTTCTAAAACTAGAATAGCTCCTTCTTATAGAAAAGAACAAGCAGCAATGCAGAAGTCAATACATACGCTCTTTCTTTGACACCTCATTGTGCAGTTTCCCATCAGGCGCTGAGAATAAGTCATTGTTTTCTGGGAATGTCGGACTTCAGCTCATGGAAACACAATACATACAATGAAGCAGCACAAAAAGTGTATTCAATGTAGGATCAAGTCAGGCATTGTTGACGATCTCCCTTTTCTTTCTTCCTCTTTTCTTGTCCTCAAGCATGTACGCCTTCTCTGCGTTTGACAACCAGCAGCTCCAGTACCTCTGGGACTGGAAGCAGCACAACCTCACCATCAAGGCGGGAAAGCTGTTTTTCCGAGCCAACCCCAAGCTCTGCATGTCGGAGATCCGCAAGATGTGGGAGAAGACAAGCATCCAGGCCCGCTTTGAAGACAGCGATTTCCGAAACAACGGGGACAGAGCCAGCTGTAAGAGTCACATGAGCTTCAGCCTGAGAACCACAGACATTTAAATTGCTACGTCCACTTACATGTAGAGGAGTTCCTCTAGTTTACCAACAGCACGCAAACACGTCCGCAATGCCTGCTGCTGTTCTGCACCTCATGTCAGCACTGACTGCCCTGCTCTGTAAACAAGACATAATGCTGCGCACTTGATTAAAAGGACTTTGGAGTTCTTTGATTTTTAACGCTGCTCTTACTCCCTTTATCCCTGCCTCTCCAGGTGAAAGCGCCATCCTCAAGTTTAAGTCCAACACCACCAGCAGTACCAGGATTAAACTGACCTGGCAGCGCTACCGCCCTCGTGACTACAGAGACCTCATCAGCTTTATCGTCTACTACAAAGAGGCGTAAGTTTTCAGAATAGCGCCGGTCATCGGCTGCTTTCCCCCCCACGGGAATCACTGAGTGTTGCCTGAATAGAAACAGGAACGTGATGCTCCTTCAATAAGCTTAAATCACATTCACTTTGAAATGTACTGCGAATTCTTTCAAATTTCCCAGAAATTGGCAAAAGGGAACAAGAGTTCATGTTCCCCTTTATCAGTCTGTTGTGGGCACGGTGGGCTTTGGGCCTGTCAGTGAAACCAGTCGATGTGTTCAGCTCAGAGCAGAGTGCTACGAATCTATTAGGCCTCGTCCACAATGTAAATGTCACGGAGGCAAGGCAGCATCACTGTAGACGTCAGAGTGAACAGGTTGTGTGTGTATATATGTGTCTGAGTTTGTGTAAATGAAGCTTAAGCTGTTTGTTTACTTATTGGGCCTCCTGCACTTCTGCCATAACACAATGTAGAATCACATTGGGACACTAAGAGCGTTCACTTTTCAGTCAGGAGCCACTCAAAGAATAAGTTGCATGAGACATTATGGACTGATGGACATTTCCATCATATCTTCTTTTCCCAGAGTGTCTCTTTTATTTATATAAGGATGGTTACAGTCTTTTATTCCTCAAAACAGGTCCAGACTTTTTTTCCAACTGTATTTTTTGCCTCTTGTTTGGGATTCAAGCTCCATAGTAGGGGTAGGAGAAAAAATTGATACAGCATAATATCACAATATTTTGTTTGGTGATATATCCTATTATCATTTGCCAAGTATAGCTTATTTCAAAAGTAACTGTTAATATGACGTTTAATCTGCGGTAATGGAAAAAAATAAAATCAACTGTTTGTCTAGTGAGGTTGGTAGAGGTGACATCATAGAGCAGGAGAAAGTTAGTATAACAAATATATATATAAGGTTTGCAAGAATGTGCTTCATGAAAATAAAAAACATTGTAAATAAGACAAACATGAAGGAAAGACAAATGCTAAATAAGCTAAACAGTTGAAAAAATTATATAAATCACAATGTCTTGTATCACAATACTTACTGTATAACAAATGTTAAAAAATCACAATAATATCGTATCGTGGGGCCACTAGTGAGTCCTACCCTTGCTCCATAGTCTTTGGTTCACAGAATAAACTCACTATACCTGCTTCCATCACACTTTTAAACACATGACATTTATATGAACAACAACATTTTAATGATATCCAGTTGTTGTATTGTATTGTAATATGACAACAGATTCACATTTTTAAGTCCTCAAAGTGAAAATACACCCCTAAAAATTCAAAAAAATACAATTGACTGTACTGTAATATTTTTGATAACTTCCAACTTCCCTCTCTGTGCCAACAGAACAAATAAAGAGTTTGTCATGATCTTAAAAAGAACAACATCAAGAAAATAGAGTAATAAGTTCTTTTAAAGCTTTTTAAGTTCAGCTGTGTTTCTTTTTGTTGCTTATGTGCTTATTGTACACATGTTTAGTTAGCATTTTTCAGTTTTGTGAGTGTAACTGTAACAACACGGTGTTATCTTCAGGTCATGTGTTTGTCCTGGAATACGACTTTTCACACATTGTGTTGACAAAATTTCAAGTCGTGCTTAAATGTTTACACAACATCAAATCTGAACACAAAGACAATTTCACATGAAATATATTTAAAAGAACTTTAATTTGACATCTTGATGATTGTTAACCTCTGACTTTGACCGTCCCTGCAGGCCTTTTCAGAACATCACAGAGTTCGAGGGACAGGATGGATGCGGTTCAAACAGCTGGAACATGGTGGATGTGGAGCCAAGCCCAGATAAAGACTCAGATCCTGGAGTCCTGCTGTCCAGCCTGAAGCCTTGGACGCAGTACGCAGTGTTTGTGAAGGCCATCACACTCATGATTGAGGACAAACACAAGGGCGCCAAGAGTAAGGTGGTCTACATCCGCACCAGCCCCTCGGGTAAGTCCCTGCATGATCGGAGGTTGAAGGTCATGTTGTCTCTAAAGACGTCACAGTGACACCAGAGAGGTGATCGAATAAGGAGGCTGAAATTTGATCAAGGCTGGAGGGTTGAAAAATCACTGCTACTGCACAGACCTCTGACATAAACCTTTCATTTTACCTGAACCTGGTTCGGCCAACTTCTCGGTTTAAATTGACGCTTGTTTTTTCAGATAGACACTCAATTGTTTCATGATGTATGTGAAAACATTGCTGGATGTACTCCAAGCATGCTGTAAGTGGAAGGAGAGGAAGACTGTTTTTGTAAACACAGCTGCAAGTCAAACAGTTGGAGGAAGAGCTGATTTACAAAAACTTTAATATAATTAGATGTAAGACGTCTTCGGTATAAATACAGCTGCACTATAAACCCACAGCAGCGGTGTGTTGTCAGCGGAACACATCTGCTACAGAACATAACGACGATCCATTTCCTACAAGTTCTTAGAAATTAGGTTTTCTTTCTCAGCGGACACAAAGTGACACTGAGATCTGATTGAGTCAGTTTTTTTTGTGTGTCTCTCTTTCAGCGCCCTCCATGCCTCTGGATGTGCGAGCGTACTCTAACTCTTCGACGCAGCTGGTGGTGCGTTGGTCTCCCCCCATCTCACCAAACGGAAACCAGACTTACTACCTGGTTCGATGGCAGCAACAAGCTGAAGACAGAGAGCTGTATCAGCACAACTATTGTTCTAAAGGTACAAACATAAAAACATACATCCACTAACAAACACCGGTTACCCTTTCTTTTACGGTACATTTACTACCAGGTAATTAACAGGTAATTACCTAGTAACAACATGAAATTATCTGGTAATTACATCTTTTTTTCTTTTTTTCTGTGCAGCTCCATTTCAAAAGCTATTTGGGGTTCTTGTTTTCTATGATTGACACTTGATACAGCCTATGGGCTTGCAAAGATTGCTTAGCGATACATTGTTTGAGCCGAGCATTGTCACAGCGACTCACCCGCTGAATGCGTACAATGCTGCTGCGCAAGTGGTGGTTCCAGGAAGCTGAGAAAATCCTGGAAATACCAGAGCAATTTGGCTTCAAATTTGTATGATGATGGAAGGTTACCTACCTGGTAGCTAGACGGTATTGTCTTAGTAGTTATCATGTAATTACCAGATAATTTCATGTTGTTACTTGGTAATTACCTGTTAATTATCTAGTAATAAGTGTACCGTAAAAGAAAGCGTTACCCAAACACCTGATGCTCTCCTCTGAACCAATACATCAAACTCATTCTTTGCCTCTCTCCACAGAGCTGAAGATCCCCATCAGAATCGCCGCGGTTGGGGTAGGAGACCAAGAAGAGGACACCAAGCCGACAAAGCCAGACCCTGATGGGCCAGACAAAGGCCCCTGTTGCCCCTGCCCCAAATCAGTGGAGGACCTGGAGGCCGAAGCTGCTGACGCCTCATACCGAAAAGTCTTTGAAAACTTCCTTCACAACTCCATTTTTACACCGAGGTATTCGACTCATCGTCTGTCAGTTTCTCCGAACCAGAAAGAGAGAATGTGTTTTGCACCAATGATGTGAAGTTTAGTTTTTCAGGGAACTTAACAGCAGGTGATTCACTGTCATCATCATAAAATAATAGAGTTTATGAAAAAAAAGCAAGTGACCAATACAGGTTGGTAAAGCAGTCCTTACACTGCAGACATCCCAGGCACTTAAATTAAAGCCAGAGTCACAAAAAGAACTCTTTGGACTGAACGACGAAGGACCTCCTATAAGTCTGGACCACATGTTCCCAAAAATGCTAAGAGGTTTTATGACAGAGTTTTTAAAATGTCTGGTATTTTTATAGAATTGACAGATTTTTTTATGCTGTGCAACCTGGCATCTCCCGACATTCTCCTCCCTTCTATCACCTCCAGGCCCCCAGATCGCCGTCGCAGAGATCTCTTTGGCGTAGCCAACACCACTCATTCGCGCCGTAACCGCCTGCACTCCAACAGCAGTACGGTCCCGCCTCTCCAAGCCGCTGGCAACAGCAGTATCGCTGACATGGAGCCAGTGGACAGAGAGTTTGAGTTTGTAGAGCAGGCGGTGACAGAGCGGGAACTGCAGATCTCCGGCCTGCAGCCCTTTACTGTTTACCGCATCGACATCCACGCCTGTAATCGACAAGTCCAACGCTGCAGCGCCGCAGAGTTTGTCTTCTCCAGAACCAAACCTGCAGGTAAGAGAGGAAACGATGGGTTTTTAATTAAATGCTTATGAACAGATTTTACCACTCAGACAAGCCTCTTAAAAAAACCAACATGTTCAGCTGACCGCTCTATGTCCCTACAGAAAAAGCTGACGACATCCCCGGCCCGGTGACCTGGGAGGGCCACGAGGACTGGGTGTTTCTACGCTGGCCAGAACCTCATCGCCCCAACGGACTCATCCTCATGTATGAGATCAAGTTCAAACTGGGAGCTGAGGTGAGATCAGCTGTTGTGTTAGAGAAAATTCAATATATCCTTTATGGTACCATTAAGTACTGTCTCTTTAAAAGCTGCATGAGTCTGTCGTCTTCTTATCTGTAGGATGTTTTAATATTCAGTCAACATGCAATTCAAGTGTTTTGTTGTTAAGCCACACCTTAAAACAAGACCTAACAGGTGATTTGAGGGACATTTGGGTGTTGTGCATAAAAACGCAGCTGTCCGTTCTAGATAATGTATCAGTAAACCAGTTCATAAGTGCAAGGCAGCGCAACTCTGCAGCCCAACAGACTCAAAACATGTGTGTTACCAACTAATATAGAAACTGTGAGTGTATTTTAAAGAAGTAGTTTTGATGATAAGTTTAAAGATTCATGTTTTAAATTGAAGGCATGATTCAAGGAAACAGGAACTGAAGTACCAGACACACACAGCCATAGAGGGAAAAAAAAACTCATTTATTGATCTGCAGCTCTTAAATTTGTAATCTTTAGTGTGTGATAAGGTTTCTTTGTGTGTGTGTTCGTATCAGACGGAGAAGCACGAGTGTGTCTCCGGTCAGATGTATCAGGCCCAGCGAGGTGTTCGGCTCTCGAACCTCAGTCCAGGAAACTACTCAGTCAGAGTGAGAGCGACGTCGCTGGCAGGAAACGGCTCCTGGACGCAACCTCTGGATATCTATGTGGCTGAACGTGAGAACCGCCCAGTCGCACATCATCAAACCTCAACACTCCTTTCGAACAGCTCAGACGTTTTTCCCCCCCAAATAATTAATTCAACATTTTGACCCTACAGGATATGAGAACGTTCTCTACGTTGTGATCTTTGTCCCCATCGCCATCATCGTCTTGATCTGCATTCTAACAGCCATGCTGGTGGTTCTCAACAGGAAAAGGTAAGAGTGCCTCCCAGTGCTGTCGTTCATCTGTGTACATTATTTCAGTCTCATAGAAAAAGCTTTGGACAAGTTAAAAAATAAAGTTTAAACATACTGTACAGCCAGTGCTGCCACATCACATCTACATTTATGAGCAAACCACTTAAACATCACACAGACAAAGGTTTAATGCCTATTGATGCAGCTGCAGGGCTCGACAGTGCAACCGTTTCACTCGTATTTGCAACCCAAAATAGATGTGTGCGAATTGTAAAATGTATTTAGGGACAAATGTGCACATGGAAAAATCAGCAGAGGAAACAAATGTTTTTTCATGTAAATACCGCAGTGAAGTTAGTTTTAGGTTGGATATTCAACAGACATTCATTGCTGATCTACTGGTGTCTTCTCACTCTCCGTAACCAGGAATGGCAACAGCAGCGCGGTTAAATCTACTCAGCACCTTAGCTGTCAACAACAGGCGTTTTCCTTCAATAGCTTTCATGTCACTTGACCAATTGACCTAAAATTGATTTCAAATAATAGTACTAAGGTTGGATAATAAGACACGCCTCTTCATTTACCTAATTTGTCCTTTAAAAAAATTTGTGTTAAATTTAAAGGCAAATTTTGAACATTTTCTTCAATAGCTTCCATGTCATGTGACCAAAAGACCTAAAATTGATTTTCAATAATAGTACTTATGTAGACCAATAAGACACACATTATTTGATCAATTTTCATTGTGCCCCTTAAGTTCTTTGTGTGCTCCTTACTTTTTCAACTTAGGAGCACATGTGCACCATGTGAAAAAATGTCCTAGAGAAAAACACAAGAACAACTAAATTCATTATATTCAAGCTTGATTTAAACTCAGTTGTGTAGAAATGCGAGACATTGAAAGCTCTCGGTTTTAAAGAATAAACGAGACCTCTTCATTTTCAGTGTTTGCAAAATGCTTCAACCTGTAGTTTCTCAAACAGAAGTGTTTCAGTTTTTTTGTTTTGCCAGTATTCTCTGGAGGCTTGGACTGTGATGTGTATGATTATACACCATGCATATCCCAGAGGAATGCGCGCATGTGCGTGTGGGTATGGAGGTATGTGTGAGCGTGTTTGTGTGTCTGTAAACACTTTTGTTTTTGCTCTGTCAGAAACAGTGACCGACTCGGAAACGGAGTCCTGTACGCCTCTGTTAACCCCGAGTACTTCAGCGCTGCAGAAAGTGAGTGACATCTGATAAAGGCTGTTTCAATACTGTCGATCGAACGACTTTAAACTTCTTTGGAGAGTTTTATTGATTTATCGACTCCTCCCGCAGTGTACGTCCCTGATGAGTGGGAGGTGGCTCGTGAGAAGATCGCTCTGAGTCGAGAGCTCGGTCAGGGGTCCTTCGGCATGGTGTACGAAGGCCTGGCAAAGGGCGTGGTCAAAGACGAACCGGAAACCCGTGTTGCCATTAAAACCGTAAACGAGTCGGCCAGCATGAGGGAGAGGATCGAGTTTCTGAATGAAGCCTCTGTCATGAAGGAGTTCAACTGTCACCATGTGGTACGTAACAAACACACAAGTAGAAGGAGACCAAGATCAGTACAGAGCAGTGATTTGTTGTTATGATGATGATGATGATGATGATGATGATGATGATGATCTTTTTGTGGTGCAGGTTCGTCTCCTGGGAGTGGTGTCACAGGGTCAGCCCACCCTGGTCATCATGGAGCTGATGACACGAGGAGACCTGAAGAGTTACTTACGCTCCCTCCGACCCAAAGAGGTACCTTCCCAACTGTAACCTGCAACAGCTCCTTGAGTCAGCCGATGTGGTCTTAATTTTTGTTGTCTGACTGTGTTAATTTCATAGAGGAAGTATTTCCATCTAGGACTCTTTTTCTTGACAAAAACAAAATGATAAAAACTGAAGCACCCGACAGAATGCATGACGTAAAGTATCGACAACTTCAACAATGATTGAAGGTATGACAGAGACAACATCCAATCAGTGCTGACTTGCTGGGAAGAGAGCCAATCAGATTTATACGCAGTAGGATGTTAGACACAAACATTAATCGACCCTGGAAAGACTCACAACTCATCTGTTTCTGAAACTGACGCCTTAGAAAGAGAAGACAGGACATTTAGTCTTGGTGTATGTCAGTGACACACACACACAGCTAACTTCTGGGGTGACATCATTATGATATTTGACATTTTCGTTTCTTTTGCTGCCCTAACTGTTTAAAGCTCTATGTCTAATTTATGGTTTGTCTCTCGGGGTTACATTGTAGAGCATATTGAGTAAGAGGATTCAAAGTTTGGATCGACTCTTAATCCTCAGAGATGAAGATGGTGTAAGGAGCACGATAAATCTGTCAGCCCAGGTACATTCAGGGACTATCCTGAGAGTGCAGTCCAGCCCCCTCTCTGTCATTAACTCTTGTGTGTCCACTCCAGAAAACTAACTGTAACCATGGAAGCACAAAAAATGTGTTTTTACTTGACGTGAAGAAAGAAAGGTTCTTCTTTTTCACTTCTTGTGTTGTGACCTTGGTAGATCAGAAGGGTAAACACAGCAGCATTGCATTGTGGGATCATCTAGGCCAGTGGTTCTCAAGTCCAGTCCTCAAACAGCGCATCGCTATGCAGTCCATCCAAAACATGCAGTACAGTGGGCCTCAAGGACTGGACTTGAGAACCACTTGTCTAGGCTAAATTATCAACCAAGGATGAGGGGTCCAGACATTACACAAGTTTAATTGTAAAGAGAGTGATACGATAAAACATTTTGATGAGCTAATTGAATTAGAGAGAAACTGTTTTGACTAAAAATTCAGATGTTATGAACTAGAATAAACCACAAAGGGGAAAAAACGACTAGAGTCAAACTATTGAAATTAGCTGCCAAATGAACACTGTTGTCTAAGAACCATGACTCTGAGGCCTCATAAATGAATTAACACCAGGTGCCTTTACTAGAGTAAGACTTCATTTTGCCAGTGCATATAAGAATGACAGTGATCTGTGTTTATCAGATTATACAAGGTTTCAGGATGTGTTAATGAACAAAAGCTGCTACAAAGATTTTTATTTATTTTTTTAAGTATTGATCAAAAAAGAATGACTTTTAAAGTAGAGCACATCTATTCTGATGGAGCCGCTAACAGGTGGCTCAGCTCCAGGTCTTGCTCTTCCTGAGGTCCAACTTTATCTCCTCTGTGTCTCCAGCAACAGTGGTCGAGTCTGTCGCTCCCCCCTCTGAAGAAGATGCTTCAGATGGCCGGGCAGATCGCCGACGGCATGGCTTATCTCAACGCCAACAAGTTTGTCCACAGAGACCTGGCGGCCAGGAACTGCATGGTAGCCGAGGACTTCACTGTAAAGATAGGAGGTAAAGGACTTTGAAGGGGGTCAGAGGTCACAGCAGCAGGTGTGTGGGGGAGTATGGAGCATGCAAATGAGAGGGAAATGTCTGATAGACAATCAAATCATGAGGTTAAGTCCCTTGAGGTAGGTGTGCAGCTCTGTCAGCATGTTTTCATCCACAGCTGACCTTCACTTTACCTTAGATTGTTTCCTGCTCAGTGTATTGTGGATGGCTGATATTATTACCAAATTTTTAAATCTGGATTTACAACATGTTGTTAATGTAGCTTGATATCCAGGCCTATAGTCTCAGTAAAAAGCGCCCTCTTGTGGAATATATCACCTTACAGCACCATAATAAGAACATCAACAGCTAAAAACATGACCACATTAACAACCAAACCCTGATTCAGCTGTTTAGGAGCCGTCTCAAGTTGACTTAAATAACTTTTTTTCTTGTTTGTGTAGACTTTGGAATGACCAGAGACATCTACGAGACAGATTACTACCGCAAAGGCGGTAAAGGTTTGCTTCCTGTCCGCTGGATGTCACCCGAGTCTCTGAAGGATGGAGTCTTCACCACCAACTCTGATGTCTGGTGAGCTGATGAACACAAACACACACTTTGGCTTCATTTTCATTGTAAAGCCTTCTTCATGAACACCTTCAGGGTTTAGTTTTGATTTTGACCCTCCCTTTCTTCTGCTCAGGTCATTTGGGGTGGTGTTGTGGGAGATAGCCACTCTGGCAGAGCAGCCTTACCAGGGTCTGTCCAATGAGCAGGTGCTCCGCTTTGTGATGGAGGGAGGCCTGCTGGAGAAACCACAGAACTGCCCGGACATGCTGTAAGACTTAAACGCACAAACAACCTCCACATTCATCACACTTTTACCTACTACTAGTCTGCTAGCTTAACATGTTTTCTCCACTTCACTCGTGAAGTCATGAGTGATTGCGTTTGTTCAGATAAACAGTGAAGCAGCACTTAAGCCCTTCAGTCTGTGGTCATCTCCATTTCCATACCACAGAGCTGATTTCTTCCAAAGCTCGTCTGTTTGTTTCTGCGGGACCGTGTGCTCTCCATAATTGCTTGTGTTGTACTGTGCCTGAAAAAGAAAAGCTCTCATATAACGTCCACATCATAAAATCTGTCACTATTGCAGGAAGATTTGACCGGATACAAGAATGTTTGACGAATAAGGTGAAGAAATGTGAATCAAAGAGTTTTCCAACAGACTGGACAAAAAGAGTGGAGATGTCCTCAGTGAAGTCACCCACTGGACTATAGACAGCAGGTTTTTCGCCTTTGCTATGTTGCTTTATTATTCGTGGCGAGAAGTATTTGGATAAAGATCTGAAGAGGAGCAAGTTAAAAGAAAACACAGAGTCCGAGGCAAACCCTGTCAAATTCAATAAGATAGGTGTATCATTGGCGTAGTTTATTATCAATTTAATGCTACATGTGAGCAGAGTTTGTGAAAAAAAAACACCATGCTGTTTTAAATAAGACATTAAAAAGCCTCAGAGACATTAAAGATAAGGTGTGAAGAGGATGGAGCAGAATAAACTCTGTGGAAATGGGGAAGAACATGAATATACATTTTCTAATTGATGTGTAATCACCTGAATATGAGAGTCTTTGTTTTTGTTAACTTAAATGAGCCTTTTATGTCTACATCAGGATCAGGCTCGAGTCTACAAAGGCTACTATCCTGCACTGCCATGTTTCTACTGTAGAACAGATTGACCAAACTGGTGGCAAGTGCATTTTTGTTTTTACTGAGTGGACTTGTGAAGTAAAGCAGTCGGATTATGTGAAGCTACACGCTAAAAGCATAAACCTGACGATAATTTAAAAATACATGCCCTCTGTGCTGTTAACTTTTATCCTCAAAAAGATCTAGTCTTAATTTTTAGGGAAAATTATAAGAAAACATCATGACTCCAAGAATTTTCCTAAAGTTTGATCATAAGACTTGGATATTGTTAAAATATTTCCACTTCTGCCCACTTTACCTCTAAAGTTTCACCACAAATCTAGTTACTCATATTTTCCTTCTCAAGTATTATCCTACAAGAATAAATTAAAAGGACAATTTTCAGAATGGATCACATGCAGTAAGATCTAAATCAGTATAAACACAATTGATCTGCATCCCTTCTCAAAATATGCTGCTGAATAATATCAAGAAAAGTTGTCACTGTTAAGAAAGGATTTGCATTATTTCCGATAACATACACGTTAGGGCCCGACCGATTTATCGGCGAGTCGATTAAATCGGCCAATTTTAGCCCATTTAAGACTAATCGGTAATAAGCCAAAACTTGCCGATTTCTACTGATATTTTCAGGAATAAAATGCGAAGTTCAAAACGCTTTTCTGGTCCAAGTTTGATCAGTTGATCTTCCTGTCGGCGTGAAGAGCAGTAGCGTACAGTATATCAACAGTATACTTTATACTGTAGATATCTACAGTGTATATGTATTTTTTACAAATTCATAAAAAAATTTTAAATATCGTCCGATTAATCAGTAATCTGATATTTTCCCCCCCTAATAATTGGCATCGGCCCCAAAAAATCCATATTGCTCGGGCCCTAATCCACGTTGCGATCATGACGTGTCAACCTGTCAGGTGAAGGCTTGATGTAAAGCTGCTGTCTCAGCTGTGGGAAGCAGGTAAGAGCAGCATCAGCTCTGTGCTTCATCACCCGGGAGTCAGGAGCTTACACACAGCAGTTTTAGCAACAGAGAGCAAACATTCGGCTAAAGTAAATATTGGCTGGTCAGTAGGAAGGTACAGTTCCTCAGGATGGAGCCAATACTACAGGAAAACATGTCCCTGAGTTAACCCGTTTGTGTGTTTGTGTGTGTCTGTGTGTGTGTGTGTATAGGTTTGAGCTGATGCGAATGTGTTGGCAATACAATCCCAAGATGCGTCCCGCCTTCGTGGAGATCATCAGCAGCATCAAAGACGAGCTGGAACCTTCTTTCAGAGAGGCCAGTTTCTTCTACAGCGCCGACAACAAGCCACCCGACGCTCCGCAGCTCCACCTGGACAAGATGGATGACATGGACGACGTTCCTCTGGACCCCTCCTCTTCTTCACAGCTGCAACAATCCGCAGTCCCCCAACAGACCCCGCCCACACCGGGCTCAGAGGCTCCGCCCGCCCCCTCGCTAGCTCCCAGCTCCCCCTCTTCTCCCTGCACGTCAGCCGCTGCCATGGACAAGCAGTCCGGCCAGCAGGCAGCCAATGGGCTTTCGGGGGCGGGCCTCGCAGCAGCGTCAGGGCTCGGAACGGCGCCGGTGCGGCCTTCTCTGGATGAGCTGCCGCCGTACGCGCACATGAACGGGGGCCGCAAAAATGAACGCACCATGCCTCTCCCACAATCCTCCGCCTGCTGATCGGACAGACACCCACCTGACTGCACACCCACCTGCCTCACTGTGTGGGATCTTCTTTTTTTAAATCACAAACAGTAAATCCATTTCCACCAGCTGGATGTGGCCACTCAGTGAGGAGGACTGACTCACAGGAAGGAGCAGGAAGGAGGAGGAGGAGAAAGTGTCACTAAGTCCATGTTCTGCTGTACCTCCACACACTTCTTTCACTTGGTTCTAGTTTTGGTTTCGACCAGCTGGCTGTCCGACGTGACACTGCCCTCGCTGCTGAGAGTGAACACCAAAAGAACGATAAAGGAAAGAGAAAAAAAAATGAATTCTGGGAGATCTCTCTCCCTCTTTATGGCTGAACTTATTTTATAAATTTGTTATTTGTTACCTTTTTTACATGTGTTTCCAAACAGGAAAAAAACAAGATGTGTAGGCCTTTATTAATGAACACCATTTTGGTCACTTTAGAGCGGGCATTAAGTTGAAATAGTTGAGCATATCTAAAAGTTGAAGCACTTCAGAGAGGTCAGGGGGTCTCCGCCGGTGGTTTAGGAGGGATGTTGCTCCGCAGGGTCGGTGTAATACCGGGTCAGCTGAAAAGAAACAACCAGAGGGAGACGAGTTAAATCTGCCAAAATTGTTGCCAAAATTGTACTTTTTATAAAATTCTCTCTCCTGCAGTTTTACCCTGTAATCCTTCAACAAGCCGGATTAAAAATGGAAGCAACACGGCCTTTGATACGTTCCTACGCCATCTTCAAAAATCTGTGATCAAAGGGATCTGAACTTCCCTCCACAGTTTGACACTGCTCCTCTTTTTGCTTTTTGATATCCACAGCTTCTGTTCTCTCTCAAATTAACGTCATGGACCTTGGTTACATCGGTTTATCTGAAGTCGAGCCACATCCTCTCACAAAGTGCTGTTCTGTTACGGTTTAAAGGCCAAATCCAGTCTATAAAGAAGCAAAATAAAAAAAAGAAAAAAAATCTTTGAAGCAAGGACTGCAGAGGGAAGAGCATACAGAAGAAAAACAAATATGAACACTATTATCTCTACCGCCTCTCTGTCAGGAGGCGCTTTGTTGTTGTAAACAAACAGGTATTTTTTTAGACTAGTCATTAGTCTCCACATTTACGACATCTCTACGTGGGCAGAGCATTTATGTACGCACCAGTTGTTTGTGTCACTTTTCTAACTTTTATACGGTTGGAGACATTCATCATGTACAGAAAGAAGCTGCTATTCCTTATTTCTCTTGTGGTTGTAAAATAGTTAATATCTATATATATAAAAAGAGAAAAAAACTCCTTCAGGTCAGATCTACCAACGTTTCCACTACAGTCCATTTTTTAAATGCTTGTTACTGTGTAAAAACGTCTCTGAGCTGGTTTCATTTCTGTGTTCCCGTAAAGGTACGACAGTTTGCCTTGTGTTCGAAACACCGCTTACTTCTCCTCACGTCTGATAAGAGGACAGTGATGGGTCCAAGAAAACCATCGATGCTCTTGTGTTCTCTCGGGACGCCTCCGCCTCCGTCCTCTGAGGGTTTAAGCTCAGAGGTCGGAGGTGAGGCGTCACAGCTGAGGCCCGACTAAATCTCAGGTCAAAGAGAAAAGTTTAATCCTTTTCTACTTTCCTTTTGTTTTGTTTTTTCTTCTCCCTTTTTTTCCTCGTGCTGTCATATATGTCTGATACATCCAGCCTGATACACGTGTGTGTGCGTTTTAACCTCTGATTCTATGTCCCTCTGAATCTGGTCATTTCATTTCCGTGGATTGGGAGGTTTCTCTGCTTAGATTAGGCAGGAGTAGTGTTTCCTAGAAATCTTTCTAAAATATGAAGAGTTTCTGCTCTAGATGGTCCCTGCACTGACTGTATGAAGCCCTGAAAACTGAGAGAAAGAAATAAAAGGTTATCAGACAGGTCAGATATAACTGGATACATCAGCATGATAATGACAAAAGGAATATCAAGCAAATACTTGACTTTTAAGTCAACTCAACAAGGCTAAAAAGTTAGACCAAGGGGTCTGTCTTACCTTATGAATGAAAGGAATATTTTTATCTATTAAAACTGAATTTATTTCCTTTTTTTCAATGGTATTTCACAAGATCTTAGTTTTTACCACCTAGTCTCTCTTTGGGGGGTCTTCTTGGCAAATTTAAGTCTTTTGCCCTCATTATCGGTTTGTCAATGCTGTCTGTTCACAATAGGACGTTATAGTTGCAGACAAATTTCCGAAGTCAGATTAAAGTTATGAGTCCTGCTAAATTGAGGTGCGCTTCCATGTTCTCAGTTGAAAAAAGCTCCTGTGAGAGGACTTTTTGGGCATCTGTGAAAAAGACTTAAACCAATATATATGATTTTGATGATATCCAAGTTCCAACAAGATTATCAGCGTCTTGATTAATAATTTTTTATATCATCATTTTCAATTTCTGAAACCTCAGTGTGGAGGGTAGGTATCAGAAGAGCAGCTGCTCATACAGCCCTGTTCTAACAATTCCCACACAATCACTATAAATGATCATTTTGACTCTCAGAACTCTGCAGGTTACATTTTTTTAGACAAACATCATTACTATATAACGGTGGTTCTCAAGTCCAGTCATCGAGGCCCACTGTCCTGCATGTTTCGGATGTTTCCCTTCTCCAACACACCTGATTCAAATGATCAGCTCGTTATTAAGACCATTACAGAGCTTGATAACGAGCTGATCATTTGAATCAGGTGTGTTGGAGCAGGGAAACATCCAAAACATGCAGGACAGTGGGCCTCGAAGACTGGACTTGAGAACCACTGCTATATAAACAAGCTCTGCTTTGTCCACCGGGGGGCGCCAAACCTGACAAAGTGAAAGTTCCTCACTGGAGCTTTAAGCTTGGTTAAAGGAGCTCAGTCACCAAGTGCTGGCAAAGTTACTTATTCTACTTTAAGTGGATTTTTTCTTTTAATCATGAGATTGACATTAAAGCTCCTGTGAGGAGCTCTTTTTAAGTGTCAAATACAGCGCCCCCTGTTGACCAAACAATAAACTTTCTCTTTTTCCTGATATTTCTTATTCCTGTGTGAGAAGTGATGTTGCTAACCAAAAAGAAAAATTTCCCTTCTTCCGTCAAACTTATCACCCATCATAAATCTTTGTTCTGGAGAGGAGCTCACAGGAGCTTTTTATTATATGACTAAAATGTTGAATTAAGTCCAGAGTCTGGGGTGTCGGTTTAACTCAGCGGATAAATCTTGCACCTCATGTTTGGCTCAGGAAGGACAGACCAGGTTCTGTTTTGACTCTCAGCCTGTTCTCCACTCTTGCTGTCTCCTGTCATGTCACTGAGTAAGACATAAAAGCCCCCCAAATAAACTTAGAAAATAAAAAAAATCCAGAGTTTCACTGGAAATGTGTGGGCAAAGAAAAAAGTAAAAAGTTATCTACAAAAGGAGAAGTTTGTAGCCTTGTTGTTGAGTTTGATTCCTCAGAGTATTGTTGTCTTTTTGACCTCTCTGATAACCTTTTTTGACATCGATCACTTCAGGCTTCATATGTTTGTGCTTTAGGATTAAAATGATTCAACACAGAGTTTCATAAATGTAGCAACAAATGTGATTTTCACCTGTGACATCTGGAGACAAGTGCAAACCCCCTGAATGTTGGATAATTTCATCTCCTGCTCATCGTCTACTCTCTCGACTCGTTTATTTTCTGGATGCTGCTGGTATAACCCACATTATTTATCTCTTTATTTTTTTGTTGATAATTGCTGAAGTTAAAAAAGGGTTGAGGATTTAGTGAAGTTATCTTACAGCACTGAGCGTTTGCTAAAGTTAAACCATTTCATAACTGAGGGTGAGACAAACACTGAGGAGGCTCTTCTCTTCTTCTCAACATGTTTGGTTCAATCAGAGAAAGAGACACACGACTGATCAGAGGATTGTTGTACCTGGAGATCCCAGCATTAAACAGACTGTTTCAAGGTTTTCTGAAGACACACGCAAAAACATGAAGACAAGTACGATCAGAGAGGACTTTAAGGACCAGATATTAAAGGCTCATTCACCTCAGAAAAGTTTGAATCCCAAGTGCAGATATTCCTTCATTATTTATGTTGTTTTTATTTTGTGAAGTGTAAATCACTGTACAAATCCCCCTCACATTTTTTTTTTAATTCCCTCTGGTACTTTGATGTTCTTTTGCTATTTTTGGGGGAAGGTTTTGTTTTCCCTTCAACCATCCATCTACCTCACTGTTTTGTTTTGATTTCAATCGATTTACGTGTACAGAAAAACACAAAACATCTCATCTCTGTTGTCCGGCTGTACAGACGATCTCACTGAGTGCTGTTAATACGGCCAAATTCAAACCACAAACCTAAGCATCCTGGAGGGGGGAGGGGGCAGAAACATCCTGCTCAATCTAACAAATAAATATTTCTCTCTTTTTAAACCTTTTTAAACAAAATCTTTCAGGCTCTTGGAGGTTATAATTCCTCCTGCTGCCTCTGTACACGTTTTTGTTGCTGCAGTTTCTGCCTCTAGTGTATCACCATCACATGTAAATGTGTATTTTCTCAAAAAATACAGCAATTTGCCCAAATATGGATTTAAAGATGATTTTATCGATTTAAGAATTAGTTATGTACCCAGCTTGAAACAGTAGTTCTGCTGATTCCTTATTCAGTACTGCCTCCATGCCCTAGGGCATTGGTTCTCAAGTTCAGTCTTCGAGGCCCACTGTCCTGCATGTTTTGGATTTTTCCCTGCTCCAACACACCTGATTCAAATGATCAGCTCATTATCAAGCCATTACAGAGCTTGATAACGAGCTGATCATTTGAATCAGGTGTGTTGGAGCAGGGAAACATCCAAAACATGCAGGACAGTGGGCCTCGAAGACTGGAGTTGAAGTATTTAACAGAGCCTGGTGACATATAAAGAGAGATGGGTTATAGCTGTTCTTTACATTTAGTTACTGAAGGTGTAATGAGTGCTGGTGGTCGACTGGGGTGCATTACATTGAAAGATGTTTCTAGTATTGCCTTGTGTGCACCAAATGTCAGTACATTGCCTGACATGTAGGGGTAGCTAAATATTAGGAACAACTTTTGATGTAATCGAGTCCTGTACTTTTCCAGCGCCCACTAAGACCTCAGTGATTCAAGTCCAGTTATGATCTTTCTGACCAAAACTCTAATTATGGTATAGTTGTTGTTTTAGACCACACAAGTGGTCTGATCTGTGCATTTGAGGCACAAACTTGAGCAACAAGAGGGTGATGGTGGTAGGAAAAACTGATTTCAGACTCATAGTTGACTCTTTTCGTTCAGGTTTGGACCAGATGAAGGGCTGTGCTGTCCTAAAGTTGGGGGATGAATCTGACATTTAGAGAATTTTCCTCAGATTTGGTTGTGTTTCTGAAAAAAAATACAGCAGCAGCGTTTTTTTTTCAACCGTTTTGAGTCTGGTATTTGTAAAAATGTCAAACAGGACATCAAGTTCCCATCACGTACTTGTCCAAAGAAGGACCTTAAAGGACCTCTGCTGGTGGCTAACAGCCAATAAAACTGAGGTGGTTACTTTTACTGGTGATCTGTTTGTCAAGTTTGAGACAGTCTGGCACTTACGGCGTCACCACACCCACGCTAAGAGTATTCACTGCAGTGAACCATAACATATGTTGTGTTTGACAGACGACTAATCTGATGTTTGACTTCTCTTTTCTTCACCCAGATGTTTTCCTTTTTACTTCCACTCACACACAGTGATCAATAGATGGTTCTCTTCCTCCCCCATCAAAGCAGGTTTTAAGTTTAAGGCTTAGGAAGTTCTGGGTTTTGTTTTGGAGTCCTTTAAAAAGAACCAGCTGATCAGGATGTGTATTTCGGTGTTTGTGGTCTGACTTTAGTCTCACTTTTACCACTGGAACACCTCACAGAGCGGACATAAAATCGAACAAATCTCTGTTTTCGTTTAATTTTTCTTCCTTCTTTTGTTACATTGATGGCCAATTTGTTACCGACTTTTTGATGTGTGTAAATTATTCATAGCCTTCCAACTTTTAAGTTTCTATTGAAATGATCTCTTAGGCTGAGGTTTCATTTTGCTTTCTTTTGTACATGCTGTTGTAAGAATTTTTCCTGATTATCAATATATTCTGAGTACGGGGAAAAATTATTGGCTGAAGGAAAAGAGAATGTCTGTTTCTCTGATTCTTTTTTTCTACACGAGATTTAAGATGATTAAAAATGTATGCAAACTGTTGTGTCTCTTTGTTTGAACATGTACATCAGTAATGGCACAGACCAGGAGGAATATTCACTACAGAATGATAGAGGACTAAGGAGGTACAGTCAAAAGTGCCAGAACTTTTTATCAATCAATCAATAACTTTATTGTCCCCCAATGGGGCAATTGGTTGTGCAACAAAGGGAGCATAAAAAACACTTAAGCCAGTGGTTCTCAACTGGTCTCACTCTGGGACCCACATTTTCCCATGGTCCTTAAGTCGCAACCCACTTTTATAAAATTCAAACCAAGCAAATTAATCTTTTTAATAAAAAAAAAAAACCTTTAAAGACCATAATCCCGTTAACATAAATCCAGTTGTTTTATTGAGTAAAGTGCATTTCAGAGCACATGAAGGAGACAACATGAGGACGACAATTACTGAAGTTGCTTATACAGAAAATTTTGAATATCTAATAAATATGACATTAAATATTTACTTTTTTGACCAGCTGTTTGTGACCCATCCAGAATGTGTCCTCCACCCACTTTTGGGTCGGGACCCACCAGTTGAGAACCACTGACTTAAGCACAATAATCAAAATCAAGGAAAACATGACTAGAAAAACATAAAAATCCAAAATATAATTAATCAAAACACCACAAGCAGCTTACCTTTTCCTCCATGAATTGAGAGGGGAGATGGCAGAAAGTATGAAGGAATGTTTATATCTGTTAGTTTGAGCAAGAAGAGCTCTGATCAATGAACCAGATGGAAGAAACTGAAACTGATCATGTAGAGGATGGGAACAGTCAGGCAGGATGGGTTTTGCTCTCTTGTACAGCTGTTTGTTATACCGATCCTGTAAAGTTTCCTGAACAGAGCCAGTTATTTTACTGCAGACATTAACCACCTTGTTTAGAACATTTTTCTGTTTTACCTTGAGTGATAAAAAACCAACAGACCAGAGAAAAAGTTATCACAGATTCAATATAAGAATGATAAAACATGGTCATTAGAGATGAAACAACCTGGAATTTTGAGTTTTCTAAGACAGAACAGATGCTGCTGGCTTTTCTTGTAAATTGTGTTAGTGTTACTCTTTAATGACAATTTGTTGTCTGTTATGGTTCCTAAATACTTGTAGGACGCTACAATTTCCATATCCTGACCATCAACCACTGCGCTGTCGGGAAGGGGCTGTGAGTGTCTGAAATTAGTGCACATGTCCTTTGTTTTTGAGACATTCAGAGATGAAAATGAATCCTGACGCCATTTTAGAAAGTAATCAACCACAGGGCCATGGGAAGTTTCAGTACTGTTCAACAGGCTCACTATGATCATATCATACGGAAAAGCTATGTGAAGACGACAGCCTTTCCCCCCACATTTTAGAGACTTAACAGAATATAGTTACTTTTTCAATAAATCACTTTTTTGTATTCTTGTAGAGGTCTGTGCAGGAGCGTCAAGCAGACATGCATCTCTACATTTTACATTCCCCTCATTTTTCATGATGAGACAAGACTTTTTGTAATTATAAGGAAAAGCTTTTTTTTCTCACAATAACAGGATTACTTTCTGGTGATCTGGAAAACATGAGGATGCAGATTTGTATTTATTTTTTAGTTACACTGCTTTTTCTAAATGAGCAAATGAAGAAGCGTACATCCTGTCAGAAGGTGGCAATGATTTTTTTTGGTAAGTACTAAATATGTATAAAGTGCAAAGAGAATATCTTATGTATCAGTTAAGGGAAGTGAAATCGACTCTGTACTTAGAATAAAACCCCTTGCCATTATTCTTAGTGTTTATGACTGGATCACATATAACAAAATTGAATTTAGTTTACAGGGTAAGGATATGAGTAATTATGGACAATATTAAATTGATTTAATGTGATTACAGTCAGCAGGCCTAATAGTAGGTAACATTAGTTTTATGTTATTAATGTCTTAAAAAAACAGACTTCAACCCTGAACAACCCATCATACCAGTGGGGAGCAGTCATGCTCTTTGACGTTGTTGACCAGCCGCTAATCTAGTCCACAAAGAAGAAGGAGAGTGACGTCATACGTTGTTTACGGCAGATAAAACTGTTGCAGCTCAGCTCTCCAACCTCTGTCTGTGCCGGAGCTTATTTACCTCTATTAATATATATGCATTCAGCCTCGGTTTGTTTGTGGTCATGTGTGGAGAATAAAGCAGGATAAAATGGCTCTGGACTGTTAAGGTAAATGAATTAAAAGTTTTCTATGCGGTTTATGGTTGTTGTTGATGGTCTGTTAGCTTGTATGCTAACTGTGCTAAGAATGACAGTCGAGTTTTCACTAAGTCAGTTTGTGCTGAAATTGAACTTTACGTTTAGACTACAGGGTCTGTTTAGTGCCTAACGTAAGCTTTACTACGACCCAGACCAACACCTCCGATTTCCTTCATATCTAAGTCTAATCATAGATAATAAAGTAGCAGTCAGTGGCCTTTTGAGGGGTAGTTACCTCCAGCTGCAACACAAAAAATATAGATAATTTCATAGACAAGTATGTGAAATATGGATCAGTTCTATTAACGACTGCTATGAGGCTTAATGAATGCGTCTTTACACCGGGGCTGGGACGATATGCATTTCTCCCAATTCGATTTTTCTACGATTTTTTTGGGATGCCGATTCGATTTAAATTGCGATTCTACGATATTGTCGACTTTCTCGATATTTAGCCTGCATTTTTAACACCAGTGAAACAGTTGAATGATTATGCTTGTCTACTGGCTATTCCAGGAACAATATTTCCCCCAAAAATAAGCGTCACATGTAAGTCAGTTTTTAAGATTAATTCTTAAATTTGAAACAAAAAAATCAATTTTTGAACAAAAAAAAATCAATTTAAAATTTATAAAACAAAAAAAATTGCGATACTTATATCAATTAATTGTTTTCTCCTACTCCTACTTTACACTCACACCTGTATGTGAGGGGGTTTAACTATGTGCCTTAAGCAACAGGTGGACATTTTCTTTATGTGTGTTGCAATGAGGAAAACTGGGCAAGTGTAAGGATCTGAATCAAGTTGTTGAAGACTAAACTGTAAAGTTTAGACAACTAGATGAGAGCAACTCCAAATCTGCAGATCCTGTGGGGTTTTTCCAGACTTGCAGGGCAGTGCCTGAAGTGTCCTAAGGAAGGGGAACTGGTGACAGGGTCGTGATTGACTGGGGTTCATTTCGGGCACAGAAGGCTAGCCCGTGTGGTCTGACTGCAGAAAAGCTACTGGAGCTCAAGTTGCTGAAAAAGTTTACTCTAGCTCTTATAGACAAGTGTCAGGTTCAGGTATCCAACTTTTCTACCAACAAATGCCACTTTGACAAGTTCCTTAGCATCATAAGTAGACCGCAGAGTAATGGAAGAAGGCGACTTGGAGGAAACATGACAGCTTTTTTTACTTGTTCTCCAAATTTTCCAAATCTGGTTCCAACTGAATATCCCTGGGTTTTTTTTGTACAACAAATGGAAGCCACACCTCACAACTCCCAGGAGGGTGCTATTGTTCCGGTGCTGGATACCACAGCACACATTCAGGGGGCTTTTTTAGTCCTGACATGATGACTGATGACAGGGCCCTGCATACTATTAGTCAGGTGGTCCGTATGTTTTGGCTGACAGTGTCTAATACCTGTAAAAAGGAAACAATAGACATTGGTGCAATGGAGAGTGCAAGGATGCCAAGAAGAACACTATATGGACCAGAGTAATATAGTCAGATGGCTGTAGATTAACCTTTGATATCCTGATGAGTTATCCAATCAAAGTAAGGGCCTTAAACAGCAACAACAAACGAGAATTCACATATCAGTTGTGCACGGCGTATTTTTGTACTTCACATGCACAGCTGATTTGATTATGATACATGATGAACTGTTCCTGATTTCCTAACTGAGTTAAAGGTTTTTCAGAGCTTGATCAAAACTGTTGTTTGAAGAGTTTATGTTCAGGGTGTTGGGTCAGCAGTGATGTGTCCTGGCTCTGGGTTGGTATGAGATCAGTTAGGATCAGTCTAGCACATAAAATCAGACTTTGGACTTTTTGAGTACACTGTGCTCCTGTTTGTAATCATATCTGTAGAACCTTGAACAAACTTATATCCCCCCTCGCAAAGTTAACCTGAGGTATATACTCAGGTACTCAGTGCAGCAGTTCTTGGTTGTATTAATCCTGTTTCCTGCAGTATTTTCTTTGCCTGCTCTCAAACGAAAGCTTCTGTCCACTAATGCCTCTGTTCATTTTTCTTTCACGAAACAGGAATGCCTCAAAGAAGGGGGTACTGCCAAGTCTCCTTCTGCAGGGGTTAAGAGATTTTCTCAGACATGGCAACTGAACTCCATGAGACCATTTTCATGGCCAAGCAGGAGCGCCATAAGAACCTGTTCCTGAACTACAGAAACCTGAATAATTTCCCGGTGGAGCTGCTGAAGGATGAAGGTCTGCAGTTTCTGGAGAGACTCTACATGAAGAGGAACTCACTCACTACACTGGTATTTACTTTTTACATAATGACGTAGCTGTGTGACATTCTCTAATACAGCCGATTACTGTTCTACACAAATAACAGAACATGACAGGAGACTGCTCTACAGATGTTTGACAACTTCCTACAAAAATAGGCCAACATACCAGCGCAGCAGTTTGTATCTCCTGATTATTTCTACCTCTTTCTTTCTCTCCCTCTCTCTCACTCCTCCCTCTCTCTCCCCCTCAGCCTGATAATCTTGCCCAGAAGCTTCCAAATCTGATTGAACTGTAAGTATTTAGCTAAGCTGTTTGCTTTCTACAAGTTATGAAATCAGCTGTTATCTGATGGCAAAGGCTTTTATGGCATGAGTTGTCTGTGGGTTTTTATGGGACACAGTTACAGGAACAGGGTCATGGCTGTTGAATTTTAGTGATCTCGCGTTTGTTCTTAACATATTCAGGAAGTCTTAATTTTATACTAATTAAAATTCTCTTTTTTATTTTCAAGGTACTTACACTCAAACAACATAGTCATTATTCCTCAAGGTAAGTCCTTGTTTTCGTCTAAATAGTATTGAGCAAGTACTCACTCTGACTGAGAGGTGTTATGAGAGGCTGTGATCAGTTACTGCTTTATAAAAAAAACAAATATATGGTCAATTTTGATCTAATGTCAGTAAAACATAACAGAACAGCAGCTGGGATACAGGGGATTGTTTACCATTGTGTTGCATCATCTCTTCTTTCAACAACTAATGGGAACAAAGGAGACCGGTGTCCAATGTTTTACAAGTCAAATGCTGTCCTTGTTTTATTGATGATTTCAGCTGGCCAACAGTTCATGTCTTCTTTATTAGATATTTTGCATCATCAGAACGCCCTTTATTGTCATTATACTGAAGCAGGCCAGTTTAGCACCCAGACTCCTCTGCATCTTCTTTCTGCATTACATAAGGTCCTCCTTGAGAAAAGCATTATCTAGATGGCAGCACATGTTGCCCCAAAACCTGTATATATTGTCCAGTCCTCCCAGATGAACGAACTAGTGTCATGGGCCCTTGTTCATCCCCAGAACCATCAAGGATGCTGGTCTTTGAACTGTGCGCTGATGACAAACAGGGTCGTGCCTCCCATGGTTAGGGTGGAGAATGTGGCGTTCATTATTTTAAAAAAACATAGTTTGATTTGACAGATCACATGACTGTTTTCCTCTTCAGTCCACCTTAAATTGGCTTTAGTCCAGAGAAGTCATCTGCATTTCTGGATGATGTTCTTATCTGGTTTCCTCTTTGCATGGTACAGTTTTGGATGCAGTGACAAACCGTGTTCACAGAAAATAAGTTTTGGAAATGAGTCTTAATGCTGCGCCAAATAAGAGCTCAAAGATTATGGACATCAGTTTTCCGTACAGAGATTTCTTCAAATTCTCAGACTCTTGAGTGATATTATGCACTGTTGTCAATGAAATACTCCAAGTACATACAGTTTGACTCTCAGGAACATTATTCTGGAATTACAGGACTATTACTCCCCCCAATCTCTCATGTAATGGTGAATTATTTCCCATATTCACTTCTAAGGGACTAAGCCTCTTCTTTCAATCTTTCAATACCTACTTCAATACCTAATTGAATTTCCCTTCAGGGATTAATAAAGTTATTCCTATTGTTGCAGATTAACCAAACTAATTGAGAGATGTTCCATTTTTATCATAACACATTTTATCAGTGTTTGTTTTTTGTCTCAGCTTTGAAACATGAAGCTGACATCAAATTTAAAGTAAGCAAACATTGTGATAGTCACACCTGAGCAGCAGGTTTCTGCCCAAACATTGACGCAATAGGTTCATACAAACTAGCAAATAAATTGACAGTGTGGATGTGAGGTACCCATCAGCAGAGGTGAAAAGTTTCCACCTACTGGAGAGTAAACAGAGACCATTTCCTGGCACTTGCTCCACTTGTCATGAAGTGAAATATGCAGATCTAATGTAACCCTCTGAACCAGCAGAGAAGTGATTCATAAAAGACAGTTGCCTCTGAGTGTGACTGTGAACACATAGTCTAGAGTTTAAACTGCTGTTTGCTTCTGTCTTCTTTAATTTTGCTTTTATTCAGCAATTTGTCAGTGATCTGATTTATTGATCTACGTTGAGTTTATTGTTTCAGCGCAGTTACAGCATCTTTAATTTATCCCCTCAGCGATTGGAAACCTTGCCAGACTGCAGTCACTGGACCTCAGCAATAACGCGCTCCAGCTCCTCTGTCCAGAGATTGGCCGGCTGAGGTCTCTGCGGCACCTGAGGCTGTCCAATAACCACCTGAAATACCTTCCCCAAGGTAAAACTCAGCGGCTGTCTGTCTGTACCGTTCGCCTATTACACCTTGCAGTCCCACAGCACCAGGATGAAAGTCACGCCTTTGTTCTGACACATTTAACTGCAACAGCACTATATATATTGGTGTCCCAGAGTGGTGCTCCCTGTTGCATTACTCGTTTGCAGAAACCCAGCTTCTGAACACACAGCTACACACATATGAAACCGTTCCACATTGCCACCACCTTTTCCTTGTTCTGCTTTTGTTATTTATACCGGTCTGTCTCTGTGCCCTACACACCACACATGAGACATAACAGGGGTGTAAACAATAATTGTTTTTTTTGGGATGATCTTCACTTAAAAGAAGGGTTTATGTCACATGCTAACTCGACTTCATAGAGAGGATATCAAAGATTTTTATGTTGCATTTTACTCATTTTTTGATCAGTGACAAACAGCCTGGAAAGAGTTGTAAATGTCTAGTATGCCAGCAGAGGGCGTCAGACTCAAACTGATAAAAAGAAAAAGGACATCAAGCCAGGTATTAGACCTACAATGAATATAAGTTTCTTTGTCATATCACAGGAGATTAACAAGCAAAATTGTCACTTTTTGTAAATAATTCAAAGACTTTGTGGATGCTTCAGTTTTCTCCAGAGAGCTTTGATTTGCAGAGATGTTGGATGCAGGTTTCTGTGTCTGCTTGCCAGTGAAGTATCAGTTTGTCTCTTATATCCAGATAGTTGTGATTTCTGATTTCCTCTTTTTTTTAACACACTCTCTGTGTATTGTGTAATCATCACATTCTGTTGTTTTGTCATTGTGTTTAATGTGCCAGGAAATATAACTGATAGTTTAAACCCAGCACAGCTCAGCCTGATTACAAAAGTCATGGATTACTGGACTCTTCTCAAATGACTTTTTTCTTCCACTTATTGAAAGTCTATGTCCTCGACATACAAAGAAAAGATATGAAGATATCACAAGAGTTTATATTGAATGCTTTCTTTTGGTTACAGACTTTGAAAGAATATTAGATTACCTGAAATGATAATGCCTCTGATAGCTGGAAATACAAAGGAGCAGATTCATCAAAAGATGATCCAAAAATATTCAAATGAAACTCATCCACTCACTCCAACTCCTGTTTTTCTAAGAGTTAGTGATCTGATGATTCAGGCTCTGTCTCCTGTCTGTGTGAAACCTCTTAGAAATCGGTGATCTGCAGGAGTTGGAGACTCTGGATGTCTCCATGAACCAGCTGATATCTTTACCAGAACGGCTGCACCGCTGTGTGTCTCTGCAGAATCTGACGGCCGACCACAACCAGCTGAGCCACGTTCCCCGGCAGGTCTGCTGGCTCCACCGCCTCAACCAGCTCTCTATGGCTGCTAACCGGCTGACCTTCCTACCGCTCGGTTAGTAAACCCCTTTAACTGTGGGTTGACACAACTATGAATTAATACTGCAGTGAGGAGGACGGAGCTCATTATAGTGTGCGTGTGTGTGTTTCAGATCTGGGCAGATCACGAGAGTTGCAGTTCGTGTTTGTGGACAACAATATTGACCTGAAGGGCCTCCCGTCCTACTTATATAACAAAGTCATCGGCTGCAGCGGGTAATACGCTTCTTCAGTATCCTGTGAATAAAGTTTTATTCAGCTGGTTAAATTTGAATAAGGTTAGCTCCATGTGTCCAGACACAGAGGAGAAACTTCACAGAATGAGTGCAGGTCCATCATGTTGCACAAAAGTCTCAGACTGTATCTATGTGCTGCTACCGTTCAGGTGTGGTGTGTCAGGCCAGGTGTTGGAGAGTGACCTGGGTGAGGCGCTGGGAGAGGCACTAAGTGAGGCCCTGGTCGGCCTCCCAGCTGACGTGAAAGTAGTGGGCTCAGAGACGGATAACGTGGTCCCTTTGGAGGAGCTCACCATGAGGACTCTGCATAAAATCTACAGCCATCGCCCAACAGGTGAGAAAGGTTCAACACACACATTAAACATTTGTCAGGGTAGTTTCCCTCCAGGTGATCATTTCCTGATAATACTAGTGTGATACGGGATATTACAACAGATGTGTTAGTTAGATGATGACCGAAGAGCATTCCCGCTCCTGAATTCAGGCAGATGGTAAGCCTCAAAAGAAAATTCAAAGTGGATGAAATCAATTTGGATTAATTAGTCTGTTTGTTGTTTTCTTATCTGAACCACAAAGTGTTATAAAACTCCGGCCAAAGCAGCCTGAAACAGGGAGCTCTGTTTTTCTTTCCAAGTCTTTGTTTTTTAGGTGCTGTCAAAAAGGCATTTTCCTTCCACTGTCTGCGGCTGAATCCCTCTTAATGCAGCATGACTTTGTTATTGAATGTTAGGTCCTCTGCCATCATCTTGTCCGTCAGTTGTTTGTTTACATCGCTCGAGGTCATCTCTCCCCGCTGTCAACATGTGACAAGTGAAATCTGACTCTTGCTACTCTGTGCTGTGACTCTGCAGCTGCTGCTGAAAACAGCAGACGCTTTCAGTTTATCATTGCAGCATCCAGACTATGAGGTTGTCATAATACCACATTTTACGCTCACAATCATCTTGGCTATAAAGAAAATGGAAAAATATGGAAAAACTGGAGAAAACAATCCAACGAGTCAAATTTAAAGAACGGAGGTGGAGCCATTAACAGAATTAACTCACTTAACGTCATCATCCATTTATATCGATGTTCAGTCATGTGTCATCTGCGCCAACTAGACCTGTAACAGAAACGTCTTTAAAGAGGAGATTTTCTCAGAGGACAATTGTACTGGCTGTGTGAACATGTGACAACTATCTCCCGCTGTCTTCATATGTCTGGGCTATTGGGTAAGGTGGCAAGATGGAAACCTTCTTACAAAGAAAAACATCAAAGCCCGGCTTAATTTTGCATAAACACATCTGAAATCTCCCAAACGCATGAGGGAAAATGTGTTATGGTCTGATGAAACCAAAGTTGAACTTTGGGCATCATTGCAAAAGGTATATTTGGCTCAAAATCAACACTGCTCATCACCAAAAGAACACCATACCCACAGTGAAGCATGGTCGTGGCAGCATCATGCTTTGAGGCTGTTTTTCTTCAGCTGGAACTGGTGCCTTAGTCAGGGTGGAGGGAATTATGAACAGTTCCAAATACCAGTCAGTGTTGGCACAAAACCTTCAGCCTTCTGCTGGAAAGATGAAGATGAAGAGGAACTTCCTCTTTCAGCACGACAATGACCCAAAGCACACATCTAAATCAACAAAAGAATGGCTTCACCGGAATAAGATTGAGACTTTGGAATGGCCCAGCCAGAGACCAGACCTGAATCCCATTGAAAATTTGTGGGGTGATCTGAAGAGGGCTGTACACAGGAGATGCCCTCGCAATCTGTCAGATTTGGAGCGGTTTTACAAAGAAGAGTGGGCAAATATTGCCACATCAAGACGTGCCACGCTGATAGTGCTGTAATAAAAGCCAAAGCTGTTTGTTTTTCAATTGCATTGTACGGGTTATAGGTCACATTAAAGGTGGAAAAAGTTGTGAAAATATTTATCTTGCTGTCATTTTCTTACATCACTAAAACCTGGCAGTTGAACAGGGGTGTGTAGACTTTTTATATCCACTGTATCATGATTTTTTAATGCTCAGTATGGAACTGTGAGAACGAATCAGCTTAACTGAAACATCACTGATTGCACCAAACAAATATTATGAATGACACCTTTCACCCTAAATGGAATAAGTGTTCATGTGCAAGTTGGTTGTGAATAAAGACAAACTATAGAGACTGTCCATACTTCATAGCTATAAATGCTACTGTCAGCTGAGCTCTACTGCGGTACCAGCAGACAGCAGGACTACAAACTCCTCTCGGCAGTAGACATAGCTCCACAGCTGCACAGAAAGTGCACATTGTAGACACAAAGGAAGTCTCCATACTGGATGATAGGTTAAACCTCTTCCCCTCTGGGAGCCCCTCAGTAACAGACTGCCTTTTACATACCAGCATTTTTCATATTCTGTATTTTAAGGTATTTTAGCTGCATAGTTTTGATAATTCTCTTCCACATTGTGTTTTCAGACCTCAACCTGCTGCCCCCCATCACCCTCCCAAAGAGTCTGCTGGACCTGCTGCAGTTCCCTCTAGGACACTGTCACCGCTGCAGTCAGGTCATGTTTACCATCATCTACCCTAAACTCTTTCCACTCCGAGACACTGCACTTGCAGGAGTGCATCGCAGGTTAGAACAAACTCACTTTTATCACATATAAAGCTCAAACAGAGTAGGTACTGCTAGGCGATTGGGCAATTCCTCTTTTTCATTATTATGTGCATAGTTATTTACCAATCGTGTGTTTGCCAGAGGATTGTTTAAAGTGAATCATTCTCATGTGTTTCCTCTCTTCTTCTTTACACTGAAGGACGACAGTAAGTTTTGTGGCCTATTGCTGCTCCAGTCGCTGCCTTCGGACCTTCAATCTCCAGGGATGACATTATTTTGGTTTTTTTTTATTGCCCCATAAACGTTTGCTCAGGAGCTGCTGGGTGGTTTCCAGAAGGTGACCTACAGTTGTTTGTATTTTGTGTGAACCCTAAAGGTCTTTTTGGAGGATCTCTGTGCTTTATTGGTGATACTGAGCACCACAGAGGAGCAGCATCTGTGCAAGGCGTCAGTAGAAGAAGGACCAAGACTCAAACCACCATGATGGTCCTGAAGGAAGGTTGTATGCCAGTATGGTGGGGGTCAAAAAGGAAAGCACTGTGTGTGAACAGTGATTGTCTCATTTCACAAGCTTTTTCTAACAGTATTAACATGTGAAGTAACTTCTCACAAATGTGCACTTTTCAAGAACGAGCACTGTTCAGTTTTGGGTGAATCAGTCATTTTCCATACATCCAGCTGATTGTGGACTCATATTCAAGGTAGAAACACGGACTGTGTAAAACATTTGAAGTCAAGTTTGTTTGACTAATTTCTGAAGAAAATTTGAAGGTTTCTAATTGATATTTGGTGTTTAAAAAACATTTAATATGGTCTGAGTTTGTCGGAATCTAAACTATTAAAACAAGCCAAGGATACTCGTCCTCTAAATTCATTATCATTGTGGATTTAATTGTGTTATAAGTTGCATTGAAGTAAATATTTTAACCCATTTTGGCGAATATCACACATTAAAAGAAAATATTTTTATCATTACATGCACTGATATTCACTCTGCATTAAGTCGCCAAGATCCTAGAATGTCTCCGTTGTTGCACCAGTTTTGTCCTGTTCAAACCCCTGCAGACTTTTTCAGTTTGAAGTGAAGTTTCTGTCTTTCTGTTGTGGAAAGAAAGGCGTGTACACCTCTGCAGCACTGTGTGGTTCTCCTGTTGAACTGACTCTTGCGTGTCGTGTTTGTTACTGTCTTGTACCATTTTTTTATTTATCATTTGTTTTTGTTGAGTTGCATTTAACAGTAAATGTTGACTGATGTTGGTTTTGTCTTTGAATTTGCTTCTTTTTTCAACCCAAAGAAAGTTTGTCAGAGTGGATACGTAAAAATGTGTCTCTGTTAAAATGGATATTTAAACTTGAAACACTCATCCACAAAAATAAAGTTTTAACGACAAAAAAAAAAAAGCACGAACACACAGAGACCATTCACTTTGTCCTCTAACTTGAACCCTTCTTTTTACACCCTGTCTGACCGGAGTATAAATATGTATGTGTTTGTGGATACGATCACTGACAGTCTATAACTCTGTCCATAATTTACATCTACCTTTTAGTGTCAGAACTGTAAGAGCTCAGTGGCTCCCCTGCATATAAAACACAGACCTGACAGACATCCTGACAACAGAAAGGGTGTTTATCAACCAAGACAGGGAGGTTATGCTCACTTCCAGAGTCTGCCTGTCCCTCTGCCAGGGTTACTATCTCCAACATGCATGGAGTAGATATTCCCTCATCCTGTCATCCTCCCCCCTGATGATAATGGCCAAAAGTCTCTTCCCTCTCACACAAAGGCAAGTCTACTCAGAGTAAATCCATAATGATCATCAGAGGTGCTCTGAGACAATCTGAACCCTTGAAGCCTCATGGTCGTGTGCATGTATGTAAGTGATAACAGGGAGTTATGGAAAGGTGGAGCAGAAAGCACAGCGGCTCCATTACCATGATCAATATTGTGTTAGGGTGAGTGTGAGACCATGATCTTCTCTGCCTTGTGCTTCAGCTGTCTGAACTCCCAGTGGGACTATCACATCTCTGCTGACTGCAAATATGAAACAACACACACTTGCTGCATGGGTGGACCAACACACAGTATACGTACAGACACATTTTAGTCATGTTGGTCACATTTTTTAACATACATCTCATAAATACTGGACTGCTTGTAATGCAGCCTCGCAGCCTAGTGATCTGAATGTTGATGTGTTAGTTACCCAGAGAGGTGAGTGAACCGTATTTGAATTCCTGAGCTACAGCTTGGGCCGAAAATAAAATATATTTTTTTTACCTGAAACTTTAAATGCAAACAAAGTAAAAGCACATCAAGAGTTGATGTTGTTTCCTAGATCAAGATACCATAAAATCCCAAATATAGGTTGTATCATTCTACAGATGCAGTGTGTTTTGAGAACAAGGAGACTTCCCTTGCATTCAGCAGTGTACAGTTTCTGTGCAGATGTGTAGCTCTTTGTTTTGGTTGTAACTCTTATGAGGCTGTCATTTTTTATCTCTCAGAATATTTCAGCCCAGCAGACTCATAATTGGAGGACATGCTTTGGAATAAAAACAGGGTCATTTCTCTCAGGTACACACAGTCACTATTTATTTTTAGTTTTATAACTAGTTACACACAACATACAGTGCTTACATGTCGGTGATTCTGTACAGAGCTCATACTATTGGACACACTAGTATTTGGACACATCATGCAACACAGTAGTAATTTCCTGTGATGACTCAGACAGGGCACCATGTGTGTGTGTTTTTGTGTGCGTGTGTGTGTGTGTTGGTTGAGGGGATTAATAGACTGAGCAACAGCTGACTGGAGTGTTGTTCAGTCCACTGTAGATAACAGGCTGAAATGTCACGTCATGAATACTAATTTATTATCAAGGATGGTCCATATTTTTGCTGTTATCACCTGTTTCAGCCTCATATTGGCGAACACCTCTGAAAAAACCCTGGTGTTATGAGATGTGTTCTCATTTTTGATGAGATGCTACTGCACACGGTGTGATATATTTACTGAGAACGTTGGTGGGTTGTCTAGTTGAGGGCATGATGGTGAAACTTGTCACGCCCCTCTGTCCTCATAACTTACAGTTGATCTATCACTGCCCTCTGCTTCACTTTCACTAGCTCTACATTAATATCCTGTCTAACATGGATGCTGTGCTGGCTATATATTTGCTCTCTGAGTCATTGTGAACGCACAACACCCAAGGAGATGCAAGACCTTCCAAGATTATTATACTAGTCACTATTAGAGCATAAGTTCACAACAAGTTTTTCTTTAATTTATTTTGATTGTTTGTTTTTGCAATGGGCCAGCAAATCTGAACAAAAGGTAGATCCATCTGTCATCCATCAAGGATCAAATTTTAGATGAAGATCTGAAACTGGCTCCTGAATATTTGTCCAAGACTCACACCTTTTTGAGAACAAAGCTTTAGAGACGGTTTTTAGCACTTAATTTAACAGGGAAGAGAAGAGACACAGGAAAAGTAGAGAGTAGAGGAGGACATATACCAAATTGCAATGGGACCAGGAGTCTGTCTTTTGACCAGTATTTTAAGGACTGTAGCCACTGCTCATTGGACGCCTGCTATACTGAGAGAGAGGAAAACATTTTGGTTTAAAACACAATCAAGAACTAATCTTGCACTAAAGTCATACCCACTGAGAAACAAACTTAAACTTGGATGAAACAGCACAGTGGTGTGACAGCGCCTCCACACGACCATGTGTACTGGCTCTGCTGGTTCTTCATTCTGTTGCAGGTCCAGGTCTAGGAGGGGTTGTCATGAGGGGAGGTGAGTTACACCTGGGCCCAGTGTGGCCCTCACCATAAATCCTCCTCTCTAATTAGTTCTGGTGCTCTCCATCCCCTCTTAAAATCCTGTGTGGAGTTCATGGTGCAGCTGTTACTCACCTTTTGCCTCACACTCTCAACACACGCACATACACTCATATGTGTCCGCTGATACTGATCTCTGCTGTCTTAGTTTATTTGCTTTACTGTGTCAATAAATCTCTCATTCTGCTACACCCTGTCTCATCTCCCATTTTTGTTGCGGCGAAAAAACCAGGCTGTAACACACAGCACATAAAATAAAAAGCTATTGTCTTGCATGAAGAGCTGGATTGTATAGAAGTCTATATACTGAGGAAGAAAAACAATCCTCTTAGGTCCAGTTTAGTAGCTGGTGCAGATGAGTTTTATTTTACTGCGTACTGCATATGGCCACTATGAGCTGAAGAAACTGCTCTGGTCAAGATTATATTCAGGGTTACAGGAAGTAAAAAACTCAATGATAATTCTCTGAAAACACAACTGACATAAAAGAAGACACAATGCCGTGACATTGTCCCACAACTTGACTTTATACAAGTGTTTGAAAAAGAATACTTAGACACCTGGCAACACTTTTGAAGTAATTAAGGGTATCCTATATGTCCTGTTGTGTCTGATTATTGGCTTACATTAATTCAGGTCTTTTTTTAAATGTGTTTTCTGTGAGTTGATATGTTTGTCCTGTTATGTCTTCTTTTGCTTGTGCTGAATAAATAAATGCTTAAAAAACCAGACTCCCTTTAAATAACTAGATTGCCTATTGGTTTTCAAAAGAAAACACATGAAGGGCTAGGTGAGCAGGCACAGATATGAGCCGCTATGTTTGTGTTCATCAGTCAGATGTTTCAAGTGACAGGTGAAGGTGAGGTGAGCCACTGCTGCAGAGAAGACACAAATCAATTTACCCATCCATTCAGTTCAACCCTTTTTTACACACGTCTCTGCGTGTCTGCTGTGACCTCTTTGAGATGATCTTTACAGAACTTATACTCTTTACATCTCTGTCTCTCACTTCTTTACCTATGTGGTCCTTCCGTCCATTTTTGTAGAGGACTGTTGGTAAAAAAAATTTTTTAAAAAAAAGACAAAATCTTGAAGTGGATCCAACTCCAAAACCCTGGACCATGATTGACCATCTGATCTTGGTTAAACTCATGTTAAAATCAAACTATCGTGCAGTGCTGCAACAGACTGCTCTTAGATTTCCTTGCATTTAATTGCAGCATATTTTCTTTTGATTGCACCTAACCTCTTCTGAAGTCCAGCACTGCTCCCGCATTGGAGTATCAAACTAGGCAAGACAAGTTTCTACCGACCTGACATGTTCTGGGAGCTTTTTCAAGGTATTTGGAGCATGAACTGATGTTTGGTTCTGACTCTGGGGACGGAGAGCAGATGCGCACCAACCTGAGTGGTCAGGATGGTTCATTATTAGAAGATTGCTTATGTATTTCTGACCATCAATCATTTAGAGCTTAAAATACCAACAGTTGTATTTCATATATACACTTAATGGTATGTAAAAAGTTTAAACAAACACACACATATATATATATATATATACTATCTGCCTCCGTCCTAAAGATGGTTGATTTTGCTGACAGTCCACACTATGTAAGTTTTGTTTGCATCTTACAGTTTGAGTTGTTTAAAGTGATGGGGGCCTGACAAAAGTAAGTTCCCTGCAGCACATCGTCTTCTAGAAAAATGTCTTACTGTGCATTTTTGGTGTGATCAGTATTCATATCTTGTGGCCCAGTAAAAAGAAGAACCATGCATATGAATACTTAAAGACAAGGACACCAGGGGCAAACAGCCTTATACACCAAAGACAATATCAAAGAGCCTTTCTGTCTGTACTCTGATGGGTGAGCAAAAACATCTCTGTATGTACTTGGACCGAGATTATGAGGCTGTATTTGCATAGTGACAGAAATTGGCGTAAAATGTCTTCAGTTGGACTGAAATAAACTGAATCAAATTAAAAAATAAGACACAGATGGTAGCAGAACCACAAATCTTCTGAAGAGCCATCAGTGGGTCAGTGTCTGTGCTGGGAATGAAAACTACTAAGTGATGGGGGAGTGTGTGTGTGTGTTCAGTGAGTTTGAGTGTACATGAGTGAGTGCACACAGGCTGCTGGTGAAGACATCAGTGTGTGTCAGATGCTACCTGCAGAACATGTAGTCTTTGAAGCACTGCTGCAGATGGAAACACCTGAGAAAAATGAAAGAACATTAAAAACACTTGATTTTTGTTTTTTAGGTTGGTCTCTCCTGAAAACATTAACTTTAATATCATTATTCTAAATAATACCAAAACCTGAAGCTACACCTCCATCAGACATTAAATTCTATTGTAATTCTTATAACAACTTGTCTTGTTTTCTCTATTTTCTTCTTTATTTTGGATATCCTTTTGATTATATCTTTATTGTAGTATTGTCTGTGTATCTATCTAAGCCTATCGTTTCTTTGTAAAGTTTCAGTGTCATGTTCTACAAATGCATGTCTAAATGTTTTTATTAAATAAATTACTGACCATCTAATAATAATATAAACATTTCATCCACTCCCTCCGACGTCAGAGGGCGCGGCCATTTTGTGAGCGCGAGCAAATCGTACACAGTGCATAGGAAGTCCAAAGATTCACCCATCAAAATAAAAGCAACTGATCGTATCTGTGAAATAGAAAAAATATAGATTAATAATAATAATAATAATAATAATAATAATAATAATAATAATAATAATAATAATAATAATAATAATAATAATAATAATAATAATAATAATAATAATAATAATAGCAACAACAACAACAACAATAACAACAACAACAATAATAATAATAATAATAATAATAATAATAATAATAATAATAATAAATTAAGTAAAACAACAATGTCTCAAATTATTCATAAATTGAGTTTGCTGAATTCTGAATATGTTAAATAGTATTAATCTCCTAGAGTCTAGACCCAACTGGGCAGCGCTTTTAGCTCATTTTATTGGAAGACAAAAGTGAGAGGGAATTTTCAAACCATCAGTATGTGTTTTAATAGTTGTCATGTCATATGTTTTTTGTAGCTTTTTCCCCTTAAACACAGCTAAGTAACGGTTAGATGAATCAGTTTTTAGTCCATTAAACACTGAAAATTAGTGAGCTGAAGTTTGGAAAGTGTGGAGGCCTTCAAAATACTTAAATGCATCCTCATTCTTTGATACCCCATCATAATAGAGTTCCTTCAGCTGTTTTCTAGAGAAATCATTCTTAATCATTCTGTTATCTCAGCATAACAAAGCCTTTTTTTTTAATTGAGATAGATGCTGCTGTTGTGCTTTTGCAGCTGTGGGGATCAGAATTATCAGAACCTGATGTTAAAAGGATTTTTATGTAGGCTCTTTTTTAAAAGAGGGGTCTTATGAATTACATGTCATTAGGCTCAGCATGTCAATCCCAGTTGATGCTGGTCAGCCCTGTGCTTCAATGAGAAACTGCCTTGACAGTACAACAATTTGACTAGCTGATGACAGAGTAGAACTATTATTATTTTTATAAAATAACAAATTGCCCACTACACACGGGGAGGCGGCTTTCAGCTTTTATGGTCCCCAGATGTGGAACAGCCTGCCTAGATTTCTCTTATTGCAAAATTTCATTTTAATCAAAGTTCTTATTGTTTATTTTATGTCACTCTATTAATAATCTCTGTTCTTAGTCTTTTTCTTAACTCCTGTCGCAGGTTTTTACTTCTTTTACCCCCCCCCCCCTTTTTTTTTTTTTTTACATAGTAAAGAGCTTTTACTTATATATTCATTTAATATTATTTTCTTGTTTTAGTCCATCAGGTTTTACTCTTTCTTTTCACCATTTTTATCTTCAGTGTTTCCCAGAGGTGGCTCTTCCCTCCTCTGATGTCTTAGTGTTGGGCCATGTCTCTCTAACAATTTATCTTCAATTCTCACACTGTTTGCTTGAGTGTGTGTGTGTGTGTGTGTGTGTGTGTGTGTGTGTGTGTGTGTGTGTGTGTGTGTGTGTGTGTGTGTGTGTGTGTGTGGGTGAGTGAGGATGGGTGTGTGTCTTTGTGTGCGTATGGGTCCATGGGTGTGTGTGTGTGGGTGGGAGGGTTGGGTTTTTATTGTCATTATTGTTGTTTTTAGCCTTTGTGAGGCACTTTGAATTGCATTTTTTTGTATGAAAAGTACCATATAAATAAAGTTGAATTTGAATTTACACCTCGAACTTTCAAGATATCACTTATATTGTCATTCATATTTTTATCATACAATTACTTTTTATAAAAATCATTTTAGCAGCTTACCGTTTGTGTGTTTTATTTTGTAAACCTGAGTAGGAAGTGTGTGACTCCTCATTCCTCGGGTCTTGACAGCTGGGAAGGAACAGGGCGGAGTGTTTGTACCGGGGACAGTCCCGTCGAGTAGAGCGGCAGCACAGACGGACATTTCCATCTTTATCCGAACCAAATACAGCAAAACTAACGGAGGAAGAAGAGCTGAAAAAAGTTGACGAGGTAAGATCTACCTGGTTGCATTTGTTAGTTTCACTTCGTCGGGTTCACTTTGGTAAAAATATAGTTTAAGTTGAACTGTTGTTTTTTTAAATAGGTGGTCTATGTGGTTTTAAAGTTAGGCTGTTATCTGCATGTTATCCATCACAGGGCTCATGTGTGCTGCATTTATGAAGTTCCCCTCACCAGCTTTATGTTAGTTTGTCGATAGAGTTAGGATATAAACTTGTGTTGTTAATTCTGTTTCCATTTGAATCAGTGTTTGGATTGTAACCCCCGGTCTTAAACACATTACAAGATCAAAGCTTGTTGTAAGGATTAAATTTAAAGCAAGATCACTTCGAGTGTTCCTCGGTGGGTTTTTAATAAAGTTTTCCTCCCGGTTTGAAGACCCTCTGTGGAGAGATTACTGTTCAGCACCGCGGACAGCTCCGCAGCTCCACAGCAGGCGCTCAACGTGAGCCCACGCGGGTTAAAACGCTCGAGACTTTCTATACAACTGTGTAATACTTCAAATCTTCATTTTCTTCCAACTAAAAGAAGAAGTTTGTTTGATTTGAAGAGAGGCAGTATAAGGCAGCCCACTTCACGCACCTGGAGGTAACATGGAAAAACCTTTAAGGCATTGAAGCGAATAGGAAACAACAACTACAATGATTTCCTCCATGTTGACAGAGTATAGTGGGCTTTATTTGGACGATTATTCAGATGGACATTGTTTTTCGTGGTCCTAAAGAAGGGGTCACAACATGCTCACAGCAGTGGAGAAGGCTGATTCTGCCTGAGACGTTTCCTGAAGTCTGACCTTTGCTTTCATGTCTGTTTATCTGCCCCTGGTAAAGCTGGTTAGTTGTAAGACAGAGTTAGTAATGGTATATCAAGAGTTTGTCTGAATGTGGGGACAGAAGGATGAAATAATGCAGAACAGGCTCAAAATTTCCTCCTAAATAAGATGAACGTAGCTGTGTTTGTTGTTTTATTTCATGTTAGTGCTTGGCTGTATGCTGTCTATGTGGATGACACCATGTTTCTCACTTCTCCAATACACCTGATTCAAATGATCAGCTCGTTATCAAGCTCTGTAATGGCTTAATAATGAGCTGATCATTTGAATCAGGTGTGTTGGAGAAGTGAGAAACAACCAAAACATGCAGGACAGTGGGCCTCGAGGACTGGACTTGACTATGGTGGTAAATCCACCTCCTTATTGTTGTATGGGTCTTTTTAAAATGTAGTTTATGTTGTTTGGTCCACGCTTGTTGTCTTGCTTCACACGTTTGTTGTACATTTGTGCCACCAGCCCATGGCTCCATTACATGCCCATGTTCATCCCTAAGCACTGGCGCCAATTTACAAATGAAAATAAAACATCACAAGTACTACCTACACTGCAAAATGTTTTATATTCAGGGAATAGTTGATAAAAACAGAGGTGTTGTTTGTGCACATGCAGGCTGGTCTACTAAAGGCTAAGTCACTCTGATTCCAGGAATTATTCAAACTTTTAACCCCCCCCCACCTGTCCTGCTGTTGTACTTGTTAATGTCAGCAAGGACGAAGAGCTCAGGCTGACCCTTAAGCAGATAAACACGTGTGTGTGTGTGAGTGAGTTGTCTTTGTTTGACGGCAGACTCTTATTTGCAACTAGCATTTAGCACAAAGCATTGTAGTTAAAGAAGAAAATAAGCAGGATATATCTACGCTGGCTGAAAAGTTATCCAATGATAAAGCTAAATTAAAAGTTTGATTGTAAAGTAAAAGATAAAATATTCAACAACAATCTTGATTTTCTCTTCCATCTTTGTCAAGATTTACTTAATGCCACTTTTGGCCTTAAGTAAATTTCTGTTAAGTAAGTACAGTGTGAGAAATATTGGATTATGTGGAGTCTTGCTGCAGCTGATTGGTTACTCTCCTCTATCACGTACTTACAGTAGCAAGTAAAAGGGTGGAAAGAGCTTGGAGAGTTTGCAGTAACACCCGACTTTAAGCTGCAGGTGAAACTGCTGTGTTCCCTCATTCTCCTTGTAGAGGAACAACTGAAATGATGAACAGAAATCCAGGGTGTGCAAATAATCAGTCTCCTGGTGAGAAAATGGATCCTGCCTTGACGTGAACAACACCACCCCCACCCATCTACCCTCTTTCTCTTCTCTTCTCCCCACCCTAGCACCCATCACTCACCCATCCATCACCCTGCCCACAGAAAGGTGAGAAATAACCAGCAGCCTCCTGCCCAGTCCTGCTACATCTGTGGAGAAGCACACACTCTTGTCCTTTTAAAAGCACACTCACACTGTTTAATTTATCCCCTTGTTATTTATTCATCTTGTTCTCTTTGTACTGCTCTCATGTTAAATTCAATCTGCATGAAAAATGCCAGCTGGTAGAAAGCCGTAATATCCAAGAATGCGCTGTGATGACAGTCTTCTTCTTCTCTACATGCTGCCCATTTATTGGCTGCCAGCGACAAAATGAGCAGAGGGATCACATTCACAGTCTTCACTTGGCAGCTGCTGCCTTTTTTGTCTCCTGTGGGATTTTTATTTAAAGATTTGTTTTGTACTTTCACTCTTTAAACCTGTGTTGACTTTTAGAGACACGTGTTTTGCCAAAAAAGATATTTTTCTAGATGTCACACTTTGTCATTGTTAGTTAATTCCATCTTTTCTGTGAGGGACAGATGTTTAATGAAGCCCTGCAGGATGACTTAAGCTCACCCACTCTTTTGGTTTTTAGACTTAAATCCTTGGTGCTGTTTGCAGAGGCGTGGGCTCAGAGCTTCATGGACTTGAAACTTTCATGTGACGTGCAAAACACTCACTTTTTGTGACCCTCAGAAACTTTTACTGAAAGAAATGTCAAGTTTTATACAATTCAAACCATTATTTTAACATTGTTTCTTACAAATTTGCTCAGTGTTATTTACACCTGCAGCAGCTGCACAGCTAGACCATCCTGCATTTCACTTCAGCCTGTCCCATTGATCAACAAGAGCTGGTAATGCGATAGAAATGTAGCAACACACTGAAATATTTAGGTAAACTTAGATGTAATTTCTATATTTTTAAACTAATACAAAAAATAGATTTTATTAATTTTTTATGCATTGGGACAGATATAATTTAAGACAGTGGTTCTCAAGTCCAGTCCTCGAGGCCCACTGTCCTGCATATATTTTGGATGTTTCCCTGCTCCAGCACACCTGATTCAAATGATCAGCTCGTTATCAAGCCATTACAGAGCTTGATAACGAGCTGATCATTTGAATCAGGTGTGTAGGACAGTGGGCCTCGAGGACTGGTCTTGAGAACCACTGCTTTAAGAGATTTTTGTGTTCCAGGAGACTCTTTGTGTCTTTTTAATTTACAATAACACTCCAGGGGCTATTTGTTGCCAAACTGTTTTAATAGTAAAAATAAAAAAACACCTTATCTGTACAGCATTTCTCAAATCACAGTCACACAGTGCTCTACAAGAGTAGTGAACAGACCTGCCCAATGTGAGAAAAATATCGGGTGTGTAGTAACACTCTTCAGATTTGCCAAAAGGAACTGAAACATGATTAATAACAAAAAAATAATGAGTGTATATCAGCTCTGACTTCTATTTTCTGTGCTGCTGATCTTTATATTTCACACCAGGGATTCTCAATACTGGGTCCTGACCCCCAGAGTGGAAGCCCAGGGGTAGACGGTTGTAGATTTAAAGAAAGTTTAACATGAACATATGAGATGTTTTTAACAGGCTATGGTTTTTACATGAACCTTTGTACTACTGCCATAGTTTGTTGTAGCACTATGTCAGCGTGTTCATTGTATGACGGCTGCAGGTGATGGCTCTGGTTTGCATGATGATGGTATGACACAGTGGCTACACTGTGGCAGCAACACACTCAACAAAGCTTGAGGCATGAGTCAGGTTTAGAAACATCATTTTACACTGAATCTTTGTTTTTACAACGTGTTTCTCTTGAATCCATTGAGCAGGTTGTTTTCATCACTGAATCAGCACTCATTAATCTGATTGATACTTCAAACTGTACCGTACCATCAAACTGTAGAAGAGGGATGTCCATCAAACCCAGGCCTTTATCCCAAAGTTAACAACATGCTGAGAGGAAATCATGGCGTCAGTTGTGATTGTGATATATTTACATCGTGTTTGTTGGAATTGCTCCATTTGCTTTGCAATAAAATGCAATTTATTTAGCAGCTCTTGTTGTAAACACAAAATAACACTTTGATGGGGAAGATGAGTTGATGAGGGTAAGGCACTGTTCAGAGGGATGTGAACTGAGACAAAGATGGACACACGCCTATGAATTATGATCCTGATGCTCCATTAACAAATGGATGTTTCAGATGTTGGAATATACGATACGTTGACCTCTTATTGATCTGGATGACATGGCAGGGCTGCAGTAACTCGACTCCTTCAGTGCAGTCGCTCCTCTTTGCAGCACTTCTAGAGAGCTTGTTGTTTTTTGCCTCATTGTTATTGTTCTCGCTGTGGGAAGATTTTAAAGTGGTTACAAATGTGTGAACTTTTCCACAGCATTAAATCATGCATCTTTTAGTTCATGTTGAGACAAGATCAACTTCAGTCGGCTTGTTATTTTTGTGTACGCACTTGTGTCCTTCTTGTTCTATTTGAATATCATCTGTCCTGTGTGTGCTTATCACACAATGTCCATGTGTGAGTGTGTGAAATAACAGCATGCAGAGAGCCGCACGTTGACAGGTGTCCATTTAAACATGTGCAAGCAGGAAGAGGAGGAGAAGTGGTGCAAAGTAGAGTGTGATGGAGAGAGTGTGTTTGTGTAGTTGTGTGCGCTGAAGGTTCTGTGTTTGTTAGTCAGATCAAGGCTGTGATCGCAAATTGGAAAGAAAAGGGAAAGCATGTATGAGGGAGGAAAAGTAGAAGAGAGCGAGGGAAAGTGGTCGGTGTGTTATGTAAGTGTCGTGATGCATCTGTGTGTGTTTGTGTGAGTGTGTGTTGTGTAGGTCTACAGATTAATCCAGTGGGTTTTATCCTTACTGAATGGGACAGTGGGGCTTTGCAGTGATTATCCCTGCAGGCCACAGATGATTGCTTCGAATCTCCTGTACGTCCCACACCGCCATGTTTCTCTCTCCACATATGTTCTCAGCGTCTGCTCATGGCTTCGTCTCCGTCATGTAACGTGGTTGTGTTTACATTCAGTAAAAATCACGAGGAGGTGAACTTCAGAAGTTTTTGTAGATGCTAGTTGGATCATTTCAAGGAAGTTTTAGCATAACAATCCCTCTGCGTAGTAAGAAAACAGTTCCTTTGACTATTGTCAAGTGTAGCTTCATGTTTTCCTCCCCCTAGTCGCACATGTCTGTCTTCATGTCTAATCTGCCTGTCTCCATCAAATCCCTCCTCCCATATCTTTCTGTCCTTCTTTAGATTATATAACAAGGAAATGCTGGAAATGCAATCTGCGCCATCATCCCCTGCTCAGCTGACACAAACATGGCTGAATGCTGGGAACCATTAGGCATTTCGGTCATGTAATCCTGCGTCATTTGAAGGTGTTAAAATCAGAGCTGCGAATGGTGAGCGGTACATTTTTACACTCGCGGCCAGGTGGTCAAGTTGTCACCGTGTACCTCTCGCTGAGCAGCAGCTGCACACAGTCATTCAGAGGAATACTAAGTGTTTAGAAAAAGGTTGAGACGAACAGTCACCCCCTGAAGAAATGCAAAGTTTTGTCTGTTACATTCAGTGGCTTTTTACTTCATAATTACACAGAAACTGACCTGCTCAGGCTTTAATCCACAGTGATTTTCCACAGCAGATTTCTCTCTGCGGTCTTTCCTGTCTCTCCGTGGGGAATGTTTTAATTCGTTGAAGGCCATATTGTCACGGCAGGAGATGATGTGGGCAGAAAACCAGGGCTGTTTCAGCTTTTGTTCAGATCACATCCTGCTGCTGCGGTCAACCTGGGTGAGAATGGGGAGGCTTTGTCACCAAGCGAAGACATTCATCCCACTTTCAATTAAAAAGCTCTTAAACTCTGTTGTGGTCAAGAAACGCAGTTTGAACGATGTCGTTCAAATATAAGAGGCAATAAATGTGAAACTAAAGAAAGACTTGAACCTTAGATGTAGATTTTTGTATGGATATATGGCGGTGTTTGGAGCTTGATTCATATTCAGCTTTTTCAAATGCTTCAAAGAGAGAGTCTTCATGCGGCTGTCTTCAGATAATCCTTTTTGAAGATATTTTTAATACTTCTCCTCTAGTCTGCACTTCATGACTGATTTCATCTTAGGAAATCACTGTTTTATCTTTATGAATGCACTGTCTGGTTATGTTGTTTAATGTGATAGAAATGTGAGTAAAAACCCAGAGTTTAATGCATTTAGATTTGTTCTTTAATGCTTTCAGGACCATGAAATGTCACTGAATGACTGCAGGCCAAACTGTTGTGCTGCAAATTCTCCATTTAGTTCTTTTGCAGTTTTTTTAGTATCATGGTTAAATATTCATGTTACATATACTCGCCTTTCTTATTATTAGCTCGGACATGCAAGTCGGTTTTGTGCGTGCATGTGTGTCAGTCTGACAAAGGATGTTAATGTACTCCACAGCTCACGCATTTGTGTATCTGTTTATGTGTGTGTGTGTGAGTGGATGTATAGTGTATTAGCAGTCAGGCATGAAGTGCTGGTTGTACTGTCTGAATAGCTTAGCCCTCAGGCTCCCATCATGCTCTGTGGACCGGTCACGTCTTGACATATGTGTGCTGCTTATAGGTCAGCGCAGAGATACAGTATGTGAGCGGCTGCTGGACCAAGCAGGAGGTATTTCAAGTACATTTAATGGACATAAAATACATGACCAAATTAATGAGTTTATACTGTTAACAGATAATAAAAGTTATTACTCTACAGACCTTACAGCTTACAGTCTTGGATGTGACTAACAACAAGCAGTAGCAGTTTAAAGGTCAATGCCGCGGCGGCCTTATTTGGTTCATGCCATCCCTGCAGTACTCTCATTAGATCTGAGGTCAAATGTGCTCTCTATGAACACAGTTCTCCTTGCTGGAAAAGAAGTAAAATAACATATTACTGTAGAAATTTGAAGTTTTTAATTGGTGATTATGCCATACACACATTTGAATGTGTAGCCTGCATGGCTTACATGACACTATGACTCGATACAGTCGGGGATCAGAGTGCATGACTGGTCTTTTCATGGTCATGTCACCAGAAGAAGAATTCAACAGATTGACATCTTCATTTCCAGCCTTTTCAGATGAAGCTCACATGCTAACATAAAATATAACAGACCATTCCAGTTTTTTTCACGTGGCCATGATGACATTTCAGGATTTTACTCAGGGATTTCATGAACGTAACTCTCAGGTCACAATAGTTTGTGTGATTTAAAGGAAATTGGGACTTAGACTCCACTTTATCCAAATCACATAACTCACTAACTCTTTTTTATTCATAAATCTTTTTGACTGACCAACCTCAGTGTCCAGGGGGAAAATACAAGATCGAACGACCGAGGACCTTTGATTTCTGGTGAAATTAGATCTAAAATATGATTCAGTCCTCAGTGTTGCTCTGCAGAACAATTAAAACCACTCTTTCACAGATTTAGAGGCAGAGTTTATTGTTCATCATGGAGTTGACATGACAGCGCAAAACATTCCTGTTAATTAACAGCATATTCACCTTCTCAAAAACTGAGTAAATTACTGAGCTGATTGCATATTAGGACCATTTCAAATTTTTAATGAACAGACCCTGGTACCCAATCCACGTCTTCCTGAATCACTTAATTAGAGCAAATCTGTGAACCCTTGGAAAGTATTATGTTAAGAATAATGCAGGAGCATGTGAGGAATCCTAGTCAGATCTTCCTTTTCCTAAAATATTCCACAAAATACTTCATTAGACCTAAAACCTAAAACAGTTATTAAACATTCAACCAAAAACATCTTTTCCAACTTCAACTTCCTTTTGCAGTTTATTTCAAATGACCTGCAGGACCCGAACCACCTCCCTGTAACTGCAGTATTTTACAAACAGTAAATACTGAGTTTCACTTGATGCCTTCATTCATTTGTTCATTCTGCCTTTTGACATAATCCAGGCATTAATATATCATAAGGATTATTATCAGTGTTGAAACAGGGCTAACTGAGTTCAAATATGGTTATATTGTGGTTGAAGTTATAAAAGTCCACTGAACTTGAAGTTTCTGTCGAGAAGCTGAAGGACATAAAGACAAACAAAGACATTTGAACTTCAGGGAGTGAAACACTGATATTCTGACACCTTCACTGTTGTGTGGACATTACTAACATAAAACGAAGGTTGACTGAGAATAGATGATGTGATATCTGAAGTGTCAGCAGGTACCTCACCCCCCTCAGTCTATGTGACAGATCTGATTATGTATATGAATGAAGCCTGTGTGGTCCTGAGCTGTCAGGTTAAAGTTGACTGACAAGGCATCAGTGATCTCATCAGAGTACATGCTGGGGTGTGTGAGCTTCTGTGTGTGTATCTGTGTGATTACATGAATTTGTGTGTGTGAAGTAAAAGGATTTAGCCTTTAAATCTTAACGGCCTCTGTGATACAAGTAAAAAAATTTTTCTAGAGAAGGAGACCTGCAGCATTTCTCCAAGCATTTGTGTTTGTGATCTATTTAAGGATCATGAATGCAACAAAGGGTGGAACAGCAAAGATTTTATAGAAAGTATTTATATAAAGTATTACAGAAATTATTATTATAGAAAGTATTATAGAAAGTATTTCATAGATTATAGATTATAGATCGGATTTTCTGGTGTCTGTTGGTAGTGTAATTCAAGTTTGGGTAGCGTCTGACACAATCAGCAGTGATAGTATCCCACACACCATCTGTAGTAATCTAATGTTTTTATTGATCAGATATTTTCATCAAATTGCAGCTAACAATTCAGTCAACATCAGGAATCTCAATTTGAGTGAAGTCTGCTTAATCCTGTGTTGAGTAAACTGTCAGTTTTCAGATTACCTAGTTTACTGAACCAGAGATGATTAAACTGTATATTTGGCAGACATCTGGGATCTGGAAGCTGGATTTAGTCTTCCATCTGAACACATTGTTGCTTCTTTAGTTGCTAACTAGACTGGTAACTATGAAGCAAATCTTCAAATGAAGTCTATGCTAACTTATTGCTAACTTCAGCTGCTTATAAATACAGAGAAGTTTTACATCTTTCCGGAAGGCTTACGTGTGGCCTATATCTTCCCCAAGTGCAAGACTGAATGAGGACTGAGTCATATCCTCTGAAATGAAATACCCCAAAAGTAAGCGATGCTATTTCTAAACAGTTTGTGAAACAAAAAGTTACCCATGTTTTGATCAGATATGGCTGGTTTTCATGCCTATGTTTACACTGATTACTTACTTCACAGACAGTCAGTAAAATCAAGCTCTTCATCTTCAAAACTAACAAACTAAAAGACGCTAGAACCATTTTCAGCAGTTTCTTTAAGGTGAACTTATATCCTCAGTGTTGTAGTTCTCCAAGAGCAGTCATTTACTTAACTTGGACTCAAGTTTTTACTGCATTAAGGCTGACTCAGATTCAGTTATCAAGACTGTTTCATCATTTTTGTTTGGTTTTGATTGTAAGGCTTTAATTGTTTAATTAGTTTTAATCACATGTTTATCTACATGTTCACATAAGTCCTTGTTTAGTAACAATTCTTGCTAAAATCAAGGTGGTGTGGATCGTGAGTTTTGCTTTAAAGATGTTACAGTAGTCATACATGTTCAACATGAACCGTCAGGGAAAGAAAAATGACAATGTGCTTTTTATCAGATATCAGTCCAGGATTCACACAGTGAATTGAGTAAGATGCTAATGCCTGTGTACTCATACTGTTGATGGCATTACCGTTAGTGTTTTTGAGTTTATTGCACACCTGCAGGGATCCCGTCACAGAAGTATGTCAGACTTCCCATTCAAAGAGGAACTGAGCTTACATGAGCACATAGCACAGGAACTTCATTGAGGATTTTAATCAACAGACACACAGAACCAGTCAGAATATTATGTTTGTACAAGGTGTGTAAATTCAAAAGGTAACAAACAGTAGAGACAGTTCCCATCATAATGGGTAATAAAGTTTAAGAAAAAAGACTCTACAATGACTGTTTTTTTTCCAGACTAGGCTCCAACACTGTTTTGTGTTAAACCACATCATGATCTGAGGTAGTCACAGTCATACAACACATTATTAGTCATTTTTCAAGTTTTCCATAATGTGAGTCCTCTTTCTCTGCATACACTCCAGTAAGTACTTTCAAGGTCTGTATGATACTGCAAAGCTGGACATTAAGTATGTAGTCTAAACACACTGAACACATTCATTTAAGCAGCTGTATGAGCCTGCACAAACACATGTGTGTACTGAACAAACTGGATGGACTGTATGTTCTCAAGCTGTCTCTCTCACACATACTCACACTCTCAAACACACACATGCTGCTGCTGCTGCATTAATAATGTTGACCTGACTCAATCCAGTGAATAATGAAACATGGTGCTGCTTTGATGTGATGGGATGTTGAACCCACCCTTACTGACATACACATACACACATTACTGCACTCAAACACACGCATACACACACCCTCTTTTCACCCCCCTGTTGCTCATCTTTTTTTTGTCCTTGAGCTGATTTCTACTGGTGTGATATTTTCAGTTTTTAACTCTAGGAGTGCATGAGCCCTCACATGGCACATAAGTATACACACACAAACACACACACACACACTGTGAGGGGTCTGCCAACTCTTTCACTTTTGTCTTAAATTGACAAAATGGACAAAATGACCGCTGGTGTCCTGTCTGTGTCATAATTACAGAGATTAATACAAAGCCGTAATTACAAAGTTTTAAGCTGCAGCCTGTTTGAGCTGCTGTTAGACTAATTTTTATAAAAGACTGCATAGATTTAAGAGAAGAGGTCAAGTCTGGTGCAAATAGAGAAGGGAGGGAGGGAATAAAAGGCTGTCAAGATTTCTGCAGAGAGATTTCTGACCAGTCTTATTTTTAACATTGTTAACTTCCTCGCCTAGCTTGAGTGTTTCTGGCACTGGCGGTTGCAAAAGAAGAAGAAAAGCTTTTTGTTTTTTTTGTTATTATTTGGCATACAAGTGTTAATTTAATGATGTAAGATACTAATGTATAGGACAACATAGAGTGATAGCCCATCAGGATAAGACAAGACTGCTTAACGTCAGGGTTCTTCACCACCCTGAAGGAGTTTTAACCTGCCTTATCAGGGAGCTTTGTTAAACACTGGATCCTTACTGATCAAGAATAGAAATTTCACCTCTATATGTTGACAATGTGGTAATTTAATTCAGTTCAGTTCATTTCCATTTGTCCCGCATGTTTCATAAAAATGCAGACTTAATGTGCTTTACAGTGGAAAAAACAAACAAACAAACCAAATTACTCATAAAAAACACAACATCAGCATCTCCTCCAGCATCTATAAATAAAATAGAGGTTGTGATTTAATATAATTATCAATTTATTAGGACAGCACAAAACTTTTTAAAAAAAGACCAGGGAGGTTTATTAAAACACTCAAGAATCTGTGTGAAAGAGACATCAACCAAAGGGAAGAAAACAGACACAAACAAGCAACCACAAGCTGCATCATGCTATAAGCTTTGCCAGAGTCACAGGACTAATTAAAAGAGAAGAAAAGACAAACCAACCATCAAATCTGAGGGACTGTTTTTGTTTTTCACCTTATATTTATTCATGAAATCATCTTTAAATCATTACTTAGTGTCAACTTATTTGCATCTTTGGTTGGAGCTGATAACATGCGGTAAACCATACACTAGTTTCTAGTTTATAGGAAACCTCTTGCATATTGTTGACCCTTCAGAAACCTGCTGGCTTCACAGGTATCACTCTTGCACCCTTTATTTTTTTGCACAACCAGCTTTGTTGAAACTCTATAAGGAAAAAGATCATCACAGGAATAGCCTTGCTAATTTTTTCCTCACAATGTTCATTACATTCCCCAGCACCTACCTAACTAATCCATAAAAACAAATGCATGAAAGAGAGAGAAAAGAGAACCAGATATCCTAAAAATCCCTCAGATTTAGGTTAGTGCTTCTATAAACCCGTGAGAAACATTGAGCTGAACAACTGGCAGGCTGACCTGGTTTCTCTCACCGTGTATTTCCTGATGTCCTACTTCCTACACCAACATTGTTTATCTCAACTGAACGCTTGATTGATAGCTGCTTCTCGGTTTATCTTGACAGGCTGATGGTCTGCTACAGTGAGGGACACTAAACAAGAGTGACTCCATGTCTTTTATCCTGTATCTCTCCTGAATCTGAAGAGAAAGATGGTCGAAAGTCTTTTTTTTTTTGCACTATCAGGCTGCATAAAACTGACCCTGACTGTGGGTGCTTTTAATCCATTCATACAAAAGGGAATTTACTATTAATTTGCATTTTTTATACCATCTCTTTTTACGATTTGGTTGCTCTTTAAAGAACTCAACAGCAACACTGTCCTTGTTAGATGGAAATGTGTAAATCAAAATATCACTCCCAGTCATCCATGTGGCGTCGAGTCCTTTGTTTCTGGGTTGTTAGTAAGATTGTGGCACACTAGTGGATTATTAATACAGGAATCTAGAGCAAATAGCTCTATTATTATGCTAATAATAGTTTATTAGGTCCCAGAGGTAAAGCCATTTCAAAGTAAAATCACTGTCTTCCTACCACAGCTCCTTCATTGCTGACAGCTCCAGCGGCGTCTTGCCCACACAAAGACACGCAGCTTTTTTGGACTGTATATTTTTTTGTGTGTTTTGTGGTTTTCAGAGTGGAATTTTCCAGTTGTTTGCTCTGACAGGATTTTTCTTTGTTTCCTGAAATAGCTTTTCATTGAATTCTTCCACGATTGAGGCTGTGTAGCTGTGTGATAATCATGTCAGCCGATGACAGTGCTAATCCAGTCCCCCTTCTGGAGCTCTGAGCCAGAACTGTACGCTGCTTTGTACTCCGGCGCTGTGTTATCGGGAGAGCGAAACTCACCTGGTGCAGACAATCTGGATGATGGTCGCCTGTGAGGAGCGCTGCTGTGAAAACTGAAGTGACAGGCGAGGTTAGAGGCGGACAGAAATACACAAACAGCCATGAAAACAAACCCAGCATAAAAGAAACGCCTCAGAAATGACAGATATGGTGCGTGTCAATGAGACAGATGGGGAGTCGGTCTGAGTATAAACAAAGCAATGACAATTTTCATCCTGTTTCAGTAAACCCAATAAACACAGATTGTGCCGCTATGTTTATATATTTATCCCTGTTGTGCACATTGAGGTCACGTCCTGGCAATCATCCTGTTTCCACATCTCTCTTTAACAGCTTAATAATCTGATCAATAATTCATCGCTGCCCTTTAATGTCTCCATTTAAGTCGATATTCTCCCACCATGCCTGTTGCTCATTTTGTACTCGACAAAACGCACCAATTGCTGTAATGTTTTCACCCCTCACCTGTGGAATTAATCAGTCTATCGACCCTTAACTGGATGTCCTCCATGTTTTATTGTTGGTGTGATTGTAGTTTGTGTAAATGACAAAGTTTTACACATCACAACCTCTTATCCAGCCCTAATCTTCCTATTGGAAATCACCTCCTGCGAGCCAAATTATTTGACCTTAAGAAGCGCTCAGCTGTAAAGTAAATAATGTTTGTGGTTTGTCCGTAGACTAGAGCACATTTGCCACAGGAAAGTTTAACAAATTATGACTAATATCTGAATAATATCTTTGTCTATCATTTTCCGCCACGTAAACTGTAAACTTTTAAAGAGAGGAGATTAAAGTGAAACAAAGAAAGCAGGAGAAAGGAGACAGAGTCAGAGGAGAGAGTGTGTGAGCGATAGGAGGGAAAACAGAGGAGAGTAAATCCTCTTTCCCCGCTGACTTTAATCTCTCTGCAGGCTGAGCTCTGCGGTTCAGGCCTTACAGCAGCCGTCGGACGAGACGATTGACAGCCAGCGGGGCAGCAGGTGGGGGATGGGGACGGACGGACGGACGGATGGACCTTGTGTTATGTCAGCTCCCCTGTAGTCTGTCCATGAAACATGTTAAGCATAGTAAAGAGGAAGTGACTTTCATGGATGGTCAGAGGAGGAGGAGGAGGAAGGAAAACGCTGATGGACGAGCAGAGGAAGTAGTTTAAGAGAGTTGATAAATATTTGATTGGAAAAGAGCTGATTGATCTTAGGCTGAAGATAGAAAGTCAGACATTGTGATTGGCTCCCATCAAAAGTGGATGTTTTTTGAGTAACAGAGATAGAGATGTGTGTCTTTACTCCAAGGCCCAGCTGAATCATAGGTTCAATGGTTAGTCAGCATATCAACAAACATTAATAACACAATGAAGCAGACATGACATTACTAGTTGGATCTCTGAGTAAGCTCTCTCTCAACCTTTCTGAGGGTTGGCAACCTGGAAGGGAAAGGTAAATGACTCACAGAAAAATGGTGGCAGCTGATGCAACAACACAGCATCCTAAAACTGCTCAAGTCCAAGAAGCAAATCACCCTCAAAGAAAAGGAAAACTCCCACACACTTCCTAACTTAAAAACAACATTTATCAGGAGAGACTGGAGGGTGGAAAGAGTGGGAACTTGGAAAAGTAAGTGGGATTGCATGTGGTGAAAGGCTCGAGTATGTAGAGGTACAGTGTGCAGTATTGGATACCATTTGACTGAACAAAGAATGGAATATGATATAGGAGATGTAGCGTGGTATGGTGATTAGTGATGTTGCCTCACTGCAAAAAAGGTTCCTGATTTGAATCCTTGGATGGACAGGGGATCTTCACTGCTGAGTTTGTATGTCCTCCCTGTAGATACATGGGTTCTCCATAGGTTCAGCCTCCAACCCCCCTGAAAAGATTGAGACTTAAAGATGATAGAAGTATGTTTGAGTTAGTGCTTTATTACCAGAATATAAAAATGGTTTTGTTTTTATTGACTTAAAAGGAGACTTGTAGGAGCAGGTCCTGCAGAGGCCACCATCTTGTACTGCCATGTTTCTACAGTAGCACAGAGCGGATAAGCCTGTCCGTGTATTTAGTGAATGACTGTGTGAAATGCGCCAATGTGAAGATGAAAGTGGTTGTTTTGTGCGACAAGGATTTGCATTGATACACAAAAGGAGGATCATACTTTCTGCGCAACACAGGAGCTTTTTGTCCTTGAGGGCCACCAGAAAGGGAACACTTAAACCTAGACTCTGACTACTAGATACCACAAAGTATTCCCATTTCTATGTACTGTACCTTAAACTCTTCTTTGGGATAACTTCTTGGTTTATCAGCTGAGGGTGTTTTTAAAGTGGGGACAGAAATGTACAGAGTGGATAAAGGAGTAAAGATACAGAAATACTCCATAGTACTGATCATTTTGGGTGGATGTTGTAAGGTCATATGTGAGCATTACTCAATCAGGGTCATGTGGTTGGAGCATGTTACTTAAAATATAACAAAATTCAAAGTCAGCAGCATCCCAAAGACCAAAGACAGAAAATACTTAAAAAGTGTCTTACTCATGTGTCTTTTGCCAGAATCAAGGCAATTTAAACTAACCTGCTATCAACACTTGAATGTTTTAAAGGATAATCTGCACCCTGCTGTGTGTTTACAGATGCTTTGATGTAGTGGCCTGTCCACCCGCTGAGCCGAGCTCCTCAGCATAAACGCAGAGTGAATTTTAAATCTTTAATTAAAACCAGATATCTGTATCTTTTTCATGGCTTTAACAGCTTGTATCCCTCAGGCCATACCAATGATTTACCATGATAACAGAAAAGAAAAAAAAGAAGCTGCAGATCAGCCGTCAGCATGATGGAGTGAGAAAAGCACGGCGCAAAAAGATGAATTTAAGGTTGTTTCTGTTCTTGAAACTTCATATCCACTTTCCTAAAATGGGGCAGAGAGATATAAGACTTGATTGAAAGAACATATTCTCTCTGTGTTAAGACAGGGTGGGCAAACTGTCATCATCAAAATTTCACTCACTTCGTATCCCAGGAGCTCTTGTGAGGTCTGATGATTTTATCAGACAGATTTTAAACTCTTTCTTGCATGCCTAAAATATGATGCTTTTTAGTTCATTAGTGTTTTTTCCTCCTAATTTCATTTCTCATACTTAACAGTCACGTGTCTTCTGTTTGCATGTGTGCTGATGCACGTTTGAGCTGAAGTTTCCCCTGCTGTTTCACTCGTTGTAAGGAGCTCTGGATTACAGCACCAGCCGAATGGCGAAAATGTAAAATGTCACCATAAATATTTTACTTTGTAGCGGGCGCAGCAGACAAACACACACTCGCAGACGCACATGGAGAGTGAGGCCATAAAAAAATGAGAGAAGCACTTTGAAAAGGCGGAGTTTTTTTTTTTTTTTTTTCCCTACCCTCCATCTCTTTTCCCGGCACATGTTCAATTATTAACCGCCCTGACGACTCCGCCGGGATGGAGGCAGAGACAGACAGACAGCAGGCGGTGCAGAGAGAGGAGATAGTTTATCAAAGATCCAGCTGTGACTCTAACTAACCTCAGGTCTATATCCAATTCAGAGACCTTCAAACAGGGACTGATCAATGTAAAAACTCAGGAGATAACTCTTTTACGGCTCCTAAATCTGGTACATTAACAAAATCTCCTCATGCGTACGCAGTTTAGTGGAGTTTCGCAGTGTTAGAGGAAGTCATAATGATTATCTGACTGAAACATGAGAATAACCCAATATTTACCCCAGCTACATCACAGGGATTCAAAGAAAGCTGCATAAAACCATACTTAGGAGGTTGAAACATGTCTTACTATTTATGTTTTTTCATTTTTTTTCACTGTGGCAGAGTTACAACATCATCTCATGCAGCATCAGCGCCTGATCCAGTCAAAAAACTCAGCGCTCTGCCTCAGTCCCATGCTTGCTCTGTATATTTCAGCAGATTAGATTACATAAAGCTTTAATGATCCCTGAGCTGAAAGCTGCCGGATGGTTAAATTTATATCAGCAACAAGCCAAATTAGAACAAAAACACTTTGAAATAATTTGGGCGACAGAAACAAAAACTTTTGAAAAACACAAATTAAATCAGATTGGAGCAGATCGGATTATTTGCCTCATTAAAGGATTTCTGCTGCTTCACCTCGAACAGAAGCAGCAGCAGCAGCAGCAGCATGTAGCTCTGTCAGCCTGCAGAGTAACAGCCACATACATATTTCATAAACCATACCTCCGCTCTGTGTGTGTGTATCTGTGTGTGTGTGTGTGTGGCTGCATGAAGAACTGTCTGGTAGCGCGTCAGAGGAACAAAAATAGACCCTGTATCTGTCCTGATACTCTTTCTTCAAACTGTTGGAGTGATGGAGCTCCTCCTCAGTCGTTCATTTTGATTCACTGTTGATCCCTGAGGAGGAAATTCAGGGTCAGGAGGGTCAGAGGCTTGATCAGAGACTGTACGTAGCAGCGATGTGTCTTCTCTGGGTGGTGTGTTTGCCTGTCTGCATGCACGCTGTCTGTTGCGTGTGTGGCTCCAGCTGTAAACAGAAGCGAAAATCTATTTACCCCCTGTGTTTTACACAGTAAATTATGCATCACTTGTGCTTATGAAATAAAAATTTTGCACTTCACGTAAGCTTAGTCAACAGCTGGTGCCCTTTTATAATCTGGAAATCTGCTAACATTGTTTCATCTCTTCTGCTGATGGTCTTTTCATTTTTTCTGTGCGGTTGACAGTGACTGTGCATGCTTCACACAGGCTTTCATTACGATGGCTAATGAGGTCAAAAATCCTGCTACAGTCCAGTAGATTTTTCATCGGGGGAAATGGGCTGCAACTTTTGAAATTAATTTAAAACATTTACAAACTGCAAAACAAACAAACCAACAGATGTGCTTTATTCTGCAAATATATGAAAGATGCAGTGTCACAATCATGACAACATTGAAAACAGACCTATGGGATCTAAATCAAGTTTGCACATAGACGCTTGCGGCCCTTTAGGGGGAGCTAAGTGCAATTAGATTTTGGAGGAGCATGTTTTATACAGAAAAATGATACTTTAGGAGACAAAGTCAGCTGAAGGGACATGGACAAGGCCGTGTGTGTAAATATAGGCCAGTGAAGGTTAGTCTGCATCAGGTACGTTTCTTTGCAGGTTTGGCTCCTGACACTTCTACAAACAAAACAGTTTCTTGTGGTCTCATATTGTTATTTTATTATGCTAAAGAGCCGTGCTCCTGATTATTTTACAGCTCAAGAGTCTGAACTGACCATCATTGGTGTATTTTACTCATATCCACAGGATGATAGAGAAGAGAGGAGATGGCAGAAGTTGATAATTTGAGTTGAATTAAAAGATTTATTTATTTTCATTTTTATTTTTAAATGCTAGTTGCGGCCATGATTGACAATGGAAAAAGAACAATAAGCTAGACTTTTTGAAACTGTATAACAAATAGCTTGGGGATGAACAATATTATTGGCATTAACACCTGTATTAACAGATATGAAACTTTCTGCCACCATCATGATAAAGTATAGTAACAGCTCACACATGTCAACATGTATGACCGAAATATTTCCATACACAACTGTATGGAGATACTCTGAAGTGAACTGTCTTTATTTGTAAGGACTTCATTTATTATTTGAAGTACAATCAAATGTTTGTATTTTTATGGCTGTTTCTAAATCAGATGGACTGTCCAGGAACAGTAATCAGTGAATTCTACTACAGGAGAAACTTGGTGCTCTTTACTATGAAAAAAGTACAAATCAGTATCAGCCAAAATGGACTGAAAATATTGGCCAAATGCAATATTGTGCACCTCTAAAATATCTGCAGTCAGATACACAGTGAAGGTGTGAATGATCACAGATCACATAGTCTATTCCCAGTTCTTCTACCTCTGCTGATGGCTGATGATATTCATTGCATACAAGTTTCTGAAAATATGAAAAATGTAAGTACAAGGGAAAAAACAAAGCAAATAAGTCTACATACAGGCAGCTCTAGTCTGAACTTGTTAGTGAATGGTTGTAGTTAGCCTGTGGACATTTCTTGCCAAATATCTTGTGCTTGTTAAATTCAGAACAGTGTTAAATGACAGATAAAGCAGATGGCATGTTGCTTTTCTCCATGCTTGCACCATGGGTTTTATCATGTTTTGGGGCTTTTTACTTACTCGTGAAATAATACAAAAAGCAGGGGAAACCAGATGTTTGAGAGTTTAAACATGCAGTACACGTCACAAATAATGTTACACTCACTAACTGGAGACTTTGCCCTCTTCCCCCCCAGACCTCCAGACAACTACTTCCTATAACCCAAAATGCCTCTCACCATCAGCAGGGCCCAGGTTGGAGCAGCTGTCTGTAAATCTCATGGCAACCATTTGTCAATATTAAACCTTGTTGGCAGACTCTGCCATCTTTCCCCTCCTCTTAGTTCATGCTGACCAGCTTTGACCTCCCAACAATTTGAAGCTTTTGTTCTAGTTCGGGATGTAAACTCCATCAAATCCTGCTGCTCAGAGCCCGGCATCAGCCAGAGCTGGATATTATACCACTGTTTGCAAGGATAATGGAGATCAACAGCTAACAGCAGCTGATGGCAGCCGTGTTTACTTTAGTCAAGCTATCTGGAAAATGGAAACGAGAATGAACAAAATATTTGTGCATCAGCTGTGAATTTTTTCAAACCAAAAATGAAGGTCATGTTTTTGCACTGTAGTTAGATGTTGTATGTTTCATATTATAAGTTTCAGCGAGTTTATCCTTGTAAAGATCTCTTTCAGCATTTTTCACACTTTGGCCCAAGTAACTTTTCAGGAACTTTTGTATGAACTCAGGGACTTTTATTCACTTTGAGCTTTTATTTTTACCTCCCCCACACTTGATCCAGCAAGCATGAAATCATGCTTTACATGTGTCTTCTTCAGCTCTCAGAGGTGGGTGTTAGTCATGAGCAGCGTGGTCTTCACTCTTTTGAAGGACCACTTGGCAATGCAACAGAGTAATTTAACCTCTGACCTTGCTGTTATAGAGCCATTTCTACAACCTTGACATGAACATAATGAGGACAAACTGAACTTTACAGAACCTCAGCAGCTCTTTACTCAGGCTTATACCTGCATGGGCCAAACTTTGGTGTATCCTTTGTTATAATCAAACAGGACTTTACTTTAAGGTTGAAACATAACAGTGCATTTCATTCTGGTTCCTAAAGCAGCAGACCGCCCATTGAAACCATAATGTAAATGCTGTATACCTGCTGATACCACTAAAGCCTTTGAATTTGTTTTTCTAACAAGAAGCATCTTGATCACGCGGCTTTATCTAGGTTGTTGATGCGCAAAGCAAACAAGCGAACTACTGTATAAACATCACCATAGGTTTATTGTAGTATTGTTGTCATAGTAACCCTTCTTCCCCTGTCTCTTTTTCTCTTCCAGTCTTTCTTGCTTGAGGTAAAAGTTCAACTCTCATCATGGCCGATGAATCAGACATGCGCAATGAGCTGGCCGACCTGCAGACACGTGCCGACCAGATCGCTGATGAGGTACGGTAAAGGAAACGCTGGATCAACACATTTATGTTTCATGTACACACAAATGTTGATTGTTGTTTATAAAAGACAAAAACAGGTAATACGTGGCATTAATTTTGTCCAGCCACTGTGATGTACAGTACAGGTTAGTCTGCAAAGACTGTGGATGGTTCAGTAATTGGGGTAAATCCAGCCAACCATCCAACTGTGCATTCATAGAAAAATATATCAGGGAATACATTTTATGCATTTATTGTTTATATATTAAATCAAGAGAGCAGTTTGTAATCCAGATGGCAGGTTAAAAACATACATGTTTTCATAACGTTACAGTTTGAAACATGAAACGCCATTTTTTAGAATTGACTCGACAAAAAAACAGCCAAACTTTGCCGCCAAGTATCAGCAGAAATCATCGAAAAATGTGAAGAATTGTTCGGGCTTTCCTGCTAAACTGAGTCTACAGTCAAAATACAGTCATTGCTCAATGACACGACAATAGTGACCTGTTCTCATAAAGGGGAAAATAGATCTCCAAAAGCTTCCAGACTGACAGGCAAAGCTGCGTTGACATGACCCGAGCTTGTTTTAGTAACTTCTCCTCTAAGTCTCTTTCATCAGGACTGCACTTTTTTAAGAAAAAGGAGAACTTTGCCCTCTTTAATGAGTGGAGAGGAGCTCAAGAAGAGCAGATAATTCTGTGCTGCAGAATAATGGAGCAGCTCAAATGGCCTCATTAAACATTCATGAGCGGATAATGCAGGGCCGAGAGGCTCCACGGATGTGATGAGAGGGAGAAATCAGGAGAGCGCAGAGGAATGGATGGATGGATGGAGCAAGGGTGGGGGTAGAGGAGGCGGCACAGGAGATGTGGAGATAAGAAAGGGGAGAGGGTGAGATGAGGATTTTGAATTAAAAAAGTGTTTGGTTAAAGAAACGCTAGAGAGTCTCAGAGGAGTCCTGCTGAGGATAGAAAGTTAGCAATCAAGAGGGACAGTTAGATAATTAATCCTGGGATCAGAGGAGAGAAGAGGAATAATGAAGGCTGATTATGACTACCAATCATTTGTCTGCTTATTAAAGTAAAGTGCATCAGCACACTTTTTAATATTGATGTGTTTTTTTTATTAAACAGCAAATGTAGATAATTTAACACATGAATGCTGTACATTGTTTTCTCCTTCATTTCGGATTCTCAGCTAATCACACTCTCTCTCTCTCGTTCTTTCTCTACAGTCTTTGGAGAGTACTCGGCGTATGCTGGCTCTGGTCGAGGAGGTGAGTCTAATCACGACACACATGACACAAGATAAGACCCAGCAGGGAGGGAGAAAGCGTGTTTGTGTTTTAATTCAAATAGCCATTTGTCCACATGTTCAGTTTTTAAATTAGTGTTGTGGCATTTATCATCATCACCAGTCCCCAGCTTAAAAATAAAAATGGAACTCAAGTTGGCTCCCAATGCACCCAATGTCAGTCTGTAAATGCCAAACAGTTGATTGTGGGTCAGGCAGACAAAACCTGTGTGTTACAGACAGTAGTCATATTTACATGTGAAAAATTTCTTGATCCGATTAAAAATTTGAAGGATCGGATAATCTGAATCCACTGTTTATATGGGTGCAAAATCATATAATCCGATCATGACGTGGGTATACATGCACCAAGCTTTATTCAGATTAGAAGCATTTGGACATGCGCATAGTTGTCTGACTTCACGAAAATAACCACAGAAGAAGAGTTGTATTTACGCCTGTGCTGTCATCAAATCAACAAACACGGTTGTGGCTCACTTCATCCAATTCAGGAGTTTCCCCCCTGTTAAATCTTGTCACTAGATGGCGCCCTTGCTCACTTATTTAACTGTTCTGTCAAAGGTTGCTCTGTGCATGAAGATGTGACATCATTACGCTGTATATACGCCTTGTTATGTTATTGAAGAAGCAGGCATGGCATTTACGGTTGTGTTTTATGCCAGAGTGTTAATAATGAAACCTCCTGAACTGGATAATAAAGGCTGTGCCCAGTGTCTTTTTAGTCCTGACAACAAAAGGGCATTTTTATGAAATATTTCTGGATAGCTGACTGGATGGGTTTGTGCCAGACATTTTGGAGAAGAAAAATCTTCCAGTCGTTCACTTGACAAATTAATAAAGTATTGGGGTAACTCTGCAGAATCACGATGGAGAGTCTGTGTGCTGTTTTATCAACAAGAGCCACACCTCATGTTTCATGGCAGAGCTAAGGATTCAGGGACTGGAATTGTATACATTTGCAAAAAACATGAAGCATTTAGAGTTAACTTTCTTATTTTTGAGCTGAATTCCTCTCTTTTCTGGCATAAACCTGTTTTGGACCTCTGGCTCCAGCTTTTCGCATCAGATACACGTCCCAGCTCAAACCCGTGAGACCATCCACTGTGTCCTAATGAGACAGAGCCAAGAGAGACACAGTGAGACCTGCAGCTGACCTGAACACTGACCTGCTCCATGAACAAGCCTTTCATAATATCTGACATTTGAAGATAATGCCATGGGAATGCCATTTGTTCGATTCAGCTGTTAGTCTGGCGTTTGGAAAATGTCCTGTAGTTTGTTAGCACACAGTGTGTTTCCCTGATGGTATAGATCCCAAGCTGAAACGACTTTAGACAAACAGTCCATGTGTCATGTTTTGGCTCCTTTCCTTCTCTCTTACTGACAACATGCTCTTTATCCCTCCCACTTAGGATCTCCCAGGAGAAACAGACTCAATATAGACCATAGCAATAAAGCAGCATGGATTATAGATGAGGCTCAACATGCCTCTTTGTATAACACAGAAGAGGTTACATAACCCTCGCTATGTTTATATGAATATATGGACTGAATATTCCTTTACAAATAATCTGTTAAGTCATTAGATGGAGGCCAAAACTAATCTTTGAGTTTGATTGGTCGGGTTTTGGTGATCTTAATGTTACAGGAAGTGAAACTTTGTGAAAAATGACAACAAAAAGAGATTCACTTTCTATCAAAGCACAGAAATAAATCAGGTTATTTTACATCAGTTTGTTTTATGGTAGGAAAATAAAAAGAGACAAAACAGTCAGGAAAGGTCAAAAGTTAAAAAAATATGAAAGCAAAATCTACCAAATGCAAAGCAAAACATTAATTAAGTGCTCCATGTTGTCTTTTTCATCATTTCACCATCAGTGGAAGAGTTCAGTCTTTTAATCTGGGTAATATTAATCAGGTTTATTTAAAGAGGGCTATGACTACGATTATGGACTCAGCACATACTGTAAAACTATTCTATCATGGATGGCTTTGGCTCAGTGGCAGAGTCGGTCATCTCTCAATCTTTAGGTCTGGGGGGGTTCAATCCCAGGTCCTGCTGCTCACGTGCCAAAGAGTACTTGAGACACTTGATCCCAAACGGCTGTGTGAATGGGATTATTTGAAACTGATGGGTGCTTTACACTGTAGCCCCTGTAATCGGTGTGAGAATTGGAGAATGTGACAGTGTTGAGAGTGGGCAAGAAAACCAGAGAAAGCTTTGTATGAACACCACATTTACCATTTTACACAGTCCTTATCTGAATCAGTGTTTGGTGCAGATTTGTTGATCTTCAGTATAAAGTAAGTGGCCACGTAAGAGCAGTAAAATGGGGTGTACAGTTTACCAGTTTGTTACAGGAAAGAGATTCCATCCCGTCCAGTCTAGCCTGCTCACTGTCATAATCCCTCTCAAAGAGGATATGCATTTTTAACTCCACTTAATTGGCTGTCAAACCATACGAAAAAAAAAAAAATTCAAAGTAAGCCTGTATTATCATGGTTTTGCATGTCTCTAGGTGATAAAAGTGAGTCTGTTTCTGACCATAAAGGACAACTGTCTATCTGTCTGACTCTCTTCTCAACTGTAAGCACGTGCTAACCCTTCTCGACCTCTTTTTTACAAGGGCTTACAGTGTACTTAGACTAATTGAATAAGTGGAGAGCAGAGCGCACACCCACCCTGCTGTGATCAATCTGAGATCTGCGAACTGATACCTGTCTGTTTAGGACTGTCCAGATTGCATCCTCAAACTATGACTGATAACACTCCCTTAAAATGGGCCTGTGCTCTGAGGTTTGAGAGTGCACATAGTGATGGAAAAAAAAACATTAGAGGAAGGTCATGGCATTTTTGGTGCACACACTGCATTGTTGTTGTGTGTGTCACTTTTACATCAAAAGTCTGACAGATTAACATCCCTTTACTGCTCCCAGACTAAGTTTAAAATGAATATACATATTCCATAGTCTGTTAGCTGCCATCAAAACACATTTACGTTGTTTAGCTAACTCCTAATTAATATTTTACACACAACATATAAATGTATAAGACTGATGTAGAACTCAGTGTGTAAACAAATACAAGCTTAAATAACAATAATAAAAAATGTCATCGAACATTTGTTAAATCTCACATCTGAACTTTCAACATTATTTTGTAGGGTTGCTGATGGGTAGATTTGTTAGTGTTAGCGACACAGGCTGTTCACATCTGCTTCCACTTATTGTGTGAACCAAAAGCTTTTTAACAGACCAATTTATGCTCCTCATAAACTCTTGAAAGATTACTATCATTTTAGCAAAAGTTCATTTGAGTCTAAAATTGATGATCTAAAATGTTAGTCATTGTTAGTCAAGTCATTATTGAGTTTTGAAATTGGCTCTTTGGTGAGATCTCAAATTCACAACATTTGAACAACACTTATTTACTAGAGTGTCTTTTTGCCTCTATTGGGAGTTGTTCAAGCTTGTTTCATAATCTTGTCTATAAAGCTTCATTTTGATAGAGTTGTTTTATGTTGATTGGGAGTTTACATGCACACACAAAAAGATATATATATAAAGCAAAACCGTTGTAAAGTTATCCCATCTTCTAAAGTATCAGCCATGGCGACGTGGTATGATGAAGTCCTTCACTGAAATTGAATAGACTCTGCAGTACGACACCTCTAGTACCTTTATTCTGAAGGCTTTCACAGAGACAGATCCAGTGATACTGACGCTCTTATGAAAAGTGTTATCTTCTCACCACACTGGCAGTGGACAGAAATGAGAAACTGGGAGGCAGCTCAGAGTAACACCAGATTGAAGAAGCTGAGGGAGAGATAGGAATGAAGAAGTATTCAAGGCAGAGATGAACAGGAAAGAGATGAGGAGAGGTAGGACATGATATTCAGATCTACTCCTCTGTGTGTGTGTGCAGCAGAGAAACAGGATGTGATTGAAGAGCAGCATCAGTCCTGGTGTCGAAGAATAGATTACACAAGATGGATGTTAGAGTAGAGGCATGCAGGCAGCGATACAACTGAAAACAAGTGTGATGTTGCCTAGGTGAGAAAAATAAAAACCTCAGTGAGTTATTTAAGTCCTGCAACTAACGTTTTTTTAAGGCAATCAAATTATCAGGTACCTTAGAACAACTAAAACTATTTTTGGAGGCCTGATACTGTTCCAAAATTTCCAACCAAAGGCTAAAATTTTAAGAAAAACATGATGAAATTGTGTTTATTAGTTACATTTGTCTAAGTTTATATGTTTTTTGTTTTGTTTTTATTTTTAAGTTCCCATACACATTGCAATGGTATCATTATCAGGATGTTTTATGGCCATGACTATCATGGCATTAAAATCTGATATGACAGCCTCAACAGCAACAATCTGTTAGATACTAGTATATTTGCAGTCAAAGTAGACATGACTGAGGAAGACAGGAAGGCTGAATAAATGTTATTTGTTAGTGTGCACAGATTTTCTCGATGGCATCCTTGCATGTTCCAGAGCCTAAATTCACTCTGCCATATAAACTACTGTCACCTTCAATCAGACATCTAAAGATAGGTTTCATATGTAAGATTAAGGTGTCTACCTGCATTAGATTTGAGCTCATCGGACAAACATGAGGTTGATCTATAGAGGAGCGGCGGGCAGACGTTCAGTCTTTGTCTCCGCAATGACTGAATTAGAATAGATTCCAGGAGACACTAGAGTGGATGTCTCAATGAAAAATCAATGCCAGGCTCCCTACGAATCAGTCTTATTGTCAACACACCTTTAGCAATCCTTTTTTGTCCCTGTTTCTTTTCTTTCCCTCTGTTTTCTTATTACCAACAGCTCTTGGGATTTTTATTAGTCATACCTGTGTAGCCTTTTGTATGCAAGACCAGAGGAATAAATGTCATCGAGCCAAATTATCATAACCATCTTTATTCGACAGATTGTCTCCAAAATATACAGCCACCAGCTTTTGTCTTTTAATTACGCCTTTAGGACTAAATTTAAGCAGCAAAAACAATTACTTCCGTAGTCGGCTGAATAGGCTCGAAATTACTCTTTTATAAAGCATCGCAATACGGCAGCACTGCTTCTAAAAATAGAGAAGGAGAAGAAGAAAAGAAGGAGGAGAGTTTAAAATATTCATCTCTATTAATCTCTTGATGAGTTGTCATCACCTTCATGTTCATATCCTGGGCAGAAATGTATTTTTGGAGGACCCCTGAAACATCTCAAGGTCTCAGACACACTTTGAATCGGTTTATTAGATAAATCTGGGAAAACAACCTGATAGTCACCCAGTTTGTGTGTGTGCATGTGCGTGCATGTGTGTGTGTGTTTGACCAGCCATACAGAGAGGTGTGAGGTCATTACATCAGACCGTGCCAGTTTGGCGTGGTCAGATATCCTGTCCTGTGGTTCAGGAGTCATGTCTGCACTCTCATATATTTGATTTTTTTCATCCTTCCCTGTGAGGTAAACAAGCACTTATAGGAATCATCTCAGCTGGAGGACAGGTTTTTGCAGCAGGTCTGCAAGATATGAAAAAAAAAAGAAAAGAAAGTCACATGAGATCATGTTAGAGGTAATGTTCAGGTCACAGTGGTTACAGTGGATTGGTAGCCTGACTGGGTGAGGCAAACTAAAACAATATTTGGATGCACCTCCATGTCAACTCTATAATCCTATCAGATATCTTGAGGGTGTGGGCTTCATCTGACTGTATCACAGCAATGTATTGTCATGGTTATTATACCCAGGGCAGGCCTCCACATATGCTCACTGAGGAAGCACTGCTTGTGCATATTTAATATTTTATGATGAAAATGTTATGAAAAAAGAATAAATAATATATTTTTCTTTGACACAGAGATATATTTAGATCTTTCTGATGGGCTTACTGGGAACGCTTTAATTGCAATACTGATATGATTTCGATTCATTAAGCTGCCTCAGTTTGCACACTCTAGCTTTGATTAAACATCTTCAATGAGGATCATTTCAGTCTAATTAATTTTTCTCTCTTTCTAGTTTGATACATGTCCAGAAAAACTTTCCAAGCACTTGCAGATAAACAACAATTTATCTCCTCACTAATTCAGATCCATGACCACAGGCTGATCTCTGTGGCAGTCAGTCCGACTGACTCTGATATCAGTAGCATGTCAAACTGGCCTCCAGCGCTGCTTGCAATCTATCACCTCTTCAAGAAGGTCAGAGCACACTTTGATCCAACGTATCTGACGCGTGAGCTGAACGGCCTTTAGTCTTTAATATCCGTCAGAGGAAGCCTTGGGCTTACGAAGAGCACGGAGCTGTTGTTTTTATCATGTGCACAGTGTTTAATAATGTGCTTATTGTGTGCTCACTGGAGTGTGTTATTATGTGATGGAGCCTGGCGTATGCGCGCAGTGAAAAATATCAGCGCATGGGTCTGTGTGACTGTTAATGTTTTTGTGATAGTGTCTTTGTGCAAGTGCCAGCTCTGTAAGCCAAATCTGAATGTTACATTACTGGAGCATTGTCAACAAATCTTTGGTACCGGCCCAGTGAACACTTCAAATATAGCTCATGCCATTTGTCGATCCAGTTTACCCGCTGACTCTGTGCTTGAATATATTTGGATTTTCTTACCTCTCCTCAGGTTTTAGATGGTTTGCTGTTTAACTTTTCGACTGATGGTTGATTACTTTTGCGTGCATGAACATTTGTAACTAACAATGCTGCAGACTTAAACATTACACACATTTAGCCCTAAAAGATTTGTTAAAAACCTTTTAAGAACCTTTAAACAGACTGAGGTACTGTTTCGAGGCTTTTTGAACATTTGCTGGCCACATGAATCTCTTAAAGCTGAATCATCTGGGTGACTAAAGAGGTTTTCCATTCAATCATATCCATGACAAGTAGTGTTTGTAATTGCTGCTATCTGCAGTGTTACATTTCCATGACTTTGTAAATTCAAATAAGTAAAATACAAATTGAAATCCATCAAAGTTTCTTTGTATGCTGATGACAACTGACTTTATTGTTAGACTGAGATAGAAAACATGGTTATTCACTGTCTATCTGAGAAAACGATGAGATTATCAATACCTTGCTCATGTAAATTCATTGAATGCATTGCAACATTGAGCCAATGGTCGGTGCAGTTTAGCAAAAAGAGTGAAAACAAAGGGGACATAAAGCCTGGCACTCTTCATAACCAGTCCCATAAAACCTTGAAATCCAACTTTCTAACAGGCACATTGTACGGACTCTTTTTTTATTCTTAGCCCCACCAAATTAATATCTTTTAATAACAAGATGGTTTTTTAAATTTTAGTTTTAGACTGGTTGATCCTCTTTTGAAAACCCTGTTAAATACCAGTCCTCTGTCACAGCTCTCAGGGTTATATAAGCTCTTCTTACACAAGTAAATTTTCAAAGATGGCTGGTTTCAGCAGTCCTCCACAGCATCAAGTTTTTCCATCAGATGAAGGGAGTGGTTTCAGGAGGGCAAAACGTGGCATTAAGGGGATGCTGTAGAGTTTAAATTAGCCATACGGTTAAGCATAGAGGAAGATTTTCCTCCTAGGGTTTGCAGGTCAAGATTGACAACCCAATATTATTATCAAATCTAACACTAATGTTGAACCACACATATCACATACACGAACACTGAACTACATTTATCACATCTGAAGTAAATATAAGTAAATAAAACAGTTGAAACCAATAAAAAAAAGCAAAGCAGACAGTATAAAGACTGCCACTGAGTCTATTAAAAATGAAACAGTACATTTTAATACAAAAGACCCATTTTAAAAATCATTTTACCATATCTGGATTTATAATAAATAGCAAATAATGGTGATAGTTTATATTAAGGTCCTTCTAAGAAACATGTATTAGTTAATAAACCACTTATAATCTGTTTTAAACACAGCCTTTAAGAATATTAAAAGCATTGATAAATGTGTTGATTGTGATTTTTTTTTTTTTACTTACTAACATTTATAAATATTTATAAGCACCTTACAAGGTATCATAAGTGGCTTATTAACTAATAATAAATGCTTATTTACAAGACCTCAATAAAAGGTGTTACCCAGTGTTTCTGAAGCAATAGAGAGTATTGTGTTGTTTGAAAAAGATTGAGTTCTAGTCATGCATTGTTATATATGTTATTGTAAGTTAAACTGATGTGGTTTTGGACTGTAGTGTGTACAAAACAGCCTTTTCCATCAGTGTTGTGTGTTCCTGGTTCTACTGTATAAAGGAATGAGTGTGTAAGGACATGCTTTACAAAGTGCAAAGATAATAGTGCAAAGATTGAGACAAGTGAAAAAGGCATTGGGGTTCAATATGGGGGATCAAGGGAAGTCGTAGGCTGTGATGAACAGGTGGTTTTAAAGGTCATCTCCTACTTACTCATGGTGAATTTTTCTGACCTTGATTTTTACTTTTACTGCATTGCACACATACCTTCACACAGACTTTTAGCAGAACTTTTGCCAAGGGGCTGGCAGGGAAAAGTACACGTAAAAAGTCAACGTTTGCATTCACATGCAGCTTACCCCCTAAATCTCAGTTCGACATTCAGGAGTTAATTGCAGGGGTGCATCGAGCTGCGCAAACACACACACACATATTGGCTAAAAGTGCACTGGCTATTCTGGTCACAGTGATGTCAGCCCATCTGATGAAAACTAAATGTCGGATTAAGTCACTGATGGATAAAGCAAAGTCAGCTGATCCCTTTGTTTTCAGTCTATATGGTGCTGTAACTAATACTAACCTCGCAATCAACCTGGATACCTTCTGCCAGAAATGATCCTTAAAATCAAAGCAAATCAGAAGTTCTTCACAGGAGCTAAAACTAAATTACCAGATCTGTGTTTCCCCACTTTATTTGCTTTTACTGACCTACCACCTGTACTTCTCTTTTTCCTCTCTTTCTCCTCTCTCTTTTTCTGTCTGTGTGTCTGTTAGAGTAAAGATGCTGGCATCAGGACTCTGGTCATGTTGGATGAGCAGGGAGGTAAGTTATAGGGAGAGAAACACTATCCCTCTGCACTATCTACACGTTAAATCAGCGCTCCTACCACTTCTATCCTCGCTGCTGTTTCATGCTCTGTAATGGGAGAGATGTCATCAGCAGTGCGTCCAGTATAACACCGCCCAGTGCTCCTCCACTTTTCAGCACTGAGGAGAATGACCTTTATAGCTTAATAATTACAGGAGAAAATTTAATCTCTCTGAGCGCTGCTGCCAAGTCTGAACAGTAACCTGAGCAGCAGACTGAGCTAATGTGACTAAAATGATTATACTGGATGAGACTGTTGAGCCAGCCTTCTGCTTTGCCTCCCTGTTAGTACATTTTTATGCTCGCTGCTTGTCAGAGATACATTAGATGACGTTTATTTATCTTAACTGACAGTGTTTTGCTAAAATTTTGGGCTTCAAAGCAGTAACGCAGTGACATTTAAGGCTTTTTAAAGAATTGCCAGAATGTTTTTAACCCTGCTCTTTAAAACCTTGTTGCTGATCTCTCAGAGACCTTAACTGACTGAAAGGTCAGAGGTCAGCGTGTAAAAATGGTCTTAACATTATCCTTTCTCTGAGGAGAAAGGCTGATCAGTTTGACTGGTAAAGACAAAAACATGCTCCCACTCTCATCATTCCTCCACATCCTCCCCACTTTTAACGACAAAAAAGACCCTGCACCAGTTTTACCAATCCCATTTATATAATGTCCACCACTTCTTTCAAATCAATAACAGGCTTGAACCAACAGCTTTAAGGATGTTCAGTTTTTACTTAATTTTCTCCTGACTCTCTCAGGGATGTGGTTTTTCTAGATTAATCCAGGTTTTCGACCCGATTTAAGGTTCTTACTCACCTGGAATGACGCAAATCTATAACGCGAAACAACGAAATATTCAGAGGCGAATTTTGACGCGCCTGACTCTACACATCAAGCGCGCAACAATCAGCCGGTCGGCCATGTTGGATACACCGGTGAATCTGACGTCGCAACAACACGAAATCTGATTGGTCGGAAGTGGACACACAGTATGCAAAACTTTAGAAAATTCAACCGTTAAACGAAAAAATAAATGTCGCAATATCACAGGATGGGAAAACGTCACTGATGTTAACGCTTGTATTGACAGGATACAGGTTCGGAAAAAAAATGACGTCCGAAATAATTGCACGAAAATAACGGTCCCGGTGTGAAAGGACCTTTAATCATGAGTAATACATTTTCACCATTCAGTTGGACAATCACATCTAATCTAGCGGTACATAGAGCTCTCCATATTTTCCCGTTAATGTATGTTTTGGCTGCCTATTAACCTAGGATTAATTGTTTATCTACAGTCCTAAGCAAAGCAAACAGATAGTCCTACACATGTTGTGATAGTGTACTAAATGTTTTTCTGCTGTTACTCTTTGTGACTTCATTTAGGGTTCTTGCCACTCTCAAGACATACCCATAAGGTCTTAGATTAAAATCAAGGAAATTTAAGTCATAAATTGCCTTTAATTGACCAGAAATCTACCGCAGATATCACATTTGAGTCACAGTCTCATGGGAAAACTTTTATGCAGCTGCCGAGCATCACAGTAAAACAGTCAAATTCAATAAAGTCATGAGTGGACAGATTCCTGTTATTACCGAGAGCGGGAACAGTATGCTGTCTCTGGAAGTTTGTCGAGCTCAATATAAACAGAAACAGCAGCGTGACGCAGTCCAACTGCAGTTTGTTTGGATTAACATGCATAGTGTTCAATATGTTTCATCGTTTAGCAAATTTAGAAATTCTCTGAGACCTAGGAAGATTCTTTCAATAATATTTGTGTCTAAAATAATATTTGTAAGGGTCTTAAAAGCCTTGATTTTGACTTTGAAAGGGTGCAGAACCCTGCAAGCGAGGGGAATCCAAAAAGTTTCATGAAAAGCTGCAAGAGAAGAGAGGACGGCGTTCATCAAACATCACTTTCAAAGAGGATTTTTAAGGCTGTCTTTAGGGGACTTATGATCATGAAGAAACCAAGCATGCTCACAAGTTTATCTACCAACTTGATGGACAAAAAAAAAGCAAAATAAAATAGCCTGTAACAGATTTTGAATGAACATTGTGCTGCCACTGTATATTGCTGCACATTATACCTCTATGGAAGGACAGAGTGGGACAAAAGCTGCTAAGCTCACCAGCTGACTGGACACTTTAACTTCAGTGTCCTTTTTTATTCTGACAGTCCTGTTTAAAGAGACAGAGGTCACATATATAATCAACCTCGCAGTCGAAAAGTGAAGGGAAACACTGACACTGACCACATGGGGTTGTGCAGCCTTGGAAGTGACGTTTTCAGACTTATAAGGCAGTACTTTTGCTTCATGCATAACATCAAAATGACTGGGCTTTTGTGTGTGTCTTTTAATTTGTGTGAAGAGAAGCGTCCACTCTTACTATATGCAGATGATGTGTGTGTGTGTATGTATGTGCATTATTACAGGCTTGTACTTAGCTCCATGCCTGAAAGAGCAGCCTAATTGGCCTGTCAGAGGAACATATAGCCTGTTTCCCCTCCGTCTCTTCTTCTCCTGCTGTCTCCCTGCCCCCAGACTACAGGCTGCCACAGTGCACAGCTCACTGCTGTTAGCACAGGACAGCAATCAATTCACAGATTTAAATTACCTCTCCCTCTCAGCAAATGTCCTCTTAACCTGATCCCCCATCTGTCTCTCTCATTCTTCCTCTCCTTTTTCGTTTTCTCCCTTCACTTCCTTTACTCCTCTCCACTGACCTCCACATTCTTCCTCTCTTCCCGCCCTCCCCATGAACACTTGGTTAAAAGCATGATGAAGCTCTTCTCTGTCTCCTCTTTTTTCCTAACCTATCCTTCATGTTAACAGAGACTAATGAGGTACACAATCCTCTATTGCTGGTGTCATGTATTCGCCATAAATTCCCTCTGATATCACCAAAAAAAGAGAGAGAGACAGACTCTTAACTAATAGCTTGGTGAGCCTATGGCGATTAATAAAGTCTAGTTGTGGAGTAAACTGTGGTGAAACTAATCCCCCCTGCCCTTTTCTCACATGCATGCACACACACATAGGTCGTACATGGGAGGGGATTTGTCATTTCTGCAGTGATGTATTACCAGCGGTTAAGGTCTCGCTGCAGCTAATGAGTCCCTTCCTGCTCGGCTGTTACATGCATGTTGACCTGAATTACACCTCAGTCAGGGCTGATGGATTGCAGCTCCGCCACACCGAGCCCAAGCAAGGTGGTTTAAAAGTAGCCATGCAGTGTGGAAATATGGTGTGTAAGCGCAGACGTTTACAATGATGAAGGTTAATCGCCCAGAACTGTTAACCTGGGGGCTGCACTTTTTTCTCTTTTTTATCTACCTCCTCGCCAGAGGACTGATGCACCAGCTCTGTATAAGCTGTGTCTTAAGGTAGGGTGTAAGATTCACATTAAAACCAGCTGGATTGTTACTCCAGTTCTTTCACTGTTTGGTTGCATCATGCAGACAAAAAGTTCATCTCAACTAGGAGAGGCCAACCAAAACATAGTTAAAAAAATGACATTTTCACTGTATTTATTCAATCAGCTAAACCACAGGTGTCAAACTCAAGGCCCGGGGGCCAAATCTGGTCCATGGAACAATTATATCTGGCCCACAAGATCACATCATATTTGTATTATTATTGGCCCACCAGTATGAAGTCTGCAGATTTCCTCCAGTATAATGATGTAAACTTTAGCACCATTATTTAAAATGCCCTTAATAAGCAACAAAAATCTGAAAAATTAAAGAGTAAGAAAGATTTGAAAAATAGTCATAAATGTGTGGGGGAAAAATATTTGGTGTTTTGATTGGATTGATTGGACATGATTGGATTTTTTGTTTCATGCTTTGATTTCGTTCAACTCAGTATTTAGACTTGTCTTATTTTTATACTTTAGATTCCAATTTTAAATTTTAAATCGTATTTTACCTTTTAAACCTGATTTCAATGTTCTCCTCATGTATTTCCTCTTTAAAAGCATTATTATGGCCCTTGCTGTGGTTGAGTTTGACACCCCTGAGCTTAACTCTGATTCCTACTCTTGTGCCTGGTTATCTTGGTACAGGCTAATTCCTGAAATCAACTGTCAATAACTTCACTTGCTTGTGGGGTATTTAGGTGGGTAATTAATATAGTGACTAAAAAATAAAAAAAAAGTTGATATTGAGTGCTGAAATTGACAATTTCAACATACTGCACATTGAACTGGAGGTAGTCTTATTTTTCAGGTTAAAGTCATCACTTTTTTAATCGATGTAATCTTTGTGGGGAAAATGCTGGAGATGCAAAGCAGCCTGGTAAACCCTCTGCTCCAACTCCTGTTTTTAATTATCACATTTTTAAAAACAATCAGTATATTTACCTGTTGTTTTAGAAATAGATTTATAATATTGATCCAGCTGAAACTGGACTTTAAAAACGCATTTGAACAAGTAAGTCTGAGTAGAATTGCACGTACATCAAAATTCTCTTAGTCAAACTAACGTACATAGATAACACTGTAGGGGATCAATTGCCAATCCTCCATGCACAGTATACGGCTTAGATTGACTGAAACTGGCTGGCCTATGCACTCTGCACATGCTCCAGAGTTTTCAGGCTGGTCTCTGAGCTGCAAGTCGATTAACCCGAAGGTGTTGCTAAGAAGCTGGGTAGTAAACAAAACCTTGACAGAAGACGAAAGGACGTTAAAAAGGACAAAAAGCCACAGCGCTGTAAATACAAGAGTGCTTTTATTGTTTTGGTTCTTGACGTAGCACCGTCACCACCTACTGTAGTGGCGGTAAAAATACTTTGTCAATAATTCGATTCTTGCCCAGTGCTCGTAAACTGGGGCAAGGACAGTCCAGTCCAAATCAGGCTATAACCATAATTGGACTCAACTGTGAATGTGAATGTGCAGATGTACTGGGGTTGCCGACCACTACTTCCTTGCCGTTCCTGTTGCTAGAGTCTCTGGACCTTTTCTGGATAAAACAGAAATCTATGGCCATCAGATTTGATATTTTGATTATCAACATTTATTAAGCAGCTTTGGCGAGACAGATTACCATGGGCCACTGTTGCCATGGAAAAGGATCCAGTCATAGGTGCCAAATAATGCGCTAACAAATTCAAAACACTTTACACAGTGCAGCTGAGAATGAAACACAATGCCAGAATTTGTGAATTAAATTAAAAATGACCCAAATTTTTAGACTAGGCTGGTTCCAGCCAGTATAGAAATATCTTTCTCCCAGTTGAACACTGTACATTATAGTTTTACACCTCTGTTTCGGTTATTGAGTTTAAACAAATAAAAAATGGCGATAAAGACATTAACCTGAAAGCCCATGGTAAAGCACATTTCTCATAATGTCTCTTTGTAATAGCTGAGGTGTAAATGTTTTCATTGTTGATGGATAGAGTCAATCCTCACGCCTCAGTTTCAGGATCCTGGTAGATGTCCAACTCTCGTGGCTTACTGGGGTTAGTGGAAAGACAGGCTCTCTTGTTAACGTCATTACTTTTTCCTACAAAGAGTCCACAGTAGAAAACAGCTCTTGTACACATTTGTCATGATTCGAATCACTCTAGTGTCTAATTGTTGAAATCAGGTGACTGATTTACAGGCAAGGAGGAGGAGGAGGAGGAGGAGGAGTAGTGAGGAAGGCCCTCTCACAGTAATCCTCCATCAGAGTGGAAGGTTTAAGTCTGAGCAGATAAACAATACTTCTCTCTTTCTCTCACGTTTCTCCTCTGCTCAGTGCCTCTCTGCACTCTTCCTGGGATTATTACCACTGGAGCCCGTTTAGTGGTCGTGTGAAGCAATTTGTCGTTACTCTCCTCACACACATACAGCACAAGTGGCAGATTTCTACCTTACAGGTGGCTGAAAACACACCTTAATCCTTCTCCTGATCCTCTCTCCTTAGCTGTAAGATTTGTCTCTTATCTCCGAGGTGAGAAAAAAAGAGAGTTGAGTCTGAAAAGGAGGCGCAGGCGAAAATAATTGTTTTGTCGTCTAACTTTCCTTGTAAATAGTAAAGTGCCTCCTGGATCATATTGGATGACAGGACCATTTCTTCACCCTGCTTCACTCTAATATTTACATTTCATATTTTGATGGTTGGATGGACCCATCAGCTTTAGGGTTAAGAAACTGCTTCTTTTTACAACCAGCACCTTGACTCTTGGAGCAGAGGTTTGACATGCAAGGGTCTATGATGTAATGTAACAGTGAATTCACTTTTACTGCAGAGTTACTCATTGACCATCAAGCATGAAGACGTATATTATCTGATATCCTTCTTCACAACACACTCAGGGGTAACTTGTGGTTTTCTGGCTTTCCTAACCTTGTTGTAGGAGATCCCACTCGTGGTCCCACAAAGACAGTTATTATGAGCGCATCTGCACGGGGCTGTGTTAGCAACATACAACCTCTCCTGATCAGCTCTCAGATCTCCTTGATAAATAAAAGTGATTGATCAGTGGGTGGAGTTTTCTCTTTAAACATATTCTGCTAAAAGGAGCAGGTTATGAATCCGACATGGAAAGAAGCAAACCATCTTTGTAGTACCGAGAACCAAGAGTTAACCATGAAGTTAGATCACTGACTGCAAATCCTGCTTTTTAGTATTACCCAGAGAAAGTACGTTTCATTGAGATTGAGATATATATTTGTATATATCACATTCATCTATCAAGACACCAAATTTCAAGAAATTACAAGCCAGAGCTAGTACCCAAATTGCTTCCTCTGAGGTTCATTTTTCTTGCTGCACTGGAAGCTATTTTACTTTTTATATTTAATCAAGTCCGTGTGTTTGGTATGTCATATCTGAAATGGATTTTCAAACCGAGGCTGGTCCAGTACATGTGACTCATATTAAGTGTAATAAGAATTTTGGCTGGAAACTGCACAAGCCATTTTGGTAAAGTTTGAGTTTTCGGTGTGTCCAGACCGAGACAAGTTATGTCAGAGTAAGAAGACTTAAGATGAAATACAATTCAAAACAACAAACAAAGAGCAGATGTAGATAAATGTAAGGAAATTTCATGAGCGTCAACATGAAAAAATCTATACCTGGATGTACTTGCATTAAATTCACGCAGTTTCCCTTTAAATGGATCCAATCAAACCCTAGATTTAACAGCTCTGCAGATAATTTCAGGTATAGAGAGCTGCATATTTGAACATCTTCACCTCTGATTCTCTTTCCCACAAAAGTTCAAGCCTCATAAATACAGACATTTCGCTAACAGCAGGCCTTGGTCGTGGATCGTATGTTTCTTAGGATCTTAAACCTGTGTTTTACAATCGTGTGCGTCCTCTTCAACACAATGTGACTAATCAAACCTGAGGAGTTTTTCCTGGCAGGCAGAATGCCCCTTTCCACTGATGGAGATTACAGCTCTCCTGTCCTATAACCATTAACCAGGCAGAGAGAGGAGCTGACCTTGACTCGGAGCTTTTTATAGCTCTGTGTCCATCTGAGGCTGCAGGAAGCTGCGGCTCCTGAACGATGCTTTTCATCACATTCATGAAACACTTACTGAAAGCAGCAGTGTGTCGCTGCGGATGGAGGTAGGAAACAAAAGCTGGTTGGACTGTAAAGAATCTAAGGTGAAGACAATTACATTGAAGGCCAATAGTTTACTCCTTTTAGTCCTTTAGTCATGATCTTTAAAGCTTGCCGTCTGCTTTGCCTTCTGCATCGCACCAAACTTTTCCTCTTGCACTCTAGCGTAGAGCGCCACCCCTCCAAAATCAAACCATTTCACTCCTCTCATGCCTTTGTCCTCACCAGAACAACTTGATCGTGTGGAGGAGGGCATGAACAAGGTGAACGCAGACCTGAAGGAGGCCGAGAAAGATTTAAAAGATATAGGACAGTGCTGTGGTCTGATTTGCCCATGTATTAAAAAGTAGGTACCGGCCAGGAGCTCCCAGCTCTTGCCTGTCCAGTGCTGGTGGTGGTAGTGGTGATGTCTGATGTCTCTCTTGTCACAGTCAACGTCTTTTTTTGTCTTTTCTCCTTTGTCTCCCCTTCTCTACTCCCCTCCCCTCCTTCCACCCGCAAATTCTTCCTCCTCTCTTCTCTTCTCATGTGCTTTCGTTCTTTTGCTGGGAAAATGACAATGTGTTGGTAATCAGAGCAACTGGAGCGCATCGAGGAGGGGATGGACCAAATCAATAAGGACATGAAGGATGCAGAAAAGAATTTGAACAATCTAGGACAGTTCTGTGGTCTATGTTCATGTCCCTGTAACAAGTAGGTGCTGCCTGTGTCGCCTGACTGCATGTGTTTCAGTGCCTGCCTTCCTGCCTCTCTACCTGTGCGCCTGCCTCTGGTGTATAGAGCTTGATGAACTGGGGTGTGAGCGGTCGGGCACATAGCTACGGCAACATGTACTCTGAACAGGCACCAGCCTTGCATGCATGCGTGGGAGTGTTTGAAGACTGTGTGCATGCATGATCAACACACACGTTTGCACAGTGCCATTTTATCAGCCGTCATGGCTGCTGACTTCAGAAGCCCTTCATTAAACATTGGATGAGAGATTCTCTTCCAGCAGGTAGCAGCATCCCCTGGGATCTGGGCCACAGGACCCCCTCACCTTCCTGAACCCCACCCTCTCATTTCCCCTCCCTTACTCCCTGCAGCATGACTCTTCATGCTGCATACAAAGTCCAACCAAAGAATCATCAACTAGTTGCCTTCTCCACTACATGACTTACATGAATGTATCACTTTCTCCAATAAAGGAAATAAACTGTACATGTTGATATGTTTTAGGTTTCACTTTAAACTCTAATTTAAGGTTGGATGCACAGTTAAATGTTAAAAAAAAAAAACAGGTTATGATGGTTTTCAATCCACATTAACCCTTGATTTATTTGAAAATAGTTCAGAGAACAAGAAAAACAACTGCAGGAACATCAACTCAGATAAATACCTAACTAAACCCGTTAACACTTTGTGAGCAAATTGTTTAACAACTGCAGAGTAACGCTCCTCTGCTTGAAATTACAAAGAATTTAAAGATTAAAATACCTATGGTACATAATATCATTAAAGGTTCAGACAATGTGGTGGAAAGCAGTGTTAACATTTAACTTTCAAAACTCCTCAGCATTTTTGGAGTGAAGAAAAGGGGGATTCAACACATTGCCCCAGTCTGAACCCTTGTGAACATATTGTTGGCATCAAATTCAAAATAAGCATATTATTATTAGTCTTCTTGGTATTATTTTTAATCAAACAAAGGGTCTAAAAATGATTCACAAACCATCAATGTTTGTATTTGTTAACATTTAACTGTGTTATATGTTTTTTTCAGAATTGGAGTTTGTAATTAAAAACAACATGACATTTCATAAACATGTTACACAGCTAGTGGAATGGAACGGGGTTGTCAAATGAGAAACCTTAGTTTTGTATTTTTTGTTAATGTTTTCTATCTCTCTTGCTGTGGGTTTGATGATACCACTGTTTTGTTTTCAATAGTCAATATGTGACTCGAGCCTGTGACTGGGTAGTTTAACCCATCATAAGAGAAGAAATGAGGCCAGCTGTTATTCAATTATAACCTCATATTTGCTTAAACAAGTATGTTAGTGAACTTAATGCATCATTCAACACTCTGCAAGAATGCAAAATGTTATACAGGCAGTAAAAAATGGCAAATTACAATGCAAGAGAGCGTTAAAGGTGTGGTTTGTAACTCAGATATCTTGCAATTATATCTATATACTTTTCATCGCAATGTCCAAGAAGAAGTGGACTTAAAATTATTCTCTTAGATTGATAGAAAAGTTTAAAATACTTTTTTGCACATTCAGAGTTTTAATGGAAGTGAAGGAAGTATTTATTCAGCCCTTATGTTGAAGCGTCCTGCACCTTTAATGAGGACCGGGTCATTTTTTGTGTAATCAAAATTTGAGATTAGTTCAATATTTAATATCATCAGTTATTGACAGAACGGTACCTCTTAATATTAAACACATACATTTGAATTATACCAACTTTGGTAGGACTGTCAGACTTGAGGTTTTATGAATGTGACCATAACCCTCACCTCTCCTCCCTCAAAAGTGTCCTGTATGATGAAACATCATACAAGAGTGAGGCAAACTTGTTTCCTAGGCACAAACATCATTTCAAAATAAATGTATTTTCTCATTAAAACACTAGTATGAAGGTGGATTTTAAATGCTAGTTTTGCCAAACTCCTGTGTGATCTGTTCACTGGCCCTAAACAGCCAAACTATGGCCGCTGAGTCATGTCTGAGCAAACTACTCTGGAACCAAACATCTACTGTACACAGAGTTCACTCTCAGAGCTATAGAAAACACAAGTGGCTGACAAAAAACAAGACATGAATGGAAATGCCGGTAAATTAGAGTTGGGTTTAAAACATCATGTTATAATTTTTTTTTTGCCTTTTTGTCTTTTATTTTGGAGGTGGGTGAAGGAAACGAGGCCTTAATGCTTTATCAAATGCAGTACAGTGAATTCTCTCGAGATGCGCAATATCTAGATGTCCAGATATCTGATGTTGTAATGGATCAGGCTGTAAATGTGTGTAGAAATCACTTCATGTAGGGTAGGTAGAGGTATTTCTGCAAAGTGGAAGCAGCTTAATAGACTACACTAGGGTTCCAAATACACCAATAGCTGGTAAAATTTTTGTTCCTCTTACAAAATGATGCATCATCAAGTGCTATAATGTGAGCATCTTTGTCATTCATTCCTTTAGCTTCTCTTTATACAGTTCCCAGGTCAGTATGACAGTACTTGGTGGTGCTAAAACTGGCTGCAGCTACTGTTGCTACATATTTATTGGATACATCCTCATTATGATATCTTTTTGTCTGATTTTGTGGGTGGCACATGTTTTGCAGTTCGCATATTGTTTTTATCAGAATCTTTATTATAGTCATTTATTACAAATGATCTAGTTTTCTGAATATCAGCCCGTGATTTACTAGACAGATCTGTATCATGCATCCCTAGAATTCACTGCTGTGCAAGTAAGGTGCAAGTGTCCCCTTTTTGTTTTGTTTTGTTTGGAGGAACAGCTTAAGCAAAACCAAAGAAAATCAAACAGAGATTGAAAATACCATTAAACATTTTTTACTACAGACACAGCTTTTTTTCCCCCAAACAGGGCTCAAACGGATTTCGATTTAAGCAAACATAACTAATCTGTTTTATTTGCTTATCTGTAGGAGCTGGTGTTTCTCAAGATAGTCACGATCTCACTTAGGATTGAAGTCCTTTTTTGACTGTATGGCTGTATATTCAGAGTAGCTCCATCTGGCCCATTTTGGTCCTGCTTCCATTCTGTTTCCATTCGTGATTGTTTTGGGTTCAGATCTTGTCTTTTCTATAGCTCTCAGGTCCTCCCGCTCATACAACACGTGTTATGTAATCCTGTGGTTATGTCATGTGTTCCATCTGATCTAGACGCTTTATATGGCAGCCATGGGTCAAATAGCATGAGGAGAATAATTCTTGCTTGTTGTTGTGAACTTTCTAGAGCAGCTGATGGGTGCAGCTCACCACTGTTGTCTTTTATACACAACTTAACAGCCGTCATAATAATAAGAAGGCTCGTGTATTGTGTGTTATGTTGCCATTAGTGTTGGACTCCACCCATCAGGTTCTCTATGTGCAATAAAACAATGCTAAGAATTACAAATGCCTATTTGACAGTTTTCCTACACTCTTGTGCATCCAGATGAAATGAAGGGCTGTCTTGCATGCAAAATGATCTCTGTTCAACTTTGTTGTTTTTTTTTCTGGGGTTTGATTTTTCCACTATGGTTCTAACTGTTTGGTTTTCTTTTAATAGATACAGCATGTGTCTGATCCTGCTCCTCTTCATCCGTGTCGCCCTACCTGTGTCATGTTTTATGTTTCTACCCTGCATGTCTTCCCAGTCTGCATGTCTCCATGTCCGTGTGTGTCCGTGTCTGGAGTCACATTGTTCCGTTCTGTGTTGTGTGTTTGCTCTACTGTATGTGCTTGTGGGAGGATGTTCCTGGAAAGGAAACACAATGCACATATCGTATGAGCTTATTGTGCTAAGATTCAATTGATCTGCATGTTAGATCAATTATTAACAGACAGACTGCAAATGCATGTATGTATTTTTTAACATACGTGGCTGGCATGTTGCTTTAAGTAGGCTAATTGGCTTAACACTAAATAATGTAGTACATTCAAAAACATATATTAATGTATATGTTTGAATACTGAATTGCTAGAAAACACACCCTGTGCCCATAGGCATACATAAACACATTTACACTCCAACACACAGCCGCTGCATGCACAGATCTACATACGCCTAGTCTTATAAACATCACAAACACGTACAGCACACCAGATACATATAAATAAGCAAATACATACATGAAAACACACACACACCTACACAAGCGCCCACTGCATTAAGTACCCTGGCCCTGACTGAATTGTATGTGTGGTAGGATTAAGGGCGGGGGCCAGGCCTGGGGAGGGAACCAGGATGGAGTGGTGAACAGCCAGCCTGGAGCTCGAGTGGTGGATGAGCGTGAACAGATGGCCATCAGTGGGGGTTTCATCCGCAGGTAAGTGCATGTGTGTGTGTGGAGGTGGTGTGCTTTCTTGTTTCTAATGTCTGCAGAGGTTCTTGCGTGTACGGTTGTGAGTTAGACTGTGAGACCTGTAATTACAGAAAATTATAGAGAGCTAATCCTGGAATAGGTTACCGTTTTGACACTCTGCCATCATAATGGCTGTCAGTATGTGACCCTTGTTTCCATATGATTTGCTGCTATGTTTAGACTCACAGACTGAGAGAACAGACCATCTGTCGCAATAAGTTCTCAGTGTTTAATAAAGGAATGTAACTGTTTTATATTTAGAGGAAAATAATCAACATTGGAGCAACAAATTGTACTGAAAGTTACATATTTTTCCACGTGTTTCCAACAACTTTTGCGTGAGAATTGTCACAATATCACATCAGTCTCAGAGTTTATCATGTGAATATGTATTTTATACATAAACAAGTGAAACAATCCACAATCAGAGAATGAGTTTCACAAAGTCACAGATCATTGTTTTAATCCACTTGCAAGTCTCAGATCTCTCTTGGAGTTCATTTGAGTAAGAGGTCCCAGAATTTGGAACCATTGGATGAAACATTGACATATGACTGAGGTTCTGTAGTCCTAGTTAACTGTGGCTTATTCTCTTTGTACTGCAGCTTTTCTAATCTCCAGAAAGCTGGTGTTTCAGGTTGATGTGAGGAGCTGTCTATGGTACTGAATCTTAACAGAAGCAGAGGCAGTGGGGTTTAAAAGTTTAAGTTATGCCAACAGCTGTAGAGTTACCTATTTTATTTTTCATCGCTGTCAGGCAGACATCTTGAACCTCTAAGACTACTTATTTTCAGGAGGTTAAAATCAGAATTAGACTCTAAGTCAAGGGCATCAAGTTAGAAGACCTGCAGACAGGCATAGAGGGAGATCAATTGTGGTGATTTATGCAAAAATTTAATAAATAAATAAATCATTAGATACAAGGAAATACGAGGTTCCTGCCCTAGCGGCACATATGAATTCTAACTGATCGTGTACTTTGTTTGTAAGACTTGTGCTTTCCATAATTTTCAGTCCATAATTAGTCTACCCCATCCTGTGTCTCTCAGGGTAACAGATGATGCCCGAGAGAACGAGATGGATGAGAACCTCGAGCAGGTGGGCGGTATCATTGGGAATCTGCGTCACATGGCCCTGGACATGGGTCAGGAGATCGACACCCAGAACCGCCAGATCGACAGGATCATGGAGAAGGTACTGTTGAAAAAGCACTGCTATGAAGAAGACGAGCATTGTAACTTTGATTTAGTTTACAAATCACCACTCCAAATTCATTCCAGAAGAAGGTCAGATTAAGTTGGTTCTAAGTAATGATCTAAGTCATGATCAAAGTCAACGTTATTCTCAGAAAAATGTATGCTGTGGTCTGTTTTGTACAATGCATTTGGATTAAAGCCAGCCACTCACAGAGAGCTATAGAAAAGACCTGAATGTAGTTCAGCTAAAATGTTTGGTAAAAGTCAGAGGATGGGAGTTAAAGTGTGTATTGTAAGACCTGTGGTAGTAATCTAGACTCCATGGCAGCTTAACTATAGAGTATTTAGCTGATATTTAACATGGATTACATGCATGGCATTAGGCTGTGAGGCAGCGGATGCAGCGGTGCTGATTTGGAGCAGATTTAGCCCGAGTTTGACACAGTAATGGAGGAGGAAATCTGATTCAGAGCCTATTGGATAAAATCTGGGTGTTAAGCCTCCCAATTGTGATCTTGGTCCATTAGTACAGCAGGTATGTCTTCATTAAAGGATAATTCCGCTTTAATTTACCTTGGCATCTGTCCCTTAAATGTCCTGTGAATTTTATACATGGTGCTTACTCTGATCCCTACACCTCTGATAGAGACATTTAGGACACAAAACATCACCTGAGGCTATTCAAGAAATAATTTTAAAGCATTTTTAACATAAAACATATCAACAACTTGTCTGAGTCCGGCCATGAATAAATGAATATAGCAAGAAGCAGCCTCACACAACTATTATTTACCATTTTCACACAGCAGCCATTGTCCTCTATCGTCACACTGGAGGCGAGAAGCTCAGATAATGTTATGATGTGGTGCTTCTTGACTCCATGTAAACATAGAAAGTTAATCAACTTGGTGCTGGTTCAACACCTCTGGATTCAATGGCAAAAGAAAAGTATCTGGATAATATACTAACTGAACATTTTTTGGAACATTAGACCCAATTTAAAACAACATTAGATAACCCATTAGCAACAGTAACACCACAGCAAGCCTTAGCAGTCAACTGTTGCTTAAATTATCATTATCCACTGATCTGCAGCATGTTAAACCACCAAATAACCGTAGGCTTCTCTTGCTACAGTGATGGCGAATGGGTCATCAAGTGTGTTGATTTCTAAAATTGACCCAATTTCTCTCAGAATCTGTCTTTTAATTACTTCTCTGTTGCTGCTGACTCAAAACAACTTTAATTCTGTGTACACATCCTGATAACTGAATAGTAGCATTTATAAATTGGCCTTTTAATGATATTTGAGCGCCCACTTTAAGGCAAAGGAACACTAGCCACCATGTGAAAACTGAGAAAGCCAAATGCATTGAGTTCTGCATGGTTGCATATAGATAGAGATTTATTCCAATCAGCAACCAGCAGCATTAGAAATTAAGCCGCTGCAAAAAACTGCAATTCCTCCAATGCCCACTTGAGGCCAACTCTAAAACCCAATCATTTCAATGTAAGCCACATGTGAAAACTTTTTTTTTGGTCTTTTTGGCTCATTTCTAGATTCATATAAACTGGCAGAAAGTAATTTTCTTAACATTCAGACTCATGCTGACCTGAATGACATGAATGAGTCACCCAGACACAAATGGCTGCCATACATTGCAAGTGTTGGTTTGATGCGTTGGCTGTGCATGTCTCAAAAAACAAATGCAACATGGATTCAAGGTGCAGAATGTAAATACACAGCAGGGGCGGTCTGGAGGCAGGATGGAGGTGACAGAGTGTACAGCAGCCTGGATCACAAACATGTAACACATATTCACCCATATAATCCCATCAAGCTTGATTTAGTGGCCTTACACACCTCCTACGTCGCTGCAGCTGTTACTTTTTCTGCCTTGATCCCAGCGTTAACATAAGAGTAACCTCCTTTGGTTTACATCCCACACATTCATAAGTTTTACAAGTTTACTGAGCTTTACGGCATGCCATCTGGGGGTCTCTAACAATAAAACACAGAGTCCAGTATATTTACAGTCATGTTCATGTCATATGATTCACATACGTAGATGCAATACTACACAGCAAGTTTATGTCATAACCTGGCTCATGGCTATGAAAAAAAGATGGTTGGAGCACAAGTTACCAAAGTAAATGAGTAATATATTCCCAAATTAGATCAATCAAACTGAAGATACTAATGGATATGAAGTGTGTAAAGTCTGTAAGATCAATGGCATTCATGTGGGAGTGTGAACACACTGTAGTGAGAGGTTAAAGAGTGCACAGACACAAAAGGACTAAAGAAATGGTGCTACGTTGGTTTCCAAGCAACACCAAAAAACACATACAAATGAAACCCCCACACCACACATACATGCAGGGCCATCACTTAAATCTCCTGCCTGGCTTTATATAAGGGGCATAGCAGGTTGACTGACAGGTGGGCATAGTGTAGCTGTTTACTAAGAGGTCAACAGCCCACCTCAACTTCACCTCTTTGCCTGTGCGTAGGTCGGTCTACAGTTAGGTTATATTTTTAACATGGTGACCACCATTGCTGGACTTCATAAAGCCTCTACAGAAATAAATGGGACAATGTGCATTTTTTATATGTTCTTTAGTACATCTTGTTCAATTTTCCAGCTTCTTTCCCATTTTTAAGTAAATTATAGAGTGTGAAATAAACCTAACTCTCCCTCCTAAAAAAGCTCTCAGTATTTCTTTTCAAACAATTTACAAGTGACGTCTCTGTTTTCTTTCAGGCTGATTCCAACAAGACCAGGATTGATGAGGCCAACCAGCGTGCTACGAAGATGTTGGGCAGTGGCTAAACTGCTGCAAGAAGTGCTTTCATCCCTCTCTAACCCCAGTCACCTGAAAGATAACAACACCAACTGTACCCCAACCCCAACACCAACGGCCAGCGCCCACCTCCTACGCTGCAACAGCAGGCGCTGCAAAATCATGCTTTTATTGTGAAACTTGTAGAGGTTTGCACACATGCACATATCATACATCCCTCTGCCCTCATCTCAGCCCCGCCTATCACCCCTCCCTCGCTCCCTCCCTCCCTTGTTGTCAGTGATGTTCTGTGTTGTTGCTCTTTTGATTTTGTTAATAAACGATAGTTCTGTCACTCAGACTCTCTCCACATTGTACATAGTGCTTCTTAAACGTCTTTATTGATCTAGATCATTTGTCCTGTTTTCTTCATCACTCTTTTTTTTAAGTCTATGTGTAATATAAACTGTATGTACACCTTGTTCCAAGATGTTCTTCCCTTATGTCAGTATTCTGCTGTTGTCCATGTCAGAGACACACTGTGTTCATCAGTAAAGATGTTGTAATGCTACATGGTAAAGCCACGGTGACTTGCAGTGAATATAGTGAACATGCAGCCCTCACAGCTTGGTAAAAAGGCCAATGTTTGATTACAAGGTCATTTCTTGTAGAGTTGATTACATAGTGAATATGTAAGTATGCCATATGGATGAAACTATGGCTCTTTGATCTGACTGTTAGTGTATCTTACAAACTCTATTAATAGAGGAGTATTATTGCAATTTGATGCCATGATTGATTGTATGGTATATACACCTTTTCCTCAGGGAGCTAAATCTGACCATTCAAAAGCAAAGGCTGAACATTCAATTGATTTGTTTTAATTCATCAAAACTGCATCATGAGGCTAAGTGTAAGTGCAAATATGTGAGCAGCATAATTGATGGACTACTGAGCATAAACTGAAACAGCTAAACCTGTGAAATGAAAAGAGTTGGAGCATAGCCAGACACCAACAACTTCTGCTAGACTTCTTTACCCACAATTCAACCCTTGCAATATTAAGTCCTGCATAGAGTGTGTTATGCATGTCCATCCGCTGCTAGAAGACACTGAATAATTCATTTATCCAGGCAAAAATATCCTAACATGGCAACCGCATGCTCCATATGTAGGCCACACAGAGGAGAGGCCATATTTATCTGCTATAGTGCCACTCTTTTTGTTTCATGTCTCTTTACCTAATCCAGACTGTGATCATCACTGTAAATTAAAACCTTGGAAAATGCCAATAAAACCATCATAACTGTAGAACCAAACTCTGCTTACTTTCTATTTTTGCAGCACACAACACTGCTTCTAGGTGATATATTGGTCCTGTGCATTATATCAACTCAGCTTTATTCACAAAGGTTGATTAAGAGGACAATTCATGCTTTGATCACCTACCTGAAAGGAGGAGGGAAATTTGGCTGGATGGAGTTTCTGTGTCTGGGTTTTACCCTAAACCATATGCAGTCTCACCTTATTGTTACATAACTGAATGATTGGAAACACAAAACTGACTCCAAAAAAACAAGCTGATGTTTGTGTACTTAATACCTCTTGTAGCGTTTTTGGGCATGTAGCTGATGATGCCAGCTGGAGCATCAAAACACTACTGACAAACTATTAGAGCAAGACTGACAGTAAGATTGTCACTTCCTCTAGATTTTGAATTTAGAAGTAAAAAGATGTGGCAGTTAGAATATGAATTTTTCACTTCCAGACATTTCACTTCTCCTGTGGGTAACTTTGAGTTAAGATCAGTTTTGGCTCCCCCTCTGGACAAAACATTCATTGCTTATCTTGTCCTTTACATACCTAAATCATGTTTTTCCAACATGAATCTCATCCTGCTGCGATTTTACAGTAAAATAGATCATATAATGTGAGGATATTTCATGTCTTAAATTTGTGCATGAGGTAGGTGTTAGCAAAACATTTAAAGAAACATTTAAATTAACTTGCAATTACAGTACAAAAAACATTACTCTTGTCACTAAAGGTCTTGTTTGTTTTTATAAATCATAAAAAGGGATCAATATGATACAAAGTGCATTTCACAAAGATTTCAATAACTCCAAACAGGAGTTTTAAACTCAATTGATTAAAATCTTCCAAAGCAAAGACATGTTTGTTTAATTAAAAAAGACTTTCCAGAGCAAAATATCACATCTGTTTTCATTCTTCATGTCCGTATGTGCTATAGTCTTAATGAGATGAATTATTTAAGATGTTCGAAATATTATTAATTTCTTTTGATTATAAAAAGTTCTTTTTTTTCACAGATATAAAAAAGTTCACTATGTATAACATGTCCAAGTCACATGATCTGGCTCAATACAAGCAAGAAGATCTGCAATCTTACCAAATCAAACCTTAATGACAGTGGCAAAAAAATAAAAATATACAATGCTGAAGTTCTGAAATCACAAGTAAGCATCAATATAATGCTGTGTTTGTTATGACCAGACTAGAATATTCAAGAAAATGTATTATTCTCTAAGTCCCTGCCTAAGAAAGTCAGAGGTCACAGAGCTTATCCCAACCAGTATGTTGCTCTGAAACTGAAATGAAATGGTTACAATAAGCAACATAAACACAGACATGTAAAGTATTAGAGTGTAGCATGCTCACGTGGAAAAAAATAGAGGAGACTGATATGATTGAGAGAGAATGAGACAGGGAGGGACAGAGAAGGAATGATGTGCAGCAGCATATTACACTAATGGACATCTACTGTGGTGCCCTGGGCTTAGGCCGGATTAGAGTTTACCACGTCACTAAGAACGCTCACACACACTCCTACACACATACACACACACACATGCACAACCACTTACACACTTAAACATCCGATACACACAACGCAGTAATCCCTTATACCTTGGTTACAGTCCCTGTGCATGCATGCAGAATGTTTGCATATGCACAAAATTATATGAAATTGATGAATATTCTAGCGATTCAATAAATATGATCTCATGTGGTTTACTAAATAACACATGAATTTCTTCCTGAAATAACACTTTGTGAGTAACTCAGTCTTTTAGCTCCTCACACACAGCACAGGTATTGAAAACATTATTTCCAAACCACTGTGTAAAACCAACTTGTACTCACTGGGGGCCATCAGTGTATTTTCAAACCAAGAGCTCCCCCTGCTGGTATAAATGCCTGCAGCATTTTCTTGTATTGACTGGGACGTTAAAGGGCCATACAGTAAAATCTCAGCCTTTTCTATGACATGAATCCAGCAACTCTATCCTTAGTAGTGCTGATTATTGTCCACAGAAGCTGAGAAAACACTTATTTTCAGTTTCGGTTGCACATTTTAACAAAGGGCCTGTTTAAAAGACCTGGTTGCTTATCAGGCAGCTGGATTCTAAAAAAAGATGCTTTAAAACTGCATCATGGGAAATAGAGGGTGGAGCAATAGGGGGGCATGAGTTATACAAAGGGCATTAAAGTCTGCTTCCTCTGTGACCTACTGTATGTTCCATCATGTGTTCCAAAAATTAACATTTGGAGAACTAATGGTGCAGTGAGAGAGACAAAGGCTCTCGCTTTAAGATGTTTAACAAGTAAATGCTGTAAATCCTTGTATTTGAACCTGTTTTTTTCTGGCATTGCTATGTTTAAACCAATATTGAACTGTCTGCAAGTCGTGTTATAGGTGAGAGGGTAAGATATATGCCATCTTCAAACAAATTGTTTGTTTGTGACCATGATATAAGAATAAGAATAAGAATAAGAATAACTTTATTAATCGCCGAAGGGAAATTCAATTGTCTGTTGTCTCACAGACACCTCAAAGACTTGTGGAGCCCCTGTGCTGCTCATTAATGTCCCAGAAACACAGTTTCCCAGCCTGACAAACTGTGGCCTTCCTGTCAGGTAATCTATGATCCAGGAAACACAGGGAGGATCCACTCCCATATCTGTGAGCTTGTCTTTGTGTATGGTAGGTTGGATGGTGTTGAATGCACTTGAAAAGTCGAAGTACATGATCCTCACATAAACCTCAGGTTCCTCCAGATGAGACAGATGATATGTGCTTTGAGTTAATTATCCTGTATCATAGTGTTGATGTATCATGGTGCTGACTTGTCTCTTTATAAAACAAACTAATTTTACAGTCTCACAATTCAAGCACACATTTGTGGTGCTATTCTAATTACTTTTGATCCGCCTATCAAACTTGTTTTGTTGTATTGTCAGGTAGGCCTACCTGTATATCTCTGAAGTACTTCAGCTCCACATCACCTGAGGATCCCTCTGCTGGACCTGCAGTTTTTTTTCCACTGACACTTTGAGAAGGCTGTATAAGACTATTTGTAAAAATAAAAAATAAAAAATAAATAAAAATCGAAATTGTACTCTATTATTATTATTATTATTATTTGTCTATTATTATTGTTATTTATTTATTGGGTTTTGTTTTTATTTTCATACTGTCATTACTTTTATGTTTATAATCATTTTACTATTTTCTGAAGCACACGGTGACCTTGTCCGGTATTAGCAGCTGTACCAAATAAAATCGCCTTTTATTTTTATCAAAATAACTAAAATGTATCATGTCGCAAATCGATAAGATAAGTTTCCTCCGGGAGATTTCTCCTGAAAACCCGAAACACCTTCAGACAGAGTATCTGAGGTCAAGAAACGGACCAATCAGCAGCTCGAACGTAAAGTGTTCGGCTGTCTCCGTCAATCACGTGACCGTACACTGCCTCCATCGTGACTGTCCGTCCAAACTAGTCTCCCTTCTTAGCACACAGGACGGTTAGCACCATCAGCGGTAACATGTTCCGAGCCGTGTCCCGACTATCAGCCACGGGGGTCCGGAGCTTGGCTCGGTCACGACCCTGCTACTCAGGTAGGACTGTCCTCGGTACCCCCTGTGTGGAGTTTCACAGCTTCAGTTAGAGAGGTTCTGTCAATGGGCTAACTCAGCTAGCCGCTTAGCTTAGCTACAGCTGGCTGTATGTGTATCGGCTAACTTAGGGTGACATTGAATTGTATTTTTGCTTTGCGCTCCTTTTATCCTTGTTCTAATATTAACCTGTATTTCCGTCTTTTATTAAACATTTCAAATGAGGAGGCGCGAAATGAAATGTAGTTAAAAAGCCACGACCTTGTGATGACCCTCCTCAGTTAGTTGAAGAGTGTCAGTCAGCGCAGATTAAACGCAGCTCTTAACAACCAGGAACTGGACATTAACGCTCTTCTCTATCCATGATTTAAACACGTTTACATTAAACCTTAGCCACAGCACTTTTCATGATTATAGACATGGCTACGTTTCACATGTCGAGGCTTTTAATCCTCAAATCTTCCGTATATTTGCCACCTATTATTATGTAAATATGCTGTGTGTACGTGACCTCTCCTTCTTCCTTTGTCAGGGCTTCATCTATTAGTTTACAGTTGATCTATGCTGACTATTTGATGTCTCACAACATTTAATGTCCTTTTTTTTCCCATTTCACCTCAAATCTAATATTGAGTGTTAGTGAGATGTGTTTGGTAAGCGATATAGATAAATTGAGGTTGCAATTGTTGTCTTGTAGACGTTTCCGGTTGGTTTCATTTTTGTATCACATTCAAGGTGCATTGTAAAAGTTGTGTGACTGGTTGCCCATACTACAGACTATTTTAAGAGAATGAAACCAACCTCGTATAATAGAAACCCATGTTGTGAGAGACTGTTAGATGTGATTCACCAGCCCAAAGTGTCAACGGCATCGATGAAGGCAGAGAAGATGAAAATATTTTGCTGTCAAAAGTTACTTCATCAAGGTGCTTTATGACTCACAGCTTTGCATGTTTTTTAAGCGAGATGATCTTCACACACTCAGCTGTTCTCTCACACTCAGTGATTTTTTCTGTTTCGAGACACTCAAGTATTGAAGCATTCACAGCCTTGTTCACATCCTTCAGAAGAAATTCAATTATTTCAATGAAACTTGTCCTCATTCAACAAAACAAAAACACTTGTTTTCTACAAAATGTCACTTCTTTGAAAAAAGGTTCAGTGAAGTCCCAAATTTAGACATAAATCTCTTGTTTGCAGCTCCATTGGCCTCCAGATGTTACTCCCATGGCAAAGTGGAGACAGACGAGGAGTTTGATGCTCGCTGGGTGACTTACTTTAACAAGCCTGACATAGATGCCTGGGAACTGAGGAAAGGTGACCATGAACACTGTTTAATTATTTCTGCTTGTGACTTTACCTCTTTGTTGTTTTGTGGTTGTCCTTTGTGAGTCATCTTGAAGACATTTGGTAAAAACACAGTTTTTTGGAGGTTATAAAATGTTTTTTTGTCCAGATACAAGTAATGTGGTTTAAAATGCTTTCAAGTGCTGCTTTTTCTTTGTGTTTCTGTTTGTATTTACTCTCATAATTGTTCATCCTTTGATATAATATGCTTTATGGTTTGTGCATACTGCAAGGTATGAACACCCTGATTGGGTATGACTTGGTACCTGAGGCCAAGATCCTGGATTCAGCACTTAGAGCTTGCCGGAGACTGAATGATCTGGCCAGCGCCATCCGCATCCTTGAAGCCGTTAAGGTGAGTGCAGTCCCTTCACAAGTCCCCTTGGTATCAATTGTTGATGATTTCCACTGTGACTTCTTCTGACAGACCCTGAGCCTGACTGAGATCTTAGGAAAAGTTTTTCTTTGTCACTGTGCTGCACAGACATCCAAATCAATCATTTTTACACAAGTTGTATTGTGCAAGTGAAAGAGTGCAGTTAATTATCTAATGAGAAACACTGTTGTTTAAAAAACTAATGAGGGTATGAAAAAATGGGGTAATATGTAGAACACCAGTGATTTTATTGTAATTCTTGTGTTTTTGCAGGACAAAGCTGGCCCCCACAAAGAAATCTACCCCTACCTGATGCAGGAGCTCAAACCCACCCTGTCAGAACTGGGCATCTCAACACCAGAGGAGCTGGGCATTGACAAACTATAAGCCGTCTAAAGAGATGATCTCTCATGTCATATATGTCTATATTGTTGATTAAACCCATGCTATCCTGTTGTGTACAAAATGGTACCTAATAAAGTAAACCAGTACTTTAAGCACAACCTAAGTGTTTTTGTTCTAGTTGAGTAGATAATGTAGATTTTGAACAACAGGAAATCACTGTGAATAGTCAAATCAATGTTGGCTGTATTCCTTGTTGTAGTTTGCTGCTCATGTTTCTTGACTGACAGAGATTATGGACTACTTACATGGAATGGGGTCATCATTAATGTTAGTTTGAAAAGGTCTTAAATGTTCACTGTGTGCTAAGGTCTAATGTTTGCAACAAACAACTCATTCCTCTCTGTGTAAATGGCTACAATGATACTCAAAAAGATCATTTACCACTAGATTTGCTCTGTTTATGCTACGGAAGCCAGGAATACATTTACCACATTTGTATGATTAAAAAGCCAAAAAAAAAGAAGGTCCAGTTAAACTGAAACAGATGACCAGATTGTTGTTCTGACACTTTTTTTAGTACAACCTATTCTAATTTCCCAACTCTTTGAGCTGTAGTTGCTCTTCTGTTGGGTCAGCCCACATGGCTAGGGTAGGAACCACCACTGGCTTCATGATTCAAAATTCACACAATACATAAGTCTTGATAACAGATACACATGTTTTAACATTTTGTGATATACTGAATATTGCATTACCATATGTCACAATATATCTCTTTATTATCATCTTTAAAACTGCACACAGTACCAACAAAAGTAAATTTGATCAAATTCTTAGGAGTCAGAGGCTATTTTGTTTTTCTTCCCTGCCATGACCTGTTTTACTCAGCAAAGTCTCACCTTAATGACTTGACATCTAGTTTTTCACTCTGACATCCTCAAAACACAAAAAATATCAAATTGGGATAAAACAGTGTTCTTTTTTTTATCAAAAAAACAACGACAACAACACACAAAACATGGACAAGCATAAAACATCCTCAGAAGCATTTTGAAGGTAGAAAATGTATAATGTGACACATTTGATGGGTAAAAGGCAAATAATTACATTTACTTGTGTTATTGTAATGAAGAAGCTTTTTCAGTAATTTTTTTTTAATTAGGACTTTAGCTTAATTATTTCTTGCCGAAAGTATCCACTGAAAAAAAATAGCTGAAAACACATACACTTTTCAGCAACTGCACAACAGCCAGCTGACTGTATGACTTCTACATTGCAAAATAAAATAAAATACACTTAAATAAAATAAAACCATCTGAAGTGATGTATCCAAATTCAAATTTTATCTCAAGATGTTTGAGGCCAGCTTTTTATCTTCAGAATTACAAAAAGATCTATACTGCATATTCATGGCCTGCTATCCTGAGAGTGAATATTTTACAAAATAGATCAAAGGTTAAATTAAGACGAAAGCAACACACACAACTATTCAAAAGCATTAGTTGAGCTGAGGCAGGTTTTGATTATGAATTTTATTTGTAAATTTATTTTTTTTATCTTTGGCGTCCTTAACAGTTGTATTAACTGTTGTCACAGGACTTGCATTTCCACAGTAAAAGGTTTCTTTTTGTCCACTTGGTGGCAGTATTGGTTAGTCCTACAGTGTTGTTTAGCTTTCTTCATCTCCTTAAACCCTGGTGATGGCCGTAGGTATGTGGATAGGAATTTACAGTCTTTAGCTGACTGCACACAGCTGTGACACCAGCTCAACCAGGAAGTTGTTGTGTGCCATGAACTGTACCTGTTTTGTGTTGTTGATCTTACTGGAAAAAAAAAAAAGAACTAGAGTATGAAGAACTGAAAGTCTTTGGTTTTGGTCTTTCTGTAGTACTGTTCAGATCAACTAGTTAAGACACTTTTTTGACAAATTTAAGCAGCTTTGTAATTATAATGTGATCTGATAATGACATTTTTTACAACCTAATTAAAACAAAGTTAATCAAAATGTTTGTACACAGGTCAACCTAACATTGCCAAACAAACAATAAGCTGAAAAGCTTCTTAAGGAATAAGACCCTTCCCCCAAGAAACAGAAATATTATACACAAAATTATTTGAAGGTGTAATAAAATGTAAGGTAAATTCTTCAAAGGAATTTGAATGATATTGTTTCGGTCTCTAATATAATAAGAATTAAAATAATTTTGACTTATTAATTTGTTAGTCACACTTGGAAAGTTCTTTACACAGTACTCACAGGGTAATGGATGCAATTTGCAGTATTGCATTGACAGTATGTAAACAGTGGAATTGTAGTGCAAAGAAAATTTGTACAGTGCAAAATACAGAACCACATAATAAAAATAACAACAACAACAACAATAATAATAATAATAATAATAATAATAATTATAAGAATTATTCCACTTATTATTATTATTATTATTATTATTATTATTATTATTATAAGTATTATTATTATTATTATTATTATTATTACTATTATTATTTATTTTTTATTTGTATTTTGACATATAAAATAATAATAATAATAATAATAATAATAATAATAATAATAATAATAACAATAAAATAGATAAATAAGAGAAAAAAAAGGTGATTTATTCTTGGATTTAAGCTTAATAGCACATATTTGCGTGCTGTCATGATAAAAGTAACCACGTCATTTATAATAATGTTATATTTCTGTGAATGTATACAAATAATCCCATGTTGAATTTTGAAAGTTTCAGAAAAAAAGGATTTTATTTTGGAACGCCTTTTCCGGAAGTAGTTAATGCTAGCACAGTAGCATACCTAGCTAACAGAAGTGCCTACCAGCTCCCGAAGAAAACACAAAGTCCCGCTCTCAGGTGGGATCCCTGTCGTCATGGCTGTGTTGTGGATTCATTTGTGACAACTAACGCCAAGATGATGAACGACATCATGGAGGAGCCAGAGAAGGACAGCCTGCTGGAGGCTCCGCCGGAGACTCAAGTTTTCTCGGTAATGTCAGAGAGAGCTAGAGGAGCTAAAGCTAACCTGTTTAAAGAAAGTCTGCTTCTTAGCACTTATTCCTGATCACGCAGACTGCTTGGATCGGTCTCGGGGGGCTGAGTTTTCTGTTGTTTTGATAATTTAATGACTGTCAAAATTGTGGCTTTCGATTTAGAGTGACATGATTGAAATACTTATAAGCACGTAAAATTGATTGTCCCTTCCTGTAAACCGCGAGGGATGCTGGGAAATGTATTATTTATTTATATATGACAAAATATACACTCACAGATATATAATACATTATATATAATGACAAAAAACACAGATAATGCTTGAGTTGATTTGAGTTTGTATGTGTCTGCACTTCACTCGTCACTTTAATCCCATCACAACCTTAATGTCACAAGCCTGTTCATGTTATTTCGAGGGCCCGACCGATATGGATTTTTTGGGGCCGATGCCGATAAGGAAAAAAATCGGTTACTGATTAATGGGCCGATTTTTAAATTTTTTTATGAAGTTATAAAACATATATATATATATGTTTTATAACTTGTTTTATAAGTTTTATAACAGACGGCTAAAATTGGCCCTAGTTATTTCCCAAATAAAAACTAAGATTAAGGGGTTACAAGTGAAGACTTAAGCAGATTAAAAACAAGTTTATATCAAATAGTTGCTCTGGTCTGAATGAGTCTGAAGATTTTCATCTATATTTGCATTCTAAGGCACCCAGCAGTGGCACAAGACCTAAAATAACAGATGGAGGAATCCGCCCTGTGGAGAAAAGGGGACCTTACATCATTTCCAGAGCTCCAGCAATCCACCTCAAACTACGTAAGCATTTTTCTGACTCACTGTAATCACAAACAGATTATTTTTAATGCCTGTTTGAGTGTCTGGAATCTTTTCATAATGATCATGTTTTTACACGTGTAACTGAGGTTCATGCTGTTACATGCAACAAACTGTGTCAGTCTTGAATATGCAGCTAATTAGACAGTGTAGCAAGGCACTGATAAGCTAAAAGGAGGTTCACTGCCTGTGTCCGCTGCAAAATGTCATGGCATTTCTATGTTATGAAGTTCAGACTTTCTCATGAAGTGTAAAGGGTACACTCTGTTAGCTTCACATTCCTGCATAAATCAGGACAAAGGTTATGGTCCGAGAGTATTTCTGCACTGGTGAAAGGTATAGATCTGCAGAGTCTGTCATGTGAGACTGAGAAGATTCACAGCCAAAATGCAAGACTTGTTTATGTGATTTTTTTTCCTCTGCATGCTTTATATGTTCACAATCAGGAAATAAAAAAGGGAAACAGAACAAGCACTGAAATGTTGTTACATTTCCGCCATCTTATTTAGTCTGTGGTTTCAGTAATGTCCGTCTTTACAAAGGAATTCATGGTTAATCAACAGTGTCATGAGGGCATGTAGTCAATGCAATTTGAAAAAAAAAGGATACATTATCTTTTGTTTTCATGGACATTTGGTGTTATTGTTATGCAATATGATGAATTCAAATAATTTATAGAAGAAAGGTTTGGTGATCAGAATCTGAGTTGAACCTGTGTACCCCACACATCCCTATTCAGGGTCTACATTCACCACAAATTATAGGAAATTTGTGATTGATTGTTTTTACCTCGGCAAAGGGAATAAGAGTTTAACAACTTTCCAAAGTCAGGAATGTCCCTCTTTCTCGGATATGGCTTAGGAGAGCTCCAAGGTTGCTGCAAGCATTTTAACCAGAGGCAATTGATGGGACTAACATTAATACACATTCCAGTCCATATTAAGTTGTGTTATGAAACAACCTTAAGCTTCTTTTACAATGTTGACTGAAACCTTGCATGACAAATTGAATCAGAAATGAAGTATGACCTAACATAGCGAGACTGGACCACAATAACTGAGTAGGCCATCATACCAACAATAAATTAGCAAATAGGCAAAAATATGGGCAAATGTTAGATTTGGATACAAGTTTTTTTAAGGTGTTAAGTTTTCATCTCAGTAGCCTTCAGATTTCCCTTTGCTTTAACTGTTTTGCAATCAGTCCTAATCAGCACAAGCTTTGGTCTTATCACTGACAGAAAAACACAGGGAGATGGCGAGGAAGGCCCTGAAAAAGAAAGCCCTCTCACCTGGACCGCCTGTGATGCATCAGCCCCGACAAGGTGCTAAAAGGTGAGGAAAGGGGGAAGAAGGCTCTTTGATATGTTAATAATCAGCATAATGTAGGGAAAGATAAGCCTGTATGACTGTTTCTGGCTCTCTTTTAGGACAGTGAAGTATAACAAGGGCTACGCTGCTCTGAGTCAGCACGCTGAGGACAGTTTGGTCGCACTGGACACAGACAGGTAAGGCTACACCAGATGTACACGTGGTAACATTGCTGAATTAATTCTTTATGCAGTGGGGCTGTTAGGTTGCTGGACTTGCGAACTTTGATACAACACTGTAAAAAAAAATCATACTCAACACTCCTTTTGATACCCCAGAAAGAAATGACTCTATGAAGTCAAATGAGGTTGTTTTTTTCTTTGTTGCTGCTTTTACACTGTGTAACTCACCACCAACCTACACCTACATGATATTATGTTACTGGCATCACATCTGCATCAGCATTCAAAACATAATACAGTCTAAAACAACTATCCACATTTGACTGAATTTGATTGGTATCTTACTTTGTGTATATTTTAAACCTTACTAGTTACCTTAAATTTTTCCCATCTCGTATGGCTGGGCGAAAAAAACCCAAAGCCCCATGTGGCAACATTTTATTCAGCCAAACACATAATGCATTTGTCTACACTATTTGCTAAAAAAATCATTTAGGTTTGGCAATTTTGTCTCATATTGTTAGTACTGTAAAACTATTTTAACAAAAGCAAAAACAGAAGAAACAAAAACTAAACTACAACCAGAATTTTCAAATGGCCCTCCCCATAAAGGTTATTTTCACTAACGTGTATGAACTTCTCTGTACACATCTGTCACATGAAGCTCTGCAAAAATGTGTCTTGCACCCATAGCCTACACCCAACAGGAACTCTGCAAATTTTAGTTGAAGGTCAACATTTTACTGATTTTTAGAGAGAAACTCATCCCAGGGGGTTTATCCAAACGACTCCAAATTTGTGTGCCGTGTAATGGACATGTAGAAGATTAAAAGTTGTTTAAAGCTTTCCATCTCGTCAGTGGGTGTGAATGTGGCATTTCTTCATAGATAAGCATGAAACAGGAAGTAGTTTTTATCTCAGCCATGTATTCTTCATTCTGACCCAAAAGAGCCCAGGTCTGAACACTTTGATGGTGATGTTTCATCTCAGTGGCCATTGGAAATATCATGTTTGACTCAATGACTTGAAACCCCAAGACCATTGAACATATCTGCATACTTTTTGAGCTGCGAATTATGATTGCGGTATAATTCTCATAATGAAATTTTAACTGTTCTAGCGCAGTCCCATCTAAACACAAGTGCACAATACTTCCTGTGCTAGCAAAGGAGTAACTACGTCCATTTGAGCACTTTCAAATCCTATCTAGATGACGGAATTTCCCTCAACTTTCTCCTGGTACATCCCAAAACCTTGTGCCCTCTCACCCAAAGACAACAAAAGTGGACACCAAAGGCTGTTGCCTTGGCGGCATTGTATTTGCTGTCAAACAGGCAAATACAATGCCACAGCCGTCCACAGCCCAACGGTGACATGTATTTTGCAAAGGTGCGCAAAGGTGCAAGGGCCCGCTCAATGCTGCTTGCAGCTGTAATTCAAAATTATAAACATTAACTCCTGATGCCATTCCTCGTTATAGTTTGGCTCTATTGTCCCTGCATGTGTCCTTTCAACATATTTTAGTTGTTTTCTTTAGAGTGACAGAACTTGTCTTTCTTGTCTTAACAGTGATGAAGAGATCGATTTCGAGCAGTATTCCTCAGGATACTCTTCAGCTGAGGTGAGTTTGCCTTCTTTACCATCTTTACATGCTCAGTTATCTCACAGTGATGTGGATGTCCAAAAGTGTTTTATTTTGGCCCCCCACATCATCTTTTTATTTGTTATTCCAGCCTGGGATGCAGTTTTTATTTCTCTTTTTGTCTTTGTGGCTCTTGGCAGCAGCACACACGCTTGAACACTTAACTTTCACCTTGCACAACTCCTACGATAAGATCAAACATTCAGACCAGAGACAAGACTTTGCTTGTGTCTGTTTGCCTTTATACTTTATGTTTGAGTAGTCCATACTGACTGCCTGAGGATGTGTTTTATTTTCACCTGTTGTTTTTCGTCTCACACACTGAGCCTGGGGCTGTTTCTCGAGCGCAGATATGTAGCCCGGGTTGTTTCCTCTGCCTTCAAGCAGAACCTAAACCCTGTCCTTCTTGTTTTTTCACATTTTAGCGGAGAAACACTAGAAGTTTCATCATAACTATGATGCATCTGACTAGTTTAATCATGTGAAACCAAAGTTAGTTCATAGGTGGTCAGAGTTGTGAATCGCCATCAGCGATTTTTATCAGTGCATTATGTTTGAACAGCTTTGGTTTCAGGTGATTTAAGGGAAAGGTGCTTCTTCAGGGGGCTTTTGCTGTTACTGGGAACCATCAGCAGAGGATGTGAGCACAAGTGGCTACCTTATTTGAACCCCAAAGCCACTCAGATTATACATCGCTGTCCCTTTATAGCTAATATGCTCCATTGCCCAGAATTTAAAGAATTTGTCATTTAGTTTCAAATGCCTAGAACTATTGGGTTAGCTCATAACAAAATTACTCGGGTAAAAATAAAAACATTTTTTTTTATTACATTGTGATTCTATGATAAATTTTACTGTCGCTGCGCAAGTAAGAGAATTGAGAGCATTCTGATTTTGAAGACATTCATTCATCATTCATTAAACTGAGATATTTAATGTCCTGTTTGCTGAAGGTGACTTGAGTTAGCGCTGCTTCAGAGAGTAGAAGCTCAACTTAAGCTAAACTTTGTGTGTCATGGTTGTCACTCTTCAGGTTCATCCTGACTTAAGCAAGCAGCTGCTTCAGGACGGCTACCGCTTGGATGAGATTCCCGATGATGAGGACCTGGACCTGATTCCGCCCAAAGCCATGGGCTCCTCTGTGTGCTGCTGCTCCGAGGGCCCGTCCTGCTCCATGCAGTGATGCTGGCATCGTGACTCAAACTCTAGCTAGCTCTGGCTCCAGTTCCTGTTTCTGACTTTTGTCACTGCTGCCTGAGGCCTTCTTTCTGAGCCAGCTACACCGCTGTGCTGCCTGAGGACTTCCAGCCGTGAAGCCCAACTCCTGTTCAAGCAGGACCGCCTGCACCGAGATCACTCGACCCACATGACAACACGAGGAACATAAGAACAAGCCTTATCCACTGTGACCCCAAAGTTCATGCATTTTTTTAATTTCTCTCTACTGTTGTCGTCTTATTGAACTACATGAAAAGTTTAATACTAAGAGAGGGGCAGCGAAGATTAGTGTTGGGGAGACACTGTGTCCTTTTTGACCCAAGCAGACCTGGATACTCTTCTCTGCTCTAGTGAACTGGTCTGCAGCCCTACACTTACGGTGTATTATGATTTAATGTTACAGCCATTTGGCAGGTATTCATCAACTGTGATATGTGGACATTTCATTTCACCGTTGACTTCCCCTGACTGGTGTTGCATTAACCGGCTCTTTTGTAGTCGTCCTTTTTTTTTTTTTTTTTTATAATTTTTCTGATTTTACTGTGTCCATCTTAAATGTGACGTCAAACTTTCATTCCAAAGTTAACTTGGCAGTCTATTTCGCTGACTTGAAATAGACTGCACAGTGTAGTGTTTGAATTAAAACCTTTGTTTATGGTAGGTGTCAAAAAGTTTTGCACGTCTTTCGGTCAAACAGCAGAAAATAAGGAGTAATAGAAAAACCTGGTCTTGGTTTATCTTCCACTGGTTCTATGTTGTTTTTTTACATCCTGTCAGGGAAGACAGAGAAGCTCATTTTGTTTCACATGTTCTCACTGAGCAGATTGCGACACACTAAGGAGGACTCGCCCAAACTTGGCTTGTTGAAGTTACACTTTGAGACAAACGCAAATTGAGAAGTTGTTGCAAAAACTCGTCAGCAGTTCGAAAAGTAAAACTTGCACTGATTGGATGTTACACTGCTGCTTATTGCACAAGATTTACACAGATGAGTTACTGAAGAGCTTTCATAGAAGGACCAATGGAATCTGATTAGATAAGATAGATTTATACGACATTCCAGATTCAAATGTACACCAAATTTTACAAAAGCTTTACAAGGAGACTGTAGACTCCAAAGTGAATTGTGGTATAGATACCCACAGAAGTCAGCTTGAATTATTTGTTAATTTGGCTTCTTTTTTAATGATGATCTTAGGGATTGAAAAGAGTTTGTTAACATCTTTATAATGATTATTATAATGGTTTATTTTTCAAGATTAATTAGTATATTTTGGACAAAAACCATGTCCAGAATCAGATATAACTCCAAAAAAAGGAAGCCTCATCTAATTAACAAGTGAAAGATTAGCATAGATTAAAGTTATAGTATATTTATTTTTTTTATTTATTGTTATATTTTTGAAACCTAAAAATGGTTGTACCAAGTTGAATATAGTACCCTCAGTAAAAGCTAGACTGAAGGATTTGTCTAGTCATATTCATGAACATTATTGATAATTATTTTCATCTTTTTGTTCTCATTTTCTCCAAAAATGGCCATCTCAAGTCTTAAGGAGATATTAAATGTTATGTCTTTGTCACTTTTTTATTCATTGCATTTATTCACATGTGTTACTGGAATATACTTTATGATTAATTGTTGGTTTTATTGTTGGCTGCATATACAAAAGAAGGTCCTCAGCACAGCAAATTACATTTATGACATTATCAGGAGACTGTTTTTTAAGGCTACCCAGAAAACTAATATTCCCTTCAAAAGCAATTGATAAGTCAAATTCAAATGCACTGCTGTTAAAGTGCATAGAAGTTGTAAGGCAGGATCTGCTTTGTTACTTCCCTGCTGGTCACACTGTTTTTTTTAGGCTGTGATGTTAGTTGTTAAAAAGCGTAACTCATTCATCTCCAGTAAATATTACTGCAGACCCCGTGTCCCACATCAAATAGTAAAAAAAAAAAACTGCGCAGTGACGTTTTGTGCAAAATTAAGTCAGACTGTTGATCTTACTTCACAAAGTCAGGTTGAAGGCTCAAAGTTGTTCTGCCATAAACGTGTGATGCATCCATTGTCCTGTTGGCGCTCTACTGGCTGTATCAGGGAGTCTGAGGAGAAACTCTGATTGACCACACAGGCTAACACACCAGTTGTGAGTCACTTCACATCCTGAGTGTGAGGTAAATGCTTTAAACGTCACAGCTGGATATAAAGTGTGTTGGCTTTGGCCTTGGCTCTGCAACGTGTTTTTATCTACACTAATATTGCACTTGACACCAGTGGTCAGTAGCAAGTACACTTGATTCCCCTGTACTATGCAACTGTTGGGACAATCTGCTTGTGATATGACATTGTGATGATTTAGTGTTATTGAGTGCTAAATGCAATAACTTATAAAGTTACACTAGGCTTTTTTATTTGATTAAAATGTTTATTGGTTTACAATATTAAATAAAACTATTATATATAATTGTGTGTGCTTGACTGTTCTTATTTTGAATTAATTGAAGTGGTGTTTATGCAAAGAGAACAGGTTTTCTTCCAGGATTGCCCTGTATTTAGCTCCATCCATCCTCCCATCAACTCTGACCAGCTTCTCTGTCCTCGCTGAAGAAAAGCATCCCCACAGCATGAAACTGCCACCACCATGTTTCACAGTTGGGATGGTGTGTTCAGGGTGATGAGCAGTGTTACTTTTCCGCCACACATAGCGCTTTGCATTCAGGCCAAAAAGTTCAACTTTGGTCTCATCTGACCAGAGCACCTTCTTCCACATGTTTGCTGTATTCCCTACATGTCTTGTAGCCAACTGCAAACGGGACTTTTTATGTCTTTCTGTCAACAATGGCTTTCTTCTTCTTGCCACTCTTCTATGAAGGCCAGATTTGCGGAGTACATGACTTATAGTTGTCCTCCGGTGGACAGATTCTCCCACCTGAGCTGTGGATTTCTGCAGCTCCTCCAGAGTGACCATGGGCCTCTTGGCTGCCTCTCTCACCAGTGCTCTCCTTGCTTGGTCTGTCAGTTTAGGTGGACGGCCATGTCTTGGTAGGTTAGCAGTTGTGGCATACTTCTTCCATTTTTGGATGATGGATTGAACAGTGCTCCTTGAGATGTTCAAAGCTTTGGATATTCTTTTATAACTTAACCCTGCTCTAAACTGCTCCACAACTTTTCCCCTGACCTGTCTGGTGAGTTCCTTGGTCTCCATGATGCTCTTTGTTGACTAGTATTCTCTAACAAAGCACTGAGGCCTTCACACAACAGTTGTATTTATGCTGATACTAAATTACACACAGGTGGACTCTATTAACTAATTAGCTGACTTCTGAAGGCAATTCATTGCACTGCATATAATTTAGGGGTATCAGAGTACAGGGGGGCTGAATACAAATGCACATCACGCTTTTCAGATTTTTATTTGTTTAAATTTTTGAAAACCATGTATCATTTTCATTACACTTCACAATTATGTGCTACTTTGTGTTGGTCTATGACAAAAAATCTCAATAAAATACTTTTAAGTTTGTGGTTGTAGAGTGACAAAATGTGAAAAAGTTCAAGGGGTATGAATACTTTTTCAAGGCACTGTATCTATAGCCAACACATGTAATAAAATTAATTGTTAAATATAGTACCCTGGGAGAATGATTGACAACAGAAGAAGAATGGGAAAACATTTGCACTAAATTTTGAAAATGGACAAGCTTCTTTTTTTGGAGGGAGTTTTCCTGGACACTTTATTTAACATACATCAGAACACCCAAAACTCAATCAGAATACAGTACAAACACTTCTTTCCAGTAAAAGAAGAACTAAAATTAATAAATGTATTCTTTCTTTAGGTTTCCAGCGCTAATTGTAAGGAAATCTCCCAAGCACTGTCCCTCATATTAGACAAATACTTGTATGGAATCTAAAAAACAACAGTGATTAAACAGATTACAGAGACTGGCTAACACCAACCGCAGCACAATGATCTAAATGCAAAGATACCATGGAAGGAATGATGTATAGAATAAGGATTTAATGTGCTGTTTTTGAGCCATTATGGAAAATATAAATACTCATATAACATAGAAACTTAAATAAAAATAAAGAAAGCAGAGGTGAATTTAAGGAAGAAACAGACAGTAAGAACATAGACATGAAAAAATAGGAGAAAAAATGTTGCTAATGTTATTTTCAGCCCATTTGTACCCTAATGTTCATCAGAGTTTTTATGTACATGATCATGCCAAATTACTCCATTCTGCACTCATTGTCACTGTTTTGTGCTTAACTCTTAAAACAATGTTAGTTGAATGCACCTCAGTTATTATTGCTGATGGACGCTTGCATTGTTACCAGTGTAACTGTGAAATTTAAATGATCCAATTTAAAATGCAACAGAATTGAATTTTTTAGAACTCACCCATGAGGGGAATAGAAAGAAATACCAGGCCCATTAGAAAAGAAGACTTTTTTGCCTCTGTCTTTTTTGAATAACCAGCAGTATCCATGTTTGCACAGAATATGAACAGATTGGTATTTGTGTCCTCCTTTTTCTCTGCATTCTTTGCACTGTGGGCTGAAGAGAACTGTTCTTTTCGAGTACTTTCTATGTACCACACATATGGCAGGAATTAAGAAAACCTTTTATTTATTTATTCTTTTATGCTTGTGCACATTCCCCCAGTATCCCCCCAAAAGTATCACAAAATATATTTTGAAAAGTATCTTTGATCGAAGGTTGGTATTAAACTACACAGATGTGCTGTCTAACGCAGGGGGGCAGCAGAGAGCTTTGAAGCGCTTCACAGCACACCTCATTGCAGTTCAATAACAGGTACTCTCCACCACGAGGTTTTGTCAAATTTGATTTGTGTTGCTTAATACTTACAGTCATGTCATGAAAAATGCAAATCGTTTGTGAAATAGTTGATATATCACGTGTTTAAAGTATTTGAAAAACTTACAGGTTTGCAACATTTTTCAGTTCCCTGGAATTTCCAATCTGAGTTTAATTAAAAAAATAATAATATTAAAAAAAGCCTGCAAATAGTATTGTTCAGAAGACTGCCTTTTTAAAATTATTTGTTTATGTTTTTTTAAAAACTTTAAATGCATTTGTGGTCTTGTCTTTTTTTATTGAGGTTATGGCGTTGACTCGTACCCGTGTCGATTTACGTTCAGGCGCTTTTAAGATGTGACATTACACCATACTAATGAAGAAAAGGACATGGGTGAAGAAATGAATAATTGACAGGTAAAACTACTTTATAAGAGTGTAACGAGACTGAAAAGGCAGAGAGACTTGTTGCTGTGTGCTGGGCGGGCCTAAACGCTGTTGTGCGCCATGCGGGGGGTGTCAATTGAAGGGGAGGAAAAAAAAACGACTGAAGGGAGTTACCTCAGCGCTCTGCGAGATATGAGATCTGGCCATTTTCCAGGCGTCCCCCCTCTCTATTAAAGAAGAAAATCAGGAAAATCAGAGGGGAAAGAGAGACAGAAACACAGCCACATTTGCAAAAGGTCGCCCTGAAGAGAGATTATAGCGCCTTTCTGCGGGCGGATCAGTCGGAGTGAATCTAACGTGCATGCACAGTATTTCTACCCTCGTGCGCGCGCGTGTGTGTGTGTGTTTACAAGTGTTTGAACGAGTGCCAGAAACGAGGGAAGAAGGAGGATAAAGCCAAGGAAGGAGGGATGGTGGACAATTCAGGCAGCAGTAAGGCACAAATGGTGAGTCGTGGTCTTGCTCGGAGTGTCTCTTCGTGTCTCAGATCCGTCACGAGTGAAAAAAAATCGTAGTTTGACCGCGTTTTATTTACGGAAAGAGTAAGCAAGCTGAACGCTGACGCCACACTTTCCTTAAAAAAAAGAAGAAAAAAAAACTTGAGTTTCTTTTGCTCCTATGGTAGGTTACTTTTTTACTTAATTTTCAGCCCTACGGTAACTCTGTTAAGCGCTTTTGTAAAAATGGTCAATGTTTATGGAGTAGTTTTGCCTGTTTCCTAAAATGTATAATGCTAACGTTATATCCACGTATTATGAGGATGTGGCAGCAGCAAAAAGCGGAAAAGGGTGCATTTCATTTGTACAATCTTAACTTCTTATCACGAGTGGTTATTCGTCCTAAAAGGGTGACCGAAGTTTAACCTTTAGTCTTAGCTCGTCAATAGTAAAGTTTATCCTTTTTTTGTGGAACCACTAGTTTTAAATGCTGTACTTAGTTGTGACCATTTTACAGTCCCAGCTAGAAGTGGAGCTGAACATTTGGCCCCTGCTTGGTTGAAAGTGTGATTACATTTATTCATGAAAATCTCTAAAGGCCATGTTCTGTAATACAAGAACTAATGGTTCATCTGAGATTAAAAAAGCAAATGTATTATGTTTAAAAATACAACACTTAAAGAAGGATAAATGACAATGCCAAAATAAAGATAGTTTGATTCTAATGTAATTGGATTTAGAATTAGGGTCAACAGATGATTGCCCTGGCAGATTATTGAGGGCCGATTTTCGATATTTGGCTGGTTATCTGTGTCAGTGTTTAATTGTACTGATCCCTGATAACAGTCAGTTAAAATGTGTGCTACTTTGGCTCTTTTGCAGGTGAATCTATTCCTGTAGGTCTGTTTTCACTCACCACCCTTTTCACCTTATGTCCCGCCATCAACTACTGACACTTTTTCTCGAGTGAAGAATCCGAGCACTTGTACAACTGGTTGATATGTACATAAACTGTAAAACGTGTATATTTTTCAGAGGTAAAACTCACCTTTGTTGGTTTTATACATACTAATCTATAATCATTTTCTGATGGAATAGTCTTTTTTATTTTGATGACAGGCTCACGTTCTGAAATTTGACAGAAAAATTGTCACTTTGAATGTTAACATATAACAGTACCAAATATCAGTTATTAGTCCTGTGAACTTGGAATAATCAGCGCCAGTATGGGCCCTTACAAAAAGTATCAGTATCAGTATCAATTAGGGTTTAAATAAAACTTTACAATAAGATATAGATTGACTTTTGCAAACAACCCGTTCTCATTACATGTAAACTACATATCATCACAGTTGATCATGTGGGATGGCAGGTACCTTTATGAAATACTTCAACCATGTTTCTCAGGCAGTACATTATTATGTCCAAACCTCGTCAGACAACATTCTCAGGGAGCCATGGTTCAAATAAAGGTGACAAATGTTGGTCAGTGGCCAGCAAAATGTCGACAACCTTGATGGCATACTTTAAAGGTTTGAACTTGCAAAGCTGCCAAAAAGCAAATCAATTAAACAACGTGATGGATACTAGACATAGTGTCACATAACCTCTGCCAGAACCTCTCAAGTTTAGGACACTGTGCAGTTTATGTGGGGACATATGGAGTTCACGCAGAGTTGAGTCATGTTTTAAATTCTTGTATCATAAAGTGATTGTCTAATTTTTTAATATTGATTGCACATTGAATATTTACTCCCTTAATCTGCAAACATGTTTTTGAGGATTGCTTCAGTCCATTTTACTTTGAGAAGACTTTTGCTTTGAAGCAGGTCTGGTATTAGTGCTGCATTTAAAGGTTTACATATCTTTTCTACTTCAGATTCTCTTACAAAAGGTCTGGTGTTTGTGTAATTTATTAAATTGAGGGATTAAGACACAAAGAAAAACGAGATATGCTGTACTTTATATCACCAAATTGAAATCAAATTTGTTGTTGTGCTGAAAGTTTTCTAACTTTTTTCTTAGTTTCTCAAAAATGTACATGGCGCAAGATAAACACTGCAGGTTTTGACTGTATAAACTTGAAGTAGATGTTATTGCTGAATAATCTGTTTTTGTGAGAGCTCATGTTTAAATCAGACCCCTCATTCAGATAGGGAAGGGGGGGTTTAGAGGCATAGGATGAAAGGGTCATTACATTTTTGATGTGCGATAGAATTTCCCTGACTCTTTTTCTTCCTCCCACAGCCCAGCATGTCTCAGGAGTCTGGTGTGGCCTTTCCTCAGAGCACCTCTACAGGGGGGATGAAGCTGGAGGCAGTAATGGAGCAGCTCCAGCGCCAGCAGCAGGCCAGACTGGAAATGGAGCGCAAGGAGAGGAAGCTGCGAGAGGCCCACATCATGTATGCTCAGCAAGTTGCTGCCCAGCAGGCTATCCTGGCGGCCGCTCGGGCCTCTGGGGCCAGCTTCATGGGCAAAGGCCTTCCTGTAGGGGTCCCAGGTGGCGGGCTGCCTCCCCGGGTTTCCAATCAGAGCAGCGTGGACTCGGAGAGAGAAGATGACGAGGACAGGGGCCGGGATTCTGGGGATGAGGATGAAGACAATGAGATGATGGAGGGGGATGAAGGAAGTGATGAAGATGAGGGCAGTGCCAGTGGTCTAGAGTTCCTCCGTAAGCAGACCCTCGCTTTGCAGCAGAGCGCCTCCCGTATCCCAGCTCGTCCGTACGGCAGTTACTCAGCATCCGCCCCCCAGAGGGCTGCATCCCCACCTATCAGAGTGAAACAGGAACCTGATGAGGGTCTGTCTCCGGCGGGGCCTCACTCCGCTACTTCACCTAACGGACAGGCTGACTGGGGCTTTGATGATCACTTCAGACAGGTTAGTACTCTGCCCCGCTCTGGTGCCGCACCGTTCCTTTATATCAGACTAGTTCTGGGTTCAGGCAGCGATGCTTTCAGACATTGACCTCAACAAAAAAGTTCCTCGACCCAGGCTGGCACTCTCCCTTCATGAAGCCTACTCTGTGTGTAAAGACGTTAAGTCGTAACATCACTAGGTTTTTCGTGACTCAGCATTGAGCCAAATAATGAAATGTCTTAGTCATTGTGTCTCCTGGGGAGGTAAGCCTTTCCCACTCTCACCCTCTTCCACTCTCCTGTTGAGTGTTTTGTTGGATATCTCAGTGCAGCCCCCCTGCTGTGAGTGACTGCTTAATCTTGACTGTTGGACAAACCTCTCCAGCTGTATCTTTGTGAGACACTTCAAATCTCTGTGGATGGTTGACCGCTGATTGGCTTTTGTGGCTTCAAAATCCTCCTAAGTGAGTCCTGGCAGCAGGCCAGGTTGGGGCGCAATGTGTTCACACTCACTGCTTCTCTCCTTCTGCGCTCACACTGTGTGTGTGTTTGTGTGTGTGTGTGTGTCTTGTTCTCTGTCCCTCTTGGCGCTCAGCTCAGGCTCTGGTTTGGCTCGGATCCAGGTAGCGGAGTCAGGAGGGGCAGGGCATGCCGCTGTGAGGCTGTGGGTGGTTGGCTGGGTCAGCACGAGGATTTTGGGTGGGTGGGAAGGTTAGATGTAGTACACCACGGTAGCAACCCGCCGTCACACCCCCGCCATCCCAAGAGTTTCGGCTGTGTGCCAAGTGCACTTTCCCTTGAAGGTAAATATTGCCTCAGCACAGTGTTACAGGACGCAGGAATGCCAACTGGGAGCCGAGCCGAGCTACATGTGGTTTGGCATCATAGCTTGGGAAATAGCAAGTTACAGAGAGCTCAGCAGCCTGCAGGTGATATAAAAAGCACTCGTTGCACAAGAGTGGGCAGTGACAGAGGACATATCTGAGCTTGATCAGTGGGCTGAGGGTGCTGGACTATCATGTGTCTGGGTTTTATTACTGGCTATTTAAAGGCAAATGTCATTGAATGGCTCTCCCTTGGACCCGTTTCCAAATTTAGTGAAGGCAGTAGCTTACAGACAACAGGAGGAGGAGACATAGAAGTAGGAGTGGTTTTTAAAAAATGATCAAAGATTTAGTAGATGATTAAAAATCTCACTCCGTGTGATGTGAACATCCTATAAAGTAGAGTGTCTCTTCATTGTTTGGTCTGCTTATTGTGTCCAGAGGTGTCAGAAACACTGGAGGATTGTCATTGTGTGAGTTGGCCCAGGCTTTGTCTGAACATTGGCTGAACAGAAGATCACAGCAGCAAAGTTGTAGCTGACCAGGGCCATATCTGTGGCCTGGTGTCTTTTATTAGGAGGGGAGAGGCGGGCTGGGCCTGGGGGTTGGGGGAGGCATTATGGGACGAGAATTGGTCTGGCCTTTTTTTGTTTCCTCTCTTTTATCTTTCCTGTCATTATGTCAGCTCTGCAGTATTTAATGACGGCTCATCTCTTCAGGCAGTTTCAGGTTGCACCGCTGTAGGGGGAGGGGTACAGTGGAGGGGAGGTAGGGGAACTGTTTTTTTTTTTTTCTTTTTTTTGATGTCATTGTCTTTGAGAGGCCAGAGACAAGCCTGGCAGATGCCACAAATACCGACCTCTGCAATAATAAGGGGAGCACATTTATTATCTTCTAAAAGCAGTGGCAGGGAGGAGATTGGATGACTGGCCTGGAAAGACTAATGTACCCATTAATGCAGCCATTCACATCAACATTTCTTTGAGCTCATCTCATATATATTAGAGGCTCTTTCCCAAAGTGATCTGTGACTGAGACACTGGTATGCTCTTGAGCTCTAGCTGATAAGAGTGACAAGTTTGATTCCTGATTTCATCCAGAGCAGTTTACAAAGAGAGAGACAGGGTTATAACTATGGCTGGCCCCAAAATAGTTAACCAAACTCTCAGTTGATGTAAAAAGTCTTGATTGGACCAGTTATTGATCAGTTGGTGGCTCTTAAGTTTGAGTAAGTGGTTGTCAACTTTGAATCCTTTAAATTGTTGCCATGCACAGTCACAGTGAACTACAGTTATAGTTTTGTAAGCTGATTTTAGGAGTCTAGTGTCCTCGTACCAGTCTATAAGCAATAGGCAGGAAAAGCATTGATTACATTAGATATTCCATAGTTCTGTTTTACTAAAGCATTAAGATAACAATCTCCCTTAAACTTTTTCACAATGTGATACCCAAACAGCACAAGGCATCTTGTCGTGGGTTGTGTTTTAGCATGGTCTTCATCAAGAAAATGACGCTAAAGTTGTGTTAAGGTTGGCATATGACCACTTGACCTGAGAAAAGTGTCCCAAACACACACATTTCATTATTGTCCTGAGGACTAAGAGTGGGTGGTGCTGGCTCTGCTAGTGGAAGCCCCACTTGGCAAACCATTTGACATTGTTTACTTACAGACTTTGAGATCTGGTGTGAAGACATGTTGGAGGAATTGTGTTCAATGCTGACTGTTTTATGAGTTTTTTTCCTTGTTTTTGGTCTGGACAGTTAGTTTGGATTTAAACTGAGACTGGCGTAGTAACTTACTATGATTGTTACAGCACTCTTGTGGAATTGCAAAGTGAGGGGCTTGTGACATTTACATTGAGGCGTAAAAGTCTTTAACTAAGAAGGCTTATTTCTTGTGACCTTCATGAGCTAGTGAGCTAATATTTGTAGCAGCCCAGAGAGGAGCTAAAGCCAGCTGAGTTAGCCTAGAGAAGCTTGTAGTTTCCTAGCCAAATCAGTCACCTTAATGTTTTTGACTTATGTAGAGTCATGGCTCCTTTTGCCATTTGCACTATTGTAAACAGGTTGTTGTTTCTAATACTCAGGCTCTTAATCATGGCTCTTTATTCCCCCCAAAAAACATCACAATGTTTAACATTGATTCTTAAATCATGTTTCTACTGCTTTGTACCTCGAGCCATTCTCTCATGCCCTAAAACAGGTGAATCATTTAATTGATTCTTATAGTTTCATGGACTTGAAAAGCAAGTTGAGTTTAACTTGAACTGAAACTACTCGTCTGTCAGGATTTCAGTGAGGGACAGCCTTTGTTTAACACAGTGTTACCTTGAGTGATGGCTCATGCTCACTCTCCACTTATTGGTTGGTTAGCTAGTTAGCAGTCATGAGCTTTGCTAAAGCCAATTGAATCCATCCCAAACAAGCTTCATGAGGGTTGTACTGCCCCAGCAAATGTTTTCTCAGTCAGACTTGGGCAAAAATGGGCTAAAGATAACTAATGGAGTACAGCCCTGATGATGTTTATTTGTGGGTTTATCATCATTCAAGCAGCTGCCTGTGATGACTGCACTTAAAGCGATATAATGGGTGGAACATGAGTCATACACAGCAGTATAAGAACAAACAGCCAGTACGTACATCTACATGTCGTAACAAGGTAATGTTCAGGTCTATGTCTCTGCCTCACCCAGCAACAACACTTGACTGACAACTCTTTGATTAGTCCTTGTTGTTGTGCTGTAATCCTCACTTCTCTAGTGTATCTGAGTTTGAAGGGCCGGTACAGGTCAGATAGGGGGTGGACAGGCGCGGATAGCCAGTGTTTTTATGTCAGTGATGTATGCGTGGTGACCTCGGCCCTGTCCTAAACAGCAGAGTAAATAATTGTCAAACAAGGGGATGGACAAAGGCGTCGCGTGGTGGGAGAGAGCAGGGCGGGCAGCAGGCCAGCCTCAGCACTGTGGCCTCCGCCGCAGTGGGACAGAGGCTGCGTGACCCCTGTAATCCACCCCCCACCCTTTCCGCTCACACATACACACTTGTCCGTAGACCCCTCTGTTCCTTGTGATAATCTCCCCTGTGATTAATGGAGTTTTAATCATGCCAGCAGAACACACATTGCGTCACGTGTTGAAGTATATTAGTGGTGGCACTGCTCCAGTTGCATCAGCTGGATGTTGTACAAAAAAAGATGTGGTGTGGCGTGCCACAGGTGGTGAGTGAGTTAGTGAGGTGGCCTTTGTTCTTGAGATTTACAAGTTTTACGTTTGCTGTTTTCTGTTTGTTCCTGTGCACCTTCTGACAAATGAGACAAAGTGGAGTCAGCCAACAGAGCATGTCTACATTTGCATTGCTGTGATCACAGAGCGGAGAGATGACAAGGCTGCGAGAGAGACAGGTCTTCTCTCTTCATATTGCAGGACTGAAGACAGACTCTTCCTGTAAGTTGTGTCTGGCAGGCATTTAAACAGGCATCAAGTCAATTCAGTTGAATCTACATTTCTTGGTAGAGCTGCTTCTTTGGAGACACCAGTGCCCAAAAATGCCTTTTATACAGTATGTTGTTAAATATGTTCTAAACAAAACGCTATCAGTCTCAAGATTTCCTGACTGCCTTTAACCCATGATCAGGCATCCATTAAGAAAAACATTTTAAGGTTGATTTCTGTTTCTCTCAAAGACAGACCCCATGGAGTTTGTGTTTTACCTCATGTGTTATTTTGTCAAACCTGCGACCTGTAAACTGCGAGTGAATCTCAGGAAAAGAGAGGAGGAGGGTGTTCATACCATTTCAAGTAAGTCAGCGTAAAGCCGAAGTGTAACTTAATACAGTTACTACTAGTTAAACATCCATCTCTCCCCTGTCCAACTTAATTGCAAATCCAGGATTTCAATTCAAAGTCAAGAAGGGCAAATTAAAATCTGAGATTTTGTTATCAGGTCACGTAGCCCAGCCTTAGGTTATATATTTAGCGGGCTTGATTGCAAGGGGTTAGATAATAACCTTCTGCAGCCTGATTGGATTTGTGGTTTGACATTTGGGACGCAGAGACGTGTAAATCTAGGAATGCTCCAAATCTGGAAAAGCAGGAGGGTGTTATTTCAGAAGTAAATCATTGCAGAGACACTGAGGGCTGCATTAGCCACAGAGAAAAATGTCGGCCAACCAAGGCAAGAAGACCACAGTAGTCCAAATCTGGTTTCTGGGGGTAACTGGACATCTGTTGCTGCTGAGCCCCTACATGATTTGCTGTCCCTGATCCCATCCTCTGCTGCCCAGGCACCAAAGCCTGTCTGTTGAGCCGGCACTGTTGCATAATTTAACTGTCGCCCCAGCAACACATCAGCCAGGAAGTGGGGAGCTGCACGGCTGCAGCGCAGAGATCAATAAGGATTGTGTGTGAGCTTTTAGAGGCAGGAATGTTTGGCCTCATTTATGGTTCATTTATGATAGATGAGGAGGACATTGTATTCAGCAAATGGACTCAAGTTGGACTCATTTTGACAGAGGAATGTGGAACAACTCTTCACTGGTTATCAGGCGATCACTGCAGGGTTGTTGGGAAGGCTGCTGGATGTGTGAGAATCATACAATAGTATCGCCATGTGTCTAAGTAGTTACTCAGTGGGAGTCTGGAGGCCTCAGTGCCTGGTGTGCTTGCTGCACACGCAATTCTGACCTGGTTCCAGCTTTCTTAATGTAATGTTGATGTCTAACATGCCATAACTATCAGTGGGTTTCAAATGGTGTACTTAGTCTTATTCTGTTTACTGGACTTCCTGTAATGCTGATGTAATAAGGATGGAATTACCGTCTGACCCCTGCTTGTACAAACCGCCTGCAAATGGAGGTCACTCAGATTAGAAATAATGAGCGAGGCCGAGGTCCATTAAAACATGTGGCAGTGATTTCACAGGACAACAGGCTTGACTTTAATGTGTAAGACCAGTATTCAGCATTAAGCACAGTGACTCTGATTTATTAGTATCAATATAAAAACGCGTTTGACCTTTCTAAGAATCAGGGTATGTTTCTGCAATGAAGGATCAAATCAAATGGTTAACCTCATAACATGTTGGTTATTTCTCGTTGCTTTAGCGAAGTACAACCATGAACTAAAACTGTTTCATGAAATTTATAAATGTGTCCCTGTCAGTTGTCCCTGTGCTGCCATGACAACTGTTTAAGCATAAATATTTACACCAAGTGTGAACAGATGCTTGTGAAGACATCTTTGCTGAGCTTTTGATTCTCTTTCTTCACTCTCTGATGTTTCTATTCATCCAGTTTTGTGCTTTCACATCTGCTCACCCAAATATCTCACAAAAATTTGACTGTAGGGCAGTTCAAAAAAAAAAGTTGGGGTTAAGTTGGAGCAAAAGTTTTGTCTGATTATGTTGCACGTGCAGTTGGCTCCAAGAATGTTGTGAAGGTATGAGGAGGAGTTACGAGGTGTGAGTACAGTGTAAGGTTTTAATAATGGGAAAAGACTGGGCGGCTGTAAATGGAGGGATAGTAGTAAGCCAGTGTGGACATCAAATCCAACTCTAATGGTTACATAGTTCTCAATCAGTGTTGTTTTCATTGACGGAAATATTTCTTAAACATAAGTCTTAGATGACTAAAATGTGACAAGACGAGACACAACTAGACGAAAACGTTAGTGGTGGACGACAAACAGAGTTGCAAAATTCATGAGCATTTCGTCAGTCAAACGCTAAACATATATTCTGCAGTGTTGTTTTCGTTGACAATGACGTTGACAAAAACAACACTGTTCTCAATCTTATGACCTTAGACAAATAGCTGCTCAAGTATGTTTATAGTTCTTCACATTAATATCTACTCTAAAATCACACAAAGCTTGGCTAGAGGGGTTAGCATTTTTATTTACTATTTGGTAAAAATTCAGTTATCCTCAGACTGAGCCTGAAATTGATTGATTTAATCTGCTGTAGCCAAAGAAGAGCGTAAAGTGGTTTATTTACTGTTTGTTCTACAGAAATCATAATCAAATAATTGATTAAGCTCGAATAAATCCTTTAGTTTCCTTTATAAATGAATCCCTTATCGACATTGTCTTGAACATATTGAGGCATTTTTCTTCATTTCATCCTGTGAATGTAAACCTCTTTTATTCCCAGCTGGGGTCTTTGTCATCTGGATGACTTCATGACTGCTAAATCATATTACTATTGGCTCTTCTGATAAATTGCCTGGGCACTAAATGGTTAAGCTAATTTCCCAAATTGTCTCCTTGGCTACAGGACAATAGAGAAGCCAACAAATGGTTCTTGATTTTAGTTTTATTTTAATCTCATTTGGAGGGAAACTCATCAGTATGTTTTTTAGATGAATCACCATATATCTTTTTGTTGTTTAAACCAAACCTCAATTTCTCCAGATGTGGGGACAGAATTAAAATTTTACAGTCAGTCAAAGATAACAATGTCAGATGGGGGTGGAGAGGCAAACTCCCTGAAGGTTGGTTCTGGTGGTCCAGCATGTTTTCACGGTCCTGGGTGAGGTGTGATGTTTATGCTCTTTGATATGGTGCGTTGCTGTGGTATTTTTCGGTTTATGTTTGTAGTTCAATGCTGTGTGAATGTTGCTGTGCCTCATTTGAAAACCACCCTCAGCTGGTTGAGTCGAATGAAGGGGACCCAGCTCTTAAATCTGGATTCTTTTTTTAGTGGCATTTTTCTGATTGATGCTACACTCTGCTTAATGTAGCCTGACTGTTATGGCTGCGGTTGAATTTGCGTCAGTATGGAAACAAATAAAGACCTATAACTGCACTCTTACTCCTGCTTAATTATATTTTGCACTTCCATTTTCCAGTAAAGTTCATGTGGAGACAACGCAGGAACATACAGTATGTCTTCATTTAAATCGTCTGCCTTATGTACAAATAGGAACATATAGAAACTCAAAGGTTGAGTCATAAAATTTCTCCTTCTAACCATAAAATTTGTTATCTTAGTATCACTTCAAATAGCACAACTGATGATCACATTATAGAGGTTTTCATGGCCTTTCATTCCCACTGAGTGAATAGCATTTGTTGTATTTCTGAATGAATTTTATGTTTCCATTATTGTATACTCGCAAGGATGCATTAATGAAATAGAGCTGCAGGATATTTATCCTTTCTGCAATGTCTGTTGAAATATGAAAACGTAGAGGAATTCAAACAGGATGTATGTTGTGTACTTTAAGTACTTGGGGACATTTAAAATGACAACAACACAATTATTACTGCTATTTATAATTTGTTTCTCTTAGTGTACTTTCTGCGGTCTTAGTCAGTTTGTGTTGATGTTATGCGTCATCTGTGTTTTAAGCCCCTGTTGTTATGAAAACTCTGTCGTCTTTAGCTAATTCTTTTTATATCACTATGATGTTCTCGCACTGAGAGCGAAGATGCTAAAAGTGAACACTCTTGTTAGTGTAGCAGTCTATATGTGTGCCCACAATGTTATCAAACACCGAAACGAGTAGGATGACACTGTCAAATCCATCTCACTTATTTCAGCACTTTCTTGGTGTCTTTGACGGTTGTAGCGTTGCAGCGTGCACGATATTTGAACTCTGTGGCCATGTGACACAGAGATACAGATACTGCCTGCCTGCAGAGCGGTCAGTCTGTATGTTTATAAATGAGAAGCTGCATTAAAGTGACTGCAGATAGACGTTTTTGTTGGATTAGTCCTGGGAAGTGGTTAATTTGAACAAAACAACCATCAACTCAAGTATAAAGATATTGTTGATATTTATTGTTGAAGTTACATTGGTCTGATTTTCTTGAAATGTTTGGTCACACTAAGTATAAAGAGGTTACAGTCCTCAGAGCAGTGGCCCAGGGTTCATTTTCCACACTTGGCCCCTCGTCACATGTCATTTCCGTCTGTCTCTCCTGTTTCCGACTCTAATCATTATCCTGTCCGTCAATAAAGGTGCAAAAGACACAAAAAAATAATAGATGAAGGATTCAGTATGTTGCCCTTCTGGAAAGATTTTAGCGCATCTTAGATATTACATTATAACCCTCTGACAAGATAAGTAATGTATCACTGCATTCTTGCAAAGAAAAAGCCTCAACAGCAATGTTTACAATGATTTTATGCCAATTTGTGTTGATATTTGGCACAGCGGTGCTGGCTCAGATGACCTGAACTTGCCTGGAGGAGATGTTGAAGTTAAGGGTTTTTGTTACATTAGTGTGGATGGCAAACATCCATTAAAGACCCTAAAATGTGAGTGTGGGTGGGAAATTTTTCACATGCCAGTGGCATTTTCAGATTTACTGGATTACTGCGCTGTAGTCAAGGTGTAATCGCGCTGGCACAGACTCAAGTCTTATTTTGTGCTGACCTGCTCTTAACAGCCAAGTGTGGACGATTCCTCCCGCCCAGAAATAGAGGTATTGAATTTAGTAGGGAGATGAAGGGGGGGAGAGAGGGGGAGGAGATGCAGTTGAAGGGTTAGTGGTCTGGTTGAACACACTACACTGCCCCACCCAGAGGAAACATTCCAGACGGAATTAAAGAGTTAACTCTTCAAACAGTGAACATTCCCACCGGGGGCTCCCAACAAGAGACAGGGGGCTTGATGGGGGTGGGTGGGTGCTTGTCCATGTCGTAGTCAGGCCCCTGATTGGTGATCTTTCAATTCATTTCACTCAGTGTCGCAGGGGCTGTAAAAGAAAAAAGCCAAAGGGCCTGAATGGGAGGAGCTGGATGGGAGGGCCCGCTGGTGCAGGCAGAAACACTTTTTTTATTTGTCTGAGTCCCAAAGGGCACATCTGCTGCTGGCAGACGGGAGGAGACTTCCCATGGAGGGTCCAGTCCCCACACCTTGGACACACCGAGACCTGGTCAAGCACGGGAAGTATTTGGCAGTGTCTTGTCTGTCATGATGACTCTGCCGTCCACACACAGAGGACCTCCAGATGTGGACAGTGTTTGGTTATTCATTCATGGATTCATAGACTTTAATCCATCAGAATGAAGAATGATTAACAATAATACTTACATTTTTACTCCACACTGTTAATATGGCTTAAATATAAGCCACAAAAACGCATCACGTTGAGAATCCTTGGAACAAGTGTCTTTAAAAATTATATATATGTTTAAAAATGTGGTTACACTTCACCCAAAAGCCTGTTTCCGTAATCAGTCCAACGTGTCTGTGTGTAATTCAGAAAGATAGCTGTTATGATGGGGTGGATGTCTATAAGCAGTCGACTGCTGACATGTTTGGATTAAGTTTCATCCTTTAGAGTTCCTCCATAATAAAGTCAAAAACTGTGTAAAACAACACTAATGTAGATGAAAGAGGTTACCGATCGATAAGATGAAATAATACACTATGATATTGTATTATTGTAAGCGGATTAAGTGACACAAAGAATGGCTATACAAAACAGTAGATGTGAAATTTTACTCTAAAATTAAAACTGAGACTTTTTTTTTTTTCATAAAATCAGGACAGCTTATGCTGCATTTATATTTTTCACAGTTATTGTAACATTTAACATCAGAGTACTACTTTTCATGTAGTCTGGGCAATCAAAGTTAATTTGTCTCAAGGTTGCCAAACACTTTTCGAAAGCACATGCTTCAAAGTGAGACAAACTCCTTTAGTTTTATATTTGATAGAATCCAAAAAGAACCGTGCCAGGAGTGAAGAGAGAGCAGCACCACATGGGGGGGAAATGGAGAAACAGGAGAAATGGGACGATACTATTATCTGATTGTGTCCAGTAGACTGGAAACACTTCAGAGGACCTAGGAAAACACACCTTTGGATTTTGTTTGTTTGCGAGCTTCTTCCTGTGCGCCGAGGGTGTGACTCTGCTCTGTTCTCAGTCACAGCTGAAGCTCTCACAAAGCCCCAGGACAACATAAACTGTGTTAATTCGCAGGTTCACAAATACCATGTATCAGGTCCTTCTCTCAACAACATATTTATGTTAATCACAGAGAAACTGACCGCTGTATCTGTTGTTGAGTTAAAAAAGAGAAAAAAAATCCAAATTTATTAATATATAAGTTGATGTAAGCCTGTAAAACCAGTCCCATGTTGTGTCTATGCTGTAGTTCAACCACCTGTATCTACCTGGGGCTGTAGTTCTTACTAATGGCTCCTGTCACAATGTTATAATTCTCTAACTGATTGCATTTTTGTACCTGCGCAGTTGGCAGATACTTTTACCTGTAGACTACAGATAGAGTTGAATGAATGCTGTGTGTGATTAATCTAGCATCTAAGACTGGTGGTGCTAGCTCTGCTAACATTTGCCCCTTGGTTTCCAATTTGACATTATTTATGCACAGATTTTATGACCCACCCACTCCCATTTTTTAAAGCTTTATTAGGTCATTGGTTCTCAAGTCCAGTCTTCGAGGCCCACTGTCCTGCATGTTTTGGATGTTTCCCTGCTCCAACACACCTGATTCAAATGATCAGCTCGTTATTAAGCTCTGTAATGGCTTAATAACGAGCTAATCATTTGAATCAGGTGTGTTAGAGCAGGTAAACATCCTAAACAAGCAGGACAGTGACTTGAGAACCACTGTATTAGATCAACTCTGCATAGTTTGAATTGCTTTCTGATCCATGGAGTGGTCCAGTAAAGTCAGAATTTAAAGTTTTGTCTAAGCAACCTGGAAATTAACTGCTTTGGAACATCCCCAGTGACCATCCTAGTTTGCCTGTTATGTTGAAATAAATTTGGACACGAATAAGAAATGCAGATTCATTATTTTTTAATTTTTTGATATCACAAAAACAAAATCATTTAAGTAATCAAATCCATCAGTATTTTTTTCAAACCCTAGTCCGTCCCTCCTCTTAGAGTCCACCGTCCTCAGTCTCTAAAAGACATTTGCGTTTCCCAACAGACCGTCTCAGTTTACTTTGCGAAGTGTGGCTACCTGTAAAGAGCACCAGGTCTCTCTCTTCGTCCTCTTGTGTTGTAGGTGTCTGGCTTTTAGCTGAAGTCATCGCCCCTGCAACAACATGCAAATTACTTTTTGGATGACCCCTCATGCGCATCGCCGCTGAGGCCCACTCTGCTTGTCTCCATTTAATTGAATTGAAAGGCAAAAGTTCTCACATTTGCATGCAAATGGTGATTGTCCATTAGAGTTGTCACACTTTTTTTTCCCAAATCGACCCTGGAGGATTGACTTCCTCGCTTCTAATGGAAACTGAGCTACTGATGCCTGCTGTAATTTGATCAGTTGGTAGTGAAACCACAAGCCCCCTCCCCACACCATGGCCGGTTCCATTCGTCCTTTACAGCCACTCCTACTCAGCATATCTCAACACCTGCTCTTTAATGAAGGCAAACAGAGCGAAGGGAATAGCCAAATGAAACAAAGACGTCCACCCTTTGGCAGCTGCAGTGAAATAGAGACAAGGTCACATGACACTGTTGAGCAAAGTCTCCTTGAGTTTTATATAGGCTGACTGCATATAGTGACATACAGTACACATGTGTATAGACTACTGTTCACACTGTGTGCTTCAGTGACCCTTGGCACAGAATGTGAGGTCCTGCTGTCCTTGTAACATGTATGCTCTCTTATATATTGTGTATTCAGTTTCTTTCTATCTTTGCACCAACGCTCACGTGATCCTTTCTTTGCATGTACTTTGTTTTTTTTTTAAGTCATTTAAAATGTAAAACATATTTTGCCTGGCCCTCCCAGCATGAATACTTGTTATGCTAAGTTTCAAGCTCAAAGTTGCACCATCTTTTCATGTTAATTGTCATCCGGATATTTTACAAGAATATATTCCTTTAGGTTGTCCTAATGTGTCCTTTGCTGCTTTGTGCTCCATACTACTTAATGTCTTCAAATGTCATGTAACCATTAACTAGAGCTACAGCTTCCCCAGTACTGGCATGTGGCTACAGCTTAGACAGAAAATCAGGGGGGAGGCTGATCTTTATCTGTATCAGCCTTTTTATTTCACAGGTGGTCCATAAAGTAAGTTAAAGAAAGTGGGCTGCTTTGGCTCTGCTGCACCACTTATCTCACTCAATGTCCCACCCACACCACTATCTGATTGGCTAGACGTCACCTGACAAGTGTGATGAAACTTTAAGTGTAACTGGTGAACTGTTGAAAGTTTGATATAAAGTTTAGTCATTATCACTGTCAATACATAACAGTTGCAAATATTGGTTATTGGTCTCCCATATTGGTCAATCCCTACAACCTATAACTGGCATTATCTGGCATTTTGTCAACATGATGCAGATCACTAAAGAGGATGTTCAACCATTAAGTCAACTACCGGGCCCCCAAGAATAAATACAAGACCTGCATTCTTGTTTGTCTATACATTTACCTGAGTTTTAGTTTTATTGAAGAAGCAACATTTTTCAAATGTAAAATGGTGGAACCAAAAAACTGTTCAATGACTTTGCCTGAAAATGGTTCTCCATAATAATCTGTTGACTTAATGTTCAGCTCAAACCAAATCCAAACACTATCCCCAGTCTAGTTTAAATGGTTCAAGAAGAGGTTCTGAATAATGATAGAGTTAAGATTGGATATAGATTGAGATGTCCAGTTCAAGATCTCAATTTAAAGGCCTTTTCAAAAATTGTTTCCATTTAAATATACTGTAGGTTGTGTTGTATGAGAAACCTTCCATAGCACACAATTTATGGTCAAGTCCTTGTTACAGCCACACACTTCTCCAACAGGCAGATTGCGGTGATAAAGTAAAGATAATGGTTTGGGTTGATTATGGCTTCTGGCCTCTGTATTTCTCCTTGTTGAAAGGGCTGAGCAGTGTGGAGGTGGAGAGGGAGAGCCGTCTATTGTTAGAGGATTTCTTGACAGTCTTCTGCTGCTGCTTTGGCTGAGATCCAGTCTAGTGTCAGGGGCCTGAAGGTGCTAACTGGGCCACTGTGTCAAGGCCCTTGGGTAAACACAGCAGCTGGCTGGGACCTTCCACAAAGCAATGCAGCGGAGGAGGCTTTCCTTTCACTTTAGCCTGCCTACTTTTCAGTCTGCACGGTCATGGAGCTGTCTGCCAAAATCCCATGTAGTTTATAGTAGCATGTGGCCAGGTTGTTTGTCTGCCAAGTCTTCAAACACAAGTTGAGCGTAATCATGTGCTTGTAAGAGGGAGAGCCGGCAGAGGAGGAAGGAAGAAAAAGAGCTCTTGGCTGCAGCCCAGGAAACGTCACATTACACTAAAAGCAATGTGTTCACAGCTCAGCTTCCAACATTTACATCCTATGCAAAGGGCAGTGAATCCTCCAGAGCTGCTCACTTCCTGGTGCACAGTCATTACAAGATAGAAACAGTTACCGGTGCGTCTGTGAAACCAAAATCTGGTAATCCTGAATTCTGTGCAAGCATGAAGCACATTTTTACTAGCAAGAGCAAAGTCATGTCTCTAATGTAGTGATCAACTGACACACTTCAATGAAAAACAGACATTATCAATTAGTTATCTTGATTGAAAAATGTAAATATATTAGTGTCTGCATCAAAGTATTTTGTCATGTATTCAGAGGTGAAAAGATAATTGAGGTTAGCGATTCATCGTGGTTTGTTGCAGCTTCTGCCACCTAACACTGCAGGCTGTCTTATCGTCTTTCTCCAGTTAATGCCTGATACCATGAAAACTTTGATTTGAATAACCCTTTCTGATTAACATCAGTATGGTAACCAGCAGCACACATATTGTCAACCTCATCTCTAGAGAATCGAAAGACGTGTACTCAATAATTTCAGACAGAAAAAAAAGAAAAAAAACACATCATGTTCTGACCTGTAGCTAATCTGGTTAATAGACAATCACGCTGTGAAAAGCACTATGGACCATGTGAACTGCAGTCAATAATTTCAAAAGCCATGTTAGTAAATGATTAAAGAGTGGCACAGAAAATTGAATTATTAACATCAGGGGCTACAGTGCATGCAGGTTATTATAAGAGCTTAATGTGGAGGCTGGGGGGTTTATCAGCGGTGCCGCTCCATTGTTTGGTTTCCTTCCTTGCGGTGGAGTCTGAAGTGTCAAATGTTTCCCTTGCTCTTTTTAATGTGACAGCAGGAATGCAGCTTAACCTCTTTCAGTTTGATCACAGCAGATATTGTTTGTCACTTAAGTCTGTAATGTAGAAAACAAATGTTGAATCCCAAAGCTGTTCCCCAACAAACATCCTCATATTATTTAGGAAATGGTTCAAAAAGGTTTGTGGCAGATTTGGGATGCCCCAACCCCCAGCGGAGCCAACCTTGATTAGCCAGCCATCTGGTCAAACAAAGACATCTCAGGTTTTCCTGCCCTAAATAAATGTGATTAGAAAACCTGAGGAAGCTCTTTCAGCTCTGGGAGGATGTGTGGTCTGCTTGAAAGGACTGGTAGTAACACCAACACTTGATAGCATGGACAAAATCTTACACATTTGAAGGTCATGTTCTGTATACTTTCTTGTCATGCAGAATCAAATGTTGTATTTTTAATCAGCCAGCGCTCAAAGTGCATTCATTTCCACAGTAAAGATATTTCAAACAAAGCCAGCAGTCATGTGTTAAGTGGTGAATAGGCATGTACTAATGCATGTGTGCACTTTACACATTAAGTGCAAAGGCCGATAAGAACATCAAATGAGGTACTTCTGTTTTATGTAGACAGCAAAGTTCAGGAATATATTTTCTTGGATCAGTAATAGCCTATGAAAAGCTTTATAGCACCACAGGAGCAGAATAACACATAAGTGAGTGAATGTGAACCATGCACTGTGCAAACACCTGCTTACCTGTAAATCTGTCATTGGAAACTCAAATGTCTTTACATTTATTGGATGTACTATTCTGGGTATGTGCTTTTGCGGCTGCTGTATTACATTCTGTACATTCTGTTTGCTCCCTTATCTATATCATATTCCCTGCTGCTGCAACCAGCCAATTTCCCCATGAGAATCATTACACTTTTATCTAATCTGATGACATACACCGGACCTCTGTGATGTCTGTTTATGGACTGCATTTAAGTGGGCTCTCTATCTTGAGGATGTCAACAATTAAAATATCTACTTTGACTGAACATAATAATTTACCTGCCAAATATAATTTCCTCTGAACCTGTTCATAAAGTAAAGTGACTGATAGATCGTATAACCTGATCTGAGTTTCCAAACCTGGTTAGGTAGGCTAATGGGGGGGCTATTCTGTTATATAAGATACAATGCATGTTAATGATTAATCGATGATTGATTAATCGCAGTGAAGATTATGTTTTACCTGACAATGCACAAACGGCACAGCAGTGTTTCTGTGTAGTTTGCAGTGTTTGAGCAGAAAAAAAGCACTATGATGTAAGTTTTCCATAAAGCGGGGATTGCACAAAAAAGGTGAAGAAGACCGTAACCTCTTTACTGTGGTGCTTTACTGTCTTTATAGCATTTCCCTCTTGAAGTATTTGAGTGAACTTGTTACATTTTTCACCAACATGAAAACATTTGCAGGTCACAATTTTATTTTAATTGTACAACGTGTAAAAATGGGAATACTTTTATTCCTTTGCTCACCCTTTTTAATCAGTGAAGCAACAGTGGCCTTTGAGAGCAAGATCCTCTATTTCTCAGGTTTTTACCACCAAAAAAATCGATCAGTACAAGTTTCTTGACCAACAACCATTTTTCCTTATCATCAATATGAATACATAAACATTGACATTACCAGCTATTTGTGTCGGCCTCTATAGAAGACAACCTAAAAGCTCATTCCAAATCAACAAAAATAAAATATTTTTGTATTTAGATGATAAAATACCAACTTTAACGTTTTCATGATGATAATATTGCATTTATACCAGGTGTGCACCTTTAAATGTCAAAGTTGCATATGTTTGTATGAAAGTGTAGTGGAGTAAAGAGCTTCTTTATGTGTCCATTGTCATGAAGCACCATAGCTTGTTTTCTCTGCTAACCAACTATCATCAGCCAGTCCGTGTCTCTTATGCATTATTCGAAGTCTAAATTAACTATTGCATGTAGTATTTAGGTAAAAGATCAGAATTGGCATAAACTCAAGTAAGATGATTGAACAATTTAGGGTCTATTGCTGTGTTCCAGTTACCGCTGAAGTCAGATTTTGCACCTGTGAATGACATTATACCCGAGTTGACGGTGTTCCAGTAAACAAGTCGGTAAACCAAGATGGACGCCTACAGTTAGCGGTTGTTAGCTGTTGTTGACAATTGTCAGCTGTCATTAGCCGTTGTTAGTTGTTGGTAGCTGTTGTTGGCTATACCAGTTGTACCAATGCATAACACAGTATTTCACTCAAAATTCAAACACCATAGCACCGTGTTCACAGTTGGATGTTCGGCAGTACAACATATACATATAATTTTCCTCAGCTTTCATTGTTATTCTTTATTGTTGATGCACTGCGCTGCCATCTTGGATTTTGACCTTGTCGCCACACCGGAGTTGGTGTGTATTGTCTGACTTTCTGAGTCAGAAATCCGACTTCAGGGGGGCGTTCCAGATGAATTTCCAACTCGGAAAAGCTCAAAAAATTTGACTTCTGAGTACAACTGGGACGCAGCATAAGTCATAGTGGATAACACTTATGTCTGTGAACTTGACCGCTGTTTGCTAACACAGGTTCAAAGTTGACCCTTTTCTTTCACAGGCTAAGACGCTGGACTTTCAGATTTACCTGACACAATGAGAAATAATATACATTTTAGCTGTGAAGCATCTTCAGTAAAAAATTTGGGTGGCTGCTGGTGCTTGTTATGTGCAATACTAATGTTTGGTTTCACCTGTTTTTTCGTTTCTTCCTTCGGTTTTGGTTTGATGATTACACACAACCATTTTTCCCGCCTTTGCTGTCTTTTTAGCATCCAGTAGAGATGTAGCTGCTTGCCGGACCCTGGAGATGAGCTCCAGATGCGTGACGGGCTGCACCATCCCAGCTCGCGTCCCTGGGGGGCACTGGCCTGTCAGAGGTGGAATGCCCCTGCACACTTAACGCTAGCTGAGGGGAAACAGATACCTCTGTCTCTGAACAGAGAAATCACTCTTTATCGATCGGACTCTACAGAAAGCTGTGAATTGCGCTTATGGTTTGAACATTTGATACTGCAGATTCAGAGAGATAGTCATAACACTGACTCCTCTGATGGAAGAAACTCTGAGAATTATGGAGCTGGATTCCAGCTTCCCCCAAGACATCCACCACCAAACGCCACACAAAGAAGTCATTTACCCACCTGACAGGAGGTGTTGTGACCTCTGTCGTTTCATACATAATTGGATCTGATGTGTCCTAATAGTAGAAAGGCCTTTATACTGATTGTGAATGTATCCAGTTCCCGGTGCTGTCACTATAATGAAAACGAATATCAAGGCCTATCAGGTCTGTGTGATAGCTCAGGCTGCCATTAGCAAGGGGGTGAAGTGAATGCTTGCTCTTTAAAAGATGTGAGATATGCTAGGTATTTTTAGCCAAAGCTTTTAACCCAGAAGAAACAGCTAATAGCTGCTTTGACCTGAATGCTGCATTATAGCTTCTGCTCCAAGCAACCTTGATTACATGGGCCTTAAAAAATGTGGTCAGTTTTTAGTCTCAGTGCTCTGTGAGAGCATGATCATGTATTTGTATAGAGGCCAAAAGTACTTGAGATATTGGAGACAACTTAAAAGATTTTACTGTACACTTCACAGAGCAAAGCTAATAGCTTCAAATCAAATTATCAGTGAGGGGTACTGAGGGGCCCTCTGCAAGTCTGTGCATAGTTTAGTTGGGAAATCGAGTCTCTCAGGCCTGATTTCTAATGGGTCTGAAAGACTACGGGAAAGGGTTAACTGGTGGAGTACTGTATGTGGTGGCACAGATGTGATCCACTAAAATGTTTGCTCTGCCTGTGAAAGGGTCTTTGAACCAATGAGTGTGAACTTCTGGCCACACCAGCCTATAAACGTTGCATTTATGTGAGGCAGCGAAAGGGGCCAGCTAGTGTAATGGGGGATGGGGCCTCTGCCTGTGGAATGTGGTGTCTTGGTGAAAGGGCCTGAGCTGAACAAATGCAGTCAGTTTATTTGGCAAACCAGACTTGCTGGTCACCAACAGACGTGTTTACCCAAGAACTAAACATGCAGATCCTCCCCTTCTCTCCCAGACGGAGGTCTTTCTTCTTGGTTACGGTGTGTGTGTGTGTGCTCTCTGTCTCTCTCTGGGTGTGAAATTGGATGAGCTAAAAAAGTCTGCTGATAAGTGTGTAAGTCTGTCTTGCGTGTGAATCGGCCTCCCTATTTTCCTTGTGTCTTTCTTTCCATGACACCCCCCTCCTCTCTCTGTCTTTTTTTTTCCTCTGTTTCTCTTTTTTCAGCTTTGTAATTGGAGTGATTAATGGAGGGAGGGGTGGTCTTGCCTGGAGGCCTACTTTTCAGTAGCCTCTTTAGAGGTGCAGCACCACTGAGGCCGGGGCAGGTAGCGACACGTTCAGCCCCTGGACGTTTAGCCCCTTGTCCCTGCCACTTTGTCTGCTCCCTCAAAAGCCAGAAATCTCTTCATGCTATAAACAAGACCGGACGTTCAGAGGCAGGCATGCCCCTGGGTCCTGTTTTCTGCTGCCGGTTTGCTCTCATGTGATATGTGACCTCTCTTATGCTCCATAGTAATTCTTAATGAGAGCAGAGAATCTGTGCGGGATGTGTTTGTTAGTGGGAACTCCACCATATGCTCCCAAGCGGCAGTGAGATTTACTTCCCTCTTCTCGCACATGGAAACCCGATTAGCCGGAGCCTTTGTTGGCGGTAGCGTATGGGCAGCTCACCATGAGATCCTTTACAGTAGTTAGCAGATAAAGGACGCCATCCGCTCAGCTCAACTCCCAAAGCACCCGCCCCTTACCCAGGTCCCCCCCCTCCCTACAGCTAGACGAACTATGAATGATTCCTGGAGTCCCGCTGCGGGATCAAGGCCTCAATTATTTGATTTGGATTAGAGATTTCTGCCCCCCACAATGCAAGTTTTCAATGGCATGCTGAGAGGAAGCAGATTCCCTTTCTTCGCAAGCTAGAGGCGACACTGCAGATGAACTTACAGTTAAAGCATCAGGGCTCTTGTTCCCCACAAGATGAGGAAACAGGATTCCTACTGTATATTTAATTATCAGCTTTAATCACACATGCAGGAGGTGCACAAAGTAACTGCCTGAGAGCAAAAGCATGTCCTCTATCCAACTCAGATCTACTTTTGTGTTGTTAACACAAAAACGCGAGACTCTGCTTTGACTAGTTTTAATTACCTTTCAGTCCGTCTTCCCAAAATAAGCAAGTTAAACTACTCAGCATTTGTATCCTCTTTTCTGGCCTCTTGCCATTAACACCGCTGTTGGCTGCGATCCAGTTTTCTGCCGACGGCCTTGATTGTGATTAAATTACTGCCGCTGTGCCTGTTTAAAAGATTTCCCTCGCTGAACTGTTTTGACAGGCAGCAATTTGGCTAAAAAAGATTAGTGCGGGAATGAGATGTTAAGAGTACCTGTGGGATGAGAGGGGCTCTCCTGTTATTGTGAGGTCCTGTTTCTGGTGCACAGGAATGTTGGTGAAATTCACTCAAGTCTCTTTTGGCAGAGCTCGCTCTTGAAAGCACAGTGATGTTTGTGTGTGGCTTGTTTTATTGCCCGCGGTTGCTATAGTGATTTTTCTTGTATGCTCATGCATGTTGTTTAAATTGAGGACGGGTGTGGCTGTTTAATCTGTTTATTTTTGCGGAAAGCAGCAGTTTGATGAGAGTTTCCCATGACAACACGAGTGTTTCAGTCAAAGTTAGGCTGTCTGTTTGAAGTAGAGGGGGGTTAGGTCACCGTGGTAGCCGAGACCCCGCCCTCATCTCAGTTTCCCTGGCGTGGCGCTAGATGACTGAGGATGATGAGTATTGACGTGTGCTGTGAGATTGCGTCCGGAGGGGGCTGGGGACTTCCCTGTGTTTGCACATCCAGGGCTATTGATCTGGGCCTCCTGTTCAATGACTGTGGCCCAGGGGACTTGGTCTGCAGCGTGGAGCGGTGTAAGGTTGGACACAGAGAGCTATGACAGTAGCAGGGAGTGCAAAGGCAGGGGTTAGGGGCATGGCTCAGGGCTAACAGGACTCTAATATGGCAGAGACACGTGCCTCTCTTCATTAGGTCTTGTTTTGACTGTAGGAGCGCACTGGCAGACGGCAAAACAAGACCAGATTTCATGTCCATGTTCCAGATGGACTCTGGTGTCATTCTGCTGCTTCACCAGTCATAGCCATGAACAGCCTGTTATCTATACTTTGAAAATGACCTACTTCACTTATGCGCAGGGCTGCATGTACAGCATGGCTCACCTTTGTCAAAACACGGGTGGAAAATTCACTAGCTCTTACTATCTCAATGACTCCAAAAGCGTGTCTAACACAATGAAGATTTTCCTGTGGTTGATGGCTGCGAACTGAGCCCCTCCAGCCTCCTCCTTCAAGAGGAGTGAAGGCAAATCACATGATGCTTTTATTAAGAACAAGCCTCTTCATCTAATAACAGCTCCACTATCAAATTGGAGAAGTGCTGTCAACATCCTGAGCAATCAATGCCATCCATCCCCCACTCCCCAAGCAGCAGCCATTAACCCTTCTTGTTCCTGCATGCCTGGCCTCACTAAAATGGTGGCTGTACTCCAGACATCTTTCTATAATGGCTGCGTAGAATTACCCCCAAGCTATTCATCCACGTGTGTTGCGTAGTTTGTCCAATGCAGATGGAGGGATATGCAAAGAATGTCAACTTGTTGCAGATGGGAGGTTGTCAAATGTAATGTGTGACTAAGTGTCACATGGAAACACATTCCAAATGAGCCAATTTCTCAACCACGACGACGACGAAACCCAAAATCAAGTGTTTTATAAAAATCTGAGCCAGATTTAGAATAATACCACTTTACTCTAACAGAGATGGTTTAGATACACAAATAAAGCAGGAGATGACAAGTGCGTACACCTAGAGAGGGTTTAAACACACATATAGTGGACTAGGGCTTGGCGATAAACCGAAATTTTACTGATACAGAAATGTAAGAGAATAACCAGCTTCATTTTTCTCATGTCAATTTAGTCAGTATCGAAAAAATAAATAAAAGTTGGTTTTGGATGTGTGTAGGTAGGCTATGGTCTCATGTCCCTTTAAGACGCTGTCCTATGTTGGAGACATGACTCCACCTCATCCAGTCCGTAACAAAGAGGAAAAGACAGGTGAGGAGATGGAGGACGGTTCAAAAGTTGTAGCAGCTGAAGTAGACAAAGATAATGTAGGAGGGGGTGAGCAGCTTGTGGAGTAGTTATTATACATTCATCTTTATCAAGGTGAACTGCTCAATATACCGTGATATTGATTTGAGGCCATATCGCCCAGCCCTATACTGGACACCAATAGGCTGCGAGGCACTTTGATGGCAGGTGCGCCCAATAATGCAAAAACCCCCAAGGTGAAAAATGTATTTAAAGGATCATGTAGTGAACAAGAACAGGATGTAGGCAAGTAAATATTCATGGGGGAAAATACAACAAGGGATGCACACTTTGAATTTTCTCCTTAATAATCAATCTTTAGAAATTTTAACAATCAGCGACAAAACTGTGTTACATTAGTAGTACCATAGCAACACACTGCATATAACTGACAGTATCGCAGAGCTACAGACATACAGAGGCGTACAAATTGTTTTAATTCACTGAATATCAGCATATGGAGCAGGCTCATTTAAATAATCTCTGAGGACATTTAGTCACGTACAGCAATGCTTCAGCTGCTAAATGAGAAATGCCTGCAACAAGAGACCTGGACAGAAAATTATGAGAGAGTAACAGTGTAGAGTTTTCTGCATACTTCGTCTCAGTGAGAAAGATAAACATGTCAGCCAGTAGTGCAACCAGATCACAATCAGTCCAGCAGCAGAAAACTTTCTATCTTTCTTTCCAGGGATGAGGTAACGTCTGCTAGGGATGTAATGATATCGTCAATGTCACAATGTCGGTAAAGACTCAAATGTCGTGGTATGAAATGATGGCGGTGATTCAAGGCAATAAGTGTTTTTTTTTTTTTTTTTTGCTCCAGCTGTAATGTAAAAAGATCTTACAGCTGAAATCAACTGTCTAACTTGCTTCGTCGAGCTCATGGGAAAGACGACAAAAATCAAGAATCAAGAAAACAACACAAACACTAACACTATATTTATAACTTTTCAGAACAAAAAACTGTTCACACAGCGAGACCGTCTGTAGTTTGTTTTCAGAGCTTTCTGTAGTTTGTGTGTAGAGACCCAAAGCCCTGCAGCTCCTTGCGATGACCAGCTCCAGCTCACTGCTGGTCATCGACCTTATTCTTATCCCTGATTTGGCGCTGCGCCAGTCAGTCACGTATGGCCATAATGTGATTAGGCCACCCACTTCCTGGCTTGGTAAACCTGCAAACAGCGAGCAAAGGAGAGAAAGAGAGAGAGAGAGAGAGAGACGAAACATAGTTGGCTTAAACATATGAAGGCTTGTGCTCATCCTGATACACACACACACACACACACACATATATAGGCACAGAAAAACACGAGCAGTACACATGCATAGATACACAGACATGTTTCTCAATCTGAATATTTTGATTTAATCTGTGCTGATTGTATTTTACTTAAATATGCAGTCTATTTGAGGCTAACAGCTCAACTGAAATGTGAAACAGAAGTTTAAAAAAAAAAAAAAATCACTGCCGCTTGACTCAGTATGCAAACATGAGGACGTAAGCTTGAAACAGTTAATTTGAAACATTTCTGAATGAAATCAGACAAGCCAAGCCTTTGTAATTGTAGGGTTGGTGTGGGAATTTCTTTTTTTAAAGAAGTTGTTTCTGGGTGGAGCGCTGCATGTGATGAAGGGGTTGAGGTAACTGATCATAAGGAGTGGTCCCAAAACATCAGTATCCACTCTAACTTGACAAAAAGCAACATAGTGTTAACATTCCTCAGCTGACCAAGGTCCCAATTCAAGAGCCAACATGTCTATTCATGGCAAACAGCAGCCATGTCCAATTACTCGCGCCTCTTTTTTTTTTTTGAAGTGGCTTCAGACACAGAGACGGACAGGATTTCTTTGGATGAATCAGATTTTGTTTGTGCTGTGAAACATTAATTTTGATTTGACTCATCATCAACAGTGTTTGAAATCCTCCTGTTTACACTCACAATCATCACCAGAGTAGCTTTAATGTGTTTTTATCCCCATCCGTCTTCTTCATTGGAGCAGCCAGTCTGCCTTCACCCCTCCACAACTGTTAGCAGACTGAAAAAAGAGGGTATTTAATCAAAAGGAGGTAGTGCTCCAAAGTTATGCAGTTGTTAGGGGAAAAAACTGGTGTGGTTATGAATGAAAAAGTACAACAGATGTTTACACGACAAGTTATCTATCCCAGTTTAAAGACTCACTCTGCATGGTGCCGTTTTAGAACCTTTTGATTCGGTGTATCACACAGAATTAATGCTAAAGGAAGAGATTTATGTTATTAATGTAGTGGTTTCTTTTTTATTTTTACATAAAGGTAATTTATTGATAAATATCAGATTTTTCAATTCTGTCTTCATCTTCAAACTCAGTCTACTGTGATTTTTTTTTTAAAGAATTATTAGAGGTTTTTTTTTTGCCTTTTTATTTATCATGGACAGGACAGTGGATAACACTGGAAACACACGTAAGAAAGAGGCTGCAAGTTGAAATCAAACCTGAACTATGTATGTGGGGCACACTTAATCCACTCTCCCACTGCAACCCAGCCTACCGTCCTTGTTTTAGGGATAACTGGGACAATGTCTTTTTCAAGAGCATCCTGACCAAGACAACTAGTGTCACAGTTCACGAAGTTTCTGACTGACAAAGAGCAGCCATACATGAGAGTATATTTACAACAATGTTCTGTAATTCAATAAGACATGACAGAACAAAATAAGTCAACAAGTCCTTGTCTAATCTGCAGAGAGCATGTGTATATCAAGCAGATCACCGATGTTTCAGTGTATGCTACATGAACGGAGGAACAAATTCAATATAACATTAGTGGTGATTTACTAGCAGCTCAAGGCTGTATGAAATGTTTTTTTTCCTTTGTAAAAAAGAGAGTTTGTCTTTCATCCAGGGTTTAGTTACTAAATCCCGATGCTCATTACAACAGATGGCACCCCTTTACAAAGCAGGTGTACCCCTCATGACTGAGACCAGGCTTCACTCACTGCTATGCTGCCATGAAAACTGGAGAGACACGGTGAACAAAGTTGCACCAAAAAAGGACAGTCAGCAAACAACTGAGACTGAGTTCTGGTGCATTTCTCTAGGATACAGTTAGCACTGCAGCAGGGACATGAAAAGATGTCTAACAGCGAAGAAATATTTGTGTCAGAGAGTGTAATGTCCAAAAATGTCAAGCATGAAAAGAATGTCTCAAAATGTGTGCATGAGTATGTTTCTGAAGACTGGATTGAAGATCTGCCAATCACCAGTGGACTTGTCGCAATGATAACTTATCTTTAGGGTAGGGGTGGGGGTCTTATACTGTACAATACAGCCAGGGCGTCGGTCAAAACAGAGAGAGCAATGACACAGACATAATTCAACAATATAGATGATTATTCCACAGAGTTTCCATTTACTTGTGTGATTTGAAGAGTCTGTCTATGACATTGAACAATAATCCTACCTGAATTTTCTTTTTTCTTCTGTCACTCAGACATTTTGATGCACAGGTTTAAAATTTGCATCAAACAGCTGGATTGAAACCCAGAGCTGCCTGGACAGTACTTTTCTGTCGCTGTCAGACCTTTGTTCTTGATGTCAGAAACACCTTGACCCCCGAGCTTCCATAACACACACTGACCCTCTGGGAGGCCTGCATGTGTGTGTGTGTGTGTGTGTGTGAGCGTGAGTGAGTGTGTGTATGTGTGCATATGGTTCAAGTGTAAACACATTTGTGTTCACCTAACAAATCCAAGGCCAGTAACCCAGCAGCTCCTGGCTGCTCTTTGATCTGATTCTGGAGAGCTGGAGGGACCGCAGTCATTTACTTTGGATAAGAGCATCTGTTCAGGGTTAGGTTGCATGAGACATTATAAATCCTCTGAAAGAAAAAAACATCACTTTTAACATAACTCAGAGTCCATAATACAGAGGCAGTAATGTCTCTGCTTATAAGGTCAGACTTTCATGGAGTCTAAGGTTTTAATCAGCAGATCAAACAGGATTTATCTTTCAATATTTAAAGAATCATCATCTATATTTTCTCTGCATTTAAGTGGAGTTGCACTTCGTTGTGAGCTTAGCTGGTATTTTTTCCTTTAGTTTTATAGCTCCATGTTTGTTAACAGTCAGTCAGATTACACATTGTCTCTTGGCCTTTAAATAGGGAACATCCAGCACTTATAAAAGGTGCCGAATGTAAAGTTTTTTTCATGTAAGAGCAGACATGTGAGATTATACATGGCTGTAATCTGAATTATCTTGTGCTATAATCATTTATAATGGTTAAAGGTTAACAGAGGTGGTCAAATTGTGTGCAAAGGTCTATATGGCCTCCAAATGTACCCTACTGTATATTTACCATCACATGATGAACCCGCTGTAATCTCTGACATGCTATAGATAATGCACGTTGACAGGGAAATGGATTTTTGATAAGGAGAGAGCTGCACTACATATCTGCTGAGGGGCTTGTTTGATAAAGTAATAGCTATTTTGGAAATTTACTCAACTTTTCCAAATAATTAAAGTTTTTAGTTTTCTGTTGAGGGTATGTTGCATTTAGAAACTTTAAAAATGTGTGAATACATCAATGCAACATTCCCTCTCATCTAAAGATTGCACTTTTGAGGGATTATTAAAGTTTGTAGAAAGCCAACTCATCGATTAGAGAAGGGAGTGTCCATGCGTTCGACTCTGAGACCCTGAAACCTGACATTTGCAGAGGATTTGAGAGTTGATGGCTGATGAGTATTTGTTTAGAGAGCATGAATGTTGACAACCATTACACATCCAGAGAGCGAGAGGGTGAAAATGACTTGCTCTCAGGGGCCTTGACAACCTTTGCCCTGCCAGCTCTCGTTTCAGGCCTTGTAATTGCCACTGACCAATGGGCTCCCGTTTGAAACTAGACCCTAGGCTGCAGCTATTAACGTCCCCCTCCAAACGGATCTTGTTTTGATTCCTGATGCTTTTATAGGTTTTGTCTTTAGGAGACATTCCTGGTCGGCACATACCGTGCACCCCTTTCTGCCCCTATTTTCCTTCCTTCCCGTCTTGTGGGGCCATTGCCTCCCCCTCCCTACACTCACAAACATACACAGCAATGACGACTCTTTGCAAATGTGTGTGTGTGTGTGTAGCACTAGAGCTACTGACCAGCCCACCCTCCCCAGGCCCCTCCTGACAGCCAGCTACACTCCATGAACTTGGCCACCCGTCACAGCTGCGTTAAGATTGAAGGATGGGGGGCCCTTGTATCCAGCTGGGTCGGAAGACATGGGTGGGGGCAGGGCAGGCCCAGATGCAGATGGTTTAGGTCAAATGGAGATGTTTGAGGATGAAGGGGGAGGGGGACACAGGAGCTCAGGGGCACAATAACTCCAGAGGTTACTCCTCCAACCCCTGGAAAAATGCTCTCTTGGAGTTTGAGTATATATTAGTTTTCATGTGTTTGTGTTGCAGAAAGGTGGCAGTTGTTGAGACTAGTTGAGACTTAACTTTGTTTTTTTAGCACGACATGAACCTTTGACCTCCAGTCACTGTCAACCTGATGGGCTTTCCTCAGGTAAAATCAAATTAACACCTTTTGAAAAAGGCCGTTGAGGTCAGAGAACTTCTGTGGAATCACAAATTTGGGGGAACAGACAACATCCCTCCTCCAGTTCTGACTGAATTAGTTGATCTGCTCTCTTATCACTCTGTATCTCCATTACTGTACAATTGAATGGAAGTGAAATGCTAAAATCCTTTTACCAGTACAATCCTGATCTTTTCTTCACGTGCTTTTAATCACGTCTGCTTCTCCACCTCATCTGTATTTCTCTCTTTCTGTTGCAGAATGGGACTGCAGGCTGGGCTGATGAGGCTGACAGTAGCAGAGGAAGAGGAGAGGCCTCAAGAGACTTTGCTAAGGTGAGCATTTGGAAGCAGTTATCACAGGATGGCTCGAGTCATGAACTGAAAATATCAGAACAAATACACTAAATCTTTCACTTCGATCAAAGACTGAAAAATGAGATGCCTCATGTTGGTATGCACTTATGTTTTGTGCCTTTGTAAGAAGAAGACACTAACAGAGCTCAGCTGTAATTATTTCAAATCAGTTTTGATCACCTGACGGTACATCTTTAGTAAATTTAGATTCAGTGCAGCAAAATCATAAGAATGATGCACATATTAAAGTGATGACACAATTTCCCTCTGATTTCTGTCCACCAATCTCTGAGTTATAACAAGAAAGAGTGCAGCTGCACATTAATGTTAAAAGTCTTCAGGTTGATCATCCTGTTTTGCAAGTTTGCATGCTTCATCTGGTATTACCGTCTAACAAGTGGGTACAACCGATGTTATCCAAAGGCAGAAATGTTGGTTGTAAATTTTTTGAAAACGATTAGCCTCTGGTATTGTGTCTATTAAGTTCTGACTTATCGCTGCAGGACATAAATAAAAACAGCTAGATGCTGCAAATTTGTGCACTGTGAGTATTTTTTAAGCTTCTGATTTCTCTTTCAGCTGTATGAGCTGGACAATGACCCCAAAAGGAAAGAGTTTTTGGATGACCTCTTCACCTTCATGCAGAAACGAGGTAAGATTTGTCTTTGGAAAATACACATCACTAGATTTTAGCATGAGTGAAACCCAGTGTTTTAGATGAGGTTCATATCAGATCGTTGAACACACCAGGATCATTTCCTTCCAAGGTGTTTCTCTTGAGAGTTCAACTTGTTCGAAGTACAGATCCAGCTCTGTAATTTCAGGCTTCATATCCTGTAGACGGTTCACTATCAACAAGAAACTGTTAACTCGACCAACACGCCCTCTTAAATCAAGCCTTGTGTTTTCATTAAATCCGTTATCCTGTCCAGAAATTACCTTTCCAGTATGAATCGCCGCTAAGAGCTACCACAAATGTGACATTGGCCTGTGTTAATTTCCCACCCTCTGCTCGTGTGGAAAAGCAAATACCACTCCACTTCCATTTCTTCAGAGTCATTTCCTGCCTCAGAGAGAGGAGGGGCTTTTTTTTTTTTGCTTTTTTACACAGCATCTGTAAGTGTGTTTACTCATCTCACAGGGTTGTCGAGTGCGCTGTGTCACTGATCAACTCCAAAAAAAAAAAAAAAAACAACATGCTGTAACTCTCACTGGCAAAGAAATCCTTTACTAATTCCCCTCCCCGGAGTAAAGGCCTTAAGGGGTCAGCAGGTGAGGCCTGTCTCTGTTGATCCTGTGGTTCTGCAGCATCAGAGCCAAGAGGATCTGGCAGTGGCCTAACTTATTTAGTTGGCCAACAGACGGGGAGGCTCAGCTGACCGCGTGCTGCTTTGACACTGCGTACAAGACCTCTGTAACCAGTGCAGCTAATGGACTTAGGCTTTTATCAGACAAATCTGTTACCAAGCATGCTGCATGGCTTGTGCAATACCTCCCAAGGTGAATCACAATGTTATTACAGTGTTGCATACTTTACATGATGTTTTGGCAGGCTGTGATGGGTGATGATGGTCTGCGAGTCTGTGTGTGTGTGTGTGTGTGGTTCATACATCAATGTGTTTTGTCACAGGCTATGATGGGTGATACCATATGTATGCATGTGTGTATATGACACGTGGTTTGTTTTGTCAGACTGTGACGGATGATGATGGTGCGCACATTTGTGTAGACTGGTTCGTGTGCATTTATGTGCGTGTGTGTGTGTGTGTGTGTGTACTCCTGCACATGTGTCAGCGTGCTCACATCCACCAGAACAGCAGCTCCTGGTTGTCTGGTCTGGCGTGAGCACCCAGAGGTCTTGTTTGGAGGTTGATGAATTAAGCCGAGTCAGAGGGACGGGATCTGTCAGGGTCCTGTTAGCATCTCTGTCCAGTGGCAGACACTGGGAGTGGTTGGCTGACCCTTTACTCACGCTGGTCAGACAAAGAAATCCATCAAACTGACTAAAATGCCACCTGACAGCAGATAACTGGCTGATTAGGCCGAGCCATGTCACATCCTTTGTACTAGATGCAATACAAAAAGGGTTTACAAAAGTGAATAAATCCCCATTTTTTTCTACTTAAACCGTTTTTTACATTTATATAAAAAAGCAAATTGACTTGTAACTCCTTATTAATCTATCTGAAAGAATTAGCCCAGAAATAAGCAAAGTCATTAAAAACACAATAAACACAAAGACCAGTTCAAAAGACATGAGCACAAAACCATAAAAGTGATTAGGAGGTAAGGGATTAAGTATAGTGAGTGGGTAGTTGTGCTTATTAGAATAGCTGACAGGGTGACCAGAACCCTGATGCAAAGCCAACGGGGTCATGTCTCATCCTGAAGGGATCGTCTGTAGTTGTCTACCAGCTTAACGCTCAAAACAAGTTGACACAAGACATCAATTAAAAGATGATGCTAATGGTACAGAGTGTCAGCAATGTTTCCATGGCAACAGATATTTATGAGCTTACTTGCAGGGTAATTAATGTAATATTTTGATTCATGGTGAACGGGATTTCTGCAGAAATGTTCATGTTCACATTTACTGTCATCATCCAGCTCTCCTTCTTCTCAAAGCTTGGCAGTGATCATAACTTTAGCAAAAGATGATGCAACTGCGTCAACTAGGGCTGATAAATCAATTAATCACATTTGTGGTTTTGCAAGATTAACTAAAAGAAGGTCAAGATTTTGTCTTTCTCTGCTGCTTCGCCTGTTTAGCCCCTAACCCTTATTCAGTTCCTGCAAAGATAAACATGCGTGACAACAATTTGGCTGCTTGCATGATTGAGTTTATTACCAATAACTTCTTAGTCTTCTTGTTGGTTTGGAATTGGATTGATTTAATATGATGTGTATGATAAGACTGTCCCTACTATCACTTCTGCAGCTGAGAATTGATGACTTTTATCATGAGGTTTAGACCAATCAGAACCAAATATTCAACACAGTCTGGTAATGAAGCAGGTTTAAAAGTCGGCAGGAGAGGAGCTAGTGTGATAAACAGAGATGCCCCCCCCCCCCCTTTGAAGCTAAAGATAGATTTCAAAACCAGAGCTCATGTTGTTACCTGCCGGCTAACTTGTTTGGCTGAATTACATTTCCAGCGTGAATTATAATGAGTGCAACTTGAATCGGCTCACACGGATCAAGTGTCTGCATCACCATCATCAGCACAAGTGACCAGCAGCGAGGGGGGTTACAGGGTCAGTGCTTCACAACGGTTGTAACAAATATAACTGCGTCTCCAGAGTGCTCATCTATAATAGAGAAGTGTGAGGCAAGGAAAAGAATATACACAGAGAAATTAATGTTGTTATTTATATATGTAGTGATGGAGGAATGGAAAAAAATGAAACTCATACATTTTTAACTCCAAAGGTGAGAAACAAGCAGTCAAGGCTTCTCAGTGCTTCAAATATGGATGCAGGAAATGACGGGGGATGTTTCTGTTGACATTAGAGACCTGATGCTAGCATTGTACAGGAGCGAAGGGTATAATTTCAGCTACTCTGGTGCGAGCGTTTCACCCCTCCCTTTAAGACGAGAGGCACTTGGCTGACCTCTGCTGTCTCTCAAACAAGAATCTTAATCACAGGGAACAAATTGCTTTGCTGGATTCCCTTTTTGCTCTCAGTGCCAAGACTATATGAGATGAAGAGCAAGCTCTGCTAAGCTCTTGTTGATGGCACCATCTAATTACTGTGCATTTACTCCTCCTCCCTTTTCACTTCATAGATATGAGGTCAAGATTATTGCTCTCTTTTTTTGTAATGAGAGAGTACTTAGAGAGCCTTTTTTAATCTAATGTCACCACGTGGAAGAGGGCGAGGAGTAACAGCTGGTGGAGAAGGAAATGTCAGCGTCTTCATTTAACCGACCTCATAAGCAGAAAGCTAGAAAAACAATCTGACTTTGTGAAACAGATTGAGAGGTTAGGTGAAATCCAGTGCAATCTCTGGATAGAGAGAGACAAATGGTGAAGTGCTGTTCCCACCTCGTCGTGGGGCCTCAAGGCCTTGGGAGGAAAGCAACAGCGGAAGGAAAACTTACGAGGGATTCCCATTTCCTGCCCCCGCGCTTAAAAACAGGCACGTGTGTGTGCATGTATGTGTGTGTGTGTGTGTAAGTGTGGTAACGGTTGAGGAATTTTAGCAGCTGTCCTAAATCCTGTCTGTGTGTAAAGGGGCCCACTGATGGGCTGTGTATCAAAGAAATGGCAGAAAACACAGATGCAAACCCTCCTCGGCAGATCGCACTAATGACTTAAACTACTTTAAGGTCCAAGTTTTGGGGCTCTTTGGCTTTTACCATCATGCTTTTGATGTTTGTTGCCTTTTAATCATATATTGGTGAATTCAGGTTTATACCACTAAAGAATGAGGGATTTGCAATTATATAGATTTTAATGGTATTGTGATTGAAGTATCTATAAAATCACTGTGTAGAGGTCTAAATTAATTGCAATAAAAAGAAAAGGTTTTGCATATAAGTAAAAAAAAGCGATCCTTTCTCACTCTGCATGGTTAAATATAGTGAAAGACAGATCAATTAAATGCCTTATCAATTGATCAGGCTGATGGCATTTTGACATAATCTGCATCATATTGGGATTGGCCATAGAAAGCTGATACCACCATTGTCTTTTTAAAATGAAAACATATTTTTACCATCACCAATGAGAGCATATCAAATATAAACACACATTAAGAATTTTTGATAATCTGAGAGTATTTTTTAGGTGATATGTTACTGCGCCAAGTTTTACCGTCTACATTTCTTTAATGGAAGAATTCTCTCGAGTTCAGTGAGGCTGTTTCTCGTTTCCTAGTGTGAATGAATTGTTTTATTTCATCAAATACAAAGACCAGCAACTTGAAAGCGGCATTATATAAAGGCCATCAAAACAATGTCATTCAATTACTACCTTTCACCTGCCAGACAGAGTCCTGGGCATAATGACTATACTTTCACACATGCAAATGCTGTCAGATAAATCTAAAATTAGCTATTGGCCACATTAAATAATTAATGCTGATGCTGACATGTTGAAAGATGGTATTTTGTAAAACATGGAGATCAGCAGATCGACTTAAACGGTGAGTTAGCATGGCCCCAGGTAGCCCAGCGGTTAAGGCACGCACCCCAAGTATAGCAGCTTTAGTCCTCCTTGCGGCAGCAGCTGGTTTGACTTTCAGCTTTGACCCTTTGCTACATGTCTCCCCCTCTCTATTCCCTACATTAACTCCTGTCCTTCAGCAGACATTTTAAACAAGGCAAAAAAAAAAGTATAAACATTTACACAATCATCACACTCTGCATTAGTTCATGACTTTAACTGCAGCGCACTACTTATTTCTCTCACGTCAAGCAGGTCTAAGAGCCTCCCTGCACTTATACTGAAAGTTAGCTAATGCCTCTACATGCAAATGTCATGTAAATGCATCAGACCTGCTCATGTCTGAAGAAGGTAGGCGGAGAACATTAGCCTCTGAGTTACATCAACATCACTGTTCATCATATCCATTACATGTTGTGCTGTTTCACCCCCGCTGGGAGTGCCGAAGAAAACGCTTCGACACCGGCTCAACGCCATTAACCACCTCAAAGCTTTTCGATCAAGCAGATGGGTGAATGTTTGTTTTGTTTTGACACCCGGCCACTTTCTCGTTTTGGATGGGGGTGTAGGAGCAGGAGGTGGGGTTGTGAAAAGGTAATCATGAGGGGGTGGGGGGGAGTGGCAAGGGAGGCCGCGGGAGCTACGGGTGTGCGATCAAGGAAAAAAAAAAGGAAGAAAATAAAAAGAGTGATGCAGCCAACTGCCTGTCAGCGCTGTCCACTTGAGATGATTAATGGCTAGAGGCTGTGATGGACAGAGGCAGAGAGAGAGAGGCTCCTGTTCAGTGAAATCACCACTGGAGGAGGGAGGGGGGGCAGAGGGGGGAAAGACAAGTGTTTTAGCTCCTTCTGCTCCGGCTAGAAACCCCACACGTCGCGGTCAGCGGAGGCTACATCCACCCTGGTGTGACACTCTTAATGGCGAGTGTAGATTCAGCTTAAGAGGGGCCACATGGTGTGCATTCGCCGCTCTAGAGTTATTTTAGGGGAAAATCCCTACGTATTAGATGTAGGCTTGTTAATAGTAATAAAGTGGTAAGCCGGACTTGTCTTTGCCATTATGTTGCAGTGGTCTTGATGGGGCTGAAGACGGATGTATAGAATTAGAGGAAGGAGTAGGAGGGAAGGGAAGGAGATGGTAATGATTACAATTAAGATGTGTCACTCTGCTGCAGTGAAAACCAATGATGGAGGCTGTCTCTGCTGTTCCAGTAAATCTACATTCAGTGCCTTTACATGTATTTCAAAAGTGCAGCTTTGTTTGGCTTTTCACAAGAAATTAATTTTACCGTAAACATGTCAATCCATCTGAAATCACTGTGTTTCAAAGTTCTTAAACACAGACTAAGACAGTCAGGGATTGGTCTTCTCCTGCATCTACACACAAACTGGCCTACAAGTTGTCTTCACGCTCCACAGCTCAAACATGAGGTTCTGACCCTAAATTCAAACAACATAAATGCAAAAGAGGACACTGGGTTGTGGATGAAACCTCTGCAGATGAAGAAGTAAACAAAAAGAAACTATTGTATGGTTTGTGTGAAACGCACACGACTCTGAAGCTTTCCATGTGTTTATTATTGGACATACAGCCTCCTGCTAACCTGTTTGCCAGTTTGTTTTGGTATGTGATGTTAGAGGTCCACAGGAAGAAGGTCCAGTAAATCCTGAATATATTGCCAGGTGCTTGTTTAATGGGGCAAGGACGGTCAATCAGTCAGTTATCTTCATTTGTATTATTCTTATTTATACAGTGCTAATTCACACTAAGTGTTGTCCCAAATCGCAGGTCTCGACTGCACTCTTAGTTTATTTAGATAGACTCAAGACCAAATATCAAGATAGAGTAAGAATCAGTCCCATCACTCAGTCTTATCTTAATCCACCATGAGCAGAGCTTTTTGCAGCAGCTAGCAAGTTAAAGTCAGTGGCTGCACTGTTAAGTCAAGCTGCGGTTATAGCTCAGTTAGGGGATTTAATTGGACTACTGCCCTTGTCCCAGTTTGCAAGCATGGAGCAAGTACAGATTTATTGACAGAAGGATTTCCCCACTCACTACAGTAGCTGGCTTCATGCCCTTGTTCAGGTTGTTCCTACTGGATTATCTCCTATTTGACTTACGGCGACATATCCCAAAACAACTGGCAAAACACATTGGCAAGTGGCTTATGGGACATATGTGGAATGTAGGGCTGCAGCTATTGAATATTTCAGTAATCGAGCATTCTACCGAATATTCCATCGATTAATCGAGTAATCGGATAAAACATCATTTTCTTGAGTTAATGATCGTGAAAAAATCGTGGAACAATCATGAGCGGTAGTGGATAGCAATGCTCGTAAGAAAGCTAATTATGATGTTAGCTTTCATCATGTCCCTAAAGACATTAGCGTCCGAGAGCTGAATAGTTCCTATGTTACCTGCTTCTTCTACTACATCGGCAATGATAGGCTGCAAGCTAGCGTAAAGAGGAGTGTGCAGAGCAGCGCTGTCTCCGCCCACGACTTAGAGGCAAATTGCTAATGAGGTACTGGAGCTCTACAGAAGAAAAGCCTCTCTCATCATTCGTTTTTTTCTGCTCCGCAAAACCAAAACAGTGCGATTTGAGCTTATATACGAGTACAAGAGGCAGAGAAAATTCCTTGATCATTTTTTGTGATGGAGGTACTCAAGGAATTGTTTCAGCCCTAGTCTAATGATGAAAACACCACTGCATTTACAGCCCTGCATCTTTTGTTTGTACAACAGCACTGCTTCATCAAATTTTTTGGTCATTTCATCCTCTATTGAGGTTTTGATAACTACCCACTTCCTAACAATACATTTATTCAAGTCAGCTTCTGGATCCAAGTCTGGCGTATAGGCACTTTTCCAAGTATGTTAGTCTGAGGGTGAGGAGTTAAAGTGTGATTTCACTCAGACTGATGTTTTTTTTTTCTGTTTTAAAAGCCCAGTGTCAGTCAGACTAATGCAACAAATGGATTTTTTTAAAAACATATAAATGTACTGAGTGGCAGGGAAAGACTTTCTCATAACAGGCAGGAACCACAAGCAAAACCAGACTCATGTTGAGACGGTCATTTGCTGCCACACTAAACTACCTAGATAAGCTTTTATTGTAGCTTGACTTAAATGTGTGTAGCTGCCAGTTACAGTTTCACACAGAAACTGAGCAAAGATGGACTTAAATTTGGTGTTATCAAAGTTAGGAAAGTCAATTTGTTGATGTGCTTCTCTTTCAAAATTTGTTTTTCTTTAATTGAGAGTGAATGAGAGGAGCAAACCACTGCTATTAATAAAAAAAAGTTCAAATCAACATTTAATACAACAAGGCACATAATTTGACTGCCCCTTCTTCATATGAACATGTTTCTGAATCAGTATAATTGTCCAGTATTTGTGGTGTGGGAAGAGTGGCCTCCCAGCAGGACATTAGAGGAAGTTCCCTAACTGTAACCCTGAGACCGAGAGCTCTGTCCACACCAATTACAGCATGAATGGGCTCTGGGGGATCCATGTATGCATTATATTACTCCCCCGGTCAGCCTCACACTGGCCCTCGTAACAGGCGGGACCTCTGTACAAACACCACACTACAATAGGAACATTCTCTGGCTCTTTGATACGGCCTCATTTTCCTTTTAGTTAACACCCCACAACTTCTGGAAAGTGGCAGCACCTGGTTGGGTTAACAACAAAAACACTGGGCTTAGTGAGAACATTTGTCCGGTTTAAATGTGAGTGTTGGATTGTGTTTTCATTTGAGCAGACCTTTTGAACTGCTACTTTGCAAGAAAAAAGTATTGCACCGTTTCCAAAAGAGGTTCTCCTCTTCAAATAGTACTTCCTGTTTTGACTCTTCAAAGACACAATTCTCAAGAAAGACTCAGTTGTGTTGGCTTGAAGCGTGTTTTACACAAAGTGTCGTTAGGAAATTACGTTTCGTCCCCTCTTGTCTTTCATTCTTTATGTCTCCGACCCCTTCCTCCCCCCCTACCCTCACCCCATTCTCCTCCCCCCTCTGTTTATTGTGCTACAGTTACAACCACTGAAATTTGATAACACCATGGGGGATAGGGGTGGAGGGCCATGCTGTGGCCCGCTTGGTGAGGCCAGAGGGGGGGTGGCGGTGGGGGCTGGATTAAGGGGCCTCCTGTCCTACACGGGATGATTAATGATCTCCAAATAAGTGGGGGCCAACCTTTTTGATAGCGCAACGCTGACGGACAGCAGACAAGGGAGTGACCGTCGTGTGTCTGTACGTGTGAAAAGTGGAAAAAGGAGAGGATGAAGGATGAAGAGGGCAGACAGGGAGACCACAGTAGGAGACAGGGTGCCAGGGTGACGGAGGGGAGGTTAAGGAAGGCGTCGTCCAGCTTGTGTGGAAACGAGGCCACGCGCTTTCATGTCCCTTTGAAAGCACTGACAGCAGCATGGAGCTGACCGAGCTCACCAGCCAGGCAGAAAGATAATCAAGCAAACGCAATAAAAGACCAGCAGTGGCAGTAAAGGGCCCCCAATCTCAGGAAAGGGTGGGGACCCAAATGATACTCTGATTCAAACCACCGCTTTCTAATCATTACCCCAAGAGAGACTCCAAAAGAAGAGACCAAACTATTCTCATTGGATACATTCCCCCCCAATGCATTTGTGATCAAACATTTTGTGGGCAGCATGTTGATGTATTTGAGGGCTGCGATTATCTTTTCCCTTGGTAAACTCCACCCGTCTGCAGGCAAATTACAGCCCAGCCTTTTGGGAACAAGCACATTTATGGTGGTTATGCTCCTCTCTTCCTTCAAAACAAAGAGAAATAGTAGTTTTCCTGATGTTGTGTGTGTGTGTGAGCGTGCCTGGAGATCGTAGATTAAAATCTTCAGACTTTTTATTTTTTTTTGTTTTTGTTTGTTTCGTGCCCACCAAGACTGCTCTTTGTGTCTCTTCCTCCTTCTGTCTCCTCATCCCAACCCCCAATCTGAACTGCCTCGCTGTTATTTCCTCTGCCAGACTGTTCCTCAGCTCTGGATTGCCACTGTGTTGTCCATCTTTAATTACGACCATACTGTACAGGGATTTGAGTCTCTAAGCTGCAGAGCTGGGAGATTCTTAATCACCAGGCTCATACGTAAATGAGCAGGGAAGAGGACGACCAGTTCAGGCCTCTAGCAGATTCATGCTTCCCAGCAAGGTCATCGGTCAGGGTAAAAATAACACCGGCCGCTCAGCACACCCATGTATCTTGATTTGTCATCTGTGGAATACATTTGCAAATACTCGGAGAAACAAATGTGGCAATCAAATTATGTCCTCTTTGTTACAGGAACCTGGTGTAACGAGAAAACAGCATGGGACAAAAAGATATTTGACTTCCAGGAAAAGCAGAAGTGTTTCTGAGAGGAAATGGTGTAAAAAAAAACGACAGAAGCAAGTAGAAATGTTGTTTTTTTCTGCACCGTAAAAGCAGTGCACAGGCGTGGTAACCACACCTTTAGTTTAAAATTTCATTTTAATTGGACAGATGTAGGTGAGCTAAAACAGTCAAGCCAGGATGAGTTTTTTCATTTACTCTTCTTAATCGAATTTCACATCCATTTCTGGGAATGTTTCCAGTCACTTCAAAAAATCACCCACACCTTTGATGATACATTCATCCTTTTCCTCGATTTTCTCTCATGCAGGCTTTGTTAAACTGTTCCCACACTAAATAATCCTGCGATCAACAAATTTCCCAAACTTGTGCTATCTCTGCATATCTGCGTGTCTTGCTTCTCCATCTGTGTCCTGTGTGTGCTCTTAAAGCAAAGCTTCCTGGCCTCCACACCCCTGTGATGGATGGTATGAAACACATTACAGCCCCCAGAGGAGCCCTACACCAGTACAATAGCCCTGAGCTCACTTCCAGTGCAGCTCTGCAGCAGTGTTGCATAAGCCACACAGTAACGCAGATCTGAGTGCAAAGGGGCCTAATGGAAAACAAGACGCTTGATTTGAGGGAAGGAATGGACATGAAACACACAGATGGCAGAGGCTCCAGCCTCTTTGTGGATGGCACTGAAGACTGATGTGGTCTGTTGTTTGTTAGCATATACATCTCTACATAAAAGTAGCAGCTAAGTTATAAAAGATGAGCGTGCAAAGAGAAGTTTTGATCTTGTGCAAGTTGACTTTTCATGGTGTTGTATTCAGTGTGTCACAATCCCCCTCCCTCCTGACATTTGGCCGTGTTGTGTAACTCCTCTAAAAGTATTAAAAGCTTCGAGGGATTAAGAATTATTTGTGGTTTACATAAAGTATTAAGCAGTCTTCAGGGGGTGGGAACACAGCTAACTCATAACTCACCATATAATACCTGATACCTGGTCTATGAAAACAACAGTGTCACAATTGCAGGACTATTTATATGATACACCAGGATATCTGATTAACTGGAGGATACAACATGTCTCTGGGTTTTTGCAATTATTGATGAGATAAGTTAAAGTTGAAGGGAAATCTGCTTAGAGAGGAAGACTATTTTTAAATCAAAATGCCAATATTTGGCGCCAGTAATGTCAAAATTGAATTACACAATAAAGGATGATAATATATGACCATCTCAGAATCGTCCCACCCCTACTGTCAGAGGTTTGTTTTTTTAAATTTGAAATAGTTTTATTTTTAACGTTACAATCTAATCATTCTCTACTGCTGACCTCCATTTGAAGCCCCTCTGCATTAAGACCATCAGCTGAATCCCTGAAAGGTAAATGTGTGACTTACTGTCATGGATTCCTAAAGCCAAAAGTAATTAGCATTGATGGGGGTTAAAATTTTCAAGATGAGTGCACAACCCCCCCATGATCCCCCTCTCTCTCTCTCTCTCTCTATTTCTCTCTATCTCTCTCTCTCTCTCTCTCTGTCCTCGGTTTATAGCAGCTGATGTCTCCCGTATTGATTGGTGGTGCTGGGGCCCAAATGGGGCTCGTCAGCTGATGGCTTTATCTGTCAGTCCGGGTGTCCATTGATTGGAGCAGTTAGCTGTGTTATAATGCCTGATAGGAGGGAGACCCTCAATGTCGCACCTGCCAGTGAAGACATCACTGCTTACTCTTAAAACCAGCCGTCCCAGTCAGACCAGTGAGCTGCGACCGACGTTTGTCACAGATGACCTCATTCTCACCGCTCAGAGTCCAGTTTAAAATTTGTATTCATGCACATTTCATTCGTATATCAGTTTCAGTCCTTTTGCTCCTTGCGTTTTCTAGATTTTGTACCATGTATACCCATATTATACATCTCCTCTTTTCTTGTCACATACCTCTCTTTCTTTAGGATTTCTTGTTAACCTGGTTCAAGCTACTGGAGTGGAAAAAGTAAAGCCGAACCTCTGCAGCTTTATCACAGGAATCTACAGTTGATACCTTAGCCCCTCCCTCTATTATGCGTACAACATGCCATTGTCGTGTTGCTGTGACATATACATTCTTGACATTTCTACTCAGATCAGAGTTGGCTGTTTACAAGGCCAAGCTATTGGGTTACTTTTCTCCCACTTGATCTTCCAGTCAGATGTACGTAAATATAGAGCAGAGGTCATCCTCTATGTTTGACTAAGCTCTTAAGTTTTCGATGCTGACGTAAAGACACATGAGATCGTATTTAGGGGTTAGTATTTAGTGTTTGATGTAGTGGAATTATGTTTTTGGTGAATTACACTCAAAACAGGTTTTAATAGGGATACTCAGTGTTAATTACTTTACATATTATAATGGTCTCATGCTCGCTCTTGAGTGCATTTGGATGGAAAACAGCTTTTATTGACATTTAACTGTAAGTCACAATACAGGCCTGTACCATGAGTGTTTATAAGTGCTGCATATGTCAACAAAGATTTAACCTCCCCCTCCTCCAACAACCACTAACTGTAAATTTCCTCTCGCTGTCACCTGCAGTTCACTCTTTTATCTTAAGCCTTTGTTGCAGACATCACTCTCTCCTACACCCTCCCACCCTCTTTTTCTATACATCCTGCTCAAGCTCTATCAAGACCTCTGCAAGACAGTGAGAAAATCCGCTTGTTTTACTCTAGTACCACCAGAAAAGGTGAAATACATAGGTATAAACCCTTAAAATAACTTAATTTAACCGTTTGCAACTATATATTTCCAGCCCTTTCACATTAATCCGTTTTAATACCGGTGTAAACACGCAGAGAAGATGTGCTTCAGGTGCAAGAGTGAGACGAAGGATCATCTCAGCTAAATCTCAGCAGCGTGTTTCAAAGAAGTGACTTAATTATACCTTTAAGGAAAGAAAAGGGGGAAACTCAGGTTCTCTAGAAGCACCGGTGCAACACAACTTTCAACAAAACAAGCCTTACCAGAATTATGAAAAGAGGGTGGAGAAATGTTCGCACTCTACATGCAGGCATGTGTCATGCATGAGTAATGCAACAGGTTTGAGTGGCTGCTGCAGTCAGAGTGTGGGCGGACAACCCACAGAGCTATAGAAATTATGCTACTTGTTTAATCAGTGTGTTGAGATTGGTCTCAACAATCTAGAAGATATTTGGATCACACTAGAACCATAAAGTGAGTGTTGGAACTGCTGGCTGGTCAAAGCTCTGGCCTCAGAACGGTGAGCTGCAAATTCATCAGACACCTGCTCATTGAAACATGTTAACTAGATAAAGACAAGCATTCACAGATGATTGTCTGCAGATCTTGGCTGCAAAACCTGATCCATGACGCAGCCTGAAGCACTGATGGATGGATGCATTAAGATACACAAAGAAGACACACTAATATTCCCTTTTTGACATGCGGAAGGAAATGCATTTCACAAGTGAGAGTGCGAAAGTTTACTAGAAAACGGTTCCCTTCAACTATCTCTCTACTGCTCCTGCTTTAATAGACCCATCATTTTTTTTATGTTTTTATGTCAGAAGTTTATGACAAGACATGCACTGCCTGCATTGTTTGAATTTTCTCTTTTCAACAAGTCTCGACTTGCTGTGGATACATGACATGATAACTTGTGGAAAACATCGGGGCGTGTCTTTGTAAAGTGACACATGTTTCATATGAACTGAGCTGTGGGAGTCTATCATAAAACCATTATTTTCACAAAGTCTAACTAACATATCTCATATGTGGACTATGTTACTGGGATCCTTCAGAAATTGAGAGAGCAGTGACCCATGCAAACCATGCCGTATAAGAAACATCGACCATCCCTCTGCCCATCCCTCCATTCAGTCGTCCATCCATTCATCCATCTCTCTGTCAGCTCTGTATCAGCTTGTGATGATTGGGGTCTGGTCAGTTGATCTGCCGGGTCTCTGGGGAACGAGAAGACTTAAGTTACAGTTGGAGAGGCCATCTCACTTTTCGCGCCATCCAACCTTTTCAGTCCCCCTCCCCCTCTATTTCGCCAGGTGACCCATCTTCATGACCCACGGAGGAGGAGTCATGTTTCTCTCTTTTTCTTCCTCCCTCTGTCTTCTCTCTGTACGTCTCTCTAATTCATTTTAAAGATATCTTATTGGATTAACCGTCAAGACTGGCTCAAGACGAGAGCTAACAGTGCCTCAGACATTAAATAAAGCTGTACCAGGCTTTTCAGTGCAGAGATTTATCTCTAAATAGCACTTGACAAACTTTAATCTTGTAATTCAAGTTTTAATAGTGTCATTATTTGTAGTCTGACAGCCTCCCTAGTGTGTGAGAAGCACCCAGCGAGATTTACGGCTTCTGGCTGTTGTTTGGAGTCTTGCCAGTTTTGTAATGTTTTACACCACAGGCTGCAGCGGTTGACAGTGCACAGACAGACAGCTCCTTTAATAAACTGGCTGCCTGTGTGCCGTAATAATTCTTACCAAGAAACTCCTCTCACTGTTTCTTGAGTAAATATGGCTTTAAGTGTCAAATCCATCATCTGTGTTTGCTTTCTCTTGTAGTATCTGCTCTTTTTATTCAGATTGTACAAGAGAAAACTCTGTAATGGTTCAATGAAATAAAAGAACAATTTAAGATATATTATTATGATTCGGCAGCTTTACAAGAAAAGCGCGATCTTCTCTCAAACCAGCGTGGGTGGTTTGACACTAATGAAACTCGAATCAAGATTTTGATCAAAATCAGTTTCTCTGATTTTCTTTCCTACAGAAGTTTTGGTTTTAGGTTTTGGTTTCAGGCAGAGCAGTATCAGCTTGTATTTAGCTGCTGGGTTTTGTTTCTATATTTGCGCCTCCCTTCTGCCACATTCGTGATGTGTTAGAGTGGTGGGGTTGTGGGGCAAAGTCGATCTGCCTTTAATCTACCAAAAGAGGTAACAGAGGCGTAATGGGGTAAAAATGGTGTCACAGTGGGGCAGGCATGGCAGAACGGCGTAATCACACCCTGGTGTAAAAAAAAAGATTTTCTCAGATCAAAACTTTTTTTTTTAATCAGTACACATTTAAATTTTTTTGTTGGAAAGATCATACCTGATAGTTTCGGTACAGTCCTGGAAACTAAACCTCACTAAATTCTCGTAAAGGTGAAGCTACAAAACGTGAGGAAACAGTGACAATTCATTGCCGGGTTGAGTTGTCGATTATTCTTTTATTCGTATGAGCACTTTTGTCTTTGAATCACAGATAATAAACCATGAAGAATAGCACGCTTTGTGTTTGTCATACATTTTTAACACTTGTATACACAGCTCAGATGACAAAGTGACAACACGCTATGAGCTGACACTGAAACAAAAAGAGCATTGCACATTGTTAGTGAATATTTTTATTCAGTTGTTGCACGTCTTTATTTCATATTCAGCTAACAGGTAGAAGAAAGAGTCGTGTTTCATGTTTTTCATCATGGTGAAATACAGTGAGGAGGTGGAGATGTGTTATTATTACGTTCTCTCCCTTTGTGTTGCCTCGCTCCCTTTGTGTGTCTCTCTGCCTGTCTGCCTCTGTCAATTCACATTAATTGCATTTTATTGACATGACAGGAATGAAACCTATGCATCCAACACCATAGAGCATATCGACCCACATCCTATTTTATAGACCTCACTAGACAACTGTCCCTCTCTTTCTATCCCAGTGTCTGTTTCTCTACCAGCTGTGGCTTTAGCTTCATGCTTAGAATAGCGATGTATCTTAAGTGTAACGTTACATTTAACTTCCCTTATGTGGAGGGGACGTATCTCTAACACTTGATATGAATTGGTCTGTCATGCGAGTGAGTGGTGGTGGCTCTGCCTGGACTAAAGATAGCAAATTCCATACTCTCAAGGCTTTTTTACCTTTTATGTCCCTGGCCATGCATTAAAAATAAAACAAACGTGCCCCGGCTTACAGCAGGCTCCTGACAATATGCTGCCCTGACGTACGAACATATAAACTAAACAGCCAGGGGCTGCTCGACATAAAGTAAACTCAAAGCATGTGCAGTCCAGACACTTGTCTCTCCTGTTAGTGTCTCTCTGTCCTCGGTTAATGAAGGGCTTGGACTGCTGTTGATTTATAATACCTAAAACCATCTTTTTATGGCAAAGTATAAATTACTTAAAATAATCTACTCAGGTGTACTTAATAATGCATTTCTTATCTTTTTCAAAACAAGAGATTTTCTGTTGTGTTGTAGCTTTTGTTAGTAAAACTCATAATATTAATATTTGATGGGAAAAAATAACATTGCACCAGAAGATCGATTTCATTTTGAAGAGCAAAAAGATGTGTTATATCATGAAATAATGTCCTTTTTGAGCAGAAATCAACAAAATACATAGATGATAGTATAACCGTTAATTCTTCAAGCTCTCTGCCAATCATACTCCATAGATCCAAACACAAATACATAAAATAAACAACTTTAATACAGCACCTGCTAAGAGGGACTCCAATAAATACCAGCAAAAAAATTGTTTTATTTACTCTAAAGTTTTATTGATTGTCTTTGTTTCCGTTTGAAGTAAAAAAAAAAAAAAAAAGAGGAAATGTTTTACTCTGCTTTGTCTTTAAATTATTCTAGCTCATTTGTTTTTGTTTGAACTTTATCAGACTGTGTCTACACGACGGCATCTTTATTTTAAAAAGGAGTGTTTTATTACTCAAACATCCTCCAGCAAGATAAGAGTTTGAGCAGCGTCCAGAACTAATCCTTGTCAATACTAACACAGCTGAAAACACATGACATCAGCATTCACATACATTTAGCATTGACACAATGGTGTTCACGGACACCTCAAAGGTCATGTCACCCAAAACAGTGATGCCATGTCGCACCCAGGATGTCACCAGAGACAGGACAGACTGGAATATACGCCTGTCTGTTTTACAAGTGGGCAATAGAAGCTCTAAAAAAAAAAGATATTTTACCTGTATATCCAAAGTTAGCAGTGACAGTATAGTTGGCTAAGCCTGTGATCATTTATCCTTGCTGAAATAACCACTGCTTGTTCAGATTTTGTGACAATTTCCTCTATTGAAACATGTGGAAGTGCTAAACAGGAATGTCCTGATACAACTTTTTTACCTTCGATACAATACAGATATTGTAGCCTTCAGTATTGGCCAATACCGATATTGATCCGATATTAGCACAAACTTGTGCATGACAAGTTTTGCACTCAGCTGCAACATTTTTTTCAGAGTTTAACAAAAAATACTGCCTCACGGCTGACATCACTCCTACTTTTTGCTACTTTGTTAGTATCTAAGTACACACTGTTGTTGTGATTATGTAGGTTGTGTCTGAAATGGACTGCTTGTATTGGATTACTGATATTGAAGATTTTGGATAAAGGCCGATATAATCCAATATTTATTTTTTTGCTGATATCGGACCGATATTTGATACTAATATCGTATTGGGAGAACCTTAGTGCCAAAACCTGCAGTTCCTTGAGAGACCACTAGAGGCTGGCTCCAAAAGTCAGAGAAGCCTCATCAGTGCTCTTACACATTCTTCAAAACGGACTTAAACAAGACGGTTGATTTTTTTTTTTCTTTTTTTTTCTTTTACTGTGTGTTTTGATAAAAGCTGATCATTTTTACACATATCGAGATTGTGATTTGACTGACAGTTGAGTGTTAGCTACGTGCCAGGCGGTCCGTACAACACCTCTTTAGCCCTCCTTGTACCACAACTCAGCAACAGGACTGAAACTGAGTTCTGCCATCATTCATCACTGGGCCTCTGCTTACACATTTACACCTTGAAATGGCATGATAGTGGCGTCCCAGTGTGTGATTTCACATCACATTACAGAATTGTAGAAGCACGAATGATACAGCTTGTAAACACACACCGGGAGTTTCACACTCAGACATGCACTCACACACGGCACTGTGCCGCCCTGCAGGCTCAAAGGCTGCAAATCGCCCTCTTCTCCGACTACCTCCAAAGCAGGATCAGAGGTAAAATGAGTTTGCCTGCGTATGTTATACACTGAGAGTAACAGGGAGTAGCCGAGATATATATCTAGCCTGGAAATAGCAGTGTCTTAGCACCATTTGTCTATTTCTAGGTTAACCGGAAATTGGAGTCAGCATTTTCAACCATCATTACTGAGCTTTAAAAAACCTCTTCAAACTCTGGAGAGTCATGTCACTGAAACTCTGTCCATATTTTTTACAGTTTATAATTTTACTGATGTTTTTTCTCTTTTGAAAAAGGCTTGACACAGAAAGAAAGGGCGTGAAAAGACTGATAGGGCTAATGTAGCTGGAGAGTCAGAGTGTAGACGCAGGTGTATTAAATTGACCCAGAGAACCCGAGCGTGGCCCAGGTCGAGTTTAATCTGACGTGTAGATATGGAGTGACGGAGGAAGAAGGTGTGAGTTGCTAGCAGGGGTGTGTGTGCTCTGAAAGGACTTGCCATGAGGCCAGGGGCTGTTTGTTTTGGCTGACACCTTCCTCACAGCAGTAATCCAGTCTTTCTCCAGCTGGCTGGCTACTACACCTCCCCCTCTCCATTTCTTTTTTTCCTTTTTCATCCTTCCTTCCCGACTATTTTCTTTTCTCACCCATCTCTCTGCTGATCTCTTTTATACCACCTTTCTCTGCTTCTCTTTTTTATTGTTTTTCTTTCCTTCCTGCTGCAAAAATGTGAATACTCTAAGTCCAAAAAAGGTCAATCAATCCACCCAGATTCATCTTTTTGAATTGATCACTATATTCAAAGCAGCCAAAGCCAGTGAGGTTGTTGTGTGACGTTTCCTTCCCTCTCTTCTTTCTTGACTGTAGATGAGTGGTGTAACCTCACACCAGCTAATGCTCATTCAGTAAAAAATTAATTTCCTGTGTTGTCCGCTGGAAGGCTGTCGCTCTCTGTCACTTAATTATTTAAAAAATGCCCATCATGTGAAGTCAGCGATATGTAATTTACCACTGCTGGCGTCAGGGGCACCCGATTGATTTATTATAGAAGGCCTTTAATGTGAACAGCTGTTTCCTACTAAAAATAGGTCAGGGGTCAGATCAAATGACCTTGTTCCTTTTATTTTGTTCCTCACACTGAGAGAGAAAGAGCGGCTTTGGTGTGTGAAGTGGGAAATGGTCGTGTTTAGTTTAGACCTACAGTCTGCCTCTGTTTGTGAGCGATTTCCTCAACGCTTCGGGGCCAGTCTAAGTGACTACTTCAACAAATGAGATAGTCTGTATCAGAATTAATATCTAAAAGACTTTTTACTTGATAAGATGTTTCTCTAGATAAGTGGTTCTTAAGTCCAGTCCTCGAGGCCCACTGTCCAACACACCTGATTCAAATGATCAGCTCGTTATCAAGCTCTGTAATGGTTTAATAACGAGCTGATCATTTGAATCAGGTGTGTGGACTTGAGAACCACTGCTCTAGATAAATCCCTTCCCTTTCATGCTGTTGTGTGTAAGTAAATCCTCCCGTTCAGAGGTTACAGACACCAAAACTTTTCAAAGTAAGGGTTTAAAATGCAAAACTCTCTCCAAACGTCTGAATCAAGCTCTCACTCCCCTTCTGTCTGACTCTCTATCTGCGTCTCTTATCATGAGAAGTCTAGCCGTTTGAAGACTTGCCGTGTGGCTCTTGTGTTCTCACTGGAAGCTGGAGGAAGGACTTAGGGAGTGGTTCAGGGGCCCTCAGCCGTGGCACTTCCCACCAGAGTGACCTCTGACCCCTGGTGCCATTAATCACTAGGCTCCTGATGGCCCTGTCCCTGGGGGAAAATCAGTCCGGGGCAAAGGATGATGGGAGGTGAAGCCTGCAGCCAATTACAGATCGTCTCAGAGCAGCCAAGTGGACAAATCGGGGCTTTACAGGGGGATGAAATACCCAATGGTTGCCTGCCTGAGGTCTGCATATCCTGGTGCCAGGAAGTGGTCTCGTGTCATTGCTGATCATGATGTCTCTCTGAGGAAAAATAAGCAATAAAAAATTCAAACAGCAGGACAGGGTGCATATTGAGGGAGCTGTGAGGCTGCAGAGTTGGGTTGCTGTGATCAAAAGCGATGTGCTACACCAGTCTAATTAAGCCTGTTAGAGCTAAATGTCTCCAGGGTTGGAAACGGAGCAGATGTCGGACACCAAAGGCAGGCGGCACGTTGATTCCCGTAAATTAGGGAACTCTCTGGCCAACTGCCCGGGTGTTGCTAATGTGATTTTTGGTCAATTACGGTTTTATCAAAGGTGCTTTCATATTGGGCTCGGGGGGTATGCTGACATTTGAAACCTGGCTGATGTCAGCGGTGACTTATTAATGCTGTTTTAGGTTTTCTGCTGCACTTGTAGACAAGTGTTTTGTTTGGAAAAAAAGTCCCACACTGCAGACTTTTTCCCTCTCTGAAGCTAATCCAGCCTGTTTTGTCTGACTCTTGTTCTGCTCTCTGTAAAAAGGTCCCTGTAAATACATTAAACCTGATCTGATTTGACAGCAGCTATTGATGAAGGGCTGAATAAAAGCATAGGCGTGAATTAAAGCCTAACTAACTGCTGGCCTGTCACTATGGGGCCAGCGCTGTTGTGTCTCATTTGTTTTGCTCTCATTGTTCACGTCCAGGCCAGTATGAAAACATGGCTTCCTGCTGACCTGCAGTTTAATTCACACATCAATAACCCCTGGCTGATCTCTGACCCCTCCAGTTGTACTAATTGTTTGATGCAGGATTGATGTCCAGCGCTGCATTAAATAACTGACGAGGCCGGCAGCAAAGCATTCCTGCTGCTTTGATCTGCTGCGTGTTCTGGAAATGTTGCTACTGCAAAGAGAAAAGGGGGGAAAGTCTGCGTTCTCCATTTACTTTACTACAGCCACACAGAATGGAAAAAACAAACTTAGAGCCTTTAAAAAAAGAGACGACCTTGATTTAGTTGCAGTTATTTATTATCACATCAAATGACTGGTTGTATTTTTATTATATATATATAAACACTAGTTTATGCGCTTTTTCCAAGTGAGTATAAAAAGTATATAAATGCATGTTCCTATAAATTAAAAAAATACAATAATATGCATTAAAGGATTAGGGCTAATCTCTCTTATTGGATAACTAAATGGGCGTACAGACGTGACATTAAATACTTAATCATTGTTCCCTTCCTGTCCTCACGCTCTCAACAAAGCTAATCCACATTAACTGTAAAGGAAGCCGGCATCTTGGCAGCACCTTTCTTGGTTTGCGATTTTGTTAATTGGTTCTGGAGATAACATGGCTGTTTTCCCAGAACAGCATTTTCTGCGGCTTTGACAAGCTGAACAAAATTATCCATGTACAGCACATCGTGTTGCTGATGCCTCCTTACTGGGTTAGAGGAGGCTTTCCAGTTCTGTTTAAAGGGCAAGTTTGCTCTTAGTATATCTAATGAATATCTAATGTCACGACCAGTTTCAATTAATGCAAAATAACACCATCATGTATCAGAGATTTATCAGTTTAGGACGGCACTTACAAACTTGAAAAGGTGTTTTTTTTTTGTTTCTTTGTTTGTTTGTTTGTTTTTAGGGAGATTTTACTAGATTGTATCAGATTTTATGTAATTATTTTTTATTTATTTATTCATATTTTTAATTTGATGAAATACAAATGCAGACAATTAGAACACATGAAAAGTAGAAAACAAAACATGAATTCCATATTTTTTGGAGAGCGAAAAGGAGTAGGTTGAAGCTATTTAGTTTGAATTCGATTTAAAACATTAACCTTAAACACTTCAACCCTTCCTATGGCAACCTTAAACGTTTGTCAGGAGTTGATCTTTTTTACGATAATATCCATAAACAATAACTTTTTTGGGTGTGTCACTCATTCGGTGTCCAGTTTAATTGTAAAGATGAGAGTAGTAGCCTTTTCCTCCCTTTAGCCTTCAATTCCTAAAACCTTACTGAAATCTATCCGTTGCAGTATTTGCATGTAGAATGAAGAAACCATGTTGGCAAACAGTGATTGTTCAATGTCGAAGCCTCAACGGCTTTCCCAACCCCCATCTATAGACTCAGTGTTCAATAATGACATGTATATTAGCAGGTTACAACCATCTCCCACCTTACCCAAACACAGTCCTGCCTTTGTTGTCTATAAATCTGTTACATTTCCAGATTAACTAAAGAGTGATTATTATCCAACACTCTGAGCAGTGGATGTATCCTTAGGTCCTGCTGCACCACCACCACCATATTAGAGCTCTTATTAAGCAGTGTGCTTAACAGGTCAGAGCCGTGGCCCCCTGACACTGCTGCCACACCTTCCTGATCTTATGTAGGTCCATGTGTTCACCTGGCCCCTTGCACATGGCTTTAAGACATGTTGCTAACTTAAGAAAATGAATCAGGGCTAATCTTCATGGCCTGATCACTCTGCTATTTTACAAAGTCATTAATGAGTCTGATTCCAGGTTAAGAGCAGCCTGTGGAGGGGCTGAAGGATTGCCTGGCATTAGCTGCGAGGGCAAATCTGCGCGGCTCCCCTGCACCGGGCCCGGCAGCACTAACAGCAGAGGGGTGTGGATTTACTCGGTACAATCCTCTAAATGAGCTTCATTATACTGGCCTATCCAGGAGCCCCCCACCCACCGCTGCTCATGGATTAGCAGGCCGTCACAATCCCCGGTCCCCTCCTCCCGCTCCATGCTTACACTGTTGCACATTGCACTTTTTGATTCTGTTGCATACGGCAAACCACCCCCACCCCTCCTCCTCCTCTCCCCCTCCTCATCGTCCTCCTCCCCACGCGCTCCCTGCAAGCTCCACTGCAGATAAGCTGTTGACAAGATTAATGCATCTGTATCAAAAGTCTAGAGCCGCTTTGCTTTGTGTTGTTTGCGAATCCCCTTTTCCAGGTCAAGCCAGATTGCCTTAACTGGGCTAATATGTTTTCAAGCCAAATTTAACAGGCGGTCCAGGCAACAGGCCTGCTCACCCTTGTCCTACCAGCATCCTGACAGCTCTTAGATCAGCTTTGACCTCACATGATGACCCTGTTAAGTTTCAGTATTAATAAGTGAGAAATAATTGCAGTGCTCTGAGTTCATCCTGTGATATCTTTCACACTTTGGCAGAAATAAACATGTTATTCATTTGAGGTGATAATATCTCTGTCTAAGGGAAATGTTGAATAATATAGTGTTCAGTCTAGTTTTGCTTTCACACACAAACATGCATTTTGAAATCAAATTCATCCGCAGGAAAGCATTCATTGTGCGCCACTTAGCTAATCCAATTCAGATGCATAATTTATACCGTATTGATTTATTTTATGTTTTTTCCTCTCTTCTATAGGAACCCCAGTCAATCGTATCCCCATCATGGCCAAGCAGGTCCTGGATCTGTACATGCTTTACAAACTGGTGACCGAGAAGGGAGGCCTGGTGGAGGTTATCAACAAGAAGATCTGGAGAGAAATCACAAAGGGACTCAACCTGCCTACCTCCATCACCAGTGCAGCTTTCACTCTGCGCACACAGTAAGTCTTTGTGTCAGCTCCCTGCTCCGTCTGATGTAAATCTTATGTAAACCATGATTTAATTTACTGGATGTAAATAAAGAATTTCAAGTGTGCCACTTCTATGCTGGAACAAGCACCTTCCTTATGCCATAAATACTCTGTTTATGTACGAGTATGTGTGTGTGTGTCTGCTAGTATGTGGATTTGCGTGTGTCACTATGAGTACGGATGTCAATATTAACCCTTGCCTCTGTGTTTATACACATGCAAGTTTGTTTCCTCCACTGGGCCACCTTCCCTCTTCACATTCAATCCCTTCGTCCATTACATCACACATAGAGTCCATTGATTCCCATAGATTTATTGATGTGATTTGGGTCAGAGTTCACAATGACTAAGGTGGGGTTTGACTGACAGCCTCTTCACGAGCCTCAGCTCCGACTCTCCAGCTCTCCTTGAGTAGATGTAACACCTCTCGATGCTGTCCACTAGCAGCGTGCCCTAATGAACCTTTATGTATTTTTAATGTTGCAGGACTGTTGTGTAGCATTTTTCCTCCAGCTCTATCTAATGGACGCTCCTCTTAGCATCTTATTGATCCTGTTCCACCATTATGTAGCGTGTACTGTATGCTTATTTCACCCTATAAAAGACATGTCAGAGCTGTGCCTGCACGTATATTTCAGCATGCGCTTTAATCAAAATTTTCATCAAATTCTTCAGTGCAACTTAAGTTTGTCTGCAAGACTAACTGTCAGACATCTGGAGTAACCTGATTTCGTGGACGTCATGTAAAGAAGAGGACCTGGTTTCTATAATCAGGGGCAGCTATTAGAGAATCACAGTAAACACGGTGACATTTCTCCCGGACAAACCGCATTTTTCTGACGTCTGTACGCGCGTAACCAGGCGTCAGACAAGGTTTAAATGTGTGAATGAGCATGAAGGGGTCTGGACTGTGAGACAATGCCGGTGATAAAAGGATCGTTCTCATCGCTGCTATTTTCCTCTTTCACAAGATTAAGCCTCAACCTGTGACTTAAGCGGAAATGAACCTAAAGAAAAACAATTTTAACAACTATAGCAAACCAGTTTTTACAGCTCAAAGGCAGACGCTGAGAAATTTTTACCTGAGGAGAAATTTGGACCTCTTCCTAGTAAAAATTTACCTTCAACCTAGATCTGCCTACAATAGAAAATGTACAATCAGTGAACATTTGATATTACTGATAACATAGCTGATATGTTTACGTATTCTCTTTAAAAACAGGTTTGCACAGCTATTTCACTGCAGTACCTTCAAACACAGTAGTTTGTTGTAGTTATTTTCTTCCTCATTTAAAGAACAAAGTTTAATTTAATCCAAACAAACTAAATTATTCTGATTATAAACTGATCAAACGCAACATGGTATATAACAGTAAAAACTTAAAACCTGTCTGTGCTTAAGAGGGATAAAGGTATTTAAGCTTTTATCCCAACGTGTTTGAAATACTGTGTTGTTTTTGCACCAATCCAACCTGCTCTCACAAAGTAATTTAGTAACAGTAAATCTTATTCTGTGGTAATCTGACATGCGTCCTTTTGTCCGTGCATTTTCATTTTAGGTACATGAAATATCTGTATCCGTATGAGTGTGAAAGGAAAGGCCTCAGCTCCCCCGGCGAGCTCCAAGCCGCCATCGACAGTAACCGCCGCGAGGGTCGTCGTCCCAGCTACAGCAGCAGCCTCTTCCGCTTCTCTCCTTCTCCCAGCACTGCTCCCCACATCCTCTCACCTCCCAAGATGCACCTCTCAGCTCTTGGAGCGGGAGCCTCAGCAGCCCTTAACGGCCTGCAGGCTTCACCAGGACCCTCTCTGAAGAAAGGTAAGAACCAAACACTAGACATCTGGATTGAGGGTTTCTGATGGTGTGGTTTTTCAATGTTTATCAGTTGTTACATTTGGGAAAATATCAGCTGCCACGTGTTTAACTCACATATGCTTAAAGTCTTAAGAGTGGGGCGTATATTTTTTTCCACATATAAACAATTTTTCTGAATGTTGGGGTCACTCTCCTGAACTAGCCTGCCTGCAGGTGAACAGGCAGCATGCATTTAGGGTGGCTTTAGGGGGAGGACGAGGGTCTCTGGAGATAAAAAAAACAGACATACATACATGAACATACTCAGAAAGGCCTCTCAGGCTTGATGAAGGTTATATTAAACTGGGTAAATGTTTACCTCAGAGAATGCAGCCACTCTGTACCGGTTGGATTGAACTGGAGTGTTCCAGTTACTCAAGCACTGAGATCATTAGCATACGAAGGGAAATACTGCCCCCTGTCACCAGTCAGGAAAACTGCACTTAGCAACAGCAATGGATAAACAAGAGCAAGACTGCTCATGCCAATAATGCTTCAGTTCAAGTGACCTTAGGGTGTGTTTTAAAATTTATGCATAATTAAAATTTAACGTATTTTTAAATCTCTTGCAAAAATGTAGAAATAATGCATTTGCACTGATACCTTGTCTTACAATCCTCCAACATGCCGTGGTTTTCCCGCCATCAGTGTGTGTGTGTGTACTTTTAAGTGTTTTTATATGACTTTGTTATTGCTAGTGTGTATGTGTCAGGTCCATCCAGGTGTTTAGGAGTCCATGTGTGAACCTCTTTAGCCTCAGGCAGCAGAGAGCCCTCACCTTTACTACTGATTAATAACACGGTTCCCACGCCGGGGGTCTCTTTATGAACTTTGAAGCCTCAGACCACATCAGTGGGATCCTGTTGATAACTGTCATTACGCCTCTGTCTTATCTGATGTCACTTTGACTTGACTGGAATGTGACTCCGCCGTGGACTCTGAGAGTGTTCATGGTTTTGAGTGTGTGCGTGTAATGTGCAGTACTTTACCTGTCAGTGTGTTTATGTGGTAGTATAGGATAGCACATGGTTGGACTGACCCAGTCTGTCACTTTTGATGTGTGAGTGCTTTGCATACCAGAAACCAGCTCTGATTTGTGTTTATTGAAATCAGTGGTGGGATTCTGGGAAGACTGGGACCAGAATGGTATTTACAAGAAGATCACAGCGGGGCTCATTGAATAATGGTTTAATCTTTATACAACCTAGACCAGTGGTTCTCAAGTCCAGTCCTCGAGGCCCACCTGATTCAAATGATTATCTCGTTATCAAGCCATTACAGAGCTTGATAACGAGCTGATCATTTGAATCAGGTGTGTTGGAGCAGGGAAACATCCAAAACATGCAGGACAGTGGGCCTCAAGGACTGGACTTGAGAACCACTGACTGACACTAAGTAAAGAGTATATTTCATACTCTTTTGGTGATTTTAAATTAGTTTATAGTTTAAAGAAATTATTTTGTTCGAATTGTAATTCCTACTGAAATCTATGTGAAATCCACCTCTGAGCTTTTCGAGCCCTGAAAATATTCCCTTAACCTTCCATAACCTTGTTTTTTTTTTGTCGTATAGATATTTTTATAATTTCTTTTCATATTCTGAATGGTCAACTAATACTGTTTTTTAAACTGTAGATCATTAAACAGTTTGTTGGCTGATTGCCCATTTGAAATACTGATATTAGGGTTCGATTTAAACTGGTTTTACAGGGCAGATACTGAGTATTAGTAGTTCATGAGACCAGTCACTGTTGTAAAGAACCAACATTTTGGACCAATGTGTGTTGACAGTAAAAGTTTTGAATTTGTAATAATGCAAATTTCAAAACAAAACTTTGTTTAAATGCCTGAAGCAAAGATTTAATAAAAACTGGAATGTTTAAAGTTTATCAAGCAGTTTAATCCCACAGTCTTGTGACATCTAGACAATAATAGTGTTGTGGTCGAGATATAAATGATAAGCCCCAATAAAGCGACCCATCCAATAAGATTTTCCATTTCTGAAATATTTAGACAAGAATGAACAAAAAGCCTAGGGTACAAAAAAGTCCTGTATTTGTTGCTGACTCTGTCTCTAAGAACTTTATTGATCCCTGAAGGGAAATTCATGTAAGTCTTGGCCAAGTTCTCTGCATCTGTAGCCATTGCGGATTAATAGACCCCTTCATAACTTAAAACTGGAGAGCTTGCCATATAAGAATGAGTACTTAAAGTAATTGTTGTGGTGCTGAGGGGTTCTCTGCCAGACCCTTGTGGATTCATACTGCATCAATTGTGAGGACAGAGTGACTTCATTCACTTTTTAAAACTTGCTGACTGTCTTTTACTCTAGTTTGCACCTCAGCCATATTTAATGAAAAAATTAGATTGATTAAATTAAACCAGCCGGCTCTGTCTCCTTGGTATTCTTATCTGAACTGTACTTTGAGAGTCTCCTGTAAAGTAGGCAAAGCATGGGCAACCATATAAATGGTTATAATTCTGGAATTTATATTTCGACTGTGTTGATAATGAATCCAGCTGAATAGATAAAACATACCCTCCATTCATCTCTCTTCCAGATGACCTGACCCCCTCCATCATGGCAGCCAGACCCTCTATGGCACTTGCCCTGGGTCAGCAGCAAGTTGCTGGTTTGGCCAGAGCCGCCACTCTTGAGCAGCTGAGGGAAAAACTTGAGACCGGTGTAGAGGGACCAGAGAGGAAGATGGCTCGTCTGGCAGAGGAGCAGCAGCGCCTGATGCAACAGGCTTTCCAACATAATCTGCTGGCTATGGCCTCCCAAATGCCAATGAACCTCCGCCTTGGAGCCCCCACCATCACCACCAGAGGTCAGTGCTGCTCATCTGTATTCAAATTCAACTTTATGTATATGGTACTTTTCATACAAGAATGTAATTCAAAGTGCCTCACAGAGACTAAAAACAACAATAAAACCTGACCCTTCCACCTACACACACTGAATTCTGTGGAAAGAAACTGGAAATGATGCAAATATGGTACATTTCTGTAGAATCAAAACAGGAACTTAGAGTTGGGAAAGTTGTTCTTTAAAAAGTTTGTTACATAAACTTATGAACCAACACCCACCTGCTTGTTCTATATGTCCATTCTGGTTTCTTGATAAACACTTTGACTCATACTTTCTCTTAAGTAACCTCTAGTGGATATGAAACGATGGAAAGGACAGTGATCGAAGAGTTTCACTTTTCTGAGTAAGCCTTTCAAAATAAATGATGTAAATCTGTTTTTTTCCTCAGAAGAGAAACAGCAGGACATGTCTCTGAGCATCTCTACCAATGGAAATGCCAGCATCACTGTCTCAGTGGAGGTCAATGGCACAATCTACTCAGGTTTGTAAACAGCCTTTTTTTCACAGCTGTGTTAACACTCAGTTCTGATCGGTCATTTTGTAGAAAAGGCTAGTGTGTTTATATCAAGTTTAATGTGAGAAATAACAGCCAAGTTTTCTGATTTAAAAAGGCCACAGAGTTAACTTTACTGTGATACAGCTCCAACCATGAGAGTAACAAACTATTTTCACTTGGAGTAATGTCCAGTGAGTGGTATGTAATAGCCCTGAAAACAGACTTTATCCCATAATCCAGTGCAGTGTCTATTTCAGACTTTATGCCCACTGAGCATTTTTGGTCTAAAAAAGGTCTAAAAGACGTCTAAATGTAGCCTAGACAACTGGTCTAAAGTCAGGCTACCACAGGTCTAAAAATTAAAATTTTGTAGACGTCTAAATTTAGACATAGTTTAGACCAAGTCTAAATCTGGGCTGTGTCTATACTACACTGTATATTGCTCAGCAGCTATCATAATTACTTTGGTTAAGTTCTTGGAGATCAGTTATTTAACTCACTGTTGCATTTTGAAATAAATAGTTATCGAATAATGGGTTAAAGTGCAACGTCTGAATTCCATCTGAAAATAAACAGAATCTAGACGTTGAAATTAGGTCTAAAAAAAAAAGAAGTGTCCCACAGCCGCCTGTTGCTCAGCTGGCGGTAATTTCCAAATCTAGAGGACTGTAAATATAGTTCCTGATCTTTGACCTCTGCTATCTATGGTTATGTCTGTCAACTTATATAAGTGCTTTTTATACCTAAACCCTTTCTGTCTTGAATCCTCCATGTTAATAATTTCCAATCCTCTTACAGGAACCCTGTTTGCCCAGAAGTCCGGAGGGGCCCCGGGGCCCTCTGTGTCGGCTGCTGCTGCCTCAGCCTCCCCTGCTGGAACCAGCACTAGCTTTGGTTTCTCTGCACCCTTGGCTCAGACCCTCAGCCCCTCGTCCTCCTCCTCCTCTAAGGGTCCAAGCTCGACTGAGCCGGCCCCCAGCGGGTCCCCCTAACTCAGGCTGCCCTCTGTACCTGCTCCTCAGGCCCCTCTTCCACTAGGCGGCCCAGCAAGAAGATACAGTACAATGAGAAACCGCAAAGAATAACAAACTGTTGCACAACAAATACCTCATCAACCCTGTCAACCTCTTGGCTGTCCAATCATGAACACAGAGCCCGAGAATATTATACGACAACATGTGCCCAAACGCACAGCTATGCATTTATTCAACATACAGACACACTCACGCTACACTACAAACACACACACTCACACACAGTTACACCTATACAGAGAAACAATCTACACAAACAGACACTTATTAATTATTATGAACATGCTAAACACAATCAGCTCAGCCAAAACCCACTGACAGGTGTAGTCACAACTGAACTTGAAAAGTTTTATCTTAGGACATTTTGTTTGTTTGTTGCCATTTTGTTGTCTTTTTTTGATTTTGTGTTTTAGAATGATTTTATTTTTAGTTTTCTCTTTTTACATACCTCAAATCAAGTAACCTGCAGTGGTGTCTTTACCTCAGGAGCTGTAGTATATTTAACCTGAATCAACTTTATTTTTGTATTCTTTTTGACCTAGTTGCAATCAGGGGAAGTCGGGTAACTCTCATCAATGGAACCTCATGTACAGAGCACCCACCTGGTAGTGAAAGGCCTCTGACCCAGGCCTGGCTTTAACACGCAGTAGACTTTCACTGAACTCAAGCTGGTGAATGAGCAGATGCTGTAGATCAGCATAAAAAAAAAAAAATCCCTGATTTCATAACAACATCCTCAGATCAGATCACACGAAACCCACTGAGGAGATAGGAGGTTTATCGATGTACTCAAACCTCCTGATGTGGACGTGATCTCTACATACTCTCATTAGTAAATGCACAGGATGTCAAGTCCTCACGAATTTAACTTATTGCTGGTCCGCACAACCTGTCCGTTCACATGTAGCGCACAAAGTTGGAGGTAGTGCAGAATCAGGCGCGGAATCACGTCAACCTGGCGGCGTCATCGTCATTGCATAGTTCTCAGACCTCGTACGGGCCCCTCTGCTTCAGGGGGGCGTCTCTCTTAAACTCTCAGGAAACAACACAACGGCTGCAACAAGAATCACTGTTCATTTAAAGGAAAGAGAAAAAAAAGGAGTCATACCTGAAGAATGCACAAGTCGACTTGACTTTTTCAAGAGTACCTCATCAGGCTTTTCCTAAAGGAGAGCTGAACTACATACCTCATGTGGCTGCAAAGCCATCGAGACTTGACGCCCCCGACCCGCAGTGGAACTCCTCCCTGAACTGGAACTGAACACGATCGTACCGACACAGTGCTGGTGGTTTTAAGGGGGACAAACCCAACTAGGATGGGCTTGTTCCCTCTCCTTCTCTCTCTTTATCTCTCTCTCCTCCCATATTTACTTGTAGAACGTGTTTTATGCTTGCTTCCGTTTTCTCTTTTCTTTTATTTTTGGTTCCTCAAGTTGTTGTCTGAGAAGAGTGATATATATCTGCATTTTATTTTTCAGGGAAGAGTCAAAAAAAATAGTCGGTTCCTCACTGACTCGTGTAGATTTTTTTCGGATTGTGAACAGGTTTCAAGGTTGCAGGAGTCAAAATAAAAATTAAAAAAACGACCACATAAACCTTATGTTTGACTGCGAGTACGTAAATCGCAGCGAACGCATCTTCTTTCATGACAGCTGCGAAATTATATGCATGTGTACAATCATGTGACCAGTGTCTGAACACCTTAATCTGCTGGTTATTGCACAGCTAGAAACCAAAGACTAGCCAGGTCGCTCCTCCTGATTGATCCCTCGTACAATCCTGCCCGAAACCCGCTGTGGTGCACAGCAAGGCAGTTCATCGTCTAATGTGGACTGCAAAAAAAGAAAAAAAAGAAAAAGAAAAAAAAAAAACATCTAATGACATTTAATATAATTTTGAGTTTTTTTCTTAAAGCAAGTGAGAATATCTTTAGATGAGTAAATTTCCCTTGTTTCATCATGTATGGCATGACTTTGAAAAGTTGAGTAAATTTGAAACTGGATCTCAAAGCGAAAATCTGATTCCAAAACTTGTACAGACATCTTTGTGAGCAGATATTTAAGTGGATATCCAGAACAGCAGTGCGGATGAGCTCTCACCTCATTGAATCCTGTCTGTTTAGTGGCCGTTTGATTGGGTTTTTATCTAACACATAGACTCTTTTAGCCACTAAGGACTGAGGCTTTATAAGCGTGGCCTCGACTCAAACAGATTGGTCAACCCTCAAATTGTAAGGCATCCTTTTCCCTTTAATTTTTTAGCATTTTTGAAATACCGCAAAGGTTTAAAAAGAATTTTCTAGCTTTATGTGTGTTGAATGTGAGGCATTTGAAACTGTTTAGAAACCTCCCAAAGCCCAGATTTATCCCCGGTGGGCAGCCTTGATGCTTCTGTTAGACTGTGTTTTAGCCATTACGTGTCAGGTTTTGCAGACGCTTTGCAGTGCAGATCACGGTTTGAGGGTTTGAGGACTTTGAGGACGGAGCCACAAGTTCTTCAGGTGACCCCTTCACGACCCTGTATGACACATAACTGTATTTTATAAAGGTGAGAACTGTAGAAGCTGCCTTAAAGTAGTTGCTGGTGAGATCCGGCCAGTGCAGGTTTCATGACTGCGCCGGTTGGGAAAAGTCTTCAAGCTTAATCCTTTGGAGAGTAATCACTTTTCTTTTGGTGAGCAGTTCAATCAGACCTTAGGCTTCAGTTGTTTTTCATGCTGTTGACAACTGACTTTTACTATTTATTTCTTTGTTTATTTTTTCTCCTGGTGGACCTTGTTTTAGTAACAGTGGAGCTTAATCAGTTAGGCCGTGTTACTAAAGCACTTTGTTGTTTCCAAGTCCAAGCTTTCTGTTTCATCTGTTTAGCAATGACTGTTTGATAGTGAAGCTTCACTGCCTTTGTATTTGTGCGTGTGTGCATGAGTGTGTGTGTGTATGAATGACTGTGTGTGTGTGTGAGCAGGTTAAGTCACTGTGTTGCAGCAGGTTTTTGACCTGTGGTACTTGTACAAACATTAAGAAAACTGTAGGTGGCGCCAAACATCAAGGCCACTTCATGGACAAGGAGGTTTTTGATCAAACACAAGTTTTTGGGACATTTCCACAATTTTATACCTTTTCCTCTCCATTTGTAAACTGGGAATTTCCCAGTCAAATCATCTGTTTTCTGTTGTTTCAGGGCACTTTGTTGCTCATTTTTCAGTAGGACTCTAAAACATCACAGGTGTCATTCACTCTAATATCTGTGCTCCAAACCAGCAGCCCTCTGCTTTCCTTTCTGACCTCCATTTTTCAGCCACCTGACCTGCTGTATGGATGAGTATACGTGATGCGTGCATGTGTGTGTGTGTTTTAGAGACCGCCCCTACCTCGTCATACCACAATACCTCAGGGCAGTGGGCTGCAGTCACTGTTGCGATGTTGGATGTTGAAGCATCATTGAGGGACGAGCACTGACCGAAGCTGCGGTCACTTGGCTGAATGCTTCTTTGGTTCTGGTGTTGTATTTTTGTCGTCAGTAACTGCAGGTCTCGTCACTCAGGAAGCTGTGAAGTTGGAATTCTGCAGAACCTTTTGTCTCTCAGATGATTTTGGAGTTAATTCAGTTTTAAATTGTTTAAAAAAAAAAAAAAAAACTAACCTGATCTGTGTAAAAACAGGCGCATATGCAAGTGGTTATCGAATACCTCATTTATCAATTTTATGTTGTTGTTTTTGGCTTGTACAATGCTCCGTATATTAATTCAACTGTGGGGTTTGTGCATATTTTTGTACTGTTATTATTATTATGGACATGATAATAATGATATTACTGATATTATAGTTTTCTCTTTGATTAAAGCAAACAAAAAAAAAATGGACAAAACACATGAATGCTTGTAAAAACTGGTTTGTGCTGATTGTATTTAAGAGGAGCACTTTTCCAAAGTGGTTTTCACACATTCAGTTTTGTTCATATTAGTAATATAAAGATATGGTTCTCAGGGCTTTAAACTTGTATGTCATGATAAAGTTTTACTTTATATCTAATTTCCTCCTGTGTCTTTTATTCATTCTTTTTTAAGTGTCATGAGCCAATAGGAAAACATTTGATTCACCACCCCTGCTTTTTATCTTGTGCACATACAACAGATTAGACGCCTGGTGGAGCATTTTCACATCCCTTTAAGTGAGACAGAAAAAGAAACACTCGAGTCAAGGCTGGTTTCTGTCTCGGGTTCTTCTGTGTCCCTGACAGCCAAAAAAAGTCCAATCCTTTGGTTATTCCCCAAGCACATTGTCCACAGCTAGTTCACTATGGGTTGAGTTGTTTCGTTTTATGTTCTAAATTTGGAAGGTCCCCCTCTATCACAATGATGATCAGCAGGCTATCACTCGTGTCCAGGAAATTTCACAATGTGACTGGAGGATATTTTTTCCTGTCAGGCTTGTCTGTGTTTTTACACTGAATCACAAAAAGTACAGGCCAGACTGGGGCTTGCTGGTGTTTTCTACAACTTCTACCAAATTCAGTGAGACTTTAAACCCAGAGAGCACTTTTAACCTGTCATTTAGCAAAGGCTTTTGTTCAAAGCATCTGCTAAATGATACGTTAATGTCAGTGTCAGGTGGACAGTGAGCCACAACACTGAATGATTACTACTTTATCCACAGACCAGTAATATTACTCCCACTTGAAAACACTTTCATCACAGTGACTGTAAATAAGTTTTGGACTCTTTCTTCCTCTGGTCCTGGACTGTGATTATTTTAGAGCCGGTTCACTCAGGTTTAAAGACAGGATCCGGTAGAGTGACATTTACAGTAAACTGGAGGAAGGAAGTGGATTTGCATTTATAAAAAAAGAGGAACAACACGCATGAACAAACACATACAAATAAGGATCTAAAAGTACAAAAATATATTTAAACTTTAAAATAAACAGTATTTGCACAGAATAAAGGTTAAACATTCAACAAAAAAGAGACATTAGAAACTGTTAATTCCTTCATGACTTAATTATTTTGTTAAGGTGGGGCTGTGTGAGGTATTTGTCAGTATTACATGTATTGACCACTCAGGGATCCCAGTCAGCTCAAAGCTGGAACAGAAGCTGGAGATCAGCTGCTGCAGACCACCTCTACTCCACCATGTAATTAAACTAATTTTAACTCATTTTCTGAATCAGGATAACGGCAGCTCACATGAGGCAGGAGTCCAAATGAGTCCTGTTTTACTGAGCGTAGCTGTTACACTGACCTTTAATTTTCAAAAGGTAAATCAGGAAAGTCTTGTGGAAAATGGCTTGATAGCTTTTGTACTGGAGCTGCTCTTTCAACATATGGATATTACATTCACTATTGACAAATACCTCACAGAAACCCACTTCAAAATCACCAGACCACTCTGTGTATCAACAGAATCAACTCAAAATCATGGATGCCAGCTCTGTGCAGGAGCATTCAGTCTTAACAGAGCTGCATGAACATGGAAGCAGAGACACTGTCACTCACAGCTTTGTTAGTTAGATATGATGTTACAAAAAGTTAAATATGAACAAACAGACAATGTAAACAGCAACATCTTCAACAGAAACTCACATGTAGAATATCTGATTATAAAAAGCTACATTCACCTACGATGAAACTTAGAATTCATACACTCAGAAACAACAAATCTATCTAAAACAGCAGATTAGCTGCAACAACCAAGCCTGAGGTCAAACAGGGCAACAGACCTTAATCCTGTGATTTATTTACACACGTCACACATAAGTTAACATCTGATATCTGATGATATGGGTAAAATGTGTTTGCCCTTCGCCCATCGTGCTAATTCTTCAAACATGTTTGAACAAAATGTAAAGTGCTGAAACTCTAAACTTAAGGTGCTTGAGAAAAAAGTGAGACCTTCTTTCTTATACGATGAAATTTTTGACCAAACTTTACAGATCTACTGTGGCAAACATGAGCTGTAGAGACACTTTAAGTGTCACAAAGTCTTACACTGGTTTGCACTTTCTGGCATAAATAGATGTGGGTAAAAAAAAAGTGCAGGTCAGCTGAACATTTATGACACCTTTACACTGCCACTTTGTCATAGTATGAACAACTTCCCTTTCACACATATAAAAACTGTGAAGTGACCATGCTCTGCAGTTTTGAGGTAGTATTCAAGATACAAAATAACAGCCTGAGGCACCTGTCACCTCTGTACTGAAAGTTTCACATTACAAGAAACATCAAAAGACTGATAATAAAAAATAAGTGAGAGTCTAGACTGTTAAAAGTCTCTGGGTTTGTGACAACCCTTCTACACACAACTACAATCTGTCTACACTGATTGTAGTGACAATTTTCTGTAAATGCATCTTAAATCCGACGTCTTCTCTTCAATCTGCGAGTGGCATATTTATCAGGGGACCTAGTTTTTGCAAATCTTTCACTAAGCTGGCATGATAACAGAATTATACTGAGTACAATTACAAAAAAAATAAAATATTACATGGTAAAAGTACATGCAGAAGTTCATTTAAGCAATCCATTAAAAAAATGATTGATTTCTATAATCAGTCAAATATGATGTTTGTAGAAAGAAACCATAGACTGTATATACTATGGACAACTTGGCTCTGCCTTCCACCAGTATATGAATTTGAAGCCAAAATGCTCTCAGTATTTCTGGGATTTTCTCCATTTCCTGGAACCACCAAATGCACAATAGCGTTCTACACAATCAGCAGGAGAGTTGCTGTGATGACGCTCTGCTCAAACAGCGTATCCCCCAGATGAGCCACACAATCCCATAGGCTGTATCAGGTGTCAATCATAGAAAACATGAACCCCCTAAAAACTTTAAAAAATGGAGCTGTAATGAAAAAAAGAAAATTTTATATTCTGTGTAATAAACTTATAAGGTTTATTCACAGCTTTTATTTATTTTTGCTGGAGGAGGTGGGATTCATGACCTATACTGAAGCCTGTCACCAGAGGGTGCTGTTCTCACAAAGGCTTCACCCAGGGAGAAGGCAGACAGTGTCCATTCTATATACAGCCTACGAAAGAAACCTACACAAAAATGTGTGTATAAACAAATGCAAACTGCTGGACACAGTGAATTTTCGAGTCCTCATGTTTCAGCCAGGTCTACTGTTAAACTGCAGACAATGTGAGGTGGGTCAACATGTCACCATTTTCCTCTTTAATCTCTGTGGTTGTTTGTTATTTACTCGATGCTAGCAGGACAGTCAGCAAACAAACCCACACCAGTGCAGCTGATGAATGACTTGCTGCTCTGTTCTCCAGCCTAAGCTGGTACTGCGCCACCACCTTCTTGTACCCGTCCTCCTCTGACACACATTCATAGGTTCCCTCCTTCTCTGCACTCATGCTGTGGATCAGATGAACACACTGAAGGTCCTTCAGGTTGCAGGGTGAGGAGTCCCCACGGTGAACCCAGGAGTACTTTGCATGAAGTGACGACACCGGGCACTGCAGGAAATACTTGGACTTGAGGCGAAGAGGGACAACTTTGCGTGTACCTGACTCACCTAAATATTCAAACAACGAGAAAAGAACACAAAAGCTCTGTTTAGCGTGACAGTTCATGTTTATTCTGTTCTATTTACCTAACCTGTATTTAAGACAGGTTTCTTTTTCTATGTAGAGCATGACAGACTTCTTAGCGAGGTACCTGTATCCGCCACAAGCCAGGATCTCTAGGAAAGGTCTGGCACTAGTGAGAAATTTGTCAAAGCATGATGGGAGACAGTTTCCCCTGAATTAAAACTTAAAAATTAGGATTTTTATGATCAAAAATATATGGGGGTGAAAAGTATAAGTTCTGAAACACAGGTCATTGTTTGAGAAGTAAAAACTACAGAGTGACATTGAACAACACGGCCAAATACCAGGGGAGGTACTTGTGTTAGTTATGAAATGAACAAGAAAAAAAATCTGCAAGTTGAGAAAGATAGCGTAGGCTTCTAAGAAATGGTTGAGTCATTTTATCACTGTGTGAAGATACGAGAGCAAGAGTCAGATCTGCCCAGATCCTTCACTGAGGTCACAGAGACATCTTTAAAAAGATGTATGAACACACTGAGTCAGCAGGGTCCTGATTCAGCTTGAAGACTTGAGTCATTTATTCTGGGTGCAAAAGAGGATGTATTAATATATTAGCTTATTACACAGCTATGATAAGAACTTGATCCTGTTTGGTCACCACCAAGCATCATTTCAAAGAAATAGTCTCTATTTTATCAAAGGTCATCATTACTCTGAAGAGTGGACCTCAGGCGATAAGGGTCTGGCCGTAATATCAACGCCCAGAGAATTCTGGTTAACTCAGCTACTGATAAAAGATGGAAAAGAAGAGATTAGGAGGAGGAGGAGGTGGAGGAGGAGGAGAAGTAGAAGAAGAAGAAGAAAAGAAGAAGTTTATTCTACTTTTACCTATCACAAACACTAAAGTCCTTCGTTTTTGCCTTTATTACCTTAAAATATGACATTTACCTTGATCTGTCATATGATTCTGGCTCATACTACGTTAAATCAGGTATTCTTTTTGGCCAACAAAACCAACAAATTTACTTCTGAATGATTCCAACACACACTGTTCAACAAAAGACTGAGCTAAAGTAAACTCTACAGTTATCACCGTGTTAGTGTAAACTAAGAAGCAAAACTATCAAACTTGCATTAGTGACTTGTACAGAGCACTGTGAGCAGAGGAGGGTATGTGTCATGTCCAACAATAGGAGCTAAAAGAGGAAGCTTACTGACCGCAAAGTTAAAGTGTTAAAAAAGGGTCAAAATAGAGCAGAGCTAGTGTTTATTTCAGAGTTTCTTGGAATAAGTTAACCAAAGTGTTAGAGCGAACTCTGTTTTTAGTGGTCAGTGGCTTAACTTCCATTCTGTGGCCACTCTTTCAACACAAGGGCCGAGCTGACAGGGCTGCTCTGTGGGTATTACACTCACGATTGACAAATACCTGACCATCAAGACGAGCTAACTTCTGTAGACTGAACACTTCAGAACAGAGAAAAGGATTCAGGGTGTTCAAGGCGAAATGATTGAAAAAGAAATAATAGAGGCTGGTGGTAAAGAGAGTTGAAGAGCTTTACACTCTGGTTTATTTATATAACAGGTCAGGTATTTAAAGCTTGAGATCCTGTTTATCTCGTCAGTGTTCATTTTAATCACCTTGCTCATTACACTGTAATTATCCTTTACATATTTGCATGTTTCCAGTAAAGCTTACGGTGTTTCTTTGTTTTTATCCTGCCTACAGTGTAACTCTGACTGTTTAAACTATTTTTTTCCTCCACACAGACCTGTCTTTGTGGTGAAGTAAACAGAATTTGATTATCAGATCAGGAAGAGGAAATCATGATGATGATGAAACATCCTCTCCAGCTATTTACAGTCTCACACAGGAGCATCGGGGTGACAATGATGACAATGATGACATTTTGAAGGGTTACTGCAACAAGCTGACAACTTTGAGGAACTGGGAGGATCTTTTTTTAACAGCATCATTTAGGCCACATAGATTTAACATTCCTGTCATCTTTGAGTCACCTGCTGTGACTGCTTACAAAGCTGCTGCTCAGGGTGATCACATTTAACCTCACAGTCACAGAGTCATTATTTTTAAGCTAACACCTGAAAACACAGGTTGCACTCAGGTATAGTGGTTACAGCTGTTGATTTACAGTTCCTTGTTTCCTGGAAAGTTCCCGGTTTGAATCCCCTGGTGAGCCGGGGCCTCTCTGTGTAGAGTTTGCATGTTCTCCCTATACATGCCTGGGTTTTCCCAGCTACTCAGGCTTCCTGCCTCAGTCTAAAAACATGCTAAACAGGTTAACTGGTCAAACTAAAAAATCTTGAGTTCATAAATAGTTGTTTGACTGTACGAGTCAGCCCTGTGATGGACTGGTGTACCCCGCCTCAAAGACAGCTGGGATTGGCCCGAGTCACCCTGCTACCCTGAACAAGAAGAGGTGGACCTGAAAACATCCACATCTAAACAATAAAGCTTACCAGCCCTGTGTTCTCTTCTTGACCAATGGATGACAGAGAAGTTCTTTACTTGATTTAAGAAATATGTTTGTCTTTGTATGAGCGATGAGTGACATACCTAGTCCGGGACGATGAACCTGTGACAGAGCCGGACAGTCGGTCATATCCTGCAGCGTGTCACTAAAGCGAGGAGACAAAAGTGAAAAAATCATTTAATATAATATAATTTATACATTCATAACAACCTCATAGATATGTTTGTACGGCTTTGTTAACATGCTTATGAAGCATTATTTAAGAGGTGGGTTCATATTAAGTGTAACCCTTTACTGGTGTAAGAGATAGATTTTAGGAGTGACTTCCCTAGGTGTGTGGTTTTTAGAGTTTCACCAAGATGACCCACGGATTCACTTAAGTACAAAAACCAGGCAACAAGGGTTTGCACACTCTATAAGAGACTCTATCAGATTCATCAACACCTTTCAACACCTTGGTGACAAATGATTAACCCATTAACCCTAGTTTGTGTTGAGGGTCTGTCAGACTTTTTGTATTTGGCTACTTTTTTAAATTCAACAATGTTGCTAAAGTTGATGCTGACGCTGTAAAGTTCTGCCATTATCACCACAGGAGCATCCTTAGAGAAAAAGTATGTAAACATATAGCTAACGGCAGATGGTCATTCAGGAATGAGATATCTGTCTTGTCATTACCCTCATTATTTTTCCATCCTCTAGGTTAAGGACAAGAATAAAAGTGCTGAAAAATGGTCGTCTATGTAAACTCTGATTAGGCATTTTGTGAGTTGGAACTATTGGTCTTGGAGGTGGACCAACAACACCCCTCAACTAAGCCAGAAGTCAAGCTAGTAGTAGAGAGTAAAGCGCTGCAAACGTCTTAGCTTGTAAGACCAAAGAGGCCCTACTCACTCCAAACAGTGTAAGGATGATGATAAGATGGACTAAACAGACTAGTTTGAAAGGAATATTATTACAGACATTTTTCCCATATTATATAATGAGATACCTCAACACTTGAGATATTTTGTAATTGTAGTAACTCGTCATTGTATTTCTGAGTAATTTTGGTTAGTTTCCCAACACTGGTGGTCACATGTTTATTTAGAAAACAAACAGCCAAACCAATGAAACTGAAAATAATCAATGACTCCTCTCATCTGCATGCAGTGATACTTGTTCTTCAGGTTTTGAGTTTTGGGGCTTTCTCAAAGAGATGGATCCATTCCAGTGAGAATAAGAACTAAGATGAGACAAAGGGTCTCTTCAAGCAAGAAAATCCCCGATTCAAAGAGCACCTGACCTCAGCCGACTCTCACAGCCAACTCAGTCATCCCCCCTCAGGATGTGGGGGGGCAGGATGTGTGTGTGTGTATCAGTGGCGGCTGCTGGTCTTTCAATGAGGGGAAGCTCATTTTTCTGGCCTACATCATAATTGTATTTGTTTATTAGTATGTAACAGTACAGAGTCGCCAAACACAACGGCAGTCGTTTTTAATAAAGACAGAAGTCGCTGAGGATCGGTAAAGTCTCCGGAGCAGTTAAGAACAACGGAATGAATGACTTGGAAAATGCTCTGGTAGATGTTTTATTCTTCAAGATCGCTGATTCGCTTGTTTAGCTGTCAATCAAAAAAGGATTTCGCCTCAGACAGCTCATCCAATCATGGATGCAGAAGCTTGCAGTCCGGGAGAAAGTCGGGACCGCCCTCTCGCCATAGAACTCCAGTGAAGCTTAGCTTCCATTGGGCGGGACAAAGCCCAGCATTTATCCAATGAGCGTCTAGTTTCGCTGCTGGAACAACCCACTTTTAGCTTCTACATTGATGTCAGCTGAAGCCCAGCGTCCGGCTGTTTAAAGCGCTGAGGCGCTGCGAGGATGAATGAGAACGAAGTTATGTCGGTTACCTATAATTATCAGCTTCTTATCACAGTGTCTGAACAAAAGATGAAAGCTTTCTAGTGCGTATTAAGTTAATGAAATGTACACACAGCAGTACGTATTTCACCACTTTTTCTTTTTTTTGGGGGGTGACATTTTAAGGGAAGCCGAGCTTCCCTTGCAGTCTTAGAGCAATCGCCACTGGTGTGTATCTTTCCAACTGAATAAAATGTTAAATGGGTTTGATTAAAGTTTTTCTGTTGCCATGTATGAGTGAGTGTCCCCACACATCAAAGTTGTGAACCATGTGATAGGAAATGTGTGGGTAGGTGTTCTTTCAGGGGGCTGGGGTGTGTGTGGCCCACAGCTGCTTGGTTTTGTAGTGGAAAGTGTCACAGTTTAAACAGACGCATGCATGCATCAAAGTGGAAAGATTTTTTTTTTTTAACATTAAACCCAATTTCACGAAGAAAACGTTTCAAAGGGGTTTTCAGTTTTTTATGATTGTTTTTCTCATCAGTGTAGTTGAAGATGTTGCATGTTTGGGCTAAATTATTTCAAGAATGACCAATCAATACATATTAATGCTTTAACTACAGATGTGTATGCATGTGTCAGTATGTAAAGGGGTGTTTGTGCATACATACACAGATATATGTCGATGATAAATACAAGCTCATGTGTGGCATCAGATCTATATGAGGCAATCTTGTTGCTCTGAAAGTCCAATCCAAGACTTCATGGCCACTTGTGCTTTGTGATTTTTTCCTTTACTGTACTTAATGAGTTAGCAGTGCTCTATCTTAAAAAAACTATAAATAAAAAGCTCTAAACAAACAGATGTCAGAGGATATGTCTAATCATGATGAGATTCTCAAACTCTTATTCTGCTTGTAGCTGTTGAAGAATAACATCACACAGAGTGAGGCGAGTCCCTCTAATGTTGAAGTGTAAGTCCAAACTCATGACATTCACGTGCTTTGTGCTCAAATAAACCAACCACACGCTTCAGTATCAAACAAACAAGTTCTTGTACAAACTCTGGCATGTGGAGAGAGGTCATATGAGAGGGATCACTCCTTTGAGGAATTCAGGTTTTGGAGACCGATTTCAGACAGTAGTCTGTTGTGTTCAAAATGTGACAACACTAAAGCATTTCTTTAAAGACAAAGTGTAGTGTTTTTTTTGTTTTGTTTTGTTACATTTTTCTCCATATCTCTGCACTTTTTCGGTCCCACTTTCAAAAGGACATATTTAAAGATTGACGGAAACAAGAATTACTCCCACAGTTATTTTCTCCAGCTGTCTCCACTATGTCCGACCTCCACTAAGACCTAATTTGAAAAATGGAGAATCTTTTCAAACATCATCTCATGGGTTGTTGTTATATTGTAAAAAGGACATCATTTAATATCTGTTTATTATTTGATTTTATGATTTCTACCACCATCATCAACTTTGCTTCATTTTAGAAGTGAAGACACTCCAGCAGGTGCAGTTAGCAGTGAATCAGCTGCAGCAATCGTAGGTATTACACCACACATCTGATGAAACAATGCTGGAACATTTACCGCAACAATGACTGAAGTTGGCACACACTGAACATGCCTGGGTATTTGCACCCTGAAGGGTTTTTCACTTATTGTGAATGAATTCCTTTTTTTGTTTGCATCTCAAAAAAGATTTTCCAGCAAATTTGCAAACTTACATGAATGTGTTTTTTGGATCAGTTGGAAATGTTAACTCTGTCATTCCCTTAAAGAAGTCTCAGAGTATCTTTCTACATTTTTGTGGTGTTGAAACAGCTGGAGCTACGCCCTGACTTGACACACCGCATTCTAAAAAACACATGACAAACGAAACAACCCAATTAGGCGGTCTATTTAAGCTGTATGGTTTCCTGTCACTGCTCCAGCTTTACCATCACTGACCTGAATGACTGCTGAGCTCATACTCTCAGCCAACAATTACCCAAGCATGCAACTGCAGGCTGATATATGACCTTATCATGCCTCAAATTTCTGCTTGTTCAAGTAAAAACCGTGAGAAACGATGAGCTTTCAGTTTGGACGCCACAATGTTCTGCTGCAATGTTTGAGAAACAGCTCTGAAAGCTGGGGGGAACATTGATTCATGCTCACCTGTACTTCACATTATAGTATATTAACATGTAGTTGGTGACCATTTATTGGAGCCAGATGATTACGTGTCAGAGCGGAGGTCTGTTACACCTGCTCTGTATAACTTGTGTCTTAAATTAGGGTGTAAAGTCTGCACTCAACAGTATGTTGAAACCGGCTGGTGTGTAACCAAAGTTGTTTCAGTGTTTTCTTACACCATGTAGACATAAGGTTTGTCTTTACAGTTAAGACTACACAGTCCAAGCTTAGTGAAATATTGTCCCAGAAATGATGTTTCCCCTCCATTTATTCAACCAGTGGAAACTTCGCTTCCTAATAGAGTGTTTTTCTGCGCTGACTCTGATGATGTGTGAAAACCAGCATGAAGGACCACTGCTATGAATTCACAGTATGGCCATATTCTTATTTCTAGCATAATCGTCAACACTGTCATATTGCAACAACCCTAATTACAAGCATGTGAGTGTGTGATGGTGAGTCCATCTATGACAGTCTATAGAGAAATAAACATGTTGAATGTTGCCTTACGGTGTCTCAGGGGTGCAGTGAGGCCATTTCCAGCTGCAGTATGGATCCCTGGCTAACACACATTCCTGACAGTGGTTTCCATACTGAGCGCAGTTTGACACATCTATTTGGACCAGTTCACCTCTGGAGTTAGCATACAGCTTCCTCTGCAAGAAGAGACAGCACAAAGACATTTCTCAGTGAAACATTTGCATTCACTCATGAATGAACTTTCCGGTATCTTCAGGGGAATATTTGTGTGGGTGAGTGCCGTTACTCACGTCCGCAGGGTTTAGGATGACTCTGAGATTGTGGGCGCTGTGGTTAAAGGGACGGTACTCAGCAATGATGAAAGTCTCACTCTGGTTCTGCATCACCTTATGAATACCTCCATTATCTGTTTCAGGAGAAAAGGAGACAGAGGATGACTCAAAACCTGTCTAAGCAAGACTTCACCCCCTCCTTCCCACCTCATGTTTCCTCACCTCAGATGACTCCTCCAGCAAATGTCTGGATTAACAATTAGTTAATCAACAACAGTTAAGATTATCTTCCTCTTAGCTTGTTTGGACCTCACCTTAAGTAAATAGTTAAGTGCTTTTTGCAGAGCTTCACCCTCCATATTTGATCAGCCATAACCTCATGACCAGCTGCTTAAGTCTTTTCTTCCATCTCCCTCTCTCATTAGGTTGGAGCCAAAACAGCAAGGCAAGTTTTCTCTTGAACGCTGAAGGTGTGTGCCAAGATGTCATCCAGAAAGCCCTGAGACGGAATCTCATGGATGAGATCTGGTGTAACACTAGACTAGGGTTTGGGAGATTTGGAGGCCAAGGCAACACCTTGAACTTGTCTAGTTCTTCGAGACCCTCTTCTTCCATTGCTCTATGGTCCAGCTCTGAGGCACTTTTGGTGGAGAAGGGGTTCAACATGACAAATCTGCAGCTGCACAACTCCATACACAACAAACTAAGGTCTACTGTATCTCTATACCTGTTTCACTAGTTTTTTTCTCTTCCTCGAACCACTTCTGGTCTAAGCTCTGCAGAACAGGAACTGTAAGAGCTGCAGTTTCAGAGACCTCCTAACACATTACAATTTGGCCCTTGTCAGTGCTGCTCACCTCCTTCCTTTAGCCCACTTTTCCTCATTCAAACACATCATCTTTAAGGAAACAATATTCACTTCCTGTCTCACATATCCCAGCATCTGTCAGGTCAGATCGTGAAGAGATAATAATCACCTCACCTGTCAGTGGTTGTAATGTTATGGCTGATCTTACTGTACGAGATGGTTATCATTTCAGGTTTAACAGTCTTCGGGCGAAAGAAGCAGAACCGTTATATGATAAATTGGTGCAGCCATTACCATAGAGCACAATAAAAGAGCAGCAACACTCTGCTGCACGCTATATTTGGTTCAAACTATCCACATCCTTTTTGAAACTTGAGAAACCATGCTGCATCTTACCTCACAGTTGACTTCCACCATTGAAGTTAAGCAAGAGTACTACCAGGTAAATAGTTACACAAAGTCTAAGAGTTCATTTCCTGGTCTTAATTTTAAGTTTTGTAAGAATTTGGCCAAAACTTTCACAACCAAAATATGAAAGAAATATTAGTTTTTGTAAATATTCTTATCAACCAAGCAAAGCCTATGTTGGTGCTCTTCAGTTGGAGTGGGTTTTTGGGGACAGTGATGCCGCTGTAACAGTAACTCAAACCCAAATCCTACTGACATGAAGTTAACTGTAAATCATATCAGCACTGGTCTGTGGGTGGCTGTGTATTCCTGTATGAGCAGTGATAAAGCTGTACAAACTTGGCTTGTTACGTCTCATGCTCAGTCAGACACCCAAGGGTTAGACACTGACTATGATGTTTAAATGTGGTTTCTTCCTCTTTCATTTGGATCAAGTCAGAGGATGCTGTATCATCACGAGTCATGCTTTAAAATAACTTAAAATGTAGTTCAACTCAAGATCTCTGAACTGCCATAGTACTCGACAGAGCCAAAGTCAACAGAGTTGTTTGATGTTGGATAAAAAAATATCAATCCAGTTCACAGGAGGCTGTTCACCATGTTTCACTTCTAGTTTTCAAGGAATGGCCATAAACCTCAAACCTCAAACCAAAACCAAACTAGGCTACGTCCTTTTTGTGTGAGTGTGTAGAGGGGTGTGGGGGGTGTTTTTTTCCTTAATTTTGATAGCACAGGGAGGAAGAGAGAGGAAGGAATGACATACGCCAAATCATGCTGGGACTGGGACCCCAGGTCACTGTGACAAGGACTGCAGCCTCTATACTAGGAGCCCCCACTCCACCAGCTGAGCCAAGTCAGTGCCCTACAGTCTTTGATAGAAGAAAAAGTCCAAGACCAATCTAATTCATGTCTATGGGACAGTTTCCACCTTGTCTTTATCACAGGGACATATTTTGTTCCTGATATTTGAAGTCATTAAAAGTGACCTGTCAGTGCCAGTATCTGATATTATTGGGTGCTGGATTCTTCCTCATAAAATGATCTTTTACTGTCATTGCTAAAGTAAAAACCTGTTTGAATGACATTTCCTCCCAGAATGGAAAATTGTCAAAGGGAACTGGCTTGTTCATGTTATCGCCCTGACCCGTATGCACAGTTCACTATTTTAAGTAATCACTTCCCTGACTTAGATTGGTGTTATCACTCACGTAGAGACAGAAACAGAACTGGGTGGTGATCCGCCCTCCTGCTGTGTGAACTGTCCACGTAGATATGAGTGTAATTGTGTCGATTTATGAGAATTGGATGAGAGTTGTCTACAGGCCGCACCCATTCCTCCATCTCTGAATTCTTCTCGATCATCTTCAGGACGTCCAGAGAAATACCTTTGCTGTCACGAATACACTGAAGAGAAAAGCAGATGTTTGTTTGTTAGTTTTTAAGTTTTCACGTCCTGCATATTCATGGGATGGCACAGATGCACTTGTATCAGCAAGGAACAACCAAACAATAACAATGGCAATACAGTCTTTTGTGTCTAATATGAAGTGGGAGCAGAAGAGGAACCAGTCTTTTCAAAAGAAAGGGATTTTTTTTTAGTGGAACGACTTTTGTTTCCAAATATCTCAATATTAACGTCACTTTCATTTCAAATAAAATTGTGTCCTTGAGTTTACTCTGAGGTGAAGGTTTGTGGTAAAGAAATCTACCAAAAATACGTTCAATGAGCAATCCAGAATGAAATATCTATTTAGCCCACTTTCACTCAGTGTTTGGCAGGATGTGAGTTGGAATATATGTTGTCTTTTTACTTGAGAAACTTTCAAGCCTCATCTCTACTGCCAGTTTGTTAACCTTGAGTGCTCTCTGAGGCACCCAATTTCAATTAAATCCTGGCTCCTCCCACAAATCCCTACTCCCACATCTGAAGTGTTCACATCTAGAGGTCAAGGTGTCCTGATTCTTGCAAGGATGGAGGGCAGAGTGTTGGTGCACCATGGCCCTTTAAAAGGAGATTTGTCTGACCTAAACTTCAGATGAGGAGAGTGAAAAATCTCCTTGTGAATCATTAGCAGAAACAGTCCTGCTCCTCACCGCTATAATGTCGTGGTACTCCTCGTATCAGCGTAAAAGAATGCTCTGTTCCTCAGCTGTAAAATATGACACGCAGCCTTCTCAATTGTGGAGATTGGCCTGGTGGCACTGACCCCGCCCCCTTTACATGTGTGTGCACAGGTTTAGACTGGCCATAATGAATAAAGTTATCGAGTTGATATCCTGCCTTGTAGTACAGCTGATCAGGATTACAGAGATCTGAAGTTGAGCGAGTTGTGGCAGAGTTATCCTGGGTGTGTTAATCCCGCTTCATAGTACAGGCCCCAGGACATGTGACGGTAGAAGATAAGAGCTAACATGGGTGTAACCTTTCATTGATGGAAAGTCCTAATCACAAATTTATGTCCCAACACTGGAGAGTTTATTGCTGGACTTGTAAGAGAACATTTTTTCTCCTAAAGTTACATTAGTTTACAGAAAGATGAAGTCTGAGTTACCTCAGGCTGCTGAGATAATTCAGGCTTCTCTCTGATATCCCCGTGCATTAAGGTGAATGGCCTCTTAGAGTCCAGCAGTAAATCTGTCGTGCAAAGTCATCCGGACTGTTCACATGATGCTGTTGACAACTATTAAGTCATTAATATTGTCCCAGTACTTTAAAGGAGATATCCCGACTTCATGTAAAGTGGCACTCAGAAACAAGAAGTGGGGGGATGTCTAAAATTCCAGGCAAAGTTCTGAAAGAAACATAAAAATCTAAGAAATTCTTTAAACAATGGTTGCTAGAAACTTCCCTTTGTGCTCGAAGGCTTTTTTAGAAAGCAGTGGTGCCAGGACTCATTTTTCCAGCTAATAAGGTTGTTACTTTTTCAAGCAGTGATCACTTTAAAAACACACGTACCTCTCTGGATCTTTTTTCTTGGCTGTCAGGGCCTTTGAACGGAGACTTTAAGAAGATGTTGTCAATGTCTTTAATCGTGTAGACACAAACCGCACTCATGCCCCTAAAGAAAAAGACACAGAGGTCAGCAAATCTTTTTCAAGAGACATCTGTGGCAACAAGAAACTGCTGTGGGGTCACAGCGGTCTTTGGCCAAACTGGGTAAAGGGAAAAAAACGACATGTGTGCAGACAGGTTGTGTGTGTCAAAAGAGGAACTGATCCCAACTTTGCCCCAAAAAGCAAAAAGGAAGCAGACATAAAAAAGGTCCAAATAAGCTTTGTTTTTTAGCACTAATCTCCAAAGCACGAGGAGGACTGTTTCACAAGTTTGCCCATCTGTCAGGCCAAGAGTCATCATTCCCGTCACATGAGGGTTTGAGCCACTTTGGTTTGGTTGAAGTGGAAGTCACAACAAGTGACTCTGCTGTTTTATTTTAAGACACAACAACAACAGCCTGGTCTGCAATCTAAACCACTGTGTCAGACTTTAATCTCAAAGTGTCCAAGACAAACAACATCAGGAAAGTGCTTCAAGAATCTGGGAATATGGGGCAGATTTCAAAAGTGTAAATAAAATATCAAAGATCACAGTGTTAGTTCATGTTCTGTGAGGAGATGAACCTTAACAACTTCGGGTAAACTCGAGAAAAAGCTAAATCTGCCATTCAGACCATTTTTAAAGTCTGGTGCGTAGGCTGATCAGGTTTTGGTTGATATCTCTCCTACACAGGAACTGTTCATGTGACCATCAGTATAGTTCAGCTTTCAGTCTGATATATCTGAATCAGAGTCAGTCCTCATTGCAGAAGTCACTGAACCATGAGTCTTTTCTGCACGCTATCCCACACTCTACTCCTAACAACACCTGTCTCTCTTCTGCTGTTTGATAAAAGGTAAAATGCTCCCAGAAATAATAACTGTAGACCTTCCTTTTTATTGGGTACACTTTGATAAAACAGATCAACAGGAAGATGCAAATCGTTTTTCAGTATAACTTTACTGCAGGATGGATAATCTAATAAAAACCTTAAGTTTAGCCACACAAAATTCAAGCCTAATTTCAGAAACTTTTGAGAAACATCAGGTTTCTCTTTTCATTTCATAATAATTTTTCATGTTTATTATAGGGCTGGGCGATAAACCGAAAATTTACTGATACCAAAATTTAGGACGATAAACAGCATCATTTTGCCCATATCAGTATATTCAGTGTTAATATAAATAAAAGTTGGTTTTGGATGTGTGTAGGTAGACTATAGTCTCATGTCCCTACATCAGAGACGTGACTCCACCCCATCCAGTCCATAACAAAGAGGGAAAGACAGGTTAGGAGATAGAGGACGGTTCAAAAGTTGTAGCGGTGGCTGAAGTAGACAAAATTAATGTGGGAGGGGGTGAGCAGCTTGTGAAGTAGTTATCGTCCATTTATTGTTATCAAGGTAAACTGCTCAATATATCATGATATTGATTTAAGGCCACATTTCCCAGCCCTAGTTTATTATTCAGTACATACAAATATCTCCCATAGAGGGCTGTCTTAGACTGTCCTAGCAGTACTTCTGCAGTAGTGGTTTTTGATGACCCCTCTCACTCCACTTCATACATCCCAACCATGATGACCTACCATTCGTTTCTGAAGAGAGCATAAACCCTGGTGTCCTGCCAGCGCTCTGCCTCCACAGCTGCCACGTGCACCAGCTCGGAGAAATGCAGTTTTTTGTCTGGGTCCCCACAGAAGAGCTTGGCGTTCATCTGGGATGTCCAGCTGAATTGCAAGTGTTTCTTGGGGCCACCAATGTCAGCCTAGAAGAAACAAACACCCACGATATCAACCACTTCTCCATTATGTGTGTGCATTATAAGTTTTTCTTGACTGGTACAAACTAGCTCATTCTTCATCATGCAGGTCTTACCATGCAAACCTGGGTGACAAAGGGGATCCACATGCTACTGGTAAGTCCAGTATCTCTGTTTTTCTCTTTGTAAAATGCAAACACTTTGTCCTGTAATGAGTTTCCTTGGCGTCTGCTGATCAATAAGCCTACATAGTGCTGCTCTAAGACAGAGAGGAGACAGAAGTCAATATTTGTCTTTATTGTCACAAGACTAATGACCTTCTCAGCAGACACATTCAGACAAAGGAAAGATGATCAAATCATAACGCAACATTATCTGTATAACACATTTTGTTTAAAAGAGTTGTTAGATTGAAGAGCCTTACATAAAAAGAAGAAAAAAGAGGATTAAACAAACATCCACTGGTATGTAAAAGGCAATTCAATAACTTTAAAGACCAGCTCTAACAAGCAAGAAAGTGACATTTATGGCTTCTAAAATCTTAAACCAAATTACTCCTTTAAAAAATACCTTTGTTGTGGTCTGCTGGTCCCACTGGGTTGCTCCCAAACTTGTGGATGCCAGCATTTTGCTGCGATCCAGAATATGTAACGTAAAGGTCTGAATTTCTTTCTGATTCTGCAAAAACACAACCAAAGGACACAACTCGTAAAAGGTTTTGTGGCAGCCATACTGATCATATTTCAGTTTGTCCAGTTTGTGACGGCATGAAAAGCAGCTTACTGATAGGCAGAAACCTGAGTGAAAGACTTCATGTGTCTGTTCAGGCTTTGAGGAGAGTCTAGAGGGAATACTAGGCTCAAGCAGGAAACACCAGTGCAAAAAATAGACAAGCGCTGGTGGTGAAGAAGAAGAAGATAAAAATCACAAGCGTGTCAAGCCGAGTTAAGCAGGTTAAAAGGAGCTTAGAGAAGTGTCAAACTTCAGCAAACATGTTTCCTGGATGAAAACGGAAACCAATCTATTTTGAAAATAGTGAACGTTAATTCTAGAGCCTAATTCATCAGAAAAAGATGGTCAAAGTGCTTCACACATGACATTAAAACATCACGTAGGAAGACATTTAAAAAAAGTCATTAACAGCAAACATTAAAAGCAAAGATAAAATCAGCAGAAATTGAAATAAAAAATATGATAAAACAGCCTCTAAATATATATGACACATTTACAGAGCAGTGTTACTGACACCTGGTCCTGCATGAGTGCAGCCGATGAAGAGAGACAGTGTTAACATTCAGACCCGTTTTTCTGTCTTTCCCCAAATCACTGAATTCATACAACACTCCAGCTCAGGCCAAAGACTCCTTTCCTAACAATGCCTCCTGTTACACATAATGAACTTTTCTCCTTGTTAGTCTTACTTCACATCTTCTGCAGACGAATAAGAATCTAGACTCTACCAGGAGCTCACAAGGATTTTAAACCCTGTCTTTTTTTCACCCAAAACACGTCAAATCAAAACAAGGACAGAAAAAAAACTATTAAGTGCAACTGATGAATCTGAAAGCAAAGATACAAGCGCATGAAAAGAGGAAAGAAAAAAAACTCACCAACAAGCACTGATGATTCGCCTTCCTTAATAATTAGATTACCGGTGTGTCTAATGTTTGCAATCTTGTCAGAGTCTCTGCACACGGGAGACTGCTGTGATAAATCCTACAAGAAAAAAAACACCAGACTTCAAGAGCTCCTTCTTCACTGTGGCACAAATGAGATTCAACAATTCATCACACACAATTTTTTAACAGTCTCAGCAATTACAGAGACAGAAAGACAAAACTTTGTTACTCCAAAAGAAGAAATTTTAGTGCCTTATTGAACAAAAACAGGAGCCACACAATAGAGCCTCACATACAAGCGACTGTAAAATCTCATGAGTCACATGTCACAAAAGAAAAAAGCATGAGCTTCAAACTCCTGGAGGGAGCTCTTTGTGTGAACTCTTTTTTGCCCCCTGAGGACAAAGTTTTACCTCTCTTGTACAAAAGCTAGGTAAGTTTTAAAACAGACAAAAAGTGAGGCAACTCTGGAGTGTCCTACCGTGTCACAGCAATGCGTTTCCCTGCTGTTGGATCCACACAAATACACCCGGTTGGCCTCTTCCATCTTGTGCACCACAGTGATGGTATAGTTGCAATCCTACATGACAAGACCGATATTTTCTATTACATCTGACATACACACCAAATATTCATCCATCATATGCTCTTACTACTCACCATTAAATCCTCAGGGTTGCTGCAATCTTGCCATAACACCTTTCTTGGCACAGCCTGTAAGGGAAAAGACAGAAAAATCACCACAATAAAGAGGGGAATCTTTTTATCAGTCTCTGATATGTCCTTAACTTTACAGACATGTTTGGTGACTGATGTCTCACTTGATCAGTGTAGAGGTGATATCATGAGGTATTGCAGTGCTAAATTGGATTCTTTAGGCCAGATGATAGAGACAGAACACAGGCTTTTTCTTTAAGAGATCAGAATCAAATTTTTGGAGAGATTTGTGGGTAAATGTTCTGCCCCATTGGGCCACCTTGGGATGGGGTTAATCCAATTTTATTTTTGCAGTTCCTCCTACAAATTTTTCCAAACTTATAGGTTTGGTACGGACAGTTTGCAGAATAAGCAGAAAAAGTCACTTTGTTTTTTTTTTCTTCTGATATTTTTTATGGTTATATATGGATGACCAGCAACGTCTCTCACCTAACTAGAGTAGATATCATATTTCCAAACTTATATCTCCCTTGTCCGGGCTTTTTAGCATGTGCAATCAGTCTTTATCTTGTGAGCACACAGTTGTCAGCTGTTTGTGAGCGTTAACAGTCTCTCTCGCCACGTATGATAACCCAAGCATAAACACTTCTGGCTTTTTTTTATAACAACTCTAGCATGTCTGGTCTCTCACCGCAGCAGTATTAAAATAAAGAAAATGCCTAAATGCAGAAAGCAATATTTTTTAGCTGACTGTTTGATGACAGATACCAGAAAAGCAAAATACCCGTACATAATGGTGAGCAATGACAAATGATGGCAAGTGACGGTGAGTTAGATCTTTACCATTGCTGCATTTGTTACCTTGTGCAGATAAAATGATATGGATGAACATGTTGTGACTTAGTTCAAATGTTGCTGCTGCAGAACAACTTATTGGCTATCAAGCTATTGAGAGAAAGCCAGCACTCCGAAAAGACACACAGCATCTGTCACTCAGTGTGCCACTGTCTGTTACCTGATTATACATGGTTACCTTTCTGTGATAAATGTTCACTACCTGCTGGGAATTTTTAAAGCTGAGTGGAATCAGGTTGTTGCGTCCAACAACCGTGACAGTATCTGGATCTTCCCCCAGAAGGATTTGTACAGGTGCATGGTTTCCAGGTAAATGTTTCCTCCTCATTGCAATGTCTGTAATGAGAGACAAAACAAAGGTATGCACAAAGGGTGTGTGATGGCTGAGTTCAAAAAGTCACCAGTCTTACATTATAAGTGAAGTCACTGTTTGGATGGTAATGTTGACCTGCTGGACTGGTTGATAACTTTGACCTACAGTAAAATGTCTCAACATTTACAGTTTGGATTTCCATAATATCTGATGCAGATATGCAAGGACCCAGGATGGTGTAGCTATGGCAGCTCTTAAATTCTGGGCTTGTTATTATTATTTCAGTGGACATGTTAAAGTCTGATGATGAATTCATAGACTTTAATGATGGTCCTGTAGGACAACCATAAAGTCGTAATTTGCTGTTCAGTGAAAAACTTTTGCATAACTGAATGTATTTTCATAAAAGCTGAGTGAACGTTCACCACAAGATTAACTGTGTTGAGTTTGGTTTTATCTTGGTCGATTCAGTCTTAAATTGACTACTTCTTTGTTTGCATGTGCACATTTTAAAAAGACAAAAAAATCTCTCCTTTTCCTTTGCTATATCTACATATGCATTAAACATTCCAGAAACTTTCCAGAAATTTTCATGATCTCACTAATCTTAAAACAGATTCTTCAAAAGCATTTTTTTCATGATATAAGTAAAACTCCCTTTTTTGAACCTTCTTTTGTTGCAGTTCATGACATCCACACAATGGTGCACTTGTTGAACTCAGACAGGAGTGATGTCAGTGATGAGAAGATCCTGGATGCTTTTATGTGCTTGACACTTAGCTCGTCTAAAATTAGTCGTCTTGTATTTTGAAGTCAAAACAGAAACTGGTTGGTGCACTACTCTGTGACACCTTGTGCATTTTTGGCCCCCCCTTTGGGAAAGCGTCAAGCCAAGCATAAACACTCATACAATGCGCATCGTGTTTCAATCAGACCATGGGAATTTTTACACAACAAATGACTTGTTCTTATCACTGATCACAGCCTCTTTGTTGTTCTCTCATACCAAGAGATTAAAAGAAGGCCTGAACTTAAGGGGGCTGCCACATCACTCTCTTCTTTTATTTCTATACTGGAAACTTTCTTGCACCATTGTCACATTGTTTTGTCCACCTGTTTCATGTACTTCCTTTTTTTATTTTGTTTATCTTCCTGTTTTGTTACTAAATTGAATATACCTTGGTTGGGTTTTTATGCTTTTCTATCACTTTGTAACACACGTATTATCACTGATTTGCCATCTCATCTGTAATATTTTAGTGATTATATCAGTATCTGAATGAGGGATAAAAATAGAGAAGTATGCTGAAAAGATAAGAGCTGGGTGGGGATCACAAACACAGCAACCATAGGAACCATAATCCTGTATAAAAAAAAAAGACAAATTTAAGCTGTACGAAGAAAAATATTTAACATTTGAAGTCTGTAAATTTTAAATTGAATGCACAAGTTTTGTACAAGTTTGGCACAATAAGATGTAATATCCGGTGAGCAATGAATGTGAGATCAGGTCACAGAATGAGTTCATACATTATTCATGTTTAAAACGTGCTCAAACCCACTAAAGCTGTCCATCCTTTTGTACAGGATGTGGCACACCTGTCTGAAGTAAGATTTACTCACTTCCTTGTCAATCAATGCAATTTAATCACATCATATTGCTTCATTTTACAATGACACAACAAGTTTCTGGAAATTTACTCCATCCAATCTATCGATTTAATTTGTGTCAACCTCATAGAAGCTGCCCAGTGAGCTACTGAAAGTTAGAACTTGAGGTTCAATGTGACCGCTGCCTAACTGAGTATTAATCAGCATAATTTAAAATATGCTGAGTGTGAAGCTTGAGTGTGAGAAAGAGCTGAGTGTTTATTTCCATCATGGTATCTGTGTCCAAGAGGAAACGCTTCACAGACACTATATCAACTAAAGACAGCAGAGTGTGTGTGTGTATAGCAATAAGCACATATAAGTGTTTACCCAGTGTATTGGGTGGTTTACATTGCAAAATCCCAGGTATAAGCAAAAGCAATGTAGTTATGGTTGATTATAAATCATAATATTGTTTCCTCCAAGAAGAGTTAAAAAAGAATATCTTTAAATCAATGAAAGACGAGCAAACGGTAACAGACGCCTATCTCACCTTATAAATACATGTATAATGCATCATAATCACGTTATAGTGCTGTATAACTATAGTTATAAACACTTAAATGATCATAATGCTTTAAAGTAACAATCATAACACATAATATCATAGGACTTCATAATAAAAAGCAAAACACATTATACAGCATTTTATCATGACTTACAAGGTCAAGTATTACTCTGTGTTATAACTGTTAACAACTCAATGACAATGCCCACCTTGATAATGCATTATACATATATTTATGTGTTAAAATAAGCTTATAAACTTGTATAACTATCATTATAAACACTCATTAATTACCATAAGGATTTATAACAATAAGCATAACACATTATAATACCTGACCTTGTAAGTCATGATAAAATGCTTTATAATGTTTTATAATTATTGCTATAAAGCATTATTATTTATGAGTGTTAATAACTATAGTTATACAGTGCTATAACATGATTATAAATATATTCATAATGTGTTGTAGAGATAGGCGTTGACTAAATTGTTACCAAGCAAACAAATGCTGAGAAATTTAATACATTCAAACTAATTTTTGGATCTAATGACCATTTACACTGACTTATAGACATATTATAATACACCCATATCTGTGTTTAAAATGTTATAGAATGATTGTGAAATATTTCGAAGATGAAAATGTTAATACACTCTGACCTTTGACAATACAAAGCAGATACGTTAAAACACCCTACCAAATAAGCCATCCTAAAATGATTTACGTTATGAAAGCTAATCACTATATACACAATATAATGCATTATATTTTCAAATTCCTCCTAAACACGAGCATAATAAGGAATTATGATAATCATGTAAAGCATTCTTGTTGACCACAAGTGCTTATATAGATGATTATACACCAAAGTCACATTATAATCCATTATAACTATGTTCATTACGTGTTACATTTTTTATAGAGACAGGCTTCACACGGAAATGTCAACTAGTAGAAACTAGAACAGCTGATGATACTAACAACCACAAAAAATACTGTGCACTGCATTCATTCAGCCATAAGCTATACCACAGCTGAGTTTGGTGCGGTGAAACATCTACATGTCCTGAGCCCCAGGTATCTAGTCTGCTGCTAGTTCATCCCCACATATTTGTCAGAGAGAAAAAAAGTGTTGTCTTTTCCACATGACTCTATCATAAGTACAGTATCTGTAAGGGAACTGAATGAACCGTTTACATCTTAGGGCTAATAATGCTCTGTTTTTACACAGCTTCACACAAGTTACCAGTTGATAACTTACCCTTTAAGACCCTCTCATGTTTCAAAAACTCAAACTTCATTACTGCCTGTCAAAACTTTTCAGTGACCTCCAGCCAACAGTTCAAGAAAATACAAAATATGTCATACCTTTCTCTGAGAATACCATCCTTGGTTGGTGTGTATTTGCCTCATTTAACTCAAAGAGGCATGGGAATAATAACCAAAACGTTAGTGACTGAAACATGTCCACATCTGTAATAGGAGAGTCTGAAACTTCCGAGGTGAACACTCTCCTCTCTATACCGGAGGCGGAGGCATATCTCCCCTCGATGCTGGGGCTGGCCAATTGGCTTTGTTGAGGCTGTGGCTTGTTAAGCAATTTAAATACTCATGTAACTACTCTATCAATGTTGCACAGGAGCCTCGTAGCGCGCCTCAGCTCCATCCCATGCGGAGTAGGTTCCCAAAACTACGCGTCAATCTGAACAGAGATGATCATCATTGTACAGCACAGGAGAGGCATTTCATCTGATAGCCTAAATTCCGCTACAGAACACCATATGCTGATTCTCAACTTGGTTATGTATTCATTGTGAGCATAGAACAGCTTCCTGGCTTATCCCTGACACACGCCGAAGTTGAACAGAGTTTACTTTACTAACCACGAGTAAACCTGCCAAATCGAAACTTTTCCGGTTCACAAACAGTAGAAGCACAACAGTCATGGAATAATAATCATATTAAGAGGAAATCGACCACCAAAGGCCAAAGCTACCTGTTGTGAGTACGTTGCTCTCTGTACATTGACTCCAGCTGCTACAGGTAACAACAGCGGCTGCGCTCTGCTCCAAACACGCTTCCAGTGGACGAGAGCGCGCACTGCCGGACGCAGACGAAAAATGTCACTTTTACCAGCACATCATTATTAAGCAAAGCTGCATCTGAGAAACCAAAGGAATCACTGCTTCACAAAAAGTTGTGTGCAGAATTTCACAGAGCAAGAAGACACCCACACTCCTTGAGACAAATAGAGTTTGGTTAACTATATTAAAGTTTCGTGGGGGAAGAAACCCAAACTGATAACAGTCCGAAAATTTGCAAAAGTTGTTGAATGACTTTGAGTTGCCCTTTTCAACTTAACATTTCAAAAATTTTCTGTATTATTATATTTTTGTAATTACTATTATCAAAAGAAAAAAATGTATATGTATGCAATCACATGTGTATTTTATCATTATATAAGTATGTTATTCATCATTTACTGAAACTCACTTGGTGTGAATGCTTGCAGAGTCATATTGGTTTCTTTTTAATGAGCATTTGAAAGGAGAAGTATGGCCTTGGAGTTGGGACTGATACTTTTCCACTGAAGCCATGCAACTACATGAATGCTATAATTTCACTCACAGGTTGTTTTCTCAACAGTGTGACATTGAACTGATAAGCAGGAACCTGATGATGAACTAAGCTGTCTTTGTTCTGCCAGCAGCCCACAGCTGCAACCTGTACCCTATTTGGATACTGTTGTAATGTCATTCCACTTGGGAGATGATGTTAGTGGGTGGGGGTGTCTGTTTCTTGACTGCATAAAGGATGTGTAAAAATCTGAATTCCTCAGTCAGAGGAAGCTGTCTGTTGTAAGATGAGGCAAGCCCATCATTCCTTGTTACGTTTTTAGACAGAGAATTGACACTTAATGTTAGTATTTTGAGGACATTATTTTACGCACTTCGATATCATTTTGTAGGAATCTGCACTTTTCCCCCAGTTTTTTTACCCAACTGCGGAGCTTACTATAAGTCTTTGTGCACAGGCATACTACCATCTCTGCACCAGAATCATGTCAATGCTCCACAGCGTCTTCCCAAGTGCATCTGTCCACACAATCAGACATGGAGATCATGCCTCATGTCCCATCCTAAACCTCAGTGCGCTACTTACTTCAGATCTCTCCTCATTGCTTTCATGTATCACCTTGATTGACAGCATCAGGACATCTATCCTTCTTCTCTTGTTTCTTTAAACTGGAATCCAATCAAAAATCCATATCCTTGATCCCGGTAATCCCGCATCGCTCACAGTCCAGATTGTGCCAAACCGCCGACTCAAAACCTCGTCACCAACTCACATGCGGTCTGTGCGGATTAAAGTCAACAATCCTTCAGGCATGGTTCAAGTTTTTTGTTTAATATGCTTCCTGGACAGCCCATTTTCCTCCAGGAAGGGATTTGGTTAACAGTCTGCGACGATAATCCTCAAAAACTGTTGGCAAACTCGATGTTAATCGCATTTCAACATTTACATAATTCTTAAACGGCGTGTATAATTTAGAGTAATGTTATTTAATTAGGTTGGAAATCAAATACAAACAAAGAAACGTGTATATCCCCGGGCCTACCCCCTCTTCTTCCAAATTGTTGGCTTGCTTGGTACAGTCCAATGGAAAACGCCTAACCGATCAAGGTGCGTTCAGGTGCATGACTACAGTCTACTCTATCATGATTCTATACAAACAATTGTAAGAACAAAGTCCAATTCCATTGAAGTTGGGAAATTGCGATAACCCTAAATAAAAACAGAATACAACGATTTGCAAATGCTTTTCAACCTATATTCAATTGAATACACTACAAAGACAAGATATTTAATGTTCAATCTCATAAACTTTATTTTATTTTTTGCAAATAATAATTAACTTTAGAATTTGATGGCAGCAACACGTGCCAAAGTAGTTGGGAAAGGTGGCAAAAAATACTGAGAAATTTGAGGAATGCTAATCAAACACCTATTTGGAACATCCCACAGGTGAGCAGGCTAATTGGGAACAGGTGGGTGCCATGATTGGGTATAAAAGCAGCTTCCCCAAAAATTCTCAGTCATACACAAGCAAGGATGGGGCAAGGTTCACCACTTTGTGAACAGTTGCATGAGCAAATAGTGGAACAGTTTAAGAACAACGTTTCTCAAAGTACAATTGCAAGGAATTTAGGGATTTCAACACCTATGGTCCAGAATATCATCAAAAGGTTCAGAGAATCTGGAGAAATCACTGCATGTAAGCGGCACGGCCGCCAACCAACACTGAATGCCTGTGACCTTCGATCCCTGAGGCAGCACTGTATCAAAAACCAACATCAATGTGTAAAGGATATCACCACAGGGCTCAGGAACAATTCAGGAAACCACTGTCAGTAAATACAGTTTGTCGCTACATCTGTAAGTGCAAGTTAAAACTCTACTATACAAAGCGAAAGCCATTTATCAACAACATCTATATATATATATATATATACAAGGATTATGAAAAAATGATAAAAATGGGTATGAAATTTTGGTGGCAGGTCCCCTTTAATCTTTTGGCTGCCCAGTTATGCCCCAGAATGGTTGATGTGGGACTTGGACAGAAATGATTGGAAAATTGACAACCAGCTCCATTGCTTTGACCCGTATGCACATAAAATCATCCTCTAATGAGGAAAACACGGGTGAGGTATCTGAAGGGGACCCATCTGCAGAACTACAGTAGGAATCTCAGGCAGACATAGACCTCATGTAAGACTTGGACTTGTAATTTTGGCATCTGTGAATCTATAAAAGAGGTGCTGCAGATAGAAGATCTAACAAAGGTTCACCAGGGTGTTTTTCACTTCAAATTTGGGCATGAAAGAAACCTGCCCTACTGAATAGTGGATGTTGAAGAAAAGTCAACATTAGACCTTAGCACCCAGTCTGACTGTGCTGTGCATCCTGTACACTAGGTGGCAGTGTTCATCTTTAACACTAGTGTACCAAGAGCCTCTTCATCTGAAACCTTTCTCTTCATACATTCAGATTCAGAATCATCACAGACTGCATGGAGTTCACCCAAGCGCTTTATGATCCCTCTTTTGGACCTGTTCATCTTCTTTCAGGTGACTGCAGACCACATTACCAACACTTTCTCCATTTCACTGTCATTAGCAAAAATTTCAAGGTCTTATCAGGTCCAGGTATCTCAGAGAAATAACTCCCAGAGGTGCAACAAATAATCAAGTCATCACCTAATCCAATTACCATTGACTACTCAGACAGCCTGTAAATAAAGTAGCTGTAGTTGTGGAAGCTAGACATTTAAGACAATGATATTTGCCTTAGAAAAACATTAATAAGAAATTTTTACCATTTTCTGACATTTCATAGACTTAACAAATAAGTTATTGATTGAGAAAACAGAGTATTAAAATGAATGGTTATAATAATCTAAGTGTTAGTTCTCTTCTTTTGCTTATCTTTGCCAACACTCAGCAGTTCTCTTAGTCCCCGTGGTGGTTCAATTTGTTTCTTAGTTTGATGTTAATACTTTGCCATAGCTAAAAAAACATTTTTATGTGATCAGACAGTGAAGTCTACATAAACTTTGAAGTCATAAAATGCCCTACCCATACATTACATGTTGTGACACCCCACAAATGTGAAGCTTAAAGAGGAGCAGGAAATGTATTGTATAATTTATTCACAAAGGAAGAAAGACATTTATTTCACGACTGAAAGCTAAAAGTTTAAACAAAACAAATACTTTAGGGGGGTGATCTTGGCTCTGACATGCAGTTCAAGGGGTGTTTTGTTAAGAAAAGCCTCAGTGTTTTGTGGGAAAAATGTGGCGTGTCACATCGTCCCACTCTGGGATGTCCCGCTCTCTGTATTGGGACATCTCACTGCGGATGATTGAGATGTTTTTTGCCACAGAATGCAGTTTTCATCAAGCACTAGTACCATTCTGTCTGTGCCAACATGTTGACTTTAATTTTGAAAAACTTGGCAGCTTGTACATAAGCAGTCATGAATCTCCCAGCGCATGCCAATCTTGCAAGTGTGATGAAGTGTATATAATGGGACAGTCCCTCAGAAACCAAACAGGTGGGCCTCTGCTCAGGCAGCACACAACAAACACAGAACAAACAGTGCTGTGCAAGATGCTGAAACAAAAGTTCCTGTTATGCCAGACCCATTTAAACAGAGAGGATCTGTTACATCTTGGTTCAGTGTCACAAAATTAAAATACACCAAAACTTAAAGGGACTATCATGCCAGTCTTCACAAATGCACTTCCATCAGGTTCACTAGATTCAGGCTCAGGTGGAGAAAGTGGTGCTCAGTGCCAAGTCATTTTACTGCATGGGACTGTCACTGCCAGCAAGATCTGTCAGCAGTGCTGAGCAGTGCACAGTTGGTGACTTACCCCATTGTTTTAGTGAATTCAGACTGTCGCAGTAGGCAGGGTTGTTGCTTTTTTGAAATTCTGATCATGCAAAAACAGTTGTTTTTCAGTTAATGACTAAACTCCTGTTTATTCAAAAACACAGCTCACTAAATGAGGACTTCTGATGGCACTATTTCGACACTATTATTGGTTATTTCAAAAACCTTACTGTATGGAGAAAAATTCCCCCCTAATTGTCTCACTGCCTGCAACCTTAATAAAAGGACAGTGAGCAGCAGCAGCTGCAGCAGTGGTTCTGAGCTGAGCTGTGCAAGAGAGCAGCCGACTGTGACTCTCCCTCTAACGCACACTCACACAGACTGAAATAAAAGCTCAGTCACTAGATGAAGCTGTTGGCTGAAGGCTTCAGGTCTCACTGCGCACTGACGATGGAGCAGCTTACATGAACAGCGCTCACACTGACAAACACGCACATATACACTAAACAGTGGGAACATGTCGCAGTACACCCTGCCAGGTAGGTGCTCTAATTTTTTATATTGAGCTTGTTTTTACTTATTTTGTTCAGTTTCTGATATCTGTGTGGCGAGTTTTATGTTTAATTTCAGCTCTTCTGGCACCCTTCTAAAAAGGCACCTTGGGAAAATTATCGTGCTGTCAGTTTCTTATTTAAAACAGATTTTATGTTTGCAGAAAGCTGGAGTTGAAGGGGGACATAGACTTATTTAATGCTATCTGCCAACTGGGACGTGAACTGTGCAGAGATGCTGCAGCTTCTTAAAAGGAGCCTATACGTTTTTTTGGACAACTTTCTCAATATGGAGTAAAAGTTTTCAAGTCATTGTGTATCAGTCATCATAATCAATACAGATGCATGTGCACACATTTGCTGGTGCACTGCTCTAAAGCTAGATTTCTGCATAAAGTGCTGAATTGGCAGAGCTCAGATTTCCACATTACCTGCTGTGGTTTCCTAACATTCCTGCTGCATCATGCCCCTCTGTACTTTAATCTCTTAATGGAGGCTCTGTGAGGAGCTGCACCAGCAGGCTCTTTGACCAAGCTGAAATGAATCTGCATGGAGAGTTGGTACTTAACCTGCCAGTGGACAAATCTTGATGAAAATACCTTCCATGCAGCTTTTTATTATTTGTACAGTCTGTTCTGGAGAAAATATTATACATTTCATCCACATCACTGAAAATATCAGATATTTCAACTTTTAGTTTCTGATTAAACAACTCAAACAATGTGCTTTACCCAAAACTACATATTTCTCCATGTCAGTTAAGAGAAAGAGGTAAACATCACAGCAATCCTTCTTTATCAGCAGTGGATACTCTCTATATTTATGCTTTTTTTTTCAGTTTTTCTCTTTCTTGTTGGTCGCCATTGTCACTGCATGAAGCTCACAGCTTTTCAGGCTTGTTTTCACTCTGATGCAGCAGTGTGTCTGATGTATGAGTCACCCCAGCACAGCCTCATTATATGACGTTAAATGGGCATCAGGGTTCAGCCTTAACGGCTTCAATCTCTGGATATCTGGCAGCACATCTCTGGTTTCAAACAGCCCGAGTGGCTCCAAATACTTTCAACTTTATTCTGATATTCCGCTGTTGTTGTTTTTTTTTATTTTATGTCTGCTTAATTCAGGTTGCAAAGCTTAACATCAGAGAAATCCAAATGAAACACATTCAAAAGCGTGAGGGTGTTTTCATTACATAACATTGTTAAACTCGTGCTTCTGACCATGCAGAAAAGATGCTCATATTGGCCTAAGTAATTGGCACTGATGCATCGCATGTGCACTGCAACTGCTCAGCTGTGACTTTACCATTTATACAATTATGTTTATAAGCCTGAGACATTTCCTCTTTAATCTTATCAAGAGCACAGAGTGCAGACACAACAAGATAACGCTGAGATGAAGATGCCCAGTAATGTTACATAATGAATTCAGCTTTCATGAATTGATTTGCTTTCTTTGCCTTACTGACAGATCTCTCACTCAAAACAAAACTGATTTAATTCATTATGTCTAACAAATACTTTGTCCTGGTACCTTGTTTTTTCCTGTTTGTGTTTTTTTCAACTTGTTTCCTTATTACTCACATATTCACTTCATCTCACTGTCTGCTGATCCTCATTAATCCCACCAACACCAAATTAAATTGCCTTAATTGGACCCTTTGTTTTCTGTGTGTCTAGTTCACCTGCAGATCCTGCTGGCTGTGGGTCTGGCTGTGTTCTGTTACTGCCTGGTCCTCTGCTGCGTTGTTTGCTGTCGCAGAAAGAAGAAGAGTATTCCCTCAGAGGATAAGGAGGCGGTCTATCAGTCGCCCCATCAATCTGAGAGAGTGACCGTCACACTGACTCCATCTTTGTGCACGCAGCCTGTCAAGCAGCAGTACGAGGAGCTAGATGGAGATGTGCTGGAGTTCCCGTACTCTAAAAGTAGCTCCTCTCCCTCTGAGGATGACCTCCCAGCGCTGCCCTTTGACCCTAGCCCCAACCAGTCAGCTGAGCAGGTGCAGTCCCCAGTCTCTTCCTTCCCGATGCGGCGCCTCAGCACCCCAGCAGTTCCCTGCTCACCCAGTAAACGTCCAACTCACGGCAGAGCCTCGCTACCCTCCCTCACTAAGCTGAGCCTGGTATCAAAGTCTCGCCGGGCTGTGGGTCGCCGTAGCACAGTGAGCGGGGTAAATTTTCTTTACAGCGAAAGCAGCCAGTTAACCGCAGGGGCTACTGGAGCCTCCATCCAGCAGGGGGAAGCAGGTCTGTCCCAGTATGGCTCTAACTCCCTCCCTGTCCCATCAAAGTCAGCTCCCCTCCTGCACTTCTCCCTGCTCTTCTCCTCCACCAGTGGTTCCCTGGTGGTCAACATCATGGGGCTCTCAGGGGCCAGTCGGAGGCGCAGCGGGATGTTTGTGAGGGCCAGCCTCCCTCCCCTCTGCCCCTCCCCTCAGCAGGTAGCATCCCGGCGTCGCAGCCTCAGCCCGGACCTGCACAGCCAGAACTTTGTGCTGCAGGTTGGGTCTGTGGATGAGCTGCGCACCTGCACCCTGAGACTGGCAGTGTACAGCAGAGACTTCTCGGGCCTGAGAGAGGCTGCTCTGGGTGTGGTGGAGCTGCCCTGTGAGCACATGGAGTGGGAGCCTGACACCACCACCACCTACACCAGGCAGCTCATCCCGACTAAAAGCAAGCTGAAAAAGGTACGTGGGGATGGGATCCTTTTATTCATCTGAATTCAAAGGACTGTTTTGCATAATTTTATTGAATTAAACACACCAAAGCTCAGTAAAAGCATCATAACAGTGCAGATTCATAATACATAACTTCACTCAACTACAGAACCAAAATAAACTCAATAACCCTGGTAAAAGTTTCTGAAGAAAAATTGATGACATCCACGAAATAGACTTAAATTTATCCTGATGCCTTTTCATAATATCCAAACGCAAACAAGACCGTCTATTTTCAGGTGGTTCAATGTCTAATTAGTCTGCACAAACAGGCCTCCAGTATAAATATGTATCATGTAAGTTTATCCATGAAGGAATGTTGCTCTAATCAGTCCTTTCATTAGCCAGTACTCCTCTGTTGTTTGTCATGGCGACATTGTTGTTAGCGACTGCACAGCAAACAAGCACAGTGCAGAAAATTGGCAGAGCGCTCACGCTGTGTGCCCTCTGAAACAAAGCCAGAGGGCATTAATAACAGGGTTTGAAGGCAGGGTCCTGATGTTTCACTGGACATTACTCAATCAGGCAGACTTTTGCCAAGAAGTTGTGCGGTGTGTGTGTTTAAATTCTCCAATTTACACTTCAGGGCAAGTCAGAGTCAGGTGCACTTACCTCTGTCCTCCTTGTTGCTACCCATGAAAGGTGCATCCTCCCCTCCGCAGACACACACATCATCCCCCTCCTCTTTGTCATTGACGACAGTTTCCGGGTGTCAGTGTGGTTGTGTAGCAGGAGCATGCTGAGATAGAGCGGAGCTGCTCAGCAATCCGGATAATTCTTTAAGGAGAGGGTGTGTATTCAGAGGATGTGCAGCAGTGACTTCACTTAATGGATTTGTTGTGGGGGAAAAAAGGGGGAGGGGAAGCGAGGAGGGGGGGCAATCAGCGTAATGGGACCAGTCAGAGTATTGATGGTTCTCCATGTGCAGTGCGTGACTTATTTTGACATTTCATAGGAGTGGGGAGCATGATGTGGCAGAAAATTTCAGGGCTGTGCACTTAAGCGTGAGAACAGTCTGATCACGACTCTCTGGTAGTCAGAATGATCAGCATTAACTTTTGGGATTTACTGTGCATGAAAACTCGTTATTTTTGATCATGGTCCTTAACAGTCTGCTTTCAGTTTTCAACCAATAAACTTTGGACCAATGAACTGATAAAAAAAATACTTATAGTTGTAGCAGTAAACTTTATAGAGGTGACAAGGATCCTGTCTGAATCAGTTTGCGTATGGACTGAGATAATGCTTGGCGTGGTAGATGATAACCTCTTATACTTAGACTCTCATCCCCAAACAGTTTCTTGCCTTTTTCCAGTAAGACATCTTTGACAGACAATGAGATTTTTAAAAAGTACTCCACTTAGTCCACTGTTTTCTGATGGCATTGCCTCTGGATACAACTGCCAACTTTAGGGGCTTGATCCAGCCAGCAGTTAGTGAGAAAGACACCAGGCCATCACTGCATGCTGCATCATTTACTGTCCCACCAGAAATATGAGACCAGAGAGTAGAGTTTGAGTTCAGAGAGATCTCTGTGCAGATGTTGGCTGCACTTGTATGCGTATTTCATTTCTAAGTGTTTGAAGCAAGTCCGTCTTCAAATTATTTACCGATTAATGATTTTAAAGAAGCCCTATGAATGGACCTGCAAACATACATTTCATTTACTCCATTTCATGTCTTGAGGAGCAGTTTGTTGTCCTCAGATCTCAACTCTTTTGCTCGTACTGAAGTATCTAAGCTGGTTTGTAATTTCTAATATTCCTCCTGCCTGGTTGTTTTGACAATAAAGAGACTTGTTTCTTCCAGTAACAGGATAAATTTCCTTGAGAACCCAGAAAACAAAGCAATAGATTAGGAACTGTGATAGAGCAGATGACAACAATCTGTGCCTCCAAAATTCACACTAATGAGTGAAGTTCAGTCTAGTTTTTGGTTTGTGTGGAGCTTTCGCAACTCTAGGGATACTGGTTATCTTAAGTTAGGATGACGTACTCAAATACAGGGAAACCAGTGATTCATATTAAATGATAAATGAATTGATAGGAAAGCACCTGAAAATTGCTCATTTTTAAAGGATGATGGAGTAAATAAAACAAATGGCCACTCAGGGCTTTTATATGCTTGTTATTTTCCTTTTTTAAATTATGTTTTATTTTGCTCTCCATGCACAGTGACTTTCTCACTGCTGAAGTGCTTGTGTGTAATGTTATTTGAACTAAAAATGGCCAAAACCAAATGCAGACCACTGCAGCTTCTGTCTGCAGAATCTGTGAAACTCATAAACCATGTTGACCTGGTGCTCAGGCTCCTCATATTGAGCAAACACAGTGTCTTGGAAAAGGCTATCATTTTCCATCCTCCCAAAGAAACCTTGAGGCGAGTTTTCTTTCTCTTTTTTTTCCATCAGTAAGTTATTGCATTATAAAAGAAGAGAGATGTTACATGGTAAAACCCTTAAATGGCTGACAGGTGAAGTCCCGATGTGCTGGGCAGCCTGATGTTAATGAGAAGTCATTGCTGATAAAATATGAATTTTCTGTCAATCATACTTGGATAGATTAAAGTGAAACCTTGGGGAGGAATTTGTCTGAAATTACTTGTCCCCCCTCTCCTGGAGCGTCCATGCTCTGGAGACCACGGATGACTCATACTGTGTAATCAGAAGAGACTCTTATGTAACACAAGATTTCTGGAGGGGACAGAGTCACCACGTAATACCGAGCCTCTGCAGAGTCTGCAAAAATGAGCGAAAATATAACGTTTGATTTTATTTCTTGGTGAAGAAGCAGAATTTTAGTCATGATTCTTTTTGCATAAAAGTAGAAGAAAATTTCTGATGGTTTCCAGTATTGAGGATGAAAAACCGTTTTATTTCTAACCAGTCTCAAACTGAACTGTGTGATACCTGCTGTTTTTAATGAAAATAGGAACATTGCAAAACAGTATGTTCGTGACAAATTCAGTTTGGTTGCACCTTCAAGACAACAAACTGTCATCGTAAATTGGCATTTTTGCATACTTTGGAGTTTTTTAGGAATTTATACAAAGGAGTTGCAACATAAAATCTTGAAGTGAAGTTTATTGAGAACGACAGTCCCCCAGCTGGGGACTTGAAGAAGCTCTTAGCAGACACTGCAACAATGCACAAATTAAGAAAGAATATACAGAAGCACATCTAATTAAACAGCTTTTTCCACATGCCCTAAACACAGTTTAAATAACAACTTAATAAATGATCACATATCAAATTCCATACACTGCTTTGACAACCGTCACAGCACTTAATGCAGAACACCCGACATACACCTCAAATGAATGCAGAGAGTCCACAAATCCCAAAGATAAACACCAAAGCGCTCTACACCAAAGCACCAAATTATGTAACTGATGTAAATAGCTTTTTGGTTTAACTGTGTTTGACAGTTTGTATTGTCACAGACAGGATTACAGTTTGATAGAGGTAAATCTGCCCCATTTGGATTCAACATTCGGTTGTTTTGTGTGTTGGTTTTTGGGATGGGGAATATGTAGAGGTCTGGTTTTCATAAACATGTCAAAAACTGTTGTATTTGGGTGCATTGAACCCAATCAGTGATACTCAAATGAAATACATAGTTTTATACTTTATCAGAGTCAACCTTTGCAGAGATAATGTTCACATACTGTACTATGATGTGACAAAGGTTTAGAGCTGTAGCTGCATTGTTCCAAAGTGATCCTCTTCCTTAAAGGGCTTTGTTTTTGAGGCGAACCTGATTTGTAACACATATACTGATATTTACACATCTTACACATAAGTTGCAGTGAATAATCGCCTCCCCCTAAACAGCTTAGGAAGTGAACATTATCAGCTTGAAGCTCCGGTTTGCTGAAAGGTGGAAAACAAATTTCCTTCTATAACTTTAAGGTCTGTGTTTGCAGAACAACGTCTCTGTCTGAGAGGCGGTGTGACTGTAAGTGACAATCCAGTCTCTGAGGTGACAGACAGAAGCAGTGAACCGAACCTCACTTGTTGGATCAAATTGTCTTCACACACTGCTGCCCGGCTCCAGAAAGGCGCTGGAGGGCGAACACTCAGCCAGATGACTCACCAAATCCGAAGCCATACAAGCAAATGAGATCTGACGTGAAATCAGATGGAAATTACTCTGGTTCTCACTCTGGCTTTCTCATCTATCCACAGAGCTGCAGTGCAGGAACATATCAAACCAGTAAAAACACTTTAACGCTGAAAGCTGTGTTTAACTTCATCCCAAATGACCAATTAGCTTCAAAATGTGATCAGACTTCAGCCCAGCTGAGCTCCTCAGGCAGGTCCATCTATGGTGCCTCATGAATAAAATACTGATCTAGATTGGAACCCTTAACTACTCCTACACTTTGGTGGGCAATCATTCATAACTAATTTCTTAGAGAAGGAACTGGAACAATAATTGGGTAAATTTCTTAGCCATCATTGACACCCTACAGCCCAATCTGCTTCTATTTTCTCAGTTTCTTTTCTGAGATTCATCTCACTTCTTTTCCTTTAGATGAGAGGAACATCTGCAGAGTGAAAGAGGACATTTTCCCCCTTGCTGTATCCCACATTTTCCTTTATTCCTCTGTCTTCTCCTTCCCTCAGAGTGTGAGTTCTCAGGAGGCACTTGGTCACAGGAAGAGCTCAGTGTGTGTGCCACGGGCTTTGGGCCAACTCTTCATCCTGCTGCAGTACCAGTCTCTGGCAAACCGCATTAAGGTGATGGTCCGAAAAGCTGAAAATCTGGCCAAGCTCACACGGATACCAGGAGCTCCAGGTAAAAACAATATCCTCAACAAACAGAAATAACTTGTTATTGAATTCCCTGGTGTTTTCAGCCTTTAAAAAGCAAAGCGGGACCTCTTTCATGGTTGCTTATTTTGTCCTCTGCAAGTGTAAGGAGTGTTTCATGAGAAGGATCACATCCTGTTTTCTTTTAACACTGAAGTGAGTCACCGCTGGGAATATTTCCTGTGAAAAAAGAAGAAAGGGCTGTTTCTGGACGCTGTAAATCATCGTTTTAATACCTTCCTCCCTGCAGTAGCTACAGGCACTAAAAGCCACGAGTGTTAGATGGATTATGAAGCTTTGTAGCTGTCTTTAATGTTGTACCAAAAGATAAGACGCTTTGAAGCTTCAAACTTGGCATATACATGATGACATCTCTGGAGCTTGCAGCTAAAGCTAGCTCTTTTTGAAAGGATCCAACGTATCAGTCCAGCTCACCGATATTTGTAGTTATCGTCTGAAGCCTAAAGTATGAGGAGGTGTTGATCTTATACCGTTTCCTAAATTCTTCTCTCACGGGCTTTAACTTTGTGTCTGTAGTTGACCTATGTGGTCAGGGTGATCGAAAAATCCTTAATCTACCAGCCGCAAGAGGACGAAAACGTTTTTTACAAGTTTTTTGGAAACATGTAGGCAACTGATTCTGACTTGAACACATACATCATAATGTTATTTTCTTGTAGACTATAAACACAGCTAATCTATACTAGTAACACTCATTAATTTGCCCATGTAGTTCAACTGACCATCAGCACCAGACCATTGTATCTCTTTCTTGAACTGTGTCACAGGCTAGTCCCTTTTGGAGTTTGATAAAGCAGGTAGCTGACAGTAGATTAAGTAGAAATATCTTGTAAACAAATGCATGCAGGAGTTAAAATTAATGAAATCCAAGGCTAAAGAGCCACAGCATCAGCCTGAATATTGAACTCATTATGTCCAAGATTAAAATCAGAAATCAGTTAGCAGGTCTGCTGCCCTTAATCTGTACAGTGCTTCATCGTGGTGTCAGTCTAAGAGCCAACTGGGGAGAGGCATACAGTGCTTTCAATAAAAAAATAATTAAAAATAGACTCTAAATAGACCCCTAACCCTAAACCCATTAACTATGTCAGAACCTAAAATATGAAAACACATAACTGCAGATGCTGCGGCTGTATTCCTGTCCTCTGTATATGCAGAAAAGTCTTTTACAGTAGCTGATGCAGAAGGATCTTGCAGTTTCCCTGCAGGAAGGGCAGGACATTCAGCAGCATCTGTTTACTGCCTTTTATTGTTTTCCTTTGAAACTGAAACAAAACTGTTGCTTTTGAGGAGCTGTAGCAGCACTGGCATCTTTCTCCTCCTCAATCGGCACCACCAGTGTTGCAGAGCTGGGTTTGGTTTGAAGATGCTTCTTCAAATGTGAGATAGAGTTCTTAGCAGGGGACCAGCTTTAGTCCTCCAGGCCCAGCTTACATTTCACTGTCTTGTTGTTATTTTCCCTTGGACCCAGAAACTCAAACTAAAAGGAATATTTCCACAAAGTAAACCATGGTCACTCTGCCATCTCAATCAAGCTCGAGCTGAACTTGCTGGCGTTGCATGTGCCGTGACATGCAGCAATCGTAGGTTTACCTCCACTGGTGCACAGCTTCTTGTCATGAAAGTATGGAAACAGAAATAGTGCAAATGCTTCAGGGCTTTTCTGTTTAGAGATGGCAGAGGAAAAAATGCAGCTCTTTTTCAGAAATTCGTGAAAAAGTAGCCATGTTATGGGTTTTCTAAATTGCTGATAATGGGTTATGTAACTCTTCATATCAAAAAAGTAATCAAAGTCTTCGTGCAGCTTTTTTTGTGATGCATGTTATAATTATAAGCTGAAAGAAAGCTAAAACTTGAAAGGGCACACTGGCTGCCATGTTAACTCCTTCTATCCTCTTGTAGTCTCCTCTATTGCCTCATCCAGACAGAGTGGCCCCTGACTGTCTGACTGTATAATCAGATTAAACACTCTCCAGCCTGTCGTCATTTCCCCTTCAGTCTGTATCAAATCTCAACACATCTCATTCAAAGCTCTTCTGTGTTGGTGCTGGAGGGGAGAAGAAAAACACAATACTGTAACAGATAAGGGTTTTATGTTTTGTTTTACTGTACTCAAAGTATTAGTACACACAAAACTACAGATAGACACTGTCTGCAGATGCGTGATTATTGTCTGACAGTGACACACTGAGTTTTAATTTTAGTAAATCCAATTAGCATGGCAGGCTGGGTTTACAAGAGTATCCTAATTAGAAGAGATGATGCAGATTAGAGCAGTGAGGATTATTAATATATTGACAAGCATATCAGTTGTTTTCTAAACTAAACACAGGAAGTCTATTTTCAAACCCAACTAACAAGAGGTGGCAGCCTGGCTTAGTGGGTACATGTGGTTACACGTCACATTTAACACAGCCACTGTGGGTTCTGCTCCAGACCTCAACATCAACCCTTCAACCCTCTGCCTGTCCTCACCCACTCTCTCCTCACCACGATCCCTGACTACAAAAGGATTGAAAGCCCCCTCAGAATAACTTAAAAACAATCATGTTTAAGTATCAATGCTTTATTTTTTAACCTTCCTGTGAAGACATCATGATACAGAACAAATGAACTAAAATCAATCTGTTTTCCGACAGACCACTATGTTGTGATCAACCTTCGCCAAGATGGGAAAGTCATCGGAACCAAGGAGACTAAAGGGGTGAGCGGTCCAAACCCAGTGTGGAACGCTCCCTTCCTGTTTGACCTGCCCCCTGGTGACATCACTCAGCTGCCATTGGTACTCGAGTTCATCGTCATGCAGGTAGAATTTCTATGTCTCTCATATGGATCACACATTAACCAGAGAAAAGCAGTAAAGTTTTTTGAAGTATGAGGTGCGTTGTAATAGTATTACCAACAGGGGGTGTCAGTGAGCTTGGCCTCTTCAAGGATAGCCTGGGTAGAGTAATGAGATCTTAACACTGGTTGCCACCTACCTAGCAGCCTTTTAAAATTAATGAATGAACTATCAATTCATTTTTTTTTAACAATTAGAAAATGTTAAGTGTCAAGTTGATGATGTTTCAATTCAGTCACATTATGTTTTTGTGTTTCCTCAGGGCCGTCTCTACACTAAGAGCAGTGTTCTGGGCCGTGTTCTGATTGGTGGAGATGTTTCGGAGGCTGGACAGGGACACTGGAAGGAGATGTGCAGTCGGGGGCAAACAGAGACAGCTCGCTGGCACAACATCCAGTCAGAGTGACTGTTTTTTTTTTTTGTTTTTTTTTCACAGCTTAAGCGTTGATTTATTTCTGTGGTGAAAATCTGGTAGCTATGCGCAGCTTTGACTGTTCTTCATGCCATTTGCTAACGGTAGTGGTCATAAGTGGAATCAGAGGCTGTGCTGACATTTTTTTAAGAAGAGTCAGATATCAGACACACATCCACGAGTTTCTGCAGTGTTCATGAGGATAAGCAGTGATGACTCTTCATCTCCACATTGCCTTGTAGTTATTTATGTCAGTATAAGTGTGTTATTCCAGCTGTATGAAACTTGTGCTGACGTTGTAGTGCTGTTGTGTTGTGTCCAGAGGCTACAAGTGTTCATTTGAACCAAAACTTGATGTGGAAATTGCAGCATCGCAAAGCATTTCTATGTTTTTATTCTGCCTGAGGTTTGTTGTGCTGTATTTCTGTGCCTGTATTTGTCCACATGCTGTAACTCTCTTTGTACTAACATACTTGAGGCTGATACTGTGGTCTTAGTGTGTATGTGAGAGACTATTTTATTTGTTCCTCTTTCATAGATATTTGAAAGATTTGTTCTCTGTAGCTACAATAAACCTGAGGGACCAGTTGTGAATATGTTTCATTTTATTATAATCAGTGGTGTGAATTTGCTCAGAAGATGAAGAATATGCTTCCTCTGGAACCCTGTGTGGATAGGCTTCAACATTATATTTGCCCTGTTTTCCTGTGAAAGCAAGTTAATATCAGGGGTTTTCTGGAGGTCTTGACTGATCTGTCTTATTGCCTTGAGATAGAGCTGGCTTTCCTGAGATCAGTGCACCCAGCAACAGCAAGATGATTATGAGTCATATACCCAGAGTTGCCTAGCACAAAGCCCACAGAATTACTCATTTTCACAGGATCTGAGGCACTCAGGGTCATTCAACTCAAAGCCTTTATTTTCTAGTGCTACACAGACAAAGTTAAAGCAGACCTATTTGTGTCAATCACTGAGGTCTTCAGCAGAGAAGCTCTACAGAGGTTGCCCATCTGCTTCTTCTCAAGGTTAACAAGCAGTCACATGATCAGCATTATTACACGATCAAACAAAACTAAGCAGTTGGAACCTTACTAAATACATTTTTACAAAATATTGAGGACGAAAAAACATTTACAAGCAATGAAAAGTATTTTGAAGAATACATTAGCGGGATTGACGAAGATATCTAAACGCAAACAATAACAGAAAAAGAGAAGAATCAAGTTTCCTGTGAAGATGAGGATGTTGCACTGCTTTCAGTGAGTACAACTGGAATGATTCTCTTTGTGAGACTTCGTAATATCCTTCCTCTTGTCAATGAGTTCACAATGTGTCCAATGCCTGATATTGTGACAGCACTGCAGCTGCATGTTCATCTGCTTTGTGGTTTAAAGCCATGAGATACTACTGTGGGTTACCAGTCTGAATATTTAAGGTACATTTAGTCAGTTCTGCCTTCAGCTTATGTTTTGCTCTGGCACAGCCACTCACCAGTAAGTAAACCACATTTCAAGTATTTGATTAAATGACCTTCTTGAGTGAGTGTATCAGATCCTTTGAACAAGTTTGTATCTAGATCCCCACACTAAAGAGCACCACAGACCCTTACACTTTTTTGCTCGTGTTTAATTTTTTTTCTTAGAAATATCAGAACATACCTCAGTAGTGTGAGCACAAGAAGTATAGCACATTGTAGTAGACATACTTCAGTCATACTATCACAGTGGCCTGCCTATTTTTTTGTTTTGTTTTACTGTAAAACAGCTTTGTTTTCCTAAGATAATGACAAAAATAAGTATAGGTCCCAAGAAAAGGTCTGGCCAATACTTGTTTTCTTTGGAAAATAGAGTAAATAAAATGTTTTGATACATGTTTATTCAGGATTTTGGTAATGCACTCATGTCCAGGATCAAGGTCAGCAAAAAGTATGAAAGTACGAAAATATGAAAGTTCTTCACAGCAGTTTATAGTAACAAAAGTACACCAAGCATGAGAGTTTTGACAATGTTTTGACTTCTTGTGACTCAGACTATCATATAGAAGCAAAATATATGCACAGATCAAGTATTTCTGACATGTTCAAATTTGTGCCTTGGTTTTACCAAGTGGATCTCTTTTCACCCTGACTGCGTTAAATCCATCTGATTCTGACAAGATGCTTATGTAAATGTTTCTGCACTCTTCATCATTGTTTCCTCTTCACAGCGAGGGGGACATCCTTCCCTGACAGTTATAAATATCTGTCAAATGTGGAGTCCAGAGGTGATGTAATCTAACTCCAGGGGTGATATTATGTCATGTAAAATCACTACACACTGACACACATGCATCGTACAGTACACACTCTGATAAACAGACACACACACACTCACATTAAAAGTCACTTGTTGAGTCCTCGTGGACCAGAAATCATCAGGATGTAATAAATGAGCCCAGATGGATGAAAAGCACATTCTTCCACTTTATTACACACATGTCAAGTCAAGCTTCACAAGCACATTCATTTTTCATTCAATATTTGCACATGGTTCCTTTCCCCTCCCCACAATTTACGCCTCTGTCCATGAAGAAAAGTCCAGAGTAGCCCCAAATGTGCCAGAAGTTATCCTGATCAGTGATAGTACAGTGAAAAAATCTTTATTTTAGATGAATTTTGATTATCCTTCAGGTCCAGGTTCAATTTATTGTCATTCGAACATGTTAAAAACACAAGAAATAAAATTTGTATCCCTTGTCCAGTAGCATATGCAACAGTAGCTAAAATAGACCCCATAGACAAGAAAGTAATATCCTAAAAGGCTATAATAAAAAGGCAGTCAAAAATCAATCAACAGGAGCTGCTTCAAACTTCAACAGAGCAACATTAATCAATGCAGGAGGTAAAATAAGGTCAGTCTATCATCGCACTCTCAACATGATTCTGCTTCTAATTTAAAATACTGAAATAAAGAGTGAATGAGGAAATGTTTACCTGAATATGCCTCTGTGGAGTAAACCCTTTCAACATGAAAGCACACAATGCTGCAGATTGTGTAGAGTGTGAGGGATAATGAATGAGACTCCTGGCATGAGGCTGTGAAGCATTTGATACAGACATGCTGCTCTTTCTTCAGTCCTCTGATCTGTCCTCTCCTGGGGGAGAATGAGAAATGAGATTTGGTTTATCTGCCTGCAGTGTGACCGTCTGTGTGCGTATGTACGTGTGTGTGCATGTGTGGACCTGCAGGCACTCCGACAGATACAAAGACAAATAAAAAGTAAGTACATAATGCACTTTGAAGAGGGAAGATGAAGACAGTTTTTCAGGTGTGCAATTGTCAGTTTTAAGGTGATACAAGAAAGGGGCTTTAGTAAATACATTTATCAAAAGTCTATTTTAGACCCTCAACATCTTACAGAGAAAGGAAGTAAATAAATGAAGCAAAGCATAAATGAAGCTTTTGAAAAAAAAAAAAAAAGAAAAGAAAAAGCTCTTGGAAAAAGCTTTTTTGTTACTACACACCCCGGGGGTCCTTATTTTGGTTTAGTTGTTAGAAAAACCGCCAACTGCAGCCTCTGCCTACCCACCAACCACTGACTCCAACTCAAGCCTCCAATGGACTGATATTAGCTAAACAGGAACCATTGCTAAATATTGCCCAGTAAGGGGGAAGGAATGAGAGGCAAAACAGTGGGGAAGAAAACTGGTAAAAAGTATCCACCCCAGAGTGTGGTTACCCAGCCAGTCAGAAGGCTCCTTTTATTCAGCCAATCAGATAATTGTTTCTAATTAGCATAATAGAGGGCACTTTAATAGGTATATTTTAGTTAAATCTGAATAAGAATCTGAATAAGAATAGGTTGCCACATATAAGATTATTTATTAGTGACAGTATTCGTGAATTAATGCTGTGTGGACTGGAGACGTTTGAGTGGACAATCATTGGATTAAAGCACCCTTTAGTGCCTGAGGACCCCACTAAGGACAAGAACACATAATTTATTTGCCCAAAAAGTTGTTTTTTTTTTTAATTGAAAATTATTTCAGAAAGCAAAATTATGAAATAAACAAGCATAAAATGGAATATCTTTTTGCCTGGGCTTATAGTTCTTTTGGTTAAAAATGGCAAATATAATACTATTTCCATGTACTTAAATCAAGGTGGGCTAAGACATCCAAGTGTTGACCCTGACACATAAACGCAGCAGCCCAAATAAAGTCATAGCTCCACTTAATTGACCACGTAACAATTATGATTTTCATACCCCAGTCATTATTTATTTTTTGTAAAAGCAAAAATACAAGGGACTAATCTCAAATGTGTTTCAAGACGTTTTACGGGGAAGTCTTGCCTTTAATCACCTTTCCTTTTCATTTTTGTTTTAGTCATGAAACTTCAAATCACAAAGGTGAGAGGCGACCGTGAGAAACGCGCGTGAACAACGTCATCGCAGTATACTATGGTTGCCATGGTTACTCTTACCGATTTAAAAAAAATCATTTCAAAACAAAACACATCCAGTAGTGGCCGGAAAGATGTTCAACAGATTTCACTCGACGATTTCTTCGAAAATCAGTCTCCATCTGCGCTGTTATTGAAGCAGGAAAGGACTAAAGACTCCCTGACACTGACCAGAGGAAAACATCCAACTCTTGACATGGAAAATGTGAGATTTGAACTCTTGACTTTGTCTCCGGTTACGAGGCTAATGATGCTAACTTTCATAGAGGATGGATTGATCTTTTAGCTTTTTTCAAGGAAAAAAACGGCTTTAGATGACTCAATCCTGGGTTTAAATACAGTCAATAGATTGCTTATTTGTTAAAAGTAAAAAAATAATGATAATTAACTCCCAGCTATCACAATTATAAGAGTAAACATGAATAAAACGAGTTTAATGCTAGCACTAAAAGTAAATCATGTGTTAGAAAATGGCATACATGCTGTGACTGTGAGCACCAAACACTACAAGTGTTTTCTAAGTATGTAAAAGTTTGTTTGTGTGCACAAATAGCATATTGAAGTTTTCAGAATATCTGAGTAACATTGGCGCTGAGACTTTATCGTATGTTTTGCCTTTTAAAGGGCAGAAAAATGCCTTCAAATGATAAAATATGAATAAAGCTGTGTTTTTATTTGATGAAAAGCAATTAAATTTAATACTGAAGTTCTTGACCTGGGATGAAGGTGCACACCAGCCAAAACTGTAACCGTGTTAACTTGTTAAACTACATAACCTGCTAGACATTTCTCTGGCATAATGAAATCATCAAAAGCAGTAAAACATATTTTAGTTTGTGATCTGCTTTATATATTCCAATGGAACTCAACATCTATATTACCCGATCAAAGTTAAATTACTGAACAAGTACCATTTTTATGAATTTTTCATTAATAAATTGATACATTTATTAATATAATACTCTTGATACTATGATATATGATACTATATCATACCATTTACAACATGATAAGACTACGATGATGAGATACTCTGAAAAACATTACAAGTGTGTTTTGAATTTTGCATTTCCCTTGAGCAAAATTACTGAAAATAAGCCTCAGTATCTCCTGAAGTCAGTATCTTTTTATTTGAACATGATACCTAGTCAA